AACTCAATTCAGCGAAAAATCATTTTTATGAATTAGTTCATCATAATGAATGTCATTTATGCTGTAAAACTCATATAATTGTAACAATACAGTGAAATATGAGAAGTGGTCGTATACAAAAGACGCACCATAAAACACACTTTTGCCTATCATTATTCCAATTGCAGATGAAGTTGAACTTTTACGTGATGAAAAGGTGAGCTTGAAGGAATAAAATAATTCTGCATCATTTGATTTTTTTTGCAGCTTCTCATTATAGGTATTTTTTTATAAACAAGGGTGGTCTTAAACAATGGAGTAAGAGTGTATGCAAAAATTTGAAATCAAGATTTCAGTTGATGATATAATCTTTCGAGTCACCTTTGAAAACATTTTTTTGTACAGAACTTGGTTGAAACTTATTTTCTACTTCACTAAATATAGTGAGGAAAGAATTTAAATTAATAAAATATGGAAAAGACGAACTTGTCCCCCGATTTAAATGGTAGAAATATTATTCTTTTACAACTTTTCGTTTTCAAATTAGATTTTATTCTCAGCTCAAGGAGAAACATTGATGAAAGTTTTAGATACATTCGAGGATTCAAAAGGAGAGACTACTGAACCCGACAAAACTCCAGAAATTTCTGATTTACAAAATGCATGTCTTGATTTAAAGAATGAAGAAATTTCAAAGATTCAATCTTTATGCAGCAATGATCAAAGTACCGATGATCAATGTTTCTATTCACCATCATCAACTTTCAATCGAGACTCAAGCTTCATCATAGACATTGAAAGTTCAAACTCCCATGATGAAAAATCAAGAAAGGAATCTTCTAATTCTAAAACAGTCATCGATGAAACTTCAAAAGTTTCCTTAAAAGATAAATTTCAACCTAATATGAATCTTCCTCATGAACTTGGCACTCGTCCTACATACTTAAAGAAATATGTGACGTCGAAATCTTTTATAGATTCTGATTCTACTAAAGCAACTGCAAAGGTTCTCAACAACTCCGAATCAATCGAAAAAAGAAGAAATGTTAATAAGACAAATAGTAAGATTCGACAAGCAGAATCTCAGGCATCATTTATGAAAGAGGAAAAAACTCATGCTAAGAAATTAGCCCATCCACCTGGTTTCATTCCAAAGAGTTCAAAAAAATCTAAACAGAACCTTTCTTTGAAATCTTCTTCGATAAATGAGATAAGTTCTTTGGAATTATCAAGATCCACAACTGCAGAAGAGCCAAAAGCATTCAAGTCAGCAGTTTCACAACTCTCATTATCATCTGTCAAAGATCAACAGCAAATCGAAGACAAGAAGTCAGGAAATCTTCGTAAGTTTAAAGGATCACCGAATCTTACTGAACATAAGTCGGAAGATCCATTGGCATTTAACGAGCCAACAAAGACATTAGAAATGTTTCAAGAGCTAGAAGATTTACGTACAAAACTTTCGAAATCAACCATAAAATCAAAAGAAGAACGTAAGAAAGTTTCTGATCTTGCTAAAGCAAATGACGGTTTACGTAAAAAAGTTGAAATTTTGGAGAAATCACTCAGTGAAAAAGAAACGCTTCTTAATGAGAAATGTGAAAGAATTAAAGGCTTAGACACGCTCATTGCTAAAACACAACAAGATCGTAAAAAGAATGAAACTTCCAATGAATTAAAATCAGAAAAACTCAAGAAACTTGAAAATGATATGAAAGATTTAAGAAAAATTAACGATGAGCTTTTCAAAGAGAACAAGAAGAAAGGAGACGAAACTCTTAAACTGAAACTTGACATTCAAATGATGGGAAAATCTACGGAAGAGAAATCAAGATTCGTTGCGGCTGAAAAGATGGAATTAATAAAACAAATTGAAAACCTCGAGAACAAGTCAAGAGACATTGATGTTAGTAATGTCAAAGATGAATTGACATTTGTAGTTAATGAGTTAGAAACACAAATAGTAGCTCGTGATGGAACAATAAATGAACTGAAGGAATCTATTCGTCGATTAGAACAGGAAAATGTGAGTTGAAAATTGTTATTATTTTATTTTTTAATGAATCTTCCCCTTAGGAATCTCTGAAACAACAGAATGACAATAAGACTGAAGTTACTGAAATCAAAGCATTAAAATTACATGTGAATGATTTATCAAGCAACGAACAAGAACTAAAAGAGAAAATTATCGAATTGAATTCTTCATTACAAGATGAGCTTCTTAAAAACCATCGCATGGAAAGTTTACTTGAAGTTCGCAGTGAGTTCATCAAAGCACTTCAAGAAAATGAAGAAACAAATAAAGCTCGAATAATTTTACAATTAAAAGAAATTGAAAATCTTCGTGAGAAAACTATGAAGTTAAAAAAGTGGAAAGCTGCATCGAAGGAAGATCTTGACAATCTTCATAATACTTTGAAAAATCAACAATTTGAAATCGACCAGTTGAGACATGATTTGAAGGAGAAACATGACAAATTGAGAAAAATCAAAGGCAAGGAACAAGTTCGTGAATAATCCACTCATTGATGATTGATTTAACTCTAGAATGAAATATTTAATAAATTAATTGTTGTATTATCAGAAAGCCTTTATTTATTTCATTCATTGATAAATCTTTTTATCATCTTCACACATTCAAATTTGAAAGAATAAATAAAAAAAAGATTGCAAAAGAAGATAAAGATTAGCTTATCGGAGAGTTTTTTATGATCAAGCGAATATTTATAGCGAATTTCGATAAAAGTCATTTGACTCGTCGCAGTTAAACAAACAACTTCGATAATTTCTTTTGGAAATTTCACCTCGTGACCTTACAGAATCAATTTATATTTTTTAATAAGAAAAATTTTAGGAAGATGTCGGGAAAGGATAGAATTCCAGTTTTTCCATCTCGAGGGTAAGATTAAATATACCAAAATTACTATGAATAGAATGATTCATTGCCACAATTACCTAAATAGAGCGATGAAAGCGATGAAAGATCGTCTTGCTGGTGCCCACAAAGGCCACGGTTTATTGAAGAGAAAAGCTGATGCACTTCAAATCCGTTTTCGTTTGATTTTGGGAAAGATTATTGAGACTAAAACTTTGATGGGTGAAGTCATGCGTGAAGCTGCGTTTTCACTAGCTGAAGCTAAATTTGTGAGCGGTGATTTTAATCAAGCTGTCATTCAAAGCGTCACAAAAGCTCAAATCAAGACGCGATCGAAGAAAGATAACATTGCTGGTGTTATTCTACCAATTTTTGAGTCGTTTACTGAAGGTACTGACAACTATAAATTAACTGGTTTGGCGCAAGGCGGTGAGAAAATTCAAAGATTGAAGAAGAATTTTCAAAATGCCATCAAACTGCTTGTTGAATTGGCGTCACTGCAATGTGCTTTTATCATTCTCGATGAAGCGATCAAAATCACCAATAGAAGAGTGAATGCGATTGAACATGGTAAACTTTACATTGTAAGAAATTCTTTTTAATTTAATGGAACATTTTTATTCCAGTGATCATCCCACGGCTTGAGAGAACTCTCGCTTACATCATATCAGAACTTGATGAAATTGAAAGAGAAGAATTTTTTCGCATGAAGAAAGTTCAAAATAAGAAGAAACGCGATCGTGCAAAGAAAGCAGAATTGCTTGCAACTTTTGAAAAACAAAATATTGAAAATTTGCTTGATGAAGACGAAGATCTTCTCTTTTAAACGTTGAATATGCAACGCCATTTATAGATGATTATTAGAAGGATAATAAAAAGTTGAAATAATTTCATTTCTTCCTGACTCAACTGATTGAAAGTTTTTATGTTACTCATCTTATAAAATGATTACAGTTTAGATGTTTTGGGAAATGAAAAATTTTATACCTAACTACGTTTTCACACCTTTTAAAAATATACTTTGTTGATATAAACATTTTGGACAAAGCGAACAAGATCAAATAAATTTTTGCAATAATAAAAAGTCATTTGACTGGAGCAGTCGATGAAAAAAAAGTTGAATTAAATTAATTAAAAGATATTCCGAATACTAAAATTTAATTAAATGTCGGGAAAAGATAGAATTCCAATTTTCCCATCTCGAGGGTATGAAAATTTATTTCCATTGATGAAATTTTCGAACTAAAGAATTGAAAGTTTATAGAGCAATGAAAGCGATGAAAGACCGTATCGCTGGTGCCCACAAAGGCCACGGTTTATTGAAGAGAAAAGCTGATGCACTTCAACTTCGCTTTCGTGTGATTTTGGGAAAAATTATTGAGACTAAAACTTTGATGGGTGAAGTCATGAGCGAAGCTGCTTTCTCACTAAGTGAAGCTAAATTTGTGAGCGGAGATTTCAGTCAAGCCGTCATTCAAAGTGTTTCGAAGGCTCAAATCAAGACACGATCGAAGAAAGATAACATTGCTGGTGTTATTCTACCAGTATTTGAGTCATATGTTGAAGGAAGTGATGCTTTCGAATTAACTGGTCTGTCCCAAGGTGGACAACAAATTAAAAAATTAAAAAAGAACTTTCAGAGTGCCATCAAAATGATCGTTGAGTTGGCTTCTTTACAAGCTTCGTTTATTATTCTAGACGAAGCGATTAAAATAACAAATCGAAGAGTTAATGCCATTGAACATGGTAAGTGATGTTATTTATAATATTAATAAAATTTCATATGATCTTGTAGTGATTATACCACGACTTGAGAGAACTCTCGCCTACATCATATCAGAACTTGATGAAATTGAACGAGAAGAATTTTTCCGTATGAAGAAAGTTCAAAATAAGAAGAAACGCGATCGTGCGAAGAAGGCTGCTTTACTTAATGATGTTAATGAAAAAATTAACAGCATGATAGAGGATGATGAAGATTTGTTATTTTGAAAATCTGTAAATTTATTTACTCTTATTAGTAATCATTTCATAGTTCATAGATGGCTTTTTGAGTCTTAAATAAATAGAAAAATAACAAAATATTTTGATAATTTAATTTTCAGATATTTACATAATTTTATTTATTGGATCAATTAAAATGACTAAAAAATTTTAAGAACTTAACAACTTTTTGTATATTTTTGCTTCGTCAATCATAACCTGCATTGGTCGCTTTTCTTCCTTAACATTCTTACTATCATGCTCATTGAGTTTAACATAAATTTCGTCGTTGTGCTCAAAGTCACCTGGCTTTCTTGGCATTATGTGACAATGAACATGTTTGACAGTTTGGCCAGCATATTCTCCATCTTGAACTGTAATTGTTGTACTTTTTGCTTCATAATAGTCATCAAGAACTTTTGCAATTTTACAAGCGACAACAAATAAATCTTTGGTTTCGTCATGTGTCATTTCTTCTACTCTTGCAATTGATCGTTTAGTTGCTACAAGAACATGACCAGGAACAACACAACGGATGTTTGTGAAGGCAACTGAATGTTCAGTTTCATAAAATATTGTTTGGCAATTTATTGGGTACTTTTCGAACATGAACGCTTGCTCACTTTCCTTTGATTCCAATTGATTAGCAGTTTTCATTTCCATCGAGTAAATGTCGTAACGTCGATGTTTAAAGCATGGCATATTTCTCTCAACTTTCGATATTTTTTCCAAATCTATTTCAACGAATTGAACTTCAAGTTCTTCACTACATTCTGCTAATACATCACCCCAAGGAGACACGGCAATTGCATGTCCATAAGAAGATCTCTTTTCATTATGCTTTCCAAATTGTGCTGCAGAAATGACAAAGCACTGATTTTCAATTGCACGAGAACGATTCAATATATCCCAATGAGCTTTTCCTGTCGATACGGAGAATGCTGACGGATAAGTGATGATCTGAGCTCCGTGACTTTTTAACCAGATTGGAGTTTCAGGAAAACGAATATCATAACATATTTGCATTCCGATTGACCCAATTGAAGTTGTTACTGGCTTTGTAGCACCTTCACCTGGTTTAACAATTTTTGATTCTCGAAATTTGAATTCTGGAGTGTCGACATCAAATAAATGAAGTTTTCGATAAACACCAGCAAGTTCTCCTTCGGAATTTATTATGATATGTGTATTGCAGATCTTTTCATTGCGTTCTCCATCTTCATTAATTATGCATTCATGAACTCCACCAAAACTCATCCACATCTGATTTTTCACACATAGATCTTTATAAAATTGAACTGTTTCACCAGTCAAAGGTTCTGACAACCTTTTTGTCTCTTCTACATTCGTACCAACATAATCACAACATTCAGGAAAGAAAAGGAAGTTGGTTTTTCCTTTTGCTCTTGATACCAATTCGGCAACTTGTTCACGGTTAATTTTCTTATCATTTGTTGTTCTCATTTGGCAAAGGCCGATGACATTTTTAGTTGATGTTGACATATTACAAATATGTATAAACTTAGGCTTTATTACCCCACGAAGTATTGCATAAAACATGCCTTTATGGAATGAATTATGTGTAGAATTAAAAACTTTTTTAATTTCTTAAATTGTAAACAAACCACAACTTCAGCACAACACAAATGATTCGATGTTTCAATGTTTCAATGTTTTCTTTATCGCTTCAGTGAAAACATTAAACAAAAACATTCAACTTGTGTGATTGTTTAAAAAAATTAATTAATTAGATGAATAGATAGGGTAAATGGTGTGTTACAGGCTCGAAAATTAATTAGATGAACAGATAATTAATATACCTAATTAACAAAAATTAAACTTTTAAATTAATCTGTATAATATTCAGGATGGAATGATTCATGAGAATAAGATGTGTAGGGTCCAGGATATTCTTTGCAACTGCATGGAAGGTAAATTTTATGTTCCTTATGATGATGCAGCAAATGCTGATGGTAATCCACTGACTGTGGTGACTTCATCGCTTTAATTGGCTTTTGTGTTGGCTTAGGTTGATAGTCATATGGTTCTAAAATGATAGAAAAATTATTACAAGTTCTTAATATATGAATTCACGAATCAAACTGACCACCACGATGAAAACTGATTGGACCGTGACTGTCGATATTTCTTTCTGTCGTCCACGACGGGTATCTAATACTCATATCAATTTCTCTTGGAGGTGATGGTTGGTCTAAAGGTAGTACACTTAAAAAAGGATCAAAATTCGTATTGTTTATCATCCCATTCTTACTACCACTTCCTGATATTCCATAGCTGTAACCTTCAGCAGGTTTTCTTCCATCATTTGATTCATTTGTTATTTCAAATCTAACATCAGTTCTAACACCAACAGTTTTCTTGTTCTCTGAAGGTCGCGAAGAAGACCAAAACTCATTTTCACTGTTCCTATGATGGTCTGGGTTTAGTTCAAACATCAAAAATATCAAACTGTATTTTAATTCACGATTTAATTAATTTAAATATCCAAACCTTTTATTTCCGATGTATCAACGGTAACTCTTAAACCTTTTATCTTCCCATTGACAGTTTGTTTTGAACCACTAAACTGTTCACTGCCATCATAATAAAAATTTGGTTCTAATTTCACACTTTGAATAAAAGAAATTGACACAATAATTAGAAAAACGGTTTTCCATGTCTGCATGTTTCATCAATGAATCAAAGACTGAGCTCATCTCTTGCTTGGCTTATTTCGTTTCAACTTCTCATCATCGTTGTTGCTATTTTTTGTGTCATTTTTATAATCCCATGGACATAATTTTTCTGATTCTCTGGTCAGACGTTTTAATCTCGTGTTAGATCTTGAAAATTAATTTTATGAGTCTTAAAGTTGACTCAGTTTTTTTCCTTCTTATCTATAAATGCCAAAGCTTAAAAATTATAATGCTTCCGAACCAACAGCTTCCGAATTGAAAACTCTAAACATCTGAATCACTGAAACATATGTTTTAATGAATATTAATGTAATAAGATGAAGTTTTGACCATGATGAGAAGTGATACATTTGTTGGAATTTCTCACTCTACCGCATTAAATAAACTTAATATATATTCAGCTTCATTTTTCACACGCTGCTCGCGGAAGCAACTTAAAGTCAAACAATCTTTCCATATATAATAAATTAAGTTTTATTTCCAATTAAAANAATGTTCAGAACTTTTATTTTCAATACTTTTCATTTAAAATGTAAACAAACTTTTTTGCGTCTTTGAATGTTAGCATTTTAATAAGTATCGAGTAAGTTTTTTGCATTTGGCGGTTTGTCTCTTATCACTTTCTTATGTTTTTTAGAGGTAGTAATAATGCAAAGCTATTTATTACTACCAGAATGATTTTCCAGCCAAACATAAAAAGCAAAGTGAAAGCTGAAACATAAAGCTATCACTTCGACGTATTCCCAGTATAGCTTTTAAAATAAAAACAGGCTAAAAATTGACTTTAGTGAAAACTGTAACACACTAACGACGATTTCGTGCCTGTAACAGACTAACCATTTACCCAATTTTAGTTCACTCGATCAACTACTTTTGATAAATTCTAGCAAAATTTCTTATATTTATATTCAAAGATTCTCTTATTTCACATTTTCATTAGATGAACAGATAGATAATTAATATAATTAACAAAAACTAAACTTTTTCTGATTCTCTGGTCAGACGTTTTAATCTCGTGTTAGATCTTGAAAATTAATTTTATGAGTCTTAAAGTTGACTCAGTTTTTTTCCTTCTTATCTATAAATGCCAAAGCTTAAAAATCATAATGTTGGTAACCAACAGCTTCCGAATTGAAAACTCTAAACATCTGAATCACTGAAACATATGTTTTAATGAATATTAATGTAATAAGATGAAGTTTTGACCATGATGAGAAGTGATACATTTGTTGGAATTTCTCACTCTACCGCATTAAATAAACTTAATATATATTCAGCTTCATTTTTCACACGCTGCTCGCGGAAGCAACTTAAAGTCAAACAATCTTTCCATATATAATAAATTAAGTTTTATTTCCAATTAAAATTAGATCAATAAATAAATAAATTAAGAGCTTTTAATTTGATTGATGAGAGATTTAAAAGAAAGAATTGAGATTTCTAATCCTTCAAATTCATTGTTCTAACCAGTTTGTTTTTCGTAGTTTTCTTCATAGCAGTTTATCTTAACTTAATCCTATATAAAAATAGCAAAATATTTACAAATAAATATTTGCGATTAAATGAATGGCCATCAGATTTTGTAGAAAAGAAACATTCGATGAATTTAGAACATAAGATTGATAAGAGACGTTTCTTTTTTCAATGGAGTCACAATGGAGTCAATATCAGAGGGAAAAGATTTGGTAAGATTACAATCCTTATCGATTTGGTATGTTGATGAAATGTTGAAGTGAATTTATTTGAAAAATCTTGAGAACATATTTCTTAGTCCTAAGAGGGAGAGACCAGCATAACTTGTAGGTCTTTCATCAAGATCATCGTCTTCGTCTTCATCATCTTCAATGTCATCATCTGTAAGTGATAAATGAAAGAATACGAAAACCCTTCTTCATCAAAATCTCCCCATCATCAGCAACAGCTTCCGCCAATTCTTGTTCTTCTGTGTCGTTCTCATCTTCAGCTATCTCATTGTCTTTTTCATTTTCTTCTATGTTATCATCACTTTCTTCAACTTCTTCTTCGGCATCATCTTCCAACTCATTTTCAGCAATTTCTTGTGATACCTGAGAAGATTTTTTGATTCAATTCAAATATCTAAATAAATTAATTTCAGATGAAAATTTACTTCTTCTTCCACTTTTTCTTCGTCATTGTCATCGTCATCATCGTCGTCATCCGAAATTAAATCTTTAATGAGAAGAAAAAAGTTAATTCATGCTCATAATTATATTAAATTAAGATTACCATCAAGAATCTCTAAAATGCCTTGCGATTCACCACTGTCATCGTCATCATCTCTGTCATCGTCGTCATCATCATCATCGTCATCATTATTGTTATTATTAATTGGTCTTGAAAGTTCTTGACTGTTCAATTGCCCATCAACTTCATTTTCATCTTCCAAAACTTCATTTTGTAATTCAGGTTTTTTTACACTTTTTCTTTTTGGATTCTTTCTTGTTGGTGTTGCTTGACTTTCAGAAGCATCATCGTCTTCCCCTAATATATCTGCTAAAATATCTCCAGATAATAAACTTAAACCTGTGTAGTCAGAGTCATCATCTTCATCGTCATCGTCGTCATCATCATTTGAAGAAGTATTAGGAACATTTCCTGCTGAAAGTCCACTTGGTGTGTCATCTTCATCTAAATGTAATAAAAAGAAAATGAGACAATTTGATTTTTACTGCTTAGAATTTTCAAATTTGTTACCATCAAGGATATCGTCATCTTCATCATCATCATCGTCATCGTCAGTATCGTCGTCATCTTCATCTCCACCGATAAATCCAAAGATATCATCCTCGTCTTAAAAAAAAAATAATTTATTAATAGATTCACTTTTAATTCGAATATATTTCCTGTTACCATCATCACTTTCTGCTGGTTTTGCTACTGGAATTGGTTCAGCTTCCATAACTTTTAAACCTCTTGGTCCGAATGAGAAACATGACACTCTCAAAGCAGCTTCAACCTCGTCATCAGCTCGCAATTCCAAACCAAGACATGCTTTAAAATCTTCGTTCTTCTTTGAAATTCCATAAATACGACCACAGAAGTTGGTGAAACCACCGGGTAAAGGTAAACAAACTGGAGTTTCTTTTCGACCTATTTAAGAATATTTGAGATTTGTTTCTACAAATTTCGAATGAAAAGTTTGCAATTGTTACCCGAGATAACACGATTGGCAAGTACACGATTTCCAAACTTAATACCAATCGACATTCGATCACCTTCCAAATATCTTATGTTAGCACAACCCGGTCCTCGAATGGGTACAAGTGGAAGTGAAAATTCACGACAACAATCACATTCAAAGCTTGTGCATTTGCAATAGCGATTAATTGGATTGGCATCATCCTCATTAACAATAGCAGGTGTCTGTGTCTCAGATTCAGCCGATGCTACTTCTGCTGATGAAGCAGAAACTTCGACACTATTCTCTTCGACTGAACTTGCTGTACTAGGCGCAACATCTCCATAAACCTGAATGTCGGAAACTGTTATAACCGGATCAACAATTACGCCTTCATCATCATCTTGCTTGCTCACAGGGTCAATCTTTAGCTTTCTAGAATCGATAAGATGGGGGCCTATGGGAAAATACATTCGTTATTAATTAAACATAAGAAGTTCAAGGTCAAATTCATGAAGATTTAATAAACAATTAAAAAAAGTGTTACACAAGAGTAATAATTATAAAAATAATGTTTATTTTCTCTCTTCTTATTTCGTTTCACTTGAGGAGAGTCTGGAAGAACGTAGCGTTTATTTGATATTATCAGCAACTTCATAAATAAAATTACACAGTTCAGAAAGACACTTCAAAAGGAAAGTAACAATATGATTCATTTAATTCATCATTTGTAGTTCTTCTTTCTTTTTTGTCTCTTCTAAAAGATCGCCAATGAAATGTTTATTCAAGTTCATGATGTAACTGGTTTGTGTTCACTGCAGTTACTAATCGATGTCTTAACAAGAAAAATTAGATTATGCAACTGTTTGAAATAAGATCAAATTGAACGCAACATAGAAAGTGAAGCTTGTGATTTCCTGCATGTAAGTTTAAAAGTTTAATTCTCAAAAGTAATTTAAGACCTCGTTGTAAATTAATTAATGTAGCTCGTCTTCGTGATTAACTTCATTTCATTTCATTTCGAGGGCAATTAACAGGCAGTCAACGAAAAGAAGTTTTCGTTTGTCTGACGAGTCACATAAAAATGTGCTGTTTAAGCATTAAGACATGAAATTAAGAGGGAAAAATGGGAAAGAATTAGTCGTGAGAAACCGTGGCTTAGGAAAGAAGAAGCCTCTTGTGTCTATGTTTGACCCCATTATGGATGATATGAGATTAGAATTTCAATTTGTTCAGCTTAAACAAAAGAAAAAGTTGAAGATGATGTCCACTTACCTACAACTCGCGCAGCAGCATACGTTAGGATTGATGCGATAACCAACAACTTTAACACCTTCATTTTAAGATTTCACTTTTAAAATTTACTGCTTATTCCGATCTAGATGGAGAAGCAAACATAGAAAGAAATAAATAGGCTTCTTTGTTTTTTTAAAGACAGACTTAACGATCGGTGCTAAAATTAATTCGCTTTAAAATTCCTATTCACGAGAAACCAAAAATGTAGAATTTGGCACAACTGAAGAATGCTCGTGAATTGAATGAAGCGAATGAAATAAAAAAAATAATATTTGCACTTTCTTTCGTCACCAACGTTTTCAAGTATGTGATAAACAGTTAAATGAAAATAAAATTCTTCGGACGCGATATCCAAAATTGTTGTTTTAAAGGTGGCAAATCGAAGCGTGAATTCCGTGTCATTTGACTAATTTCAGGTAGTTTCGATATTTCTTTCTCTTTGCACGCGTGGTTCCAGGTCAGATTTGCAGATATGAAGAAAGACTTAAACGATGCGAATGACAACGAACCTTAAAGAATGTTTCCGTTGAAAAGCACCCAATTGCATATAATTTAAATAAAATTTTCATAATTTGTTCCGATGTGTCACTCAGGGTGTCACTGGATTGTTTTTAAGGAGAAAAGAAACTTTTTTCCTCATACATTTCTTTCTTATAATTTAATGTTTTTGACTAAGTTCCTGTTGATGATTAAACTCAAGTGAAATCAGAAGTTAAGAGATTTATTTTTGGGAAACTGTGCTGATGACGATTGTGAGTAACGGTTAATGACTAACATCACTCTTTAATCCATTACATAAAAATTTCTTTTCGTCCGATTTTATTTGCGCTTCTTAAATTATGCTTTCTGTGAACAAGCAAGCGAGTGATTCTTAAAATTGTTGTTCCGTTGATTGCGATTTATCGTATATTCACGTTCGACTCCAGTTGATTTCAAACAGGTTTAGCAAGAAGAAATTTTGATAAAGAACAAATAACATCATAAGCCTCGTAATAAAAAAAATAGTTCTTTCATTCTGTGTTTAGTGCACTTATATTATTCTCTTTCTTCCTCTTTTTTAATTCGAATCTTTACCTAATAAATAATGATCACTTTAAATTGAATGCGAGAAACTTATAGTAATATAAACTTTATTTAAAAACAACTGCCTACAATTATTCAATTTAAATATTTTAAAGAACAACCGAACAAGTCTACGTTTCTACACCAACTGAGTTCTTTGCGTTCAATACTTTTTTTAATATTCAACTTGGCTAACGCGAACAAAACAGTCTTAATGGACTGAAGAAGAAATGTGTTAAAAAAGAAATCTTTCTCTGTGTCTTCTGTATTGTTGCGCATGTCTTTGCCGCTTCTTTTGCTTGTTTCTTGTTTTTCATTCAATGTAAGAATCTCAGTAGAACTACCTTCTTTATATTCAAAACATTCAACATGGAAATTATTACGAGATTTATAATTTATAAATCAATGTTTTTTAAGTATTATCATCCAGTCAATTTTTTTATAAGTAGATATAAATTTTCATAATACTTTAACATTTTTAGAATTTATATTGATAAGATCGTAATAATTTTAATATTTAGGTTCGCTATGAAATACTTTTTTAATTTTACCTTACACACGTGTGATTAGTTTCAGAGAATAACCGTTAAAAGTTGAAACTAATTCCATTCAAATTCAAAAAGTTGAAGTACCAGCTGAGTTTCCTTCAAGTACTGCATTTCAATGTTTCTTTCTATTGCTCAGTGAACTGAGAAGTGTTTACCTGCAAAATGTGAATTGATTTAAGTATTATTCTATGAAACCTTAAACATATCATCCAGCATGAGAAGTCTAGTGAAGTGTCGTTATAGAAAATTTTATTTAATACTCTTGGCAATCTCGCTTCTCAGCTGTTTAGTGATATTTTACCTCTCAAAGTACACACTCAACAAACTCATCGAGCTTCAAGAAAATGGAAAATATCAAAGACTGCGACATAACCGAAGAATTCCTCAAATTATCGGTCACTACATGGGACCGAATGCAAACGTAAATCTCTCACAAGAATTTCTCAACACAAACAACTTCGATCCCATTCCCGGCGAGGGCGATGATGGAAATCCAGTCATTATTCCTTCCAAAGACCTTTTACTGATGCAACAACTCTTCCAAATCAACAGGTTTAATCTACTTGCTAGTGATAGAATGTCACTAAATAGAACTTTACTCGATGTTCGAAATAATGTGTAAGTGATTAATTAAATGAAATTTATTCTTATTTCTAACTAAAAAATAACTTTGCCATTTTAGATGTAAAACTAAATCATACAGCTCAGATCTTCCAAAAACTACAATCATTATCGTCTTTCATAATGAAGCATGGTCTGTACTTTTAAGAACAATTTGGTCTGTTATAACTCGATCAAAACAAGAACATTTGAAAGAAATTCTTTTGATTGATGATGCAAGCACAAGAAACTTCCTCAAGCAGCAACTTGATGATTACGTTAAAAAGCTTTCTGTGCCAACAAAAGTTCTTAGATTAAAACAAAGAGAAGGTTTAGTCGCAGCAAGATTACTCGGAGCCAAAGAAGCTTCTGGTGATGTTTTAACATTCCTCGACGCACACTGCGAATGCACAAATGGATGGCTTGAGCCGCTCCTCAAACGTGTCAAAGAAAATCCCAAAGTGGCAATTAGTCCAGTCATTGACATTATTAGTGATGACAACTTTAGTTATGTTAAAAGCTTTGACTTTCATTGGGGTGCTTTTAATTGGGAACTTCATTTCCGATGGTTTATGTTAGGCGAAGAAGAACTAAAACGAAGAAAGAAAGATATCAGCGCACCTTTTAAAAGTCCTGCTATGGCTGGTGGACTTTTTGCAATATCTCGAGATTATTTCTTTGAAATTGGCAGCTACGATAAAGACATGAAAATTTGGGGTGGTGACAACATCGAAATGGTGAGATTTCTTCATTGATTAATATTGATTAATTAATTTATTTTTTTAAAACAGAGCTTAAGAATTTGGCAATGTGGTGGATCCATTGAAATTTCTCCATGTAGTCATGTAATTATTTCTGAGAAGCGCGCTTTAGATGAGACATTATTAATTTTTTCGTCCATATTTCCAAATTTCACTTCAAGGTTGGTCATTTATTTCGCAAAAGTTCTCCTTACACATTCCCAGGTGGAGTTAATGAGATTTTGAATAGAAATCTTGCAAGAGTTGCAGATGTTTGGATGGACCAATGGAAAGAATTTTATTTTAAATTTAATCGAAATGCGAATGAGTTGAGAACAACATTGAATACAACTGAGAGAATAGCATTAAGGAAACGACACGAATGCAAACCTTTTACGTGGTACCTGCAGCATGTGTGGAAGGAAAATTTCTTTCCAGCTAATAATCGGTTCTTCGGAAGAATTCAAATGGCTGATCAAACAAAGATTGAACCTGAATATCGACGATATTATGACGTCATACAAGAATTCAGTCGTGTTATTCACTTTCAAGAACAATCTATCGACGAGCGATGGAACAAACTTATTAAATATTTTAACAAACGAACCGCGACAATCAGCGAAATGTTTTTACATAAATCGAACAATTATTTCTGTCTTCAGAAACCAAAAACAAGTGGCAACTCATCTCCTTACGGCCAAACTTATCTTAGGAAATGTTCACAAGTTTACGACTCTTTAGATGAAATGTTCATCATAACAACTGATGGAAAAATCATGACGAATGAGAATTTATGTTTGGACTCATTTAAGTTACAATCATCGGACTATTCAAATGAGAAAGGAAAGGATGAAATTCATTTTGCTAAAATGGTGACTTGTTCAACGAAAACGACGCAATATTTCGTTTATAACACAAACGTAAGTTTATAATTACAGCAATCAAGTAACATGACTGATGGAATGTTTCTGATTTATTAATTATAAGATCTTATTTCTTGACTTTTCAATTTTACCCTTCAACAGACCCTTCAACTTCTTCAAGCCAACACAGGAATGTGCTTGGAAGGCTCTGACATTCCATTCGAAAACGAAAGCTATAAAGTCACACTGGTCGATTGCAGTGAAAACAACAAATACCAGAAGTGGATTCTCTTTCCAGTTGAGTGGCATTGATTGAATTCCGTATCGTTTTTTTTCTTCTTCTTCTACTTATTTTCTTCTTCCTCCGCTCGATGGTTTTGTGCTTTTTTGTATCATTGCTTTTTGCGGTGAAGTTGATAGAAGGAGAAAAAAAACTACGAAAAGCTGTGATAAAAACTTCGTAATTGAAAAAAAAGAATTGAGACAATTCTGTGGAATTTCATGACTTTTTTTCTTATAATTCGTGTTGTACAGCAAGATGTTTTTTTGTGTTTCGAGCCCAAGTTTATTTTATAATAATAAATAAAGAAAAAAATTGTGAAAGTTGGAAAAGTGGCCGTTTTTTACTTGCTGGCTTGCTTATTGCTACACTTCTTGTGTTAGAAAACTGCACGACGATTAGATTTTTACAGGTGGTTTCATGCATCACCGAGTCGAGTGTCGGTCAGATTATCAGAAGGGAAATTGAGTTAATTTTCACTTTTATCATCATCAAAGATGAAACTTTTTTTAATGTTTTATGCTGATTGTTGTGAGAGATGAAAACAAATCAAAGCTTTTTTTTTAAATTGATTTTTCACTTTATTTCGCTTCAACAAAAATTAGATAAAAATTTTCTCTACTATAAATCTGTATTTATTATTTTATTATTATTATTTTTTTCACTATGTTTAACTAAGTGTTGCTGTCTTATCTACATGAAGGTGAAACATTTCCTTCCAATTTACAAAGAAATTAAAACTTTCATGAGTTTGACTCAAAGATGAAACTTTTCTTCTCCTTCCTCTCTGTGAAATGCTTGCTAATTAGATATTTATAAAACTATATCAAAGATTGTGATGGTAACTACTTATTTTGTTATAAATAAAAACTATTTAAAGAATGAAGATTTATTTCAGGTCTAAGAAAGGAACACTAAGTAGCTAAATAAAAATTAAATTGAAATCACAATTGAACTAAAAACCCTTCAAAAAACCTTTTCAAACACTCAAAGTCATGTGAAGTTTGAGACTTATGGAACCAATTTTCGAAGATATTCTCGTGTCATTGAATTATTTTCAATACAAAACGATTTCAAATTAATTCCACCCCGTGTTCAAAAGCCTTCAACAACCATTGAAAAAATCTCTTAAAAGCAATTAAAAAACATAAAAATAATAAAATAAAAAAGTTGTGCTAAGGAAGTTCAAGGAGCTTTTTAAAGTGGAGTTGACCTGGATGAAACTTAACACAAACAATATTTCAAATAGCATCACTAGATTCATCAAAAACTATCGTTTAAAAAATAATTATCTAAAATATTTAATTATTTGTAGCCATGTTTCTCAATGAAAAAAAAAAAACATTTTTCCCAATCATTTTGTTAAAAAATCTTCCTTTGGTATCACACAAAAGTGTAAAGAAAACATCATCGATAAACTTTATATTTTCTTAATCATCCCAACAAATATCTATCCATTTCCCCCTTATTGTGATATCATTAAATCGAGAATTCATGATACAACAACATTACGACTTCAACCTTTCAATTCATTATGGCATTGAATCTTTTTCTTCTTCTTTCTGTTCTTTATCTTAATCGCGAAATAATAAAAACAAAAATTATGAAATATCTAAAGAAACTATTTAAGTAGAGTAGAAGAAAAAGAGATAGAGAGTGAGAAAAAAGAGAAGGATAAATGAAGATAAAATTTAATTGAATGGTTAACAGATTTCATTTACTAAAATGTAATGTAATTCAATTTGATATTAATTCTAGGTATTAAAAATAACATTACAGCAATTGTACGTCATTAAGTTTCTCATTTCTTCGCTTTTTATTTATTTATTTATTTATTATTATCTTCATTTTTTGTGTAACTTCATATATTGCGATATGATCGCGAAAGGAGAATTTTTGTTTGTTTGTTTCATTCATCCAATGTGTTCATCTTCACTGCTTTTCATTTCTTTTCTTTTGAGCATTCCAAAAGCACACGACAATGTCAATCGCCGTCGGAAAATGGTCAAGTTGTGACATTTGTGTTGTTGTTATTATCATCATTACTCGCCCTTTTCTCTTGTTCAACGTTGTCATCAACATCCATTAAGTTGTATTTGATATCATTGTTATTTTCATGTAAGTCACTTGGCGATGAACTACGGGACGATGAGTTTGTTTGTGTTTCGGGTTTAATATGTCTTAAATGTAATGGCAGTTGAGTGACTTTTCCCATAAATTGTCTTATCTCTTCAAAATATGAGTCTTCCGGGATGCCGCGCGAGTTTCTTCGAATGTTTTTTAATCTTTCATCAATTCCTAAACCTAAGCCAATTGCATCAGCTTCGTGCTTCTTCAAATGACGATCAAGATTTGTCTGTTGTCCAAAGCACCTCTCACAAAGTGCACACTTAAAAGGTCGTTCTTTGTTGTGAATGTTGCGCACGTGACGTTGTAAATTACTTGAAATACTGAAGGATCGTTCACAATATTTACAACTATAAGGCTGTTCGCCCGTGTGTGTTCGAAGATGTCTTGTTAAGTTTGCTGAACGTGGAAAAACTTTCCCACAAAACTTACACGCATAACGATCCTTGTTCTTGTTAGTCATGGCTGAGTTCGATGATAGATTATGGTTAACTTGCTTCACATTATTGTTATTATGATTGGTGCGCGAGCTGATCGATGATGTTTGATTATTTACACTTAGCAGCTGAGGAACGTTGTTGAGAAGGTCTTGATCCTTTAACCTCTGCATGTCGAATGATGTAGGCGGCTGCAGAAGTGGAAAAGGCGAGTTAAATGGTAGCGGGAGACGAACGCCTTTTGCAATCGCTTGAAGCATCAACGGATGAAGTGAAGGATGTGGTGGAAAAAGATGTTGCGCATTTGATAATCTTTGCGCTTGTTGTGCATCGAGTTTCAGTCCATTTAATCCGTTTAGTTGATTGCTTAACATTCGCTTTGCATTTTGATTAAAACCTTTGCTATTTAAATCTACGGGACTCGGTGATTTCTCATGATTGCTATCACTTTTCAAGTAATTATTGTTGTTGTTGTTATTATTGTTATTATTGTTGGCGATAATTGAGTTACTGTTCTCATCCTCCAAGTGAATCTCATTTTCGTTTTCATTGCTCGCTATCGATGACTTCTTATGTTCAACACGTAAATCTAACGGTTGATCAGATTGCTGTTGCTTTTGTGTTGATGATGAAGACGATGCGGTTGATGAAGCTGATGACGATGAACGACTGATGGATGTCAAGAGATCAAAGGGCAATTGAAGACCCGCTAATGGCAATCCTAATGGATAGATTGCTCCTTGTTTCGGACTTGGAAGCATTTTTCTCGGCGAATGATCTTTCTCTCGCATTTCTACCTCGCTGTAAAGATGACTGAACTTTGTGAATGATCCACAAACTTCATAAATTATTTCCTAATTATGCTTTCCTCTATGATGATGTTAACGCATTTGAACTGCAAAGAACAAGAAAAGAAAAGAAAAAAAATCGAGTTATTAATTTTACATTCAATACATCACCGCTTCAGCTATGCTATAATTTATTATTAAAAAATGTATCATATACACCATCGCTATTGTGTAAATATTTTAAGAAATGCTTTTCCATCTCTCTTTCTCTCTGTATCTGTTTGTTTGTTTGTTTCCTTTTTTTCTTCTACGACACAACATCAACAACGACGTCAACGAAGGAGAGCCCGCAAGACTGGTATTTATGCATTAAATAGACGTCTATTTTACCAAACACATTAAATATCTCTTAACCATTCCCAATGTACATGAATCGATCTTTATATTTCGCCCTGACGACTCACAATGAAAACCACATATTTTTCGCTTTTGATATGAATCTCATAAATAACAAAAAGAAAAAGAAAAAAATTACAGCAACAAATGTATAATATGAGTCCATATAAATAATAAGGCATTACACATCGCCTTTGTCGCTTTTGTGTGATTTCAAAATAGTAAACTATTGACTAACATTACGACATGGATGGTCAACATTCTGCTCAGCTTGGGGTGAGTTTAAAACTTGCGTAAGCTTTTGATGAGTCATCAAAGAAGATATTTGATCCTAATGTTTTGATGAAGCACGTAAATAAGTCTGAGGGCATCATCGAACATCGTGTCTGATGTGATGTGGTGAAATAACATTAAAAAGATTTCCAGTTCATACAATTGAATTTCATTTAATTCATGTTTTCCTCCCATCCAAATAAATACCACACATCAATTTAAAGAGTCTCAGATCTTGAGTAAACAATGAACATTCTCAATGACGCAAAATATTACTCGAGTAATGTATATAAGCATTTTATCTGTCATAAAAACTATGCAATGTTTTGTATCGCTTTTCACATGTGCCTCTGCTCGGTGTTCGATGTTCAATCTTCGATGTTTAAGCATAGCGCACTTCACATTAAGATTTCAAAGAGAAGAGAAAAAAGTAGATATAATAATATCTTCAAAATAATCATTACAATAAAAAGTTATTGTTGAAATAAATTTCTGCTGCTTCTAAATATTGTCGAGCACCAAGTCATGAGAAGAAGAAAAATATTTTCATATATGCGAATATCGGAAAGTCGAGCGAAATAAAAGGAAATAAACCGACAAATATAAAAGCGACTTCTTCAATCATGTTAATCGAACTCAATGTGATTATTTTTTTTTTTTGCAAACAGGAAAAGAAGGAAGAATGTGTCATTGTCTTGTATAATAATTTCCATTCAATTTATGAATCGAGCTTTTATGTTTTTTCCACATTCTAACCGCTGACAGCACTCTTTAAATTATCCCAATCAACACATTTTTATTTCGTACATGATCTCTTCAAAATAATTAATGAATTTAAAAAATAAAATTGAAATTCACTATTTGAAGGCATGGCTGCTTGTGAATTCCATCGAATAATGCTCGAACATATATTTTAAGTCGATCTTTGGCTTGTCTTCATCGTATGCAAATTATTTCGCTATTAAGTTTCGAACAGAAATTGCAAACATAGCTTGAACATTGAATATTGAGCATTTAAGATTGTGAAGTGAAAGAAAAATCTTTTTCATTGCGCTTTCGCATTGCGAATGAATTCTAGAGCAACAGTGAAGCGAATTTTCTTTCACATTTAGATGCTTTTTTATTTATCCAACTCTTTTCTTTCTGACAATGCTCAGCTCAAAATATATGTGAAACAAAATGTTGATTTGTTAGACATTTTGTGCAATGCATGCTTTGGTAAAAAGGAAAATAAATAAACTCGAAGCGTATTTGCAAATAAATAAACTTGACACTTCATAACAGCAATTAAACTCCTCCGCTTTTAACGCTTCGTCGTGATGCTAACAAATCTTTTCAAAAAATGCTGAATAAAGTAGTGGAGACGACAGAATGAAGAACCTTGAATTGAAAGTGTATGATTATGAGATGTGAAGACAACACTCAGAGTAAAACAGAAAAAGAAATTATAATTTATGCGCCGACTATTCTCATTAATTAGCTCGTATATGAAGCATACGAGTTTGCACTTATTGTACATTAAAATATGACAAATGATGACTTATATTACTAATTCATTTTTTTGAAATGCAGCAGCTGCTGAAAAGACGAGTGCGCGCGCGCACGGGGGCAGCACTTAGCCACATATTTCTAAACTTCGACGGCAGTATTGAAAAGGAAAAATTAGCGCTTATGTACGAAATAGCAAAACGGAATTGCATGATTCCGATATTTCAACAAAACAACGAAAGCAATTAAGTTAAAATAACCAACAGTGAGATTCTTAAGTCACTTATAGGTCGATATTTTACTACTAACAAAGCACCAATAAAATTCATGAATAAAGTCTGTTTTATGTAGTGTCGTGATTTTTCAACAATGATGTGCTGCCCAAGCAATAATTTTTATGTTTAGCTATTGCTTTAGTGCGCGGCAAAATTTTCTTTTCACTGAGACTTTTTATTTACTGTCACAATTCTTCCAAGATACTCCACTGGTTTTCAATTGCATAGTAAGTAACTAAGCATTTGGCATGTCATTTTAATTAAAAATCATTTGAAATTCCATTCCTAGAACTCGCATTAAAGGTAAAAGCAACATACAGTGAAAAGAAATTGAAGATCGTTGTGGAGAAGCGTTGAAAAATTAAATCGAATTTGAGTGAATTATATTCAATTCAAAAAAGAAGGAATAGGAATAAGAGCAGAAAGTTAAAGTAGAAATACATTATATCGCTTGCTCTTCCTATACATTATACATTACATTTAATTTATTAGCTTATACTAGCGAAAGATGTAGACAGAGACAACAGACTAAAGCAGCACGAGATGGAGTAAGAAAAGGTTTCGGTTTGTACAGAAAAGAGAAGTCATGGTGGAAGAAAGAAAAATATTATGTTCAGATGATGATGCTGATGGCACGTGGGTGTAGGAGCAGCACAACAAAAAAAAAACAACAACAACAACGACGACCAAATGAACTCCACGGTTTGTCTTTCTTTCAGCTTCTTATTTATTTTTCTTTCGATCGCTCTTAGAATTGCTTCATTTTCTTTTCATTCGATACAATGTGTTGTGGTTTCTTCGAACTTCACCGTGAAAATTTATTTATTTATTCTCTCTTTTTTTGTCTTTTGATGCGATTTTTGCATAGAAAAACATCAACGAAGTTGTAGCATCGTGAAGAAATTAAAGACGCCGCAATTTATTTGAATTTTTTCTTCTTTTTGCTTTGGTCATCGGAATTTGACTTGCTTGAAGATGTTGAATTGAAAAAAGAAAGAGAAATAGTTCAATGTATAAAGTCTAATCACCACACTATTGATCTCTGATGTTCTTCTCGTATGACTTGTGCTTCATTTCTTTCGTTTCTTTGATTCTTTTCTTATTGAACACCACACCATGAATTAAATGAGAAAACATGCTCGAAGATAGTTTTATGGTAGAAGGCGAAGCGCAAAAATACAAAAAAAAAAAATAAATAAATAAAAATCTTCTACAATTTCATCTCATTCAAGTTGAATGTGGCAAGGCAATGGACATCGAGGCATGAGCGGAAAAACAACTCTCGACGAAGAGTTAAAGAAGAAAGTTTTTAATTACTTTTTGTAGTAGGTAAGTTTATTATCGGGTGCTGACTATAACTTTTTTCCTTTTTTGCACAATATGTACTTATACTAAATGGACGGACGGTCGGAAGAAGCGTCTATCAACAATGCAACTTATTTAGGAGTGAGTGAGTGAGTAAGTAAGTAAGTAAGTAAGTAAGTAATTACTGCTTACTTGACTTCTATCTACTTCAAATGAGTTATCGACTTGCTTAAAGTCATATAAATGAGTTAATGTGTGCTTCAACTCTGCTAATAAAAACCACCTCATGCACAAAAGTTCATTTCAACTTCAACAAGTTTAAAATAGGAGAAAGAGAGAGACAAGTAAAAGATTTCAATTCAAGTAGACGAAACGTGAAATAGTTTGTTCTCTGTCAAAGTTAATTAATACATTATAATGTTAAGCCGTGCTGATCGTTTCACAGAATTTGCCATGCTATGACATGAAGTGTTTCTTTTTGTCTTCATCCTCCTTCTTCACTAATCAGTTCATTACGACTTCTATTTTCTTTATAGGATTCCAGCTATGTTTAGTATTTATTTAAGTATGTATCTTGATGTTCATTCTCGAAGCGTAATTTGATTTTGTCGCGGTTGTTTTGTTAACATGACATTATTGAGTGCATTCTATAAATATTTAAACAGCTCTTTTTAGTCATTGCAATTTATTTTTCTCCGCTCTTTATTTTTCATTCATTGCATTCTTCCTTATACCATAAAGAATCTTTTTGTCTGGCTTTCAAGTTCGTTTTGATTTGCATAAATTTTCATACAAAAAAAAGCAAGCAAGCTTTTTGATTTCCGATCACCAAGTAATGGTGGCGAGTCTTTCTTTTCTCTTCTTCGTTAAAAATAGTTTTTCGTATGCTTCCTTAATGCTGTTGCCAATGCCAATAAATTTTTATGTTCAAGTGATACACGTGCCCTAATTATACCACAGTTGAAGTCTAATTTGTTGCTTCATTGTAACATGAACGAGAGGAGCAATTTGAAATGAAGAAGAAAAAGAGAGGGAGAAAAGCTAAGAATCAGAAGCAATGAACAAAAGTCAGCAAGATCAGCTCTATGCTCTGTGCCATGAGCTATAGTTTTCGTTATCATTGTATTGAGATCACCATGGACTTTAAAATTCCAATATGATGTTTCGTGCTCGTTTTTTTTTCGATTTCTATTTTTTTTCATTTCATACCTTGCATGTTTCATATTATAAAATATACAAAGATTAGCTTTTACAATAAAAAAATATGCTCAAACATATTTTCAATTTTATTGTCTTCTTGTTGACCGGCAAATATCGGAATAAGAAGAAATAAACACAAAGTTGTTTACCAATAAACTCAAAAGTTTGGATTTATTTTGAAGTGATGTTTCATATGTTGAAATTGGATTACACCTCGAGGCTTATTTGACGTAATATTTGAATATTACACATCTAAGAATTGTATTCGCTTCTTCTATTTATTTATAATTTCTTTAATGACAATATAAAAAAATATTGCAAGAAGCATCGACAAAGCTTTTGCTGGAATTTCTTTTGTTGCATTTCTTTCTTCATTGACTAAGTAGCTTAAGTAACAAGTATCGCGCAGACAGAAGGAGGATGAGCACAAGCTTGGTAGGCTTCGAACAATAAAATTATTGCACGATCTGGAGACCTTTTTGCATCTTTTTCGCTTAATCCTCCACTCGCCATTCTTCGCAGCTCTCATTTGCAAATCGTGTTATCATTAAGCAGCCAGGAATTCAATGAATGGCAATGGAAATAAATTCACCGCCAAGAAGCACATTTTTCTTATCGTAAATTGAAATAAATGTAACAGAAGAAAAATGATCTAATTTCGTTGGTCGTTTGGCATTTTTTTCTTCTTTCATTCTTAATCGACTGACTATTGTATGCAAGTACATGTGCATGGATGGTTTGTTTAATTAAAGAAAAGAAAAAAAAATGGAATGCAATGCAATAGTTAGAAGATTAAAACGAGATGAGAAGAGAAATATGTGCATGAGCATTAGGAAGCTTATTTGCAGCCATCGGCCATGTATGTGCCATAAAGGCAGACATAAAACCTGTGGCATAATCAGAAGAAAAGCAAAAAGAATGTTAAGTGTACACAATATTGTGTTAAGCTTTATTCGGTCATGATTAGACTTGGTGCTTGGACGATGATTTGTAATTAATCTGCTGTCTAACTATTGCAAACTTCCGGAAGCAAGCTTTAAGGAAAGAAACATAGAAAATTAAGTGCTTTTTGTGTTTGCAATTGCAATATCTAGTTAAAAGTGCCGCTCTCGTACGTATAAAGTTTGACATAAAAATGCAATTGCAAACAAGGCACAAGCGCGCTGTCACTCTCGTCTCAATTGATGGCAATAAACATCTGAGATGGATTTTTTAACGATTTACGAAAAGCTTATTTTGCATAAGTATGAAAAAGTTTGAAAATTAAAGGCGACTAACAAACTACTGAAAAAAGCAAAAATCAATTTTCCACTTGCAAACGGATGCTTATGCATGTTAAAGAAAGTTACGAGATCGTTTCGCGTTCAATTGAAATGTCATTTTTTATTGCTGTCGAGGTATTTCGGACGCGCGATAAATATTTCATAAACAGTTTGAAATTGTATGTCAAAAATAATTCAAAGTAAAGAAAACGAAACACTTCTTGGATTGCAAAAAATAAAAGCCTCAGCTTAGCTCAGCAACGAGCTGATGCTGACGAGTTTGGAGTTGATCCGTAGGCTGGAAAGTAAATAAAAATAATGTATGTAATTTAAACTGAAGCATAAAAATCTTTTTCTACTCCAGAGAGCATAATCTTTATTTCTGTGTTGCTGACGATACTTTAGCTTAGATGGCTTGTGCTTGTGGCTGACTATTCCATTTCTTTCTTTTTTTCGTGTTACGAATAATTGAAATAAACGATTTTTCATCTCATTTGCTTCATTATCATATTATTTTTAATCTAAATAATAAAAGCTATGCTCTGCTCTGCTTCTCGAATCTCGACAATAACGAAGAATTTTTTTTCAACTAAGAGCGTTGAGATTATAATTCGTTCATCATACATTTCTATTTCTTTCCTGCTTATCCTATCGACCTTTCTTCTGTTTCTGTTTTGCTCTTATTATTTCACTTCTTTCTCTTCTTCTTATGTTATTCGATGATCTTCATTCAAAGAAAATTATTATTATTAAAATATTTAGAATGTTATTATACTTATATTGGATTCCTTATTTTCCGTCTTTCATATTCCGTGTGATGTTAACGATTTACCTATGTCGCATTTCATTATTATAGACTTTCTCAATTTCCTGTTTTTAATAATTGAGGTTGAACTTTGTAAGTAACATCATTTATGTTCATCCCTAAAGCTCTGTTTTTTGTAACTCTTTTCTAATATTTAGAACAGAATACAAGACAAGCAATATTGATGATGTCAGATTATCATCATTTTACAGTTAGACATTTATCATTAAAAATTACATTTCCAAAGTCAAAGGCGAATATAGAAACAAGAGGCAGTGGATGAGTATTTACATAGAAAAGCTTATTTTTAAGATGATTTAATTCTTTTCTTTTTAAGTATTTCACTTTAATGAATTTTGGATGTCGGAAAACAATTTAAAAGGGAGAAGTGAGTAAAGAGACCGATAATGAAACGAGACATTGAAAAGACCTCTTGAATCGATAGATATCTTCTCTCAATTCCAACCTGTTCATCATCATAGCTTTTTACTTTAAATTTTTTTTTATATATTTTGCGCCATTGCAGACATCAAAACCATTTCAAACATCCCATCAATTACAACAGCTACTATCTATCTCATCTCATCTCCGCATTTTTCGATTGTTCAAAGCCGATTTTAAGCATATTTCGAAATGTTGTTTTGTATTTTAAAAACTCTGCGCTAGCTTCTCAAAGTAAACAGGAGAATGGAAAAAAATAAAAACAAATAAAGGAAAGCGAATTAACCTGTTAAAATTGATCTAACATGATGGCTCTTATGGCCTTTTATTGGATCGCGGCTTGTGCTCTGCCTCGAGATGAATCCAATCGATTTGAATAATAACTGATTGAAGTTCTGACTTGAAGTTGATCGTCAAGAAAGAAATGTCAGTGCAATCATTCACTAAAAGATAATTGCATTTGTGATCAAAGTGAATGAATAATGCTCTTGTTTTGATTGCATTTGGTAAAAGAAGAAGAAAAAAACAGCAAACTTGATTCGAACGACTAAAAAATGATTGCAACATTTCAGAGTCAAAGCTTCTACCTTAAAGCAATTTTGTCGATGCTTAATGATTTCGATGATTTGTAAAATAAGTGGCAGACATCTAACGGTTGATTTTCGAGCTTCTCCAGAAGAAGTGATTGCAAATATCCAAGGCAACATCAAAATTATTTCCTTGAGGGAATGATTTGTGGTCAATTTACAATTTAAATATTATGTGGAAAATGAAGAGCTTTTTTCTTCTTCTTCTTCTTTTTAATTTTTTAAATAAAAGCTCAAAAGGTCAGATCCTTTCAAGTTTAATTTCATATTTTAATGAAAATAACTTCTTCCTCAAATCGAATTACCTTTCCATCGCTTACTTAATTTATGTATTTATGCTTATTTACTGGTGTTTTTTTTTCCGCAACAGAATAAGACAGAAAACACAGAGCACGAGACGCTGCTTAAATAGTCAGTTAAATGAACAGAAAACTTAAATTCCCAAGTGATTGGAATCTGCAAAATGTGCAAATATGAGGAGCAATAATTTAAATAAATATGCAATTACTCATTTCATTATGCATATCGCTTCAGTTTTATCAACAATTTCTTCAATTCCTTTTCATACTTCGTGGAGACACGTTTGAGTTTATCTCTTCGTTATGCTTAAAAAGTAAGTATATTCAACATGTGGCATATTTGGTTGTATATTTTTCTTTATTGTTTATATTTTGAATCTTGCACGCGAATCTAAGTATCGCAAAGTCTCGAAGTAAGCAAATAAAAAAGGAAGTTAAAATGTGATTAAAATTAATTCAAATGATAAATCAAACGAAGCAGACTCAACGATGTTAAAGAAGCATTTGGTAACGAAATAAATATAATAAAATGAATGCCCACCCGCAATATCAATTATAAGAGAGTTTAGAAGAAGAAATCAAGCTGCTGCTGCTGTTGCTGCTTTCGCTATTGCTATTGATCTCATCGACATGCATTTATTCAATTTTTGATTTGCTAAAAGCTGAACGAATGTTTTTTCATGAAGAAAAACGATGAAATGTGCTCGTGCACTGATGATTCGACTTCGCTATTTTCAAGTGATACTACCAAGTCGATTTAGAAAATTATTTTCGCTAAAGTTTTAACTCTGAATAAAAATTAATGCAAATCCTAGTAGGAAAATCAAATAACAAGAGCGTATTAAAGTCGTGATTTCAAATGATTGATCACTTTTAAAATATTGAGAGTATCAATTCATATACCTACATTGAAGTACCGTGAGCGATATCATTTGCTGTTTTTATATTCTTCCACTGTTATTTAAAGAAATAATCGTAAATGTAATAAATCTAGTTTGCATATTAATGCCTTTGTGACAAATTCGACCGAAGCGAGAGAGAAAGAGAGAGAGAGAACGACCGAAACGAAGCATAAAAATAAATCACAATCGAGATTTTCCAACAGATCACGTTATTATTAACTTGTACTGAGCTTACTCGACTCGTACCTTCTTATGATTGTTGATATTCCCCACGACTTTCCATTTGGGTTTGATCGTTGATTGTGTCATGTTAAAATGAAACATTGTGACAAAGTATTTTAAGATTTCTGACCCTTTTTTCCAGAAGGATTGAGATGATTCCAGGAATATTCAGTGTGAATACATATTTCATCTATAAATTGATTCATAGAAAGATGTACTTAAGCAACAATATTTATCAATCGCTAACAAAGATATAATTAAGTTGAACTACTTTATTTTAATAGTTTCTGTTCACTCTTGTTTTACTTCTATAATCCTTCTGTTTTTAAATAGTAAATTGTTTTCAATAAGTCATCACTGCCTATACCATTAACTTCTGTTGCTTCACATATTTTATTTTATGTTTCTTCAGTAAAGTAAGAAAAGAAGCCGAAAGAAAGATGCCTTCGCCTTCACCTTCGCTCGTCATCATTTTTAAACAATATAAGAAAAAGACGAAAATTTGAAGTATTTATTTCGATGACTTGAAGCTTGTTTTCGTTCACCTTTTTCATAATTTATTATTCTACTGAAGTAGTCATTATGTGATTTCGGTGTTTCTTCACTTTGCATGAATCCCAAACTCAATCTTCTATTTCTGCCATCATATCGAGAGGCAGTTAAAGACGCTTGACTTGGCTCGTTACATTTAAATTGAATAAATGAATCGGCAAAGGAATTTTTTCTAAGAGAAGCGCTTTTTTCTTTTTCTCTTATTATTATTTATTAATTTAGTAGTTTCATCGTTAACTTCTTCTTTGTAATGTTAACTTTCAACTTTTCATCGCATGCCTACTTACTTATTTGCGCTTCTCATCTTCTTTGAGTCACTTTTATTATTACTTATTATTATTGATAGATTCATACATAAATTTTTATGCTTCTTCTACAACTATCTGGGTTTGGCAGTTGCGAGTGCGCGCAACTTAAGCATACCTAGGCAAGCAGTAACAGCAATCGAATCGAATAGTGAGAGAGAAAGATTTCATTAACTAGATTATATAATGCAGATAATTGTAACTAACCTATTTACGACCTCTCTCACTCTGAGATGTTACTGCTTGCTTTTCTTCAACTTAATCCATCTATAAAAGCTTCACCCTCGGCCCCGAAAACAAAAATTGAACATAATAAAAATAAAGTTATGCATATGTATGTGAACAGAAGATAGACGCGACGCGATATATTCGCGCGCAAACGAACAATAACATTAATCTCACTTGACATCTCACCATAACCCTGAACTATTTTGAAGTAACTATGAAATTGATGATCAATTATAATATTATATTTTTGTGTGTTCATTTCTCTTCAAGTAGATGATTAATTTGGTATGATAGTTTTTCAAGTGGGCACTTCTCTTTCACGGAGTGTTTGTGGCTATGCTTCTCCCCAAACAAGCAACCAAGCAAGCCGCGCGTAAGTATAATGGGCAATAATGGAATAATAGGAGAAAAGATGATTGGAGAGCAATAATCTACGAATTACCAGCGAAAAGAATGAAAGAAGGCGAATCATCATCAGCTTTAATAAAAGTCGTTTTGATGAAGAAAAGAAGAAGGTTTTGTGATCCAATTTTTCAAAAAGATTTTTGGTGTTGAACTATGATTACAATATTACAAATCAACAATGAAATATTTAATCACACACGTGTTATGCTTTAACATTTCAAGGTAATCAAAATTAAATTCGAAGAATTTTCTTTCATTGAAGTAAGAAAAAAATCTTATAATAAAATAATTTATTTCAATCTTTTATCATGTAATGGCAAACAAACTTCCCACACATTATGACAATCAATGGATGATGTGTGCGTACATGACTAAACATTGTAAATAAAACTAGTCTCAGAGCCTGTGGTCACATATTCATAACTTTTATAATCTTTTCATAAACGTTTATGTTGTACAAGCGAAAAGACTTTTAACATAGTTCTGTTGATTTATGGAATCAAATGATTAATAACGTCGTTCTCTTTTATTTTTGTCTCTGTATTATTTTTTTTGATGATTTATCAAACGACGAACATGATTCATAACTTAACATTAACAACGTTTTATGTTTTGAACTGTTGCGTACTTTTATGATTCTTTTTCTCCTTTCAAGTGCACTACGAATGATTTATCAGGAGAAAATGAAGAAATGAAAATGCGTTATCGATCGTTGATCGAACAGAAATTGCAATCTTGTAAACTGATGATCGTGATGCAACACGACGAATGAATGATGAAGTTTGTAGTTCTGCGAAAATGCCGACGATGTCCATATCGTGTTATATTGTGCAGTATTTTATCATTAGTGCGAGATTCGATGAGATGTGATTCATTAGACGATCTGAACATTCTCAGTAATTGGATGAAAATTATGTGCACGTAAGTCTGCCCATTGGATTTTTCCCAATCAACGAAAAAAAAAATGTTAAAATGAAGCAGTAAGAGAAACCAAAGTGGCGAGAAAACAGAGCACAAATGAGATAAAAAAAATTTCCAATATTACTATTTTTAGTGGATGCAACGCGTACCGGTTTCCTTCTGATCGCAAATAATAAATCATCATTAACGCGAAACTTTTTTTACTTCACTTTTAAAGTCTTCACATGGTCGGGTTCACCATAACGTTACTGACTCTTTTTTTTCCTTCAATTTTTGTTTAAGTGACTGTCCATTAATTGAAATTCCACGCGTCTAAATTAAGTGCAAGTATTTCATTTCTCCCCCTTCACACGCGAATTTCTCCCCACAGCTTCTTTTTCTTTCTGCTTAATCGCTTTTATGCAAACTGATGTTGTTATAACTGACGGCTTGACTTTTTCAATCTAAATATTTAACTATTCAAAGTTTCCATCTCAACGTGTCATAATTGTCAGCGATTATCAGCTTCTTCAACTGATGGACAGATTAAATGCATTGATTTTAATAAATCCTGAAATATTTCACTTTTATTTATTTCGCAATCGACAAGTGAATGTTATGCAGTAATGGCAGATGCAATGATGTGAACTTACTAATCAAAAAAAGAAAAAAAACTTGTAAATATTTATGACGCGTAACGACATGAAGTATAATTAATTTTTTGCAAAGAGACAGACACTTGAGATGTGAAAAAAATCAATAAATTTTCATATTGAATATTTAACAAGAGTAATTGAAAGTGTTATGTGTACATTCAGAACTAATGACACAGCAGCAACAGCAGCACAATCCCACACAACATGATCTATCATAGTCACCTTGATTCTTTATACTCAGAAGATTGCTAATTGAATATCTGAAAGCTTATCATTAACAACATCATCACAGTGCGTCTCTTGTATTACGTAAATCGCATTACATTCAAACATCACTTTGTGTTCGCTCGTTTACTTGCATTATCTTGCTTAGCACATTAAGTCTCGTGCGAATGAATGTAAATTAAAAGCAGACCATTAAGTCCTTGGACTCGTAAAGTCTTAGAGGTGCGCCTTAGCTACCATTCAATTGATATAAAACTCAAATTCATTTCTGAATCATCAAACTGAGCCACAAATTACTTTTCATAAAATAAAAATCATCTGAAAGCTTCATCTTCACAAAAATGGACAAATTGATCCATTTGCAAACCGATTTTAATTGCGATGTCTTTTTCTTCATCTTCAGTCTTATTTTATTAAGTAACTTTGATCAATCCCAGCAACTCTATAGAGGTTGATGTTGTGAGTCTGTTTTAATCGTTTAAAGGTGAATTAATTTAAAGCATTAAAAGTTCCTGTTTCAGGTTTTTTGTTACAATTAGCAAGATATCTGGACGAGAAAGTGGATTCAGCAAATATTTTTATAGAAAATGAAAGAAATGAAGATGAAGAAGAAGAAGAGAGAGAGAAGGAAAAAAGCGAACAAGAAACATGTTCATATAAAGCATTTGCTTTACATCTGGCGATACATCGTTCGTTGTAGAAGAAACAAAACCTACACAGTTCATTTTCACAAGGAGAAATATTGAAGTTAATCTCATCGAAGTGAACTCCAGTTTCGATTCAATTTATTTCCTTAAATTTTTAAAAGCACTTTTTGTTCGACATATTTTTAAACTCTCAATTGATGGTTGCAAAATGTTCTACAACTATCGTGGATTCTTTAAGTCTCACGATGGCATTTAGAAGCGAAATGTTTTAGTAAAGTAGCTTTGTTCAAAGTATTTCTATTAAAAATAACTCTCAAATCGAAGTTCAACCGAATTTACTAAGCTTAAAGAGAATGAAAAACAAAAATTAATAACCTGCGTCTTCTGGTACGAAGCTTAAATCAATCAATATGAAATCATTAGAGGAACCAAGGGAATCCAAAACTTGTCACGACTTCTACCGTCAGTCGGATTGACGTGAAGCAACTTTTCAATCTCTATTCAACGTTTTCTCTCTTCTGTTTCGTTTACCAATAATATTTCATTTGTTTCAAAAAAACTGCTACCGCTTAGATAGAGTCGGTGTATTCAAATTTCTATGTCATTACCTTTCAATCTTTCCATTTATATTACATATTTTCAGTGAAAAGATCTGTATTAAGTTTCAACAAAGTTGAAGAAGTGTGTGCTATGTTTGGCTGGCTGGGGTCAGTGAAGCTCTCACTTTAAGTATCCGCATAAATACTTACACCGATTTGACTTGACTTTGAAATCATTTTTCTTCATCAACATACATACGAATGCGAATGATTATTAATGAAGATCACGCTGTATGTTGTGCCTCCTAAACATCCATAATATTTTGTGGCAATCACAATTTTCCCGTTAATATTCGAAGTTAAAACTCTATCTTCGATCATATTAATAGTAGTCGTTCGGGTTAATGAAATATGATACTGGAGAGCAAGAAAAAGGCTTTAAGCTTTTTCGCAAGTAAATTTGTGGGGAATCAAAACTATCTTGGCGAAGAAAACGAAGAAGACATGAATAACAATTTCTCAAAATGAAACAGTTTCGAGGCATCGCGCAAGGAATGATGATGGATGAGTTGAAGTTGAAGTATCAAAAGACAATCCACCTTTATTTTTATTTTATTTTTTTTCTCTGCTCGCTTTTAGTTGAAACTCTTTTTTTTCTTTCGCATCTTCTGCTTCGTCTTGTCTCGTCTGCCTTTCCTGCCAAAAAAAGCAGCAGTTCATAAAAATGTATGTGTTTGAGATTCAAGATGAGATTCCAGCTCAAAAAATAATAAAAATAAAATAAAAACGCAAGTCCACAACTTCAAAAGTAGAAAAGCCGACTATTAAAATCTCGTGTTTTTATTCTCATTGTCTTTACTGATTATGGCAGAAGTGATGTCCCCAGATACTCCATAATAAATAAATAAATAAATAAATAAACAAATAAATGTTGCCCAATAAAAAAGAGATTCGCCGTGGTGTGATCTCGTTATTTAATGCTCAATTTACACTCTTCGACAGCCACCTCAAATATTTAGCATCACGACAATTAACACGAATGAAAGAAATAAGAAAAGAATGTTAAGATCGACCTGAGGATGATATGAGCAATGCGCCTCCTGTGTAATACAATACGATCCAGTGGCGAAACGAAAATAAAGCACAGTAGAAAGTTTATGACTTCGACGATCATTTTTCATAGTTTTCAGCTATGGTGAACAGAAGAAAGAAGCAAGAGATTAGTTTCTTTCATTCCTCCCTGCATGCGGCTTATTTTTCCTTCTTCTTCTTCCACCTCTTCATTTTTGATAAGTTATAGCTTCGTAATGATAAAGCAACATTTATCTATTGCTTTAGACCTAACAACATGCGAAATTGTCGTGTATTTATTGTTCACCGACTTTGTTTCAGAGGCATAAAAAGGAAGGGAAAATAAATGTGCTCAAGTTATTGTTGTAATCACATGTGTTTGTCTTTAATTGAAAAGCAAAGCATAAATAATATTGGAAAAAAATTGCTACCAGTGATAACGTAACATTAAGAAGTCGTTTTTCACATGGGAATTTGTAACAATAAAGAAGTCATGTTATTAATTAAATTAATGGAATTTGAAATAAAAAACAAATTCTTTTGATGTTACAGCAACACGCAAAGTTGAATTAGGCAAACATTAAACTGATCATGTATGTGGTGACTTGAAGCTTCACATGTTCACTTCATTGTTCTTCATTTCCGAAGACTTTAACTTATATTTGGACATTTGTTGAAATTCGATGTAAACTGGGACGAGAATCGCAACAATCGAATAGAAAATCAACGTATCAAAGAAGTTCGCAAATGTACACCAAAATCACATGACTAATGCTTTTTATGAATTCTCAATTCTCACATTATGATGATGACATCTCTCCCATGTCTTATTTATGACCTTTAAACAAACAGCTTGATGATAGCGAGCATGTTATACGGCCGTGTCACAATCTCAACTGGCGAGCATGGAAATACTTGATGCATTAGTCATAAATACTGCAGAAGAATGGTATTTGCTTCGAACAGCAAAAGCGTGCATGCGACCACTAACTTAGTTAGCTTTAAATAGTTTGGAAATAGCAGATGATGAATGGCTTTTGTATAAAAGATGTTGTCTAGGGTGCAACAACGAGAAAACTCAGTAAATTCAAGTAAGGAAAAAAATAGTAAAAAATAAAAACATGAAATCAATGGGAACAAATAACAAAAAACATTAAAACATTGTCTAAACAGAAGGTTTCATTGAGTAATGAAAAGAAGAACCTCTAGGTAGCCATTAATTTTAATTCGAAATAATTATAAATTTATTGTGAGATTATAATCTTGTTTCAACATTGCGATATGCAATAACCGATTGTTTATTAGACGTTGTTCCGTTTGGGGCGAGCTGCTGCAGAGGCTGATGCCGCTCTCGTGGGTTTTATTTTTGCAAATGTTGCACATTCGCCATCGCGGCCTAATCTGATATAGTCTACAATTATTATGGAAAAATTATGTTTTACTTATTTTGAGAGCAACTCGCTTCCTCTCAGCTCACAGCAGTTTGTGTACTTCAATTTTATCGCATTGCATTATAATTATAATTTTTCGCTGATTTCAATGAGGCTGCCGTTACCTTGCGATAGTTTCGAAATCGATTGAGCACTTTTCTTCTTGTGGTCGTCGCGGTCGCAAGATTTTGAAATTGAAAAATCTTTGCTCAAGTTTTTATTTCTTTCTTCACCATTCATCGACATTAGAAAATCAATCAAAGATTGAACAAGAAAAAAAAACATTAACGATTTCAAATAAATAAAAAAAAAGTTTATTGAAAGAACAAGAAAGAATTTGAAGTAATTAGAGCGTTAAAGTGTAAACTTTCAGTTTCATTTTTAAACTGATGATTGAGAACTGTTCTGTGGCTTAAAAGTGAAACTTTAAGTAAATCAAGGAAGGTTAATTTTAATAAAATCCAATGGAGATGAAAGACAAAAACAACAGCATAACATCTGTAATGTTAACAATCCCTTAATTGTAATCCTTATAAGCCTCATATGAACATGATTTAACACTTTGTGTAAATCATCAACAAAGCAAAGAAATTTTCAACCTTCGCATGTTTCGTGATGCTTGTAATTTGAGTCGGTCCACGAATAAGAATAACACTAAAAAAGTTCTCTGTTTGCACCGTCGTGAAATCAATAAAAATGTACTTTCTTTCAAAAAAGGCGAGAAGACTAAATAAAATATTTAAGCGAATGAATAAATAAGAAGACGAAATTTAATGATGTTCATCGTTCGTGTCTTTAATTGCACAGAAAATGAAAAGCCAACCAACGGTCGTCGTATCGAACGAGAAACTTGCAATCAATAAACTGATACACTTTTTAATTTTACTTTCAATTTGCACATGAAAAGATGAAGAAGAAAAAAAGAAAAAAAATGTCAGTGACGATTATTTCAATGCGCATTTCTCGTCTCGATCATCCAATAAATTATATTTTCCCTCTGATGACATTTGCCATTGCATTCATCGCTGTAAACGACATAAAATTCCTTCATTACCGATCTCAACGAAGGAAAGAAGAAATGAAGGTTATAAAAAGTTAGTTTGCGATTTCAATTTTCTATTTATTCCATTGCAAATGATGATATAATTGAAATAAGAAAAGAAGGAAAAAAATTGAACGTCATAAAAACAGTCGTATCCGAGACGATAGTTTCAAGTTACGCTTATGTAGATGACCTGGTTTCAGTTGTGTCAAACGACCTCATGAGTGACGATACCCATTTATTATCCTCTGCAATTATATCGCGGCAATCGTTGTGTTTTTTTTTTCTTCTTCTTTCTCATCGACATGGAAAGTGATAAAAAAATCTCTGCTGACGAATTCAGTTGTTGTCTTTGCTGTTGTCATTTTTTTTCGTGTTTCGTCGTAACTTTAAATGGAATGTAATCAAGTTTTCGCGTTGCTTCAGGCATTGAAGTCGTTTTATTTAAAAGTATAACATAGTCGCGAGCCGTTAAGCCGAAAGAGATATCTCCGAAGATATTTTATGTAATAATGAAATCACTTTTTACAGCTAAACTACAAATATTCAAATTAAAGTTTATTTTTCTTATTCTCCCTTTTACACGGCTGACATTGCTTCATATTAAATCGCTTAGAGCGCACAATGTCTAATGAGGCAGCTAGTGAGGTCCTGACAAAATCAATCGTTGTTACAACTTCATTTTACTTCTTCTTTCTTTCTTTCTTTCATGACTCTTTGCTATGAAAAAACATCACACAAATCATTCAAGTGTAAGTTTTTTTTTCTTTCTCTTCACATTTCTCAACGCTTTTATGCTGCATCGATATGAATTTAACACTTGAAATACAGCTAATTTATTCAGGTTTTCGATTTTTCTTGATCCAGTTTTTTCTCTCACCATCTTCAATGTGTGTTGTTTGCTTACAATCGAGGAAATAATCCCCGATGCGCCTCGTTACAATTTTTAATGCCATGACTTTAAACGAGAGCTCGTCGTTTGACGTTCTGCTTTTATTTTTCTTCTCTTCCTCTAAATTCTTATGCGATTCAAATAAATCAATATGTGCATCTGTGGTATGTAAATTGTAATATGAGAGATTGAAGCTTTTTTTCCTTTCTTTCATTTTTATTTTTCGTTGTTAGATGCCAATGTCTTCAATGCAATATCGCTTTTCTCTTTTACATATTTTAACTTGTGCAATTGTCGTTTGTCGCCCCGATTGAAAAGATTTTTTTCTCTCTCTCTCTCTCTCTCTCTTTGTTTAATGTTCATGATATTCTTGATATTAATGTGAATCTCCAATCAACTTGTGAAATAAATAATTCATTTTGGGGACGAATGCAATGAGTAAATACAAAGAGAGATTATAACGATGTTTTAAATTGGGAGTAAACTATTTCTAATTCCTACATACATTCATCTTCTTTCGCTTGTCGACTCGCCGGTTCATGCTACAAATTATATTTTAATTTTTAAAATATTTAGAAAGTTCATTCTTCGTGTCTTCTATCGTGAACATCCATTGAAGCGACAAAATGCGAGAAATTAGATCGCTTTACATTTCATGCTAATCAATAAATCTTTTTCCATGTTGTTGGTCATTAAGTGGAAGGTTACAAGTTTGTACTTGTACATGTACACATAAATTAATGTCTAGGAAATTTTTCTTTCTTTTGAAAATTTTTTATTTTTGTTGAAAATAAATTAAATGAATGCAAAAGTAAAGAAGAAGTTTCAACATTGCTTATCGGATTTAATTCTTCTCTTAAAGATCGTAAAACTCCGAACTGCTCTATTTGTCTTTAATTTCCATCGAAATTTTACGATAAAAAAGACGCTACTGAAAACTTTACGATCATTGCTTCGGCACCGATTAGTGTTAAACTAATTTTTCTCAGTTTTATTGAACTTAAAACTTTTTTATTATCTTGACTCACTTTCAGCTTGACGACGACGAAGTGCGACATGAAGAAGAAAATTTCGCAGTGCAAGTTTAATTTTTTTTTTTATTTCAAAGTGTTTTCTACTTTATAACATCCTCTAGTATAATAAACTATCAACTTTATGCTTTTATACTTCAACATAAAACAATTACAGCTTACCATAATGCATAATAATCATCATAATGAAATAAAACTTGCAGGCACTCAATTTATGTAAAAGCAAAACGTCACAGAAACATCGCAATATTTATAGAAAGTGATATCTTGGGGATGTTGGAAGCAGCTCACCAGAGAAGAAAAAAAATTGCTCACAGTTTCCTTTAATTTTCATCTGCTTCATAATAATTGAAATCATTTTCCAATTTTGCAACAACTTTCCATTTTTTTCCTCTCATCTTCGCGCTTGTTTTAAACACAGTTATAAAAATTAATGCGACTTTTCTTCTTCTTTTTTTTATAGCGACATCATCTGCTCTAAAATAAGAAAAACGAGATCATCTAATGACTTTAGCGATGCGCCTGCGTTTAAAATGCACAAGAGCAATGTTTTCTCAGCGGAACCGCTAGAAATTTTATATGCAGATTTGAAGACATCGCGAATGTCGCTTTTTTTACGTGACAGAGAAATTTTTTAACAGCAATGCATGGCAAGTGTAAAGTGTTTGACTTGAATTATATTTTTCTGGTCGTCAACATTTTAAGTTTGAATAGCGAGTGAAGAACTGACATCTTTTCCGATCTCATCACGAACACAATTCTTTTATTGAATCACCTTTTTCCATCATTTTAGTGTTTTATGTTTGACCGGAGGTCTACTGATGAAGGAATCACGATTTGATGCATGAATAAGAAATGTGCATTGTGCGAAAGACTCACGAAAATAATAAACGATTGACTTTCGCCGAAATAAAGAAAGAAAATCGATTCAAGAATCAATTGAATTCGCTTGATTGGAGAAGTACAAAAAAATAAAAATAACCATCTTTCGGTGAACTATAAAGTGATTGTTTCGCGGGCATCACAAAGATTGAAGCTCAAAATTTAAATATTTTTTGCTTATTTACGGTGTGCTATAAAACTTTCGATTTTCAATTGAACGACTTTAATATTGTCGATAATTTAAAAGAAAAAAAATTGATTTGCATTTTATTTTCGATTCATTTTCCTATCCAGATCGTCCAAAAGCGCAAGCTCAACTCTCAAGGGTACAATTTCATAATTTCGCATCTAAATATAATAAAAAAAAGAAGTTTTTTCGCATTGTTTGCTTTAAGGCAAGAAAAAATAATATTTATGATGTAATTTGAGCTGGCAACAACAACGGTAACACAATGTGCTCTTGGCCTTCTCATCATTAAGAATATAGGTCATCAAAATGCGAAGAAGATCTTTGCTTGCAGCTCACATTGCGATATCTAAATGTGAGAATGCTTTTTAATTGTCACCACATCGCTTAAGTGTTAAAAATGCAAAATGTTATTACTGTTGACTGCGTGTAAGATAATATCATGTCGGAAACTAAATCGCAAAGTCGCCATGAATTGCCATTGCTAAAAAGTTGTTGAGCTTTGTTCTTGCTCGTTGATTTTTTGTGTGTGAAGTTTACAAGCGAATCTACTTTTGTTTGTTGAGCCTCAAAAAAAACTCTTGCATCGATTATATTTGAATAACTTACTTCATGGTTTGATTAATTACATCAAATGTACCAGTGAATCAACCTCCGCAAGGAAACAAAAAGAATTCCACGCAACGTTAAAAGATGATTTTTCAAAATTACTTAAAAATGCTATTGAAATGTAAACAGACGATTAACAATAAAAAGATGTAGCTGAGCTTGTTTTTATAAAACATCTCGACTGAAAGATCCCACGCTTTACTGACGAGAGGCAACAACACACAAGATTCACTTTTCATTCTTTTTTTTGTTCAAACTGCGCACCGTCGCGTGTTGATTCATCTCGCGGAATTTGTTTTTCCCAGACAGTCTAAAGTGTAATTGTTTTTTATTCTTCTTCAAGAATTTGATTTGCTTCTTTAATCGTTACTATTTTAACACTTAAGGTTGCAGGTCTTAATGACATAATAACATTTAAACAATTACGCTTGTCTGTTGATTTCTCTTTTATTTGTCTTAAAAAGAGTTCAAATGCATTTTAGTGTACCAAAAAAGTGCATCTCGGAATATTTCAATTTCCCACAGTAATTTGCAAACATAGTTAGAAACTTGTTGCAACGTAAAGTTAAAATTTTCATTGAAATTTATGAAACAAAGGATGACACATAAAGAATCGTATTTAAACAGAAATATTAGGCTTGAGTCTGATTCATTCACAAAAAAACGGCTGCTGTTGTCTACTCTATCGATGCAATGTTCTTTCATGCCGCTGTTTGACCTGCCCATTAAGTAAGCTCATATAATATTCACAAGTAGCATAGCGTTGTAAATTTTCTTTCTATTTAAAAGACGTCGTTTTTATTGATTTCCATTTTTTGTTTTGCTTTAAACTTCTGTGGATGCTTGCAAGCTAACAAAAAACATTTCGCAATACTTATCGAACATCAATGAGTCATTTAAGTAGTAACAAAAATTGCTTGCTTATTTATTTGAAAAAAAGAATCTTCGAGCACGAGTCGAAACTGTTACATGTGATCTATTAAGCGCCTTATTGCAATCTTTAAAGCTGTTTTGTTCATTACCATTTAATTTTATTGATTATTTTTTAAAAGTGAATTGAGAGAAGAAATATTTATTACGTTCCGGGAATTTTTTGAAGGCTATCCCAAGGAACTTTTATCTTTTCGACTAGCTTTAAGACTTTTCATCTAAATCAATCAAATATTGAATTTCTGATTGGAGCAGCTTCAAAGTCATTCAACAATTTTTTTTTCTATGCGTAACTTGATACATTTGTCAGAGCGATGGAAGTGATTGCCGTTGGAATAATCTCAAATAGAGATGATGGAGCGAAAAATAAAAAGAAATAAGATTTAAAACTTACCCAATCATATCAATCAGTGCCGTGGTGAATCTCGTTAATAATCCCTTTTTATCGTTTACTTTGGCGAAACAAAAAAAATCTTCAATGTCTTCAAAGAAACAGTTGACCTCATCCAAAGCGAACCACACACTTTTTTCTGATAACTGAAAGTTAATTAAGTTTTTTTTTTACTTTTTATGTTTTTATACTCTTCGTCTTCTCCACGACAGATTTCTTGTAATCCTGGCACAATACAAGCACTTTTCCGCAACAATGATGAGTGATGATACAGTTTTTATTTTTCAGGGAGATTAAAGACGAGAAATAATGTTTTCGCGTTAATTTTAGTCGGAGATGATACGAGAAGAAATGTTATTTCGGATGTTATTTTTAAAAAGGAATAAAATTAAAGAAGTTAAAGTCATCTGAGCTGTTATTTTAATATTCTGCACTTTTTTCTTCTGCTTTTCTTCTCCACTGTTATATGACGTTGTTCATTTCTTCATTTAGTTCAATACATATATGGTCAGATATGCAAAAGTTATAGTTTCACTTCGTTTGCATTAAATGAAATGAAATTTATATTCTTGATGTATTAAATTTACTCTTTAAATTGCTTGTTGTTTTTTTTTTCTGCTCTTCAAAAAGTTAACACACAAAATATCATTTGCCTGTTTTTATTTATTTCTTTCTTTCCTTTTTTTCCTCAATTAAATTAATGTATCGACAGTAAAATAAATCTGAAAAATGATCTTAATGACAAAAATGTGTTGGACTTTGTTTAAAAAAATTCTTTTAGTTATCACGAGCACTTGCTTGCTTGTAAATTCATTTTTATTTTCATAGATTTTTATGCTTTTATTTGTCAATTAGATTTTTACGCTTTTCTATGTTTAGACACACTTTTCACTGGTAACAATAGAATTCTTGTTGTTTCTCGATTTAGTTTTAATTCTTTCTATTCACTCGTTTAAGTCTTTCGTATTATTATTTTTTCCAGTTTAATATTTTTGTTTCTAAATTTTATAACATAAAATCACAATTATTTTCTATGAAATCCTTAAATTAAATATCCTTGATCTGTTAGTTTTTTGAATAATCCTCGAACAATTTATTCACAATTATTATTCAGTGATGATTGTGATGAAGAGAAAATAATTCAAAGAAGTTTTTTTTTATTCTTCTCCGCAATCCGAGATGTGTAACATTCGAGTACCAAGTACAGAAAACCACTGAAATGTGATTTAATTTTCAGCATACTTTAGGTTGGACAGTTTGTTAACAACAATAATGTGAAGTAACAGCTTACGGTGTGAGCCTCTGCGGTGAGTGTATGTGAGTTGTTTTCATGAAAGAAAATAAAACATTGAGATTAAAGCTTAAGAAAAAGAGCAAATAAACGGAGCAGTTCACTTATACACCGTCAATTGTTGATGTAGTTTTCTTTATCCCAAGTAATTCTTCAAGTATTCAATTGAAGATATCGTTGCTCCTCTCGTCGTTTCTTTTCATCATCTCTCTTGAATTAATGCTTCTATGAATGTGTTTGTACAATCATTGATCATTGATTCTCTCTCTCGTGACTTAGTGTCTCGCGGATTTCTCGACTGATTGTAAGCAACGACGATTTTCATGAAAAATTCATTTAGAAATTTTATTTCGTATTAAATTTCAATCTTTCTGATTTTTTGTAAGACGAAATAAGCTTCAAGGATATCTTCAAAGACATTGAAAAATTTGTATATCCTTGACAATTTCTTTCTTATTCACAAGAAAAAAAAAGAAGGAGGAGAAGTAGTAAGACCTTCTGCTCAATGGGTGATCTAGTTTTAATTTTTTTTTTCATTATTGAACATTTTGATATTACTTCCCTTTGTCTCTTTTCTCAAACCGAATCGCAAACTAATGACGGTGGAAAGGGTCAATCATTCGCTCATTTTTCAAGTTTCTCTCTTTTAATCTTCTGGCTCGCGCGACTTCTCCATTCCCAGCTTGAAATCTTGACTTTTCTTTACAGTAGTCCAATGTTTTGACCAAGCTTGACTTTTCGTTTTCAATGAAATAATCGCAACTATATATACAACTAATATGTAAACATTTTCTTCATATGATGATATATTGTTACAATTTCCTCCTTCTTATGATAAGCATGAAATATATTTTCACATAAAAAGCACTTTGTCATAATCGCCGCTTTTTCTTCTTTCATTACCTTGACCAAAAGCCAACCGGAAGGCTATTATAAATGACTCCATAATGAAACGATAAAAAAAATGAAAAGCAAAAAGAGAATAAAATGCATGCAAATTTTTTATGAACATTTCAAGAAGTTTGTTGGGCGAATAACATAAACTAAAGCAAGTAAAACTGTTGTTATCTTGTATATAACAAGAATAAGGGAAAAGTCAGTTGGAAAGTCTAATAATTTTTCTAACGTCTATTTAAAGCGAAAAATATTTTATGTTTAATGTTGTTTTGCACAATTTCAGAATGCGCTTTTGTGGCTAGGCAGAGTCCGAAAATAGTACGTTCGTATCTTTTCTTAGTCAACTGCTGATACACCACACCTTCGAAGTACGAACGCGCGCCTCAAGAGAGAGAGAGAAGGTAAACGAGGAAACATTATTGGATCGGGACTTTTATAATTCTGTTTTTATTCACAATTAATTGACGATAACTTTTCAAGAGAAGAAAACATTTTCTTTTATACTTTTGCATCAAGTTTTGTTCGGTATGTTTGCTCTGTTATTTTATTCTTGCGCAAACCATTGTTTCCTTATGTGTATGCGATATAGTTGACTTTTATTATGACCGTTTTGAATATTTTTTTTCTTTCTCCTTTAAATAACTAAGACATGTTTTGATAATTTTTCCTCAAGTGAAGTGAGAAGAAAAATAAATGAATATCTAACATCACAACTAAAGCTATCAGGGTTTATCGAGTTGAAAGAAGGTTTCAATCTTTTTCTATGAAATTGAGAAGCTTCAAGGAATAAAAATTCAACTTCGAATTTGAAACATCAATCAAGAACAAAGTTCAGCTCGACATCCCTGAAGCATACACGGGCGTCTGTGTTTTCATCTTGATATCAGAGATCGACACGTACGCCCATGCCGCCGCACGATCCATGATACACATTAACACAACGTACTCTACTTTACTCAGTCATTTAGTTTTAAATATTTGCAAATAAAAATGTCCACCCACATCTTGACTCTTGCTTACCTTTTTCCTCGTCGCTTGCTATTAGACATACATAGATTATTTTCACTTTTTGTCCATTTGTTACGAAAGCCGAGCACACCGAAAGCAACATTTCCAAAGTGTATCGATCTCGTTTGAATACCATTTTTTCGTGTAAATAAAAAAAAGTTTCTCTAAAATGTTAGCCGCGCGCGCGAACGACGATTGGAGCAAATTTATTTAGAAAAACGTTATGCAAAAATAGCATCGAATGTAATCTATAAAAAACTTTATTTTTCTTTCTTTTACATAGACTTCTCCAGGAAGAGTTTTAGTTTAGACATTAAGTATCACAGACATAATATATTGTAGTCGGATATTTTTATGCACATAGCACTTGGTTGACTAATTGAAATTATTATCATTTTTCCACATTGATCGTATGACTAAAGATATGTTTGAGTTTGATACATAAATAACTTAGAAGTTTGTGTTGCAATCACAACTAAGATCATAAGATGCAATGTCAAGCTCATATTTTAATAACATTCTATTTACGGAACAAAATTATTGAACAATTTACTGATACAAATTAATGATGCTTATGATTCTGCCTGCTCTCGATTACTTAATGTACTCTTATGTTGTGTTGTTGTATTAAAAATAATCACAAATTAAGGTCATTTATGAAAAAAGATCTTTTATAATGATCTGCCATCATTTATCAACGTTGAAATATGTTGTGTGTGAAATTTGCATTTCAAGAAATCCTTGATATGATTACTCGCTTTGTGGAATATCAAAAGCATTGGCAGTCAATGAATAACTTGTTGTGTTATATGAAAATTGCTCATTTATTGGAAAATGAGAATATTAATATGTATCGAAGGCAGTGGTGGTGGCTGTTGCAGTATCATTGATAATGGTTTTGGAACATGTTTATATGCTACAACGTCACTGAGTTCTCTCTCCCTTCTGGTAAGATAAACCATTATGTATAAATTTATTACGTTCTGGTACAGTTTTAATGAACATGCTTTTGGCCATTTTTTACTCGCATTTTCCACTCATCGTTTAAAGAGAAATCCGAAAAAGGGTAACATGAAAAGTCATTTGAAATGACAAAATTATGTAAATTGTGATCTCGATAAATTTGATAATATTAATAATAATAATCAAGATACTTTGTTTCTTTTCATATTAAAAGGTATAATTTTGGGGGTAAAAAGAAGACGTAAAATCATCTACAAAAAATAAATAAAGAAAAAAATGAAGTTGCGTAAAGATTTTGTTGGCAAGTGAAAGCGTTTGAAATTCTCGGAAGTGATCAGCTACGATCTGGAGATTATTTAGTTAAAGAAATCTTCTTACCATTTCAAATGCGCTTTTAAACGGTTTTTCTGACGATTTCAATTTTTTTTTGTTGTTCGTAGAGCACGGATTCGCTGTCTTATGTAAATTTCTTTTTTTTTGACTATCTACTCCAATTTCCATCAATACGACGCGCAATGCAATTTCGAGCGTGAAAAACAGAAAGCGAAAATGATGACAAAAGCGATCAAAATTCGATCGAAAGTGTGATGTAAAAGGCATAAAAATGAATGAAGCGAAAAGAGTTTCTGTGATATTTTTTTTCGTTGCCTTCCATCACTGAGCGCTTGTTTAAATTGATTCAATTAAACTGTTCAGTTGAAGTCGAAGGAAAAAACTCGACGCAATGATGCCAAAATTCACTCGTGAATGAATCGATCGGTGTGACTTTTCCCTCCCGAAAAAAGAAATATAAAAATATCTTCGCATAACAAAGTCAATTTTCTTCTCAAAAAAGAAAATAAATTTCTGTGGCTCACCCATAAATTATTTAATCAATTATTTCGTCTTGATCTAATTAACAGTTCAATAAAAAACAAGACTTTCGATTTCAGTAATAATCAGGTTTTGTACCCGCAAACGCTTCGTAAGAAAAAGCGAAATGAAATCTTAATAATGAAAAGAAAATATTTAAATTTCTTAAACTAAATCAACTGAAGTCAAAGAAAAAATGTTCTTATCTCCATTACTTATAAGAAGTGCCTTAAGCAAACAACTTCCCACAATAAAAAGTTTCACCAAAAAATAAGAATAAGAAAAAGAGTGCAAGTATCGTTGATCAGAACATTTTTTACGATCATCAGTTAACTTTAATTCGAAGTTATTTGTTACAATTTCCTCATGCAGTGAAGTTTCTTTCATTGCATCGTACGAAATGTTAATGATAAGAAATCAACGACATTACGTTAAACGTTTCACTTTCGTTTTACCGTCAGCAGTTATACTGCTACTCTGCCATCGACTCTTCATACGTTACTTCGTCTTGGGAGAAGCAAAACTAGAGCACTTTTTTATTTTCATGTGCTCTGTGCCAACCAACTACCGCTTGTGGACTTTGTGAAAGTGATTCTTTTTTAATTTAACGAGACGGTTGATTTTTTTTTCTCTTCCAACTTCTCCTTCGCTTTAATGTTGTGAAACTAAATCAGTTTCATATGACGCGATAAAGTTTTTCCATATCAATGATTTTCAAAGTTGTTTCTCTTTTCTCATTTACTTACTAGTCGATGAAGTTTTATCTTAACGTTAAAGCTTGAATTTGAAATATTTAACCTGGTGATATTGTGTGGAAGCAACTTGCATATTATGTGTGAATGAATTTGATTTTAATATCTGCTTTAATAATTTAATGTCATCACACGAAACTTGAATGCGTTTGAACGGATTCGAACAGCTGTCAATTAAATTCTAATTAAATGAATCGCTTGCATATGTAAAGTCACAAGAAAATAACCGGCACTTTATATTCCGATAACTGCTTTTTCGTGTAATTAAAAAATTACAAGAACACTTGCAAAGAAACATTTTTCCGTCACTCACTCAATAAGGTAAAGAGTGTAAAATAAGTATTTAAATAATTTAATTAGCATTTATTTTATTGTCGAAGCCGATAGACAACTCAAGCCAAGAAGTCTCATTGAATAAAAGTCTTAAAAAATTGTGTGTTCAATTACATTCTACTGATATTTATTTATATGTTAATTTAGTAGAAAAAATGAGACTCGAGAAAAGCAAAATTAATTTTATAACTCAACTCGACAAATTAATTTTTTTATGGATTAGGAAAAAAAGCGTGTCTGATACCAATTGCAATCAATTTACTAGTCGCTATAAAACAGTGAAAAAGTCATCTCTAAACAGCCTAATCCCCATTGGTGGAATATGAAATGAAGAAGGCGGGCATCTTCAAAAGTAAATTAGCTTTAATTATGTATACACTTGTGAGCGCTGTGTATTCTCTCTATCAAATATCGTCATGGATTTTTTTTGTATGTTTGAATTGTAGAGAAAAAATAGAGAAACACAATGTGGAGACGTGAATGGAGAACTGTAGATGGAGGGAGAGAGAACGACACGAAAAAAAAGTAAAATAAAATTCAATTATTGAAGATGATAAATTTTTCGTTCGACGACATTTTAACAGTTGAGCGATGATTTTGTTATGTTAGTTAAGCAAACAACCTACATAGTCTCTCTAAAAGACTTCGATTGTATTTCAAACTTGACTTTCGTTATGAATAATAAATAAAATATCATTTCAACTCTCACAAAGGCAGGCAAAAACTGTCAAAATTCATTTATAGTTGTGTTACTGCTTTTAACAACTTTATAACATTTAAAAGTTAGAAATAAAATATTTTTCACACCAGTTCATTAATTGAGATATTCCGAAGTTTAAGGATTAATTTAAACATAATTTATGATGTTATGAACGACATTTAAAGCTTTTTTCTAACGCGATACTTATATATTCAGAGCGATTGCAAACGAGAGCTTAAACATATTATGCAACATCTTTTAATTACCTTCCATCTTTTATATGCATCGCTTCAATTTAAATTGCAAGCCTTGTTATCATTAATTTATATGAATAAATACGTGATGCAATTTCACTATTCACCGAGGCAAATTAACCTGATGGTGAAGAAACTGGAGTAGTATTTTTTTTACTACCAGCTACTGCATGTTGCTTTGTACAAACGATTTTCATGTGAAAGTGATTATTTATAGATCGGGCAGATAAATACGGCGATGCATCAAAGTGTTGTGAAACTAAATCAATTAAACGATTAAAGTTTACTATTAACTATTTTTTAATCTTCGAATGATTTTTTTTTTCCTTTGCTGTGGAATTTGAAAACATGAAACTTGGAAACTTAAGTTAAACATCTTGCTGTGCTTCTCTCAATCTTCTTTGTTTTCATTGTCTTCTTTATTTTTGAATCGTGTTGTGGGCCCTCAAACTGAACCACTAAAAAATATTTCGCTTTTGAAAGTTGGATATCACAACAGTTAATTGCCTGTAGTTGGATGTTAAATGAGCGAATTGCATTGTTGAACTTAACATATCTGAGTAAATATGTTGAAGGTTTAACATTGCACATCATAAGATGTTTAGTGGTACAATATGTCAAGCTGTGCATCGGAACGAACCTTCGCTTTAAAATATTTTGATTAAATATTAATTCAAAATGAATTATAAATAAATAAAGAAAATGTTGAAATGATGAATGTTGAAGCGATAACATGAACAAGAAAGGAAAATGAAAGCGCAAGTCACGTAATGATTGCGATGATGGCAATAAGAATTGACATCAATTAATTCTGTTTGTGAGCGACTTCTAGCATGAGAACCAACTCTCCACACAGTCTGCATAATGTCTGGGGCTCGATTCATGAACATTCCACGAAATGACAAAACTAAAGTTGATTTTAATTTCTTTTTATGACTTGAGAATCATTTACATTCAGCTTGTTTGCTTTTATTTTTCGATTGCAATCACATTTTTTTTGTCTTTCGTGGTTTCATGTTGCAGAAGCTCCAACTTTATATGAATTCTTGATATCGTGGATACATTAAAGGAAAAAGAAAGAGTTTCTGTTGAAGTCAGTCGATGACCAGAAAATCTGCTCCCGATTTTCAGGGTAAGTTCAATGATTACGTCTTTAGACTCTTAATGAAGCGGAATTAAAGTTAAAAGTCGTTTGACAAACTTTACAAACAAATTTACTTGACTTTTGTATATTTTTATGAAATGAACAAAAAAAAAGAGCAAAATAAGAAATGAGAAAAATATTTAAATAATCTTGATAAAGCAATGAAATTTACATTTAAGAAAATATAATGGGAAAACGAGTGATAAGGAGATAAAAGAAGTATAACGAATAATTTAATGCACTCGCTGTTACGGTGAGCTACGGTAGCTTGACTCTACCTCTAGAAAATGCCAATGATAAGGAAAAACTGCTTTCTTTATTTCATCCATTGAAAATTGAAATTCCACTTCTTTTTTAACAAGAAATGAGATATTGAAGATCATCATTGGCAGGTTAATGGACTACATGATAGCTTTTCGCTTCAACAATGTCTTGCATAAAGTTTCTGCTCGCGCGCTCGCCATCAAACGACTTGCAATTTAAAGTTATTGAAGTAATTTCACTAAAGTGCCTCGTAGCATCATTTACTCCACAAAAATAAAAAAAAACTTTGCATTGCTAAAGCAATAGTTGGAAATTATTTCAAAACGATTTTGTGTGACGCCTCGTCACGACCTCGGCACGTGCTACAACTATTCTTCAATAGAAATCAAATCGCATCCATGATACCCAGGAATTATTTAGATCGAAAGAAATGAGTCTTTCATCTCGCTTGTTTGAATATCGTTTATCATCAGCATCAATTTTTATATTTTTCTATTCAAAAGTTGAATCGATATTGCGAAAGAAAAAGCGTGGACTATGAACTTTAAATGAGAATAAAAAAAATCATCAGGCAACTAGAAAATGGAAAATAAATTTCATGCTTCGTCGAATTACGTTATTGATCTCTTTTAAATTTGTTCCTAGGTCAATTATGGTTGTTTTGGTAATGAATTTTCCTGCACTCGTCCAAGAGACGTGCTAATTTGTTGTGATTTTGAACAGTTCATAGATAATTTTAAATTGATTACTTCGTTAAAGAATGAAATCTTCTTAAGAAACTAAAACCATGATTCAATGACAAGTGGGTGGAGGAATTCTTAAAGTATTTTTATTGTTTCGTGCTATTTAGCTTCACCATCAATTAAGCAGTTTGATCTCCCGAAATTGTTACGGAACCTTGATAAATAAAATTCGTTCAATCTTCGCGCCGTAAACAAGCTCAACAACAAACAGATATCGACAAAAGACTTTGAACAAGATATAAAGAGAGAAGAAAAAAAAATCCCAATTTAATCGAATGGCAACCTCATTTGTTGCCTTCAACGGTTACGCTATGCTATTTTCTGTAATTAAAAATTGTAAATGCACACAAAAATTTGAATCGATTAAAATCTTTTATATATCAGTAAATAGTTTACGGCTGGTTAAGAGCCAACAATACAAGAGTTGAAAAATATTTTTTAATTATTTATGTATAACATGTTGGGTTGTTATGGGCTTTAAATAAGTTTGTTAAAACTTTACTTGAGATGATTTATTTATTATTTTAGCATCTAAATAAATAAGACTTAAACTTTTAACCTCGCCATCGTCACAGTCTAATGTTTTCATTTTCTTGTTCCAATTTAGCTTATTAAGCATGCTGATTGTTGTTTGCAAATTTTCATGTGAGGCATAATAAGAAAAAGAAATATTTTTAAAAGGTGTTGTCAATAAATTAACACCCTGATGATTCATTTGCAACTTTTATTTTTGCCCACTGGTCGATATTTTATTTTACTTTTCTTGTTTTCCTCTATGATCTCGAACAATTGTTTAATTTGCATATTTTATAACTATTCATGCTGCATGGCGTCTAAAGCGCATAAGCGCTCATTGATTCAAGACAGAGGCTATTGCAAAAATTTTAAATAATCGATTGCATAACTGGTGAGATGAAAATTCATTTCGTTCTGCTTGATTCGCGCTCTTTATGTTATTTTTTTTCTGTTTAGAAATGAAGTTCAATGAGTGTTTAGCAAACGGAATTTAATTTAATTGAGTTAACGAAGTAAAGGATCTCGCAATTTTATAGATCGCTTTTGAATTCTTTTGAAGGTGTAACTAATTCTTGAAAAAATGTGAATGCAGTTCATTGTCACCTGATTTTATTTTTCTGATTAAAACCATTGTGACTACTTCGGTTAAAGGTTGGATGCAAATAAGCACTGCTAATACTCGTAGTAGCAGCCATAATTCATTTTCGAAATGATATAAATTTCCATTATGATACTCACTTACAACTTGTAAGCTCGCTCCATTAATATCTCGCACAACACAAATGGCTTGTAATGTTCAGTCGATTTATGAAATGAAGTGTCTGTAACGCTTCTAATCATCTCGTCTGTTGGATGCAAGCTTGGAACATGTTTTACTATCTTCAAGCAACAGAAACAAAAACTAAATGTTTTCAAAATCATCGAGAAAATACTTTTTATGTGCTTTAGTGAACGAGTCGGGCTAACGATTTATTTATTGAAAGTAAAGTAAAGTTCATGTTTGTAAAAATATCTGCTTTATTATCAAAAGGAGCGAACTAAGTGTTGTCTGATTTGCTTTCGGGGGGAGCTTGCACCACCACACAATTTATTGAACATTAATGATTTAAAGAGCTTTATTAAACAAGAAAAAAAATTTTTTTTTTTACTTCTTTCATAACTACAACAGCAGCAGCGACAAGCACGAATAGAGCTCCACAAACGACCAGCTGCCTCAAATTGCAATTGAAGATTTGTTACCGATATGAAAGTAAACTCCTATAGACACACCTTATATCTTTAAGGCGAACACAGAAACAACAAGAGGGATTTAAAGCTAATGGACAGTGGCGTTCAATTACAATAAACGACGACGTTTATGTTTTAGTCCAATATCAGTTTTTTTTGTTCGCTTCTTTTATATGTCCGCCACTCAAAACAATAAACAACGACAGTCGTCTTATGATACGTTTGCATAATTCTCCCGCACACTATTGTTGCCACAGTTTTCAATATAAATAATTCCGGAATCATTTTGATAAAAAAAATACTCATAAATTCATATCATTGTTGAATAATTAATAATAGCGAAGAATTTATACGACCAACATATTTCTTTTCTTCACTTTTAAGAAAACGAGTAAGCAAATAAAAACCAGTTGATGTAAGTTAGGTGGGTTGGTTGGTTGGCTGGTTGGCTCGTACTGTTGCTGGTTGTGAATCAGATCGACAAAAATCCTGTCCACCTGATTTATCTCTCATTTGTTACAGTTTTTTTAATGCACTTATGAAATCATTATCGCAGATAGATTGAGAAACATCATCGAATTACGATCGCGCGCGATAACATTAAATATCTCGCATTTTAATTTCTAATGAGATGAAAGTTATACATTCTTCAATCGTGCATAATGTTCACAATGCAATGAGCTGTAATTGTGCAACACAAAGCTCATCTATATTCCAATTCTCTTCAATGATAATTGAGTCATTTTTTAATCCATATTGGACAATTGAAGGCTTTTTATTTTATTTTCTCTTCTTAAACGAAGACTTGAAATCGGCAACAATGGCAGAAGAAAGAAACTTGCACAAGAATGTGTCAAACTTTATTTTGCATTGTATGCTGAATCAATTTTACTTCGTTTTGATAAAAGTCTTTTGGATGTTATGCTTTGCCCATAACAAGCGCTAGAGGAGAAAATGTTAATCGTTATAGTTTTTCGAAAGCATTGTACATATCTGCTTATGCTCAAAGCATCATAATGAAGATATTTTTCTTCTGGCTGCATTTTGTTTTTTGAAAATTGCGATAAAGTGGATAATCATAATGAAGCCAACAAAACAGTCACAAATCTATGTGCGCCTGCCAATGATATTTACGATTATTTCTAAACTATTGTTCGCAATTGTCAAACGAATATAAGAAAGAAAGAGAAAGAATGAGACGAAGGAGAAATATATTGTTAAATGTCGCGCATATGCAAAACTTCTCTCTTAATATTATTGAGTCAATATCGCGAAGGTCTAATTAGCATAAAAGACAATAGACGGACGAAGAATTTATTTACTTATTGATCATTTGACTCGTTTGTGTGTTCTGCTTTCAACCCGCGTTTTGAGCAGCATGCGACAATTGATTGAAGTTGTGGCAAAGAAAAACATCAGAAACATCATGTTCTTCAACAGATCTTTTTGTCAGACTGGCAAGTGATGGAATATCAATCTTCGCTTGTTACTCTGTTGCTGGTTATTAATTTTTTTAAGAAGAATGTATTGGAGATAAAGATGGCAATTAAAAATTTGCTAGAAGTTTTATGCTAAATAAGTAATTATTTTAAATTATCTGCATAAAATTAATATCCAGTGCAGTGTCTGCAGTGAAATTTTACAATTATTGCTTAAGTAGAATTTTTTTTCTGATTACAATGAAAACATGACATTCACTTGTAAGATTTCAAAAATAAATTAAAATATAAAGACAACAGCTAAGTTTCCCTTCTCCTTAATATAGGTACTTTAAGCTTTTTTATCTCATTTAAAACTTCCGATTTTCGCCAATAAGCTACTTAAGTCGCACGCAATTCTCATTCGACCCCGAACCGCCTATCAAATTTATATGGACTCCGCAACATTTATTGACATTGGTAAACAGGAACTCATGTATTTCACGCCATATGCAAACGACATATACACAACTAATTATTATGTAAATAAGAGAAGTCACTTGGGGCAAAGGCTTTATTACATTTTTGTATAAGATTTCTATTATAGATGAAGAAATATTTAACTTTTTTTTGCGGTGAATCATTCCTTTCTTTTCGTACAAGCCATTCATTGAAGTCAAAGCTCAGAGTTTTCGAAGATGTGTAACACAATAAAGAACAGAAAAGGAATAACAAGACATATGATTTATTTTAAAGACTCGGCTTTTTAATAAGCCTTTATATTACGTTTTTGTGCTGTGGCTTGTGATGTTGTGGCATCTAAATCATACTGAGCTCGAGCGAAAGCCTCTAACCATCTTTCTTTGACAAAGAGACTGATCGACAAAATAATAAAAAGCTCGTTCACTTTATTGTCACTTATCCAATTTATATTATGCGGCTTAGATAGAGCTCGGAATATTCCTAATTCGAAACTAACAGAGAGTGACTTCAAAAAGATGTATTTGGAAGTTTAAAAAAATTCCATAACTGTAACTTTCTTTATGGCAATTTTTATTCATTCAAAAAGAGTTTTTCTTGCTTTAGCGCGTCGTTGTATATGAGAAGAATTTTTCTTGCAATCGAGATTGGCTTTGGAATGTTAACATAAGTATCAAAGTAACGTTTATAAAAAATTTTCAACTTCATCAACTAATGAGACATTTAAAAATTTAATGAGAAAAGTCAAGAACATCTAAGGTAAGTCAAATGTTTGAAAGATTTCCAATTCAGAATACTTTTCTACTTTTAAAAAGTTTTTTTCATCCCTCAGTGAAACAAAATTAGGAATTTGGGAGAAAACAACTAAATTATGCCAATCTGTAAATGTTCTTCGAAATGTCATGACAATCATAGTCATCGTCTACCAATCTCATGTGCCAGACCATGTACAAGTCCTTGCCAAATGAAACCAATATGTCCAGTTGATAATTTTCGATACAGAGATACTTGCTGCAGTTGTAACAAATGTAGCCCAAAATCTTGTTGTGAATTGAAAAGAAAATCATGCTGCAAACCAAAAAGTCCTTGTCGTGTTATCGAATGTAAACCATCTTGTTCCAAAAGTTGTTGTTCTCAGAAGAAGAGCGGTAGACCGGGGATACTGAGAAAAGGGAAGACTTTTGGAAAGCCTATCGTATCAAAAACATGTTGTACACAATCTTGTGCTACTAAAAGAAGTAACAGCTGCGGTCCATCAAATTGTTGTTCAAAACTTAATCAAAGGGTTTGTTATCGATGTCAAAAATTCGAATGCATATGCTAATAGATAAAAGAATTCTTAAACACATCGGCAGTTAATTAAAAGAAACTAAATAAAATTAAATAACTTGTTGAGTATCAACATAAATGTTTAAGTTTTTCATTTCTTTGTCACACAATGTGTGTCCATTTTCCAGGCTTGTTTACTTGTTACGTTACAAGAATATTTACTTATTCAATGGAAATTATTCAGAGGCCTCATAAAACAAGGTAACGTAACACTCTTTGATCCATCTCTAAACAATCGGAAATTGTTATGTAAAAGTAAAGTCAAGTCAGGCTCTGGAAGAGACGACAAAGACAAAGACAACAGAAAATGGCAATTATTTCTTTATCACACGACTAAAAGAGAAATGTTAACGCGCTTGACAGATTTCATTATCCAATGGTCACATAAAAGCGCGCGCTTTAATCATAGAGCACCCGAATGACTAACAACGATTTTCTTTCGATTCAATTTAATTGCCTTCGTATATCGTTAAAATTGAAATGTGAATTGTAGGAGCGCAAGCTACTCGCAAATTGTCAGATTTCTCAGATGGCTTTTGATGTTTCAATTCCGAAATTGAGTTTTTTTTCTCTCTCTTTATTTCTTTCTTTTTTCATTCAATTTACAGCGCCAAATATGTCATGCGAGCTCTGTTTTTCTTTTTGTTCTTTACACAACAAACTATAATTTGATTTAGAGTGAAAATAAAGCAGCAAACTGAAAGAGGTAAGTCATTGAAACGAGCTGCTGCTGTTGCTGCAAATCACTACTTCCACCGATTATTGACTCTTTGTTTGCCAGTCAAATTGTTGAGTAGATTATCATCTTGTGTCTGTGATGCCAACTCTTCATCAATCAACAACTCAAAGTTTCCTAAATTCTCAGCATTTGGAATTTTATTCCATCGAACACTGAAATGAAATTTCTTTCTTCATATTTTCAAAATAATTAGCCAAACACAAGGAAGAAGAAAATATTGCATTAATTGATTGTCTTTCTTGCTTGTCTTTGGGTTGTTTTTGTTTCATCTTCTTACTCTGGAATGCCTTCGGGCGGCAGCACTACATTCAAAATATTGTCGATCAATTTGTACTTTAAGATTCTGTCATTAACCGTAGTTGATGTAAGCGACGGCGAAGCATTTACCTCCACCAGCCAAGCTTTTAAATTGTTATCAATAATTATGTCATAACCATAACACTCGAAACAGTGACGATCGCTTGCCATAACAGGTTGAACAGCTTTCAATGAATGTACAATCAACCAATTGATGCCACCAAAGAGCTTTTCTGTCACTTTTTTCCCTTTCGTGCCCTCCAAAAACAACTTCAAATTCTGTACGCTCCATTTGCCACCGTGCAAGTTGTTGTATTCACCCTTGAAAACGAAAACGAACGCATATCGAAAACGTTGTATGTAATGAGATCAATTTGAATTGGTAATGAAGTTAATTTTAAGAGGGGGAAGACGAATGATTGTTTAACTTACGCCGGTTTTTTGAACTGACACATTCGTAAGATGAACGTACATGTTGTCTAACTCGGTGACACTCGTGTCGTATTTAACCGTACAAAAACGACAAAATCCCAGCTTAAAAAGATAAGCTTTTAGTGGACGAAATGATGTCACCAGCACATACAAACGGAGGTCGAACTTTTTGCCGCCGATCAGAAGTGGATTATCGATATATCGAGAGATAACGTAACTTTCCTTACCAATCGCTGGATGGAATGGAGTTTTCGCTTCACGTGACCAACGTTTAAGCTTACTGAGTTTATTAATTAAGAAAATTCCAGCTCCTTGTGATTTTCCAGTTGGTTTCATAATCCAAGTGCTTTGAGTGTTCTTTCGATATTCTTCCACAAACATGTTGTAATCTAAATTTAAGTTTTAAATTAAAAATAAACTTTGCTTAATATAAATTAAGTAAAATTTCCACCTGCAGGAAGTACAAATGTTACTGGAATAAAGTCAAGATACAAATATTTAACTCCATGCATTCCACCATCATTAACTTTCTCAGCCAATGGACTTCCATCACGTTCCAAATCCTTTCGATATCTTTTAATGTTTTTTACGAGTAAATCTTTACGAGATAACTCATAATGATTGGGGAAATGATTGATGAGTCTAAAATATGATTTTTATAAGTTTAAAATTGATGGAGTGATGAGTTTGCTTACTGATTATCATGCATTCGATATCCTGAATCAACACTGAAAATATTTCTGCATGTTTGAGTGCCAGCCCAATAAAAATTCCAATCATCATCAGCAGTGACTTGTGACCATCCTCGCTTTTCAAAGTTGTTTAATAAAACCGATTTATCCATATCAGAACAGAAACAAATTTTAAGGCGTTGATTCTCATTGTGAATGATTCTAAAATATGCAATTGACGATGAATTGAATGTGGGAGTGAAATTTAAATAAATTCTCGTGACTTTTACCTGCCGTACAACGACGATAGACTTGCTGGAGTCATTCGTTTGCTGTTATCGTGAGCCATTTTATGTCTAAAAAAATTTAAAAATGCCCTTAAAGAAATCAACAAGATAAACACTTTTTCACGGTTGTCAAGGAAATTTTTAAAATGTTTAATAAATTTCCCGGGAAACGTAAAACAAACAGCAAACATTGAATTGCATTCCGCTAAAGAATATTTACATGAAAAAATTAATGTCACTATGGAGATGCAGTTTCAATCAATTAGCGATCCGCCCAGACCTTCATTAACGTCATGGAATCAATTGAACTCGCTTTTCATTCAAAGCGTAAAGACAACAAAAGGCAAGAGCAAGTAAACAAGCGTGGAGAACGTGAAAGATAGGCTCGAAGAAATATCAGTGAAAAAGCAATTTTAAATGTAGACATTAATTAAAACTTAATACTCATAAATGGTTATTTAAATTGCAGTATTCAATCGCAATAAGGCTTCAAATGCGTTACCGCTTTAGGACAAAACACATTTGAAATCATTAAGCTACGCTTTTCTACACTAAACTCAACTTGAATGCATTTTTCAAAAACATTTATTCTCGTGCAATCTTCTCGACTTGCTTCATAGACCAATACAAAATGAAAAATATATGCAAATTGAAATATGGAGCAATTGTTAAGCGCTGGGAGATAAACATTGTACAAAAGAGGTAAAGATGCTTGTATAAGAATGGTTATGGTTATGGCCGAAGAAAAATCGTCTGGTAAGGAGAAGAAAATATTTTTTGTTTTGTTTTCTTTTGAGAGCAGCTCTTCTCTTTATTTGTAAGGCAATAATTTATATTTAACACGAACAGTTTGAACTATGATCACAATAAGGAAACTACAATACTCATAAATAATAAAAGTAGTCGAGATTGTGACCAAAGAAATCGAATAAAAACTTTTTTTAAGGAAACGAAATTTTTCTTTGCTTTGTTTTGATGAAAAACGGTAAAAGAAAGACGAAAAACTTTTTTTCGGATTTCTAAAGTACAATAAGAGCTCAAACAGTTTTCGGAGCATTCTTCTATACTTCCTAATTCTTCCTACTTTAAAGTGCTCAAAGAGACAATTATGGGAATATCCTCAAGTAAGGTTTAACTAACAATTCATACAAAGTGTTTTGAGGCCTTCAGCAAATATTTTGGTATTATTACTTATAGAAAAATATTTAAAGTGTGATAATGGTTGAGATATTATTTATTGATCACGACGATGATATCGATAGTTAAAGTGAGATAAGCTCGACTCTTAACATGCCTATTGTCAACTATTGTATGCATTTTTTAAAGCGATATTCATATCGATAAATTTATGACTGTACGAGAGAGCATTGTTTAAATAGTTTTCCTTTATTAAGTTATATTTCTTTGTGAAATGTATTACCATTGTGCATGACTTATCGTCATCTTAAGTGGTTAAATATCTTTATAATTTCACTTTATTCAGCACTTGAATGTGGTTTTTTGATTTGTTATCTTGACATAATTTCCAACTTATTTAATTCCCTTTTAACCTCTCAGAAGCTTCTGTTTCGACTTTCAAATTAATGCATTGATAATAAATTTTCTTTATGCAAAATATTCAGAATTGAGTTCACTTTATTAATTAATGTAGATCAGAGAATTACTCTTCATTGAGTACTCACAAATTATGTTAATTTTTCTATCCAATCACATGCTTGTTAGATAATTAAGTTTCAAGTACATCAACAGTATTTTTCGATATGCATTAATTCAGGTTACATCATTCTCAGCTTCATGTGATCGTTCAACGAGCTTTTAAAAATCTCATTTTCACTCCCTTTTCATTTCGCGACTCTAGACTTCAAATGGGCTGCTTAATTTGCATAATTATGATGTATCAACGAAAATATTACAGCAATTCTGATTTGCGAACTTGTGGTGTGCAATGTTAACAACATCGCTTAGGATTTTTTTAGTTCTCTCTTTCGTCTTCGTTAATTGAAATTTCTCATGAAATGGGCTCAACGACGTTGATACCGTCAACTCAATGTTTATCGGCGTTTGCAACACATTTTGTGTGATTGAGTTTTGCGGTCGTAAAGAGCTTACATAAATCAACGCTGAGTAATCTTAGACATGCAAAATACGAACACAGGATGTTCACTTAGTGTTGTTGAAATCTTTAATTTTATGGCGGTAAAAAACATCTATTAGCAGCAATGTTGAGCTCGCTCATCATTAGATGATTTAGCAGTTAAATGGCATTGACGTAAAGGGAATGAGTAAAGTTTATGTGATGAATTTCATGAATATTTTGTACAAAATTCGGGAGAAATGAAATTGTTTTAGGAGTTTTAGTTAGAAATCACCACTACTTAGATTGCAATGCAAATTATAATTATTTGATGTTGTTTCGCTAAAATTCTTCGAGCATTCAGCTTAAGAAATGCCAAGTCATAAACATAAATATTTTTAATATTCACCAGAGGCAGTCAGAATGTTCATTATATGCATCAATAAAAATCAGCAGAAGTAGAAATGTAAGCTAATGCTCGATTAATAGTAATCAGTACTATAAAATGTGATTTATATTTTTAATTACAGTATAACTTCCACCACCAGTGATTTAACTGTTAAACTTCGAGCATTAGGTGAATAGGAAGTGATTCGTAATCACAAAAGAAAAAAAATTGATGCAAAATATCTGCATAAATAAATATTTACGTATTTATACCCATAAATAGGAAAAAAATGGTCACTAAATCACTCGAACGAATGCAAACTTTCATTTCGTTTTGTCAAGCGATGCTGAAAATTTTCAGTCTATATGATTTTATGATTTTAATTATTAGATTATTAAGATTTGCATTGAAGAATGTGTCATTGAGTGGCCTTTTATATGTACATACATATATATTTTTTTATCTCACCTAAACTCAATCTAAAGCTTTGAGCTTAGCACATTCACGAGATCAGACTTGTTGGCCTTCCGTCCAATAGCCTCAGTTCACCCCAAGCAGAGAAGCATATTATATATTGTGGGAGGATTTTATGTAACGTCGAGTAACGTCTAATCATATTCAATCGATGTTGTATTAGCAATTCTTATAGTCTACCATTATCGATCGTATTCGAACATTATTTCTTTTTATTGCTCCATTTTTCACTCTAGTTAGCTTAACTCGCTTTCGCGTCGTCTAATTATCAGTCAAACATCGGGAAATTTAAGTTTGAAAGAAAACCTTGATCGAAAAATAATAATAAAATAATCATGTTTCCATTCAACATCTGTGTCAAAGCAAGAAACCATTGGATTGCACATTAATGTTAATGTTGCTAAGCCATATTTTGGGATCCAAATGAAACACTCTGATATGATATGTATATGAATTTGTCTCAATATCCAGCTCTAGATTATAATTATCATTTCATATAAATGATATTACTCAATATCGAATGTTGCACCGTCGTTTGTTACATATAAAATGAATTAAAAAGGAGAGAGAGAAAGAAGGTCTGCAAACTATTACATTCTTCTGATGCGAATATGACGAGCGGGAGTGGTGTGGCTATATTGTTAAAGGTGTGGTTCACCTCTAGCCGTTGTTATTATATTTTCAGACTTTGCTATTTTATAATTCGTATTTGATAACGGTATCCAAGGTTGTTTGCGAATGTCGAAAACGTAAAGATCATAAGCATGAGCAACTAGAACTAAGAACAAGTATCTGTTGCTGTTGTTTATCTTTTGTTTATTGTAGTCTTCCATTGGTTAAGTAGCTGGGTGATTGGTTTAAGTCAGAGGTGCTTAACTGCTTATTCATGATATAATTAAATTTTTTTTTTATCATTCATCTTAATCTTTACATTTTTATTCTTTTAATTTGTAATGTTGAAAATGGTTAATCACCACTGCAAGCATAAAAATTGCTTCATCTCGTTATTTACCTTTTGTTAATGGTTTTTCTGTTGCCTTGTTTGATTGCTTTTTTCTCCCCGAAAGGAAACTGTGTTACTGAAAAGTGAACACAAGAAGTGTTGCGACAAAAGAATTGTTTAACCTGCTAGAGGGCGATGAATGATAAGAATCTATTAAAACCAATAAACATTAGCGAGACACATTGTTCAAGTAAATCAGTTCAATCATGATACGTTCCCAGAACCATAAGTCATTTCATTGTTTTTGTTCATACTTAGAACTTATACCGAAATATCAACAAGCATAAATTATCAAAGAATTTAATTGCTTCTACATTTTTTATCATGAACTTAGCTCCTTCTTTTCATAAAGTAGAGACTAGAAATTGTTCGCGTGAACAAAGTGAAGCGAACAACAAAAAAAAGTCACTATTAACCTATAGCGTTCAATTAATTAATAAATTAACTTGCTAGTTTGAGCGCCCGAAAATCAGAGCTCATGGAGCGTGCCTCACTTTCCTATCCGGGAGCTGATTTCAATCAAAACGAGTTTTTTTTCTATCTTTATATTAATACTGGAGGCAAATTACAATATTTTAAATACTTATAATTTGTGTTTTATCTTTTTGCATGATTTTGTCAGTGCTAAGATCTCCAAGAAAGAAATCATTTTGCAATGCTTAGATTTCAGCATAAAGAAAATCAGACTTTTAATACAATTTAAGTCCCGTGCAAAAGCCATGTAAGGCATCATATATCATTTAACTTCTTTTCGTCGATGCAGCAGCCTATCCTGTGTATTATCTATTTGCAAAGCTCTTGATTCATACACTCGGACTTGTGGAGAGACAGACTAGGAATAAGAAAAAAAATGAAGAAAAAAAGCGAAAGCAAATGCGACTTTAATCGAAATCCAGTTCTTGGGCTTGTAAGACTGTTGGCAAGTTTAATTCATTTATTTAGGAGGAGAAAAGTACACGATCATGTCCGAAACATGAAAGACATAAAGAGGGAGAGCAATGCATACACCAGACATCGACATGTAATATTTAAAATACGATTTATTGCTGCTCTTCAAAATTAAAAGCGAAATTATTTGTCTAATGCCGACATCAAATAAATAAATAAAAAAGTTTCCGCAAAACATGAAAAATTACCTCTTCATATTCCTTCTCGTACATTATGTCGAAAGCGCTTTTAGTCCGGATTTGTTTTCTGCTGCTTCAACAAAATTGATTGTTGGGATTGCGACTTACTGCTTAACTGCATTTCTTTGTCAGTAATTAAACGAAATCTGTTGACCACCGACTGGTAAATCTCTTGATATTTTTCAGCGATGTACAAGTAACTGAACCATTAATTTACTTTCAACAGTCGCTGTTAACACACACTTAATGTTTTCTGATCCTTTAAATAACTGAGTAATGAAAATTATTTAAATTCTTTCATTTTGATTCGTCGCTTTCATCTGCAATGTCTGTGGCTTTCGTCTGAACTTTTGCTCGTCGTCTGTTTCAACTAGATTTATATGCATTTTCAATTTACCATGTAGCAATACTTTTTGTTACCTTCTCATATTTGATTTATTGATTTTATATGAGGAGACCACCAAGGGAAATGTGGAAAAGTAACAGAATCTACTTTTTTTTATACTTTCTCATCGAATCATAGTCGCAAATGTGTTGTTTGATGTTCGCCTATCGCCCGCGATTTCGACCTCAATGGAGCTCATAATTTACGGACTTATAATTATTTATTAAAAATCGTCTTGACATCGGGATGACGTTTTGAAATTAGAAAATATTGCTTTATAGCTTGCAATTTTTTTCTTTCTTTCTTTCATCTTCTATATATAAAGATATGCAAATCAAGGAAATAAGAGACGCTTTGAAGCCAAATGAATGAATGAATGAATGGAAATGTTGATGATGACGATGATGATGAAANATACTGGAGGCAAATTACAATATTTTAAATACTTATAATTTGTGTTTTATCTTTTTGCATGATTTTGTCAGTGCTAAGATCTCCAAGAAAGAAATCATTTTGCAATGCTTAGATTTCAGCATAAAGAAAATCAGACTTTTAATACAATTTAAGTCCCGTGCAAAAGCCATGTAAGGCATCATATATCATTTAACTTCTTTTCGTCGATGCAGCAGCCTATCCTGTGTATTATCTATTTGCAAAGCTCTTGATTCATACACTCGGACTTGTGGAGAGACAGACTAGGAATAAGAAAAAAAATGCGACTTTAAAGATATGCAAATCAAGGAAATAAGAGACGCTTTGAAGCCAAATGAATGAATGAATGAATGGAAATGTTGATGATGACGATGATGATGAAATAAGAAAAAAGAAAGAAATGAAATAATGCTAAATTGAGCACACTTTTCGATCTCCACCGTATATTTAAAGAGGAAACCTCTCTTTTCATCACCTCGAGGACATCACGCTTTTATTGATCTATGATGAACCTTAGTTGCAAATTCTCCAGCGCTATTTATTAGAAGGCATTACGCCAATCTCACTGCTTTCTTGCTTCAACAGCTATGCATCTGGGTGCTTTGGGTAATTGTTTAGATGCCAATGAGAGTGGCTTCTAACGAAGAGAGAAATAAAGTTGAATAGAAACTATAAAGAAGGAAAATTGGTGAATAGATCTCTGAAGCCGAAGCCTGTCATTACAGATTTTCAAAGCCTAAAGACATTGGGATGGAAGTAAATGGCAGTTAGTGGTAGAGATAAAAGAGAAGGAAAAAATATGGAGCAGAAAAAGGCAAGACAAGGCACTTCGTGAAACTTCCAAATTCAAGTAACAAGTACAAATTAAACAGAAGAAAGAATCTGAATGAGTGAATGTCATGCCAAAATCGATTCTCATGATAGTGAATAAAGTTTTATCAATGCAAAATGACAGAACGACCGCGAAAGATATTTTTAAGATGTGTTATTATCTGTTTTGACAGTTTAAAGTACGTTGATGGTGTGTTGTTTCGAAATCACGCGATAACACACGATCCAGATTCGATAATAACAGTTTTTATGATGCCATGGAATCTTTGTCTTATATTTAAAAATCTTCTGTTGTTTTTTATGACAAGTTTCGCTTGGCTGATTCGCTTTCTGTAGATCTTAATTAAGCGGTTTGGTGCGAAAAAGAGCTTAATGAATTAAATTGTGGTGAAGAGAGTTGATTTTAAGGAGATCGTAAACTTATAGCTTATATTATTTTGTTTCTTCAATACTTATTCCGAAAGAACTTTATGACTTTTGGTAACTATAAAAATCCTTTCAAACCCGATTTTTTTATGTAAAACTTTTAACGTCAAAAATGTACAAATTAAGACAACAGATTTTACGCAATTTCAGCTAAAACTAAATTACAGACATTTGAGAAATGTGCTTTTAAAAAATGCTTATTGAAATGACACGCTTCGACTAAAAATCTTATCCGTTGCTTCGCATTTTATTCGCCTCGTTATGGACCCAATTTAAGAAATTTCAAATTGGAGAGTACAAAAAAAAAGTCACAAGTCATCTTTAGATTGAAAGCGATTTTCTCCACCTTTTTGAATGGAGCAAACACACAAACTTGGTTATAAGATGAAATGAGATGAAAAAATATTTTAATATGTAAATTTTTTTGATTTTGTTTTTTTCATCTTAAATATGAAATAAATCAAAACTGGTTTGATCATGTTGGTTAGTGCTTCTTATATGATGATATTACTCTAACTTCAAATACCTTTTAATATCATTCAAAACTGATCAGTAAAATGTAAAATTATAATCCAAAGACTGTAACATGAAGAAGAAACAAAAAAAAAATTAAAGAGAGATGAATCGAATAACAAATTACAAAAGAGAAACATTGACATACTCGAAAAACGAGACAATCCATCAAATCACTTGAGCTCGCATTTTGTGTTTTGCGCTCGTCTCCTGGAATGTGAGAAGCTCGAATAAAGTCATTTGAAGGTTGATAAAAATCAGGGGAATTACTCATACTAAATGTTAAGATGTTATCGATATTAACCACACGAAGTTCATTTTATAAATATTTGAAGTCCCTGCTAATTAAGAATACTGATTTGTTCTTCAAACAAACCAATTTCGTTGAAGAATCAAAACGAAACAAGTTTGAAAGTCAAACATTTAGAATTGAATCTTCTCGATCTTCTTATTTTACCACCTTCGTGTGTCAATGTCTAACAACGTCGTCGTCACTTCACTTGCTCGTTTCACCTTCTCATTAATGTTGTCGTCAACAACGTACAATTTCTTAAGTTAAGACAACTTAAGTGTTGAACATTCTCGACTTAAAATTTCTTAATTTTCCTTGTTGCGTGATGATGGACAGTTTAAATATAATTCTTTAATCAGAGAAACTCGAATGAAAGTAACGACAATGAAGTTAAAATAATGAGCTTATGCAAATATTTCCTCCCTTCAAAATATCTACTTAAGAAAAATAAAAAGCATTTCTGAAATCGGCATTCAGTTCAATTTTCCCCCTGAAGATGATCGCCTGTAAAGGAAAACATTATTTATGATACGTTGACTCCAACAAAACATCATCATACACATTGTACAATGCATTATTACATCTTTAAAAGAACATAACTTTCATTTTCAATTTGGTGATCGTTCATTATGCTCTTTCCGAGATCAGGTGAAGGAAAATGTATTCAATAATTTCCCTTTGTTTGTTCCTACAAGGCATGTCAGAGCGAGTCTTATCTGAGTGAATAAGACGCAAATTAAATGATATACATTTTCTCAAACAACGTGAAACAAAAACTCTCTTCGCTTTGAACAGAAAAGTACACAATAAATTACGCGGAACTCAATTTCGCTCGCCATCGGCGACACCCAATATGAGGGAAGAGATTTTCAATGATCATAAATTTCTTGAATTATCATCGACATCAGTAATTTATTGAACACTTATTTCGTCAGGCTTTTGGTTAGCTTGTGATGCATTATTTCAATTTGCTGTGGCCATCCGGAGTCATATATTATTTTTAATTGAAACCCATACCCATCGATGATATGAAATTATGTTCTCCATCATCTGCAGCCGAATCTTTTTCGCTTTTTTTTCCTCGGTCCTCACGACGACATGAAGTTTATCTTTCAACGATTTCTTTTCGAGCGATAACTTAATCTCGTTTGTTTGGATCGCAGATTCGTTGCAAATATGATGAACGAAAATCTCCATCAATTTGCCTAATAAAAGTGTCACAATTTGTAATAAATTTATCCAAAAGATATTTAATTATTATTATTGCAGCATTGATTGAAATATTTCCAAGCTCTTTTCAAGAGAATTTGTTGACAATTTCTTTTACTTGTTCCTCGTTCACTTTTGAGATTTGTGGTGCTGGTGGTGCAATCAGAAAAGAATTTTTTTTTTCGTTCGTCTTACTTTTCTCAACGAGCTACATAAATAATTTCTCAGTAATTCAGTCAAGCGATAAGATACTTTTTTATTATTATTTTCTTGTAGAATACGTAAGACCGAATCTGAGGTTGGATAAAGCGAAGAGCGACACGGAAAAATAAATATACACGAAACATAATAAAAATTTGGCGACCTGTGTGAGATTAAGTGAAAATAAACAAGAGGACTGTTTAATCGGAATGTTTTATTGCCTGGTTCTCTTTACGTAATTTCATGCATGGGATAACGGTCTTTCAATGGGAGTCAAGGATCTTCATCTCCCTGCTCGCATTAAGGTCTTGTTTGCTGCTATTTTATGGTATTTTCTGTTCATGTAAAGAAATTTTATTTCGATTTGGAATGCTTTGGTTCGGATAAGCTTCAGATGATTTGCCTGTTCATTTGCTTCTTTCCCTCATTTAAAGTCATAAAATATTTTAGTGACTTAATAAATGGAAATATAAATATGATCAGGCTTAATTTGTATCATTTTGAAGAGAAGACTTGTTCGAAAGTGTAGCTTGAGGCAAAAGGAAACTGTTCTCAACTTTCAGTATAATTGTTAATACGAAAATAATTCACTTGAAATTTCGACCAATTTCAGATGTTTAAGGTCTTGTTGAAGTCCTCCACCCTTTCTTAAAATAATTATTTCTATGAACGAACACACTCATTGAGTAAACAGCGATAAAACTTTCCACGATAAACAACCAATAAAATTTTACTCTGAAAATCATAATAATTTGCTTCTTCTTTGGACATAACATTAAATATTTATTCATTTTATTGAACCTCATTGTACTTAAATTAAATTTTCTCTCGCGCATAAAATATGAGCGAGATAATAATAAATATTTTGATAGCCAAAAAACTGATCAATTACATGGTAAGTCAAATGCTTGAACATCTGAGTGATTAAATATTAAAGGCAATAAATATTTATAGATGCAAATGATGGTTGTTAGAGCAACGCAAAATGTATGAAAAAAGATGAAAACAAATATTTACAAATACAAAATTTGAAGAAATATGCAAAAGCTTGCATCTCATTGTAAACAAACGATGTCGTGAAAATCAAAATTTGGGTTTGCATGACAAAAAGCTGCTTGGTAGACGGAAAAGATGATCGTAATTTTATAAACAAGTAGTAAATAATATTTTTTTCGGTATGTGTTTAAGACCCATTGTGTTTTGACATTTAAATCAAGAAAGAAGAGATTTTTACCCACGATTTTCATACGAAATTATATGGTCTCTCTTGAGCTTCTCATAATTGATGGTTTCGCGTTTCTAAGACTTCACCAGAAATTTATATTATTTTCGGGAGAGTTCAACGTACAGTCGTGTAATTTGAGGCACGAGAATATGATTGAAGTCATGAATTATTTTCTTTTGAATTAAATGGAAACCGTTTTTGAAGTTGATCGATAAGAAAGTGATTTAATCTTTAAGATTAATGTGAAGCTTCTTCTTCTTATTTTTCTTCTTCCTCTACTGCTGTACAGAATGCAATCTCATCAAAGAATATTCTATCATTAATCACAACGCAAAGCTATTATTGTTGTAAAATGTGCAATGAAAATACTTTTTTTTATAAAATAAAAATAAAAAGTTAAAAAGTGCCGTGCTGAAGTGCACATAACTTTCGCACTTTATGAAGCGTGAATAATTTTTCAGCAGCTTGAAAATTATTACAAGACACATGAATTTTGTAAGCGGCAGAGATATCGATGAGCATTAAGACAAGTCAATGAACGCTATATTGATGGATTCATAAATAATTTTTTTTTATTTCAATATCACCAGAAGACAAAAAATAATTCAGCAACGCATTGCGGCTTCTTTGATAATCGTGCACAGGAAAAGTTTTTTTTTTTGGGTAAAAGAAAGTGCATCGTGACGAGGACGACGTGAATTGAGAGAAAGAAAGATAACACATTGATTGTAACGAATGAATTCAGTTTTATTCTGTCCTCAATTATAATCACATAACAGCATGTTGAAAGTCATTGAAAACAATTGCAAATCGAAGATTTCGATGCTTTTAAAATTCGAATTTTATTTTTATTTTTCAACTGAAAAAGGAACACAAAACAAATGTAGCTTTTATGACCTTGCAATTGCCCTCACCGCGATCCGAAAGAAATTACGGGAAAGTGCTTCAATGTGTTGTTATTTCTTCTTTTGTTGATTTTTTTGCCTTTAATTTAATGTTTGCCTTTTAATCAAGTTAAGATTTCCGATGAAGTACATACTGAGAAACTCTTTACGATGACCAAGCAATGTTTAATCGTTCTTCGACGAATATCCCATCGAGGATCTTTCTTGTATATTATGATCAGTCAACAGCTCAATAGCGATCATTACAAGATCTCATTCAACTGGAAACAGAACTGAAGTGTCGTTGCTCATCAACATTTAATATTTCGTTATACCATGACATCGAATTTTTTGACATATTTATAAGGCGAAGATTTCATTACATCAATTAATTCGATAATTTTCGAATTAAAAAACTAATTGAAGCCGACATCTTTTATTTACTTTAATTTTTAATAATAAATTATGAATATAAATCAAAGATCCAATATTAAATATAAATTACTTACAGTAAGGATCGAATCTGTCATTTCTCTTTTCGTCGTGCATGCTAAGAAACTGCAGTTCATTGCAGTTATAAAATAAATTTCTTTTCATGTCGTAAACTTTTTCAGTTGATCTCAACTTTGTTCGTTAATTCTTGGAAGAAATAGAGAAATTTCAAGTAGAAAATTGCGATGAGATGCACAATTAAAAGCCAATATTCGAAATACTTTATTGTCATCATTTATGATCAGTGCGCACCAATTTAAAGTGCTCTTTTAAATTGACCATCGAATATCATTTTTCTCTTTAATTATTTGCGTCGTTGTGTTTCATATGTACACGCATCACTCTTCATGCTTTCCACAATCTCTTTTTCCCTTACCTCATCAAAATTGAAAAATTATACATTCGGTAGAGATGACAGTTTTTGCTTCGTTATTTTCTGGGTGGACTTTTATTCTTTTTAATATGCAAATAAAAGTTTCATGTTGAGTGGAGAAAGAAATAAAGAAATACCTGACAAGGAGAGAAAGGGGAGAATCATTAAAATTGGATCGAATATGATTCATATGACGCAATGACTTCCGCACACAAGACGTTGGTAATTGTAGCTTTAAGGATGATTTTTATTCCACTTTCATAATTTGATTAGCAAATTATGTGCTTTTGGTGAAAAGAGAAACATTGATGTAAATTTAACTGAGCGTTATGCAATTATTAAATGAATGCTTGACGTATTATTTTGAGAATCTTATCATCGCAAAGAAAGTGCCGAAGTCTCATCTTACACTTTTGTTTTAAAAACTCAGTTTATAATGATTGAATATATCGAAATTCTCCATCAGGGTATTCATTAAACGAGTTGTAAAAATACAAAATAAAAATGATGAAATAAAAAACCATAAGAGATGCTTTCATTTATAATGAAAAGCTTGCGGTAATTATTAAATTTATCATTTAAAGTTTTTCGCAATAAAACAGTCTCTCCATGTCGAGATGGAGAATCAACTGCGAGACAGACGAAGTACTAAAAAACTCCAAAGACAGAAGATAAATTGCCCTTAATGATACAGATATTTTAAAGAGATATTTATTTATGTAAGGTTCCAAAAAAGGCTTCACTACAACATTTTATCCTCCTTCTTTAATTCTTCTCAACCAAACATCAATTCATTAAATGACGAGATTCGAATTATTTAAATTTTTAATCGTCGATATTTTCACTTTTTTTATATGCATAAATCCATTTGTCTTTATTTCCTCTTCAAGATGTTTGTACGTCATCAGCAATGTCCGAAAAATATTTCGCACCTTTTGCAATGTCTTTTCTCCTCCGTTCGATCTTGTAAATTATGTGAAGTTGAAATTTTACATTTTTTATTTTCCTCTTACGGAATTATTCACGAAAGACGAACCTGCTTTGCGATTATGATCAACATGATGTTGAACTTTTTACAACTTCCTTTGAGCTTTATCGGGTTTGACCGCTTCTTTTTGTCATTTTAAATAAATTTATTATCAATTTATCTCTACAACTTTCTTCTCACTGTTCGTGCTATCATTTATTTTTCAATAAAATTTTATTTTTATTTTTAAATATCAAGGATAATTTCGACGTCATGTTTTTGATTAATGGCGATGACTTTCGCACCTAAAATTGATTTTATTTTAGTTTTAACTTTTGTTTCTTTCTTATCGATCAGGAGTAAATCAAATAACAATAAATAACTGTTGCAGTAACATAATAATTTTCTCGAATTTCTCATTAACAAGAATCAATTAAAACTTGCGACTTTGTCGAAGCGCAAATTGAGTTAAATCGTCGAACGCACGCACATATCGGTAGTTTTATAACTAAAATGTTAAAGGCGAAAAAGAAGACGTAAACCAAGAAATAAACTTAATCAAGATTATCTTGTAAATAAAAACGAATTTATGCGATACATGAAAGTTTTATCTGATCACTTGCGGCTGGCTTTCTGAAAAGATATCGAAAAAGAAAGAGAGAGAGAGAGAAGGAAATCAAATTAAATTCACTTTGAAAAATAAATACTTGCAAAAAAATTAAGAAAAAATTGTGGGCAGAAGAGTAAAAAAGATTTAAAACAATTCGATTCCAATTTGCCTGTAAATAAACAATAAAAACCCGAGAAAGCCAATCGAATGGTCCACTTTCGAGAGAAAATAAAAATAGCAATAAAAGCTTGATAAGCTTAACAAACCAAACACAAACACAAACTGATCCATAATTTCACTCATATTATTATCGTCATCATCATCATCATTATTCTCATCATGCAAAGCGACTGTACAAAGTTGTTCAAGCTGCCGGTCCTTGATGTATGAAAATTTTTGCTATCAGCGGTAGTAAATTTTTCGTGAATTCCTTAAAACACAAAAAAAAGAAAGAAATTATAGACTTGGACCACTGCACAGCAGCAATAAAAATGGCATCGATTACACTTGATTTGTGCAACGTTGGTGGACGAAAAGTAAAAAACAAAAATGAAAACATTTTCTGAATTATAAGCAATCGAATTGATTCGACTCAAAAATTCATTTCGCTTCTTTCTTTCCATTACAACTTGCGACAATTTGCGAACTGAAATGTGTTCATTATTGATCGTAAATGCGGTAGATGAGATGTAATAAATTCTGTCAGTTAACTTCTTTTAGCAATGCAAATGTGAGAAATGCAATAAAATGAGCGGCACCAAATTATTATCCTTTATTTCTGCTTTGTTTATTGGTTCATAATGTGACGATTTTCTTAAATTTAAACTGATCGAAGATATTTGATTGTCGGCTTTTCATTGAATTTTAAATGCAGTCCTTTGAGCGTCACCTCGAGCCAAATTTTCTTGATTATGCTATCAATCGTAATCACTGAGCCTTCCCTTATCATTAATCACCCATCACGCCTTACGTCAAAGTCTTGAATTAAAATTTAATTTATATTCCATTCTCAACTATCATTGAAACGATCGGTGCTGTTATTAATGCATTTTTTTCTCTTATCTTAATTTTTTGGTCATCATCACAGCCTACAAATTCATTAAAAGGCGTCGCATGCATAAATAATTATCCCGAAAAATTTCGTACCGCAAAGATTCAAAACATTGTAAACTAAAATCCCCAAAAAATATAATATAAAACACAACACAGCATGTAAAAAATATAATTAATAAATCTCGAACACACTTTTTCTTCTTCTCATTATTCTTGTTGTCCGATTTCGATTGACTTCATTATTTTACAAGTTTTGCATAACATGAGAACTTTCTTTCTTTCTTGACTCTCATCACTTGTTATCCTCTTGTTTTCGGCTGTTGTTAAAATGTTTCCCGGATGAAACAAAGTTTATGAATTTCACGTATGTACGATGACATTTTTATGGCATAATTGTTTGTATTTTCGTAAGCGCCTTTTCGACTCACTTAACATCGCATACAATTATGCTAATTAATTATTCGAGTCTGAATTAATCGAGTCATATCTGTTCATATTTACAACGAATGGTGTGGCGAGACGGTTTTTTAGCGTTGTGCACCCGCGATTGAAAACTGAAAAAAAGAAGAAATAAAAAACAAAAACGCACGTCTGACTCATTTGACATGTTAGTTCCCTTTTGAATATTTCACATTGAAACTTTCAAACTACATAGCATTATTATTAGTTATGATTGATTGAATTCAACTACCGAAACAACAAAAAAAAAATGCCAAAAAAGTAAAGCTTGCCAATCCATTTTCCATATTCAACAAGCCATTTAAGCTTTGATACGTTTTTTTAATATGTTTCGCTTTTGTTTTTATTTATCCATAATTCGTTCCTTTTTTTTTGTTTTTGAAACGTCTTTAGGAATTTATGATGGTTCGTTTTAGCATGGAGATTCAATGGATATTTTTTGTTGCCTTTGCTTTTATTATTATTAAAAACGACCTTCAATAAATCGAATTGTTTTTATTCTTACCGCTCATAATTCTTCACGAGTCATTTGGTTGCTTCTGCACTTAGACTGTTAATTGCTTAAATTTAAGATTTCAGCCGTGCCTGCCAACGCTGGTCGGTCAAATTGAAATCATTTTTCGTGGTCGTTGCTTAAGAAAACGTTTCCAACACCTCTGAAAATCAATTAGTTTCAGTTTCATGGCTTCCAATTACATGTTTAGAGATTTCTGAAGACAACAATCAGAAAAAAAAATCTCCAAGAAAATAAAATAAAATAATTGTTACATTTTTTATCGATTTTAACCGTTTATTTCCTAAGACGTATCGCTTCAATATATGTTATGCAATTTCGCTTTCAGTGGATATTTCTCGATAGTATTTTTTTCTTTTTCTTCTTCTCCTTGTCGTTGGCATATCACATGTTAAGGCTTTAAATAAGTGCGGTCATAATAAAGCTATGGAATTAAATGATTATAAAGCAAATGAAGCAAGGAAATAAGTAGAGCAGTGAATAACAATATCTTGTGCAACAAAAGTGCATTAAGCCATAACGAATCAATGTGTTCGTCTTCAAAAGTTCTTCGTGCCACAGTCTCAATTAAATTTAAGTTATAAATAATGTTTTAAGTAAAAGAAAAAAAAGAGTAGAGAGAAGCCTCTACAATGACCGGAATCGAACTTGATTTCACTTTAATTGTTCACTTGAAATGATAAATAATGCATATTATCATGGAATATTATATAAAATTGTAATAAAAAGCTATAACATGTTTTCCATTAAAAACTTCCTCGACCATTTCATCTCCCCATCGATTGCCTGTTGACTCTTGATGTCCAAACATAAGCGAGGCGCAGCACTTTTCGGAATATCATTTAAAGTGACCATTTCATGAAAAAAACTGGTAATAAATATTGAATTTTGTTATGATCGCCCTCTCGCTGATATCTTTCTCTGCATTGCTTCCATGGTATAAACAAACTCGTTAAAAACTCTTATTTTCACATCCTCGATGATGATCACACAGTTGTTAACAGAATTAAATGTTGAGACTCGAAATAAAATTAAGATCTCCAAATGACGATTATTTTCTCTGTTCCATTGACCGTGCTTTGCGTCGATGCGATTTAATTAACGGTGAGAGAATTTTTTTTAATTTTCTTCTTCCATCATTCGGACGTCTATTGAAGCCTCCAAGGAGGAAAACAATAATGATTGCTATCAGTAAACTGTTCGCCCTAGTCCCAAGGCTCGTTTTCACTTTTTTTCTCTTCGTCTTTTATTGCTGCTACATTAATCAATCCTTCATCAGTGCATGACTCAATATCGTGATTTTTATTTACTTACTTATCAACAATTTCGAATCTAAAACCACCAAATAATGACCTTGCGAGTTGCAGTGTTAAGTTTCCTACTTCTTCCTTCCCTTTTGCTCTACATCAAGTAAAGTGCAGTGTAAATAAAATAAATTATACGCTTTTTGGGTGGTGATGAAGCAACAAAAAAAAAACAAAAACATAAAACTTATCTTAATGATCGTTTATGTAAATTGCATTTTTTTATTTATGATTGTATAATTCATTGCGGGAAAAGACTATGATCAAGACAACGAAGATAATTGAGGAATTTCAACACTTAGGATAGCATAGCTGACAATTTGTGCAACTTAAATGTTAGCATTCAAAGATTGTTAATTGCTAGATAGACCGGTGAATAAATATATGGGTTCAACCTTTAATTATAACCGTAATAATTGAGATTAAGCAGATCAATGCTATTTGAATTTATATTAACGATCGTTGACTCTCTGGGCCGTTGATCTGTGCAAGATCTTTGAATTCATTAGACATTTCTAATTACTCAAATCGAAATGAGGTATGTGCGATTTTATGCATCGATAAGATACGGAACAAGCAAAGTTTTCATCATTTAAATAGAAGCAATGCATGTCATGTCAATATTGTGTGGGTCTGTAGAACATGGACGCCGACTGGAATTCAATATTCAAACAAAGAGACTTTTAAGAGCTTCAAGACCAGTCTGCAGAGCGTCACGAATCGTTTAGACAACGAAAAATTTAAATAGCGACAGACGAATATCATAACAGTGGACTTAGACTAAATAAATCCTCGAAATAAAAGAAAAGAGAAGAAAAAAAAATCTCAATTGCTGATTCAACTGTTTCATGTGTACCAACATGCGGAAATTAAATCGTTTTTATAACACATTAATTTTTATTACACAAAGATTAAAATCTGTTTTCAAGAGCAATACACGATCTAAATACAGCTACCGAAGCGATGTCGAATGTGTGGAATTCAAGAGTCTGCAACGTCGCAAAGACGACTATCAAGACTTTTAATTACATTTTTTTTTCTTCACCTTCCTTTAAAGCAGTGGCTAAGAATTTCATTTGGTTGCGAGGTCAGCGCCGATTAATATCCTCCTTGTTATTGATTGTCGTACGTGTATCATAACTACATAAATATATTTGCGTACGCTGCGGCATATTTCCATTGATTGTGTAACGAATTTAATCGAAATGGAAAATATTTCTGGGTGACTTGAGATTTCGACGCTTATAAATCGGATTTCATATCATTGTCCATGAAATTATTTGCTTTATAGTTTTAATGCTTAATTAAAAATCGCATCAGATATTTAAAATTTAAATGCATTTTAAAGTGAATGCGTGAAAATCTTCACTTGCATCTTTCTTTATTTTTTTGCTCGGCAAGATAACATATTAACACATTTTACATCGGTTCGATTATATGTAATTTGATCATCATTTACTTAAATCTTTCTGCCGTCTCTTTTTTGTTTCTTACTCCAAAAAAAAAACGAAACATTCAAAATGTTAAGCGACAGAGCTTGACGAAAATCACAGCAAGACGAAAGAAAGATTTTCATTTTAAATGATCTCAGCATCTTTCACCTGACTCCACAAGACAAAGACTTGAGAAGTTAAGAGAGGCATTAACAATTAATTTCAAAAATGCCGATCAAGTTTCTTTTTGGAAGGCGAAAAGTCAATGGGAAAGAAAAAAATTTGAGCAATTTTAAAATGCCTGAAAATTTCGTCTGGTTTTAATACTTAATAACAACAATTTTCGTAGATGATAAACAGCCACTTGTCGTGCATCGAGTGAAATGATTGTAGAAGCATGTGAAAAATAAGCTGTAATTTCGTGACAATGGAGAGACATCGGGATGCTGTGATCTTCTGTTGTTATACATTTATGAATTCCAATAATTATTCCCCACTTAATGATCGAAGATTTATTTCAGTTATGATCTCTTTATGTACACTTCACAATTATGGGAACTTTTTCCGAAACAGTCAAAATCGCAATAAAAACATATTATAAAGAGATTTTGTCATTTATCATTTTTTTTATGAAGATATGTAAAAAGCTTCAAAACTTTAAACCGCAAGTAGTCTGAAATAAACGAGGCTTTTCCTTTTACATGCTTAACAGTTAACACCAAATTTTATATCACATACTCTGATACTTAAGTACAGTCAACTCTTGATAGTAAATAATTGAAGGGACATTAAGAATTTGTTCCAGATTTCGACACAACTGCAATTTACTATATCGAGTGAAATTTCTTATCGACAGTATTTCTTATCAAGAGCTGACTGTATTCACTTACATCAAAATTTCATCTCGTTTCAATTGCTGCACTAAACGCTTCAGCCACTCTTTACACTTTGTTTTCTTTTTTTTCGTGATGAAGATGGCAACGACTTTAAAATAAATAAATTAAGTGCTTGCAAATGAAATGAGAAACAAATGTCGTATAATAAAATTAAATTCGACAAGAAACGCATCCAAATTTCTACCTTAAGGCTAATAAAGATTTAAGAAATGTCGGTAATTGCGAGAGCTAAATTGAATATGTATTTCATAAATATTCAATTACATTAATATCGTGGGCTTAATGAAAAAATTCATAAAGTTTTAATGTAACAAGATTTCGAAGAAGGTTGGACAATTATCAATTCTTCCATACAGCGCTCTTATGATGTACTCTCAATGACTCTCATTAATGAAACTATTTAAAATTGTGAAGAAAACTGATATTTTTACAAATAACGTGCAGTGCATGTTGACGATTCATTAAATAAAAGTTTTTTATCATAAACTTTAAAACGGAGCAATTTAAATGGCTTTATTCGAGGAAGTATTTCTCGTCTTCTGTTGGAGTTGCTGTTGCTGTTGATGTTGCTTTAAGACGTGCCTGCCTTTAATTGCTTTTGCTAAATCTCAGTTTAACTTTCGAAAATAATGCAATATTATGTTCATTACAAACTTAACAGGTACATAACATTCACACACCGCTCCCAAAATAAAACCTGAAGAAAACACAAGAAAATGTTTTAATTTATCCACGGATCAAACAAAAACCAGAAAGAATTGTTGAGATGATTCTCGTAAAAAATAAATCGCATCATCCCTGATTATCAGTTATTGCATTTTATAAATAAAAGAATAATTTCTGACTACAATGTTTCTCGACTTTTTATACTTGACATGAAATTTAATTAAACCATTTAAACTTTCACAATAAAATCAAGAAAAAAAGTTGAAGAATTTTTTTTTACTTCCAAAGAATAATTGGCAAATGTTTTGTTTGGCTGTTGACGATAAATTTGAAGAATTTTTAGCAGCTTTCTCTACTTGGTAGTCGAAGGGTGCTTTCATCAGTGATATAAATTGAGGATTAAGCATCTTATGAATTTTTAATTCATTAAACTGTCACCGAATATTGCTACAAATCATTTTCATGTTTTATTTTAATTTCCTGCTTTAATCAACAGATTAAAATTCCCAGATACAAGAATCAAGACGAATATTTATTACCATGGAGTACATTACCGAAATTAAAATGTCCAAGAAGCGAGACATGGTGAATGGCCATCGTGATAACACAAAACAACACCGATGTTGAATTAAACTTCACAATTATCGACGATGAGAATTCGTAAAAGTTGGAAGTGAAAAGAAAACTTTAGGACTTGATACATGAATCTGATGACTTGTTGACCCTGCTATTGACACTACATCTTCCTTATTTCTTTAAGATTTATTCACCATTCAAATGATAAAACATTTTAAAGGCTAAAGTAAAAAAAGCAACAAACTGGAAAAGCGACAACAGAAAAGAAACAAAAAAAAACTTCAGCGACAACTCAATGAATTCTTTACCAGTAAAATATTGATTTGTTTTTTATGTTATCGAGAAAACTCATTCGCTTCCTCGTTCCAAGTGGTTTGCATTTATTTCAGTGTTCAAATTAATTTGCACAAAACGGAAAGTTTACTTATCAACGACCGCCATGATTCGAAGAATTTACAGTCAATTAATCGATTAAGTATGCAAATATATGCAAATAGATTCGCATTTCTTGATTCCCCCCGTCCTACGCATTATTTCGTTTTATTTGGAATCAAAATCAGCTCATTCTGCTTGTGACAATTCAATAAAGCAACTGTCAAAATTTTTCGTATTTCTTTTTTTAATTCCTGTCTTTTACGATTGACATTGGAATCAGTGTGAATGGCGAGGGATAAAGAATGCTTCATTGAACAGGTTGAGAGATAAGTGAGAAAACTTTGAATTGTGATAATGAAAGTTAAGTGTCAAAATGTAAAAAATAATCAATTATGATTCTTCAGATATCTGCAGCATGAAATGTTTAATGTGGCAAGCGAGTTTCTTATGTCTTCCTCGAGCCATCAATTAAACGAAGGTCTACAATGTAATACAAAAAATAATGCGAGCAAGATTGAGGTGTAGGAAGAAGAAGCGATCAGTCTAAGCGACCTGCTTTGATATTGATACCTATTTCATCTACTTCTTGAAAGTCATAAATCCATTGTATGCTTGTTTCTGTGGACTGCGGTATTTCATTATCATTATCTCCTGATCTATTGAGAGATCGCGCAAAAAATATCTATTTCTTCTTTCAAAATAAAACCTGTTTAAATGTCTTCGCATTCTTCAAAGCGGAGCACATCAAGCAGGAATCTGTAACAGGAGAGATGATAGATGATGGTCAGTTAATTAGATCTTCTAAAAATGGTAAAATGGTTTATACGATGGATGGGAAGATTTTGAGAAGAAAGAGAAACGAAAAATATCTTCTTTATTAGCATGGATACCGCAATCAACTGCACGTGATTGACTTTAACACGTTGAGGAATGTTACGCGCTTTCCTTTCGCTTTAAGTGTCTACTTTAATTTAAGTGTGAAGATGTGTTTTGAGGAATGAGATTTAATGAATTAACCTTTTCCGTTGCTAGGTTATTCAATGTTTAAAATTTGATCTAGAAAATGATTTCAGTAATATGATGAAAGCAACATATATTTTGATTGAAAACATAAGCATTAATTTAGTCATTGATTATGTCAGGAAAAGAAAGATTGAAAACATGAATTTTTCTCTCGAAAAAGTATCATAAAGTTAAGTTAATTTCAAAGCAAATATATCTATAAATAAATAATTGCATGAAGTTTTTGAACTATTTTCAATCGACTTCATAGCTTGTTAAACTACTCATGAATTATTCCAATTATCAGTGCTTGAAACAATTGCTAATAAAATCAAAATTTATTGAACATGACAAACAAGTTGCTTATTAATCAGCAGCATAGCGAGACTTCTATCTGCATAATAAATACAAACGTGTGTATGTAGACAATTATTGAAATTTTTTGAAATCAGCAAATTTTGTTCGTATTGAATTCTTCTCACTATTATGCCAACTCATTAACTTGAATCCTTTAAAGTTCCACTTACTTTCAATCAAAAATGAATATGAGACTTTAATTATTGTAATTGTAATTAAAAGTTAATATTTAAATGGATTGAGGTGTCAGTTCTGGTTAAATACAAAATAACAATTTACTCTTTTTTTGTTGTCGCTTGCATTACAGACTTGAAGCAAGCGATAATTATTTTAGTTAAATAGTATTACCAATAATGTCAATTTTAATTACTCATTATGAGCATGAACGAGAATTGTTGCTTAAAGTTTTCAAATTGGCGACTTGTTGAGTGACAGAAGCATGATCAGTAAAGCGAATGACTTGGATATGTTGACTAAGAAATATTTTTTGTTTTACTGTAGCTGAGTCAACGGACATTGCGGTGATAAATGGTCCATCGATGGAATTCATCTTGTCTTGAATTAATCTTGATTAAGGCGCGTAGAAACCCTCTAAACATGAAAAACCAAATTAGAGAAATATATCTTCGCGATCCTTGAATATCACGATTGAAGAATAAAAAAGCAGCAGCAACAGCAGCAATAGCTAAGTAAGATAGTTGGAGATCTTGAGAAATTCATAGCAGGGAATTGACACGACATACGCGCGCCAAATTATATCTTTATATTTACGGTTTAAAGTTATATAGCACGCTGACATTCCAATGCAATTGTCTTCTATTTAAGGAGTGCTTGAGTGGGTCTAGCGAGTCGATAGATCTTCGATCATGGGGAGACGGTATCGTAGCTGCTGGAATTCAGCTCAACATTTATTGCTTGCCAAAAATACAAATTCTTCCGGGTCTTCGAATTAATCAGAAAAATCATCGCATTATAATCAAATATTGGCATGTCCCCCGCGAGGTTCACAATCGAATTCAAATATCGGTCGAAGAATTGCGAATACAATTTTTGCTTGTGAGTTAAAAAAAGAAAATATCATTTCCACTTCTTAAAAGAAAAGAAATAAAAATGTAACTTTCTGCTTACATTTAAAATCTGTCTGATTACTTAAGTGGATTTAATGTTTACAAATTACAGCATGAGAAACAAATAAAGCTCGAAGTTATGAAGATTGTCTTTTACTGAGTTTACGAAATTTTTTTTTTTTATTTTGTAGTTTTGATTTTATTTCCAAACAGCTTTTTCCCCAAAAATTTCGCTTTAAACGTTCACGAAATTCTTCGGTAATTTTTGCTTTTATTTTCTTAAACTTTTCATCTGCTTGTTGTCGGGGACGTTTCACAAATTAATGATCTCTTTCCTTTAACGATACAATTTAATAAGTGATATTTTTTTTACTTTTTATTTTGAAGAGATCTCATTTTTTGTCTCCCGCTTAAGCTGTCAACTTCTACTGTTTCATTAATTTTTCAACAAATACGAACATTCAACATGCTTTCGATGATAGTAAATTAAGATAAAATGGATATGAAAACCGAAGAAAAGAAATAAAAATCGAAAGATCGTCAGATTCTTTATGATGATGCTTTAAACACTATAATTGCATTAACTCAAAAGACGAATGACAATCATTTCAATACATTTTATATCAATTGATCGATTATGGTTGATTAATAACCATTTCATTATGACCAAGACTTTGACAAAGATCCGCTACACAAAATCTTCATAAAACCTCCACTTACTACCTGAATTCCACAAATATTTAATATTCACAATATTATGCCAATTAACTTACGCTAATTTCTTTTATCTTACTCAAATAATCTTTTTGATGTTATTTTTTATTTGCTGCTTCCTTGCAGCCTTCAACAATTTCTTTAAAATAAATTATCTAGATTTTTATTAAAGACTGAAACAAAGAGGAGAAAGTAAATCGACTTTTAAAATTCATTACACGGGTAGGCTGAAGAAAGATTTTTCTCTTTGATAAATTTGGCGAGGAAGGCAATGAAGAGATTGATATGCAAACATGAGCGAGGAAAAGTATGCACGAGTTTGTGTTTTCATTTCATAGTGCATATAGAAATGTCATGCAGAATATTGAGTTTCATTGTAATTCGATCCTTTACGATTTATTTTCTTCAATAATTAAAAAGTTTATTCCTGAAATAAATTAAAAGAGAAATAATCATAAGAAGCAATCTTCATTTCATTAAGTGAATGTTTATTTGAGTAAAACTGGAAATATTTCTTTCAACAGAGTGTTTCATCAGTACAAATCATAACGATGACATATTTGCAGTCAAACTTAAGACTAATTAGTGGGTCATACAGTTCTCATCGTTTACACAACTTTTTTTGTTTATTTTTGATTAGATTAAAAACGAAAAACATTAAATTTTCATACATGAATTAATGTTTAATTATCTAAGACTTTTTCATAGTTTTTTTGTGTCGCTTTGAGACATTTTTTTGGTGTACGTGATTCTTCTTTTAAGATTTACAAATACTTGATCAGTAAGAATGTCATTTATGTCATCTTTACATGGTCACTTATTAATTATGTTGTCCTAGAGCTATCATGTGATTCATAAAATGATATTTTTTTTGTATTTTTTTTCTTCTTTTGACTACCTTAAAAGTGCATTACTTAATGATTAAGTTTCAAATATTTTGTTTTCTTACATTACAAAGTTAATTTAAAAATACTGCTTAGAAGTAAATGATCAAAACATAAAAGTAAAACTTAATTAATTTAACTACATTGTCGTATCAAGATAAAATCATTTTCAACTATATTCTTAGTTATTAAATATGCAATCAAATGTGATTTCATATGTGATAGAAATATCGAATAAGGGAAAAATTTTGTGATTTTTCATTTGCGATTGATCTACGAGACAGTAAAAAAAGTTTTTAGATCACTTTTTGTTGTTGTTGTTTGCTTTATCGATATGAATGTTAAAGTAATAAGCAAAAAATAAAATGAAATAAAAGTTATTCATTATGCTGGAAGTTTTGCAACAGAAGCAATTTCTCTTTTGAAGTCCAAATAAAGAAGTCTCCTCCGTGATCTTTTTTCATTTCGTTTTCGGTGCACACGGCTGGCTGCTTTTAAAATGGCAATGATATAAATCATAACAATATTGTTTGTGAGCTTCAGGCAATCGGCATAGGAAGAAAAATGCGATAAAAGAAACAACAACACATAAGTAAGTATTTATACTTAATAAGAATTGAAGTCTGACAGAAGTCATTTCTATTCCCCATTACAGTAAGTCATTTTCAATTTCAATGTCTATCGGCATTTCGTGGCGCGTAAATTGCATTTCTTAATGATTTTTCTTCTTCAACATTTTAATGTTCATGTTTGATGATGTTTGAATGTCAATGATGAGATTGAATAAGAAACCTTTCGTTCAGTATCTTCCACGTCATAAAAGCTGAGACTTAATTCTCGAACTCTTTGTTACGAGGCGCGTTTTTAATTGAAAGGAAAAAAGAAGAGAAGCAACAAACTTTAAAAATGCTTTTCAACCATGTGACATAAAGACAATCAGTGGAAGTTTTAAGCTATAAAAGGTATCTGTTATGTTCAAGAAGAAAGAAAAAGAAGTCTGAGAAACTGATCAATCACGTTATAAAAAGAGAATAAACAATACTGATTTTGCGATTTCGATAACGAACTGTAGCGCGTACACTTTTAATATGTACAACAAAAAAATTGAAGGGAAATAAAAACAGAACGCAACTCTTGACGTATTATGAAATGCGACTTGGGATATCTCGATCGAAAAGCCGTGAACCATATGCACAAACATATCAGTGAATTTATTAAATTTAATTATCAATCAGTGATGAAATCAAAATTTTCTAGCTTTGATTTTTCTTTTCATAATTTATGATCTGACAATATTTTTTTTTCTTCTTTCCTTCAGTTTTCTTAAGATTACATTTCGAGCTGAAAAGCGTGTTGCTGTTGCACACAATTGGGTATCATTCATTATTACAGTGAAGCATATCAGATCAGATATGTTAAATGTTAAGTGAAATAATTTTTACAAGTCGCTTGAGACTTCTTCTTCTTCTGTGATTTCAGAGGATTTTTCTAGCTAAGTAAATTTAACATCTCTGATGTTTCAGAAGATATTTGAAAAGATTATGAAACAGCTTTTTATGTACATATTGTTAACGGTGCGCGAGTGATCACTCCTGATTCCATAACTGCATCAATCGATCAAAGACTAAGCACACAATTGTACACATTAATCTGAACGACGACGAAGAAAGTTTTGAGTTTCAATTTCGTGGTGCGAGGAATTCTTTCATGTTGTCACTTCAATTCGATCATTATTATTGATTGTATCTTTGTCATTATGTTCGTGTTCAATATTTATTAAGTCGTTGTCACTGCTGCTTGCCGCTTCATCTAAATCAGCTTCCATATTTGTTTCTCCCAACGGTGCATATAAATGAGGATTGCCAGAATAAGTCACTTTCCCCATAAACGAACGAATCTCATCAAAATAAGCGTCTTCACGTTCAGCTTCATTTGATGATGGTGAATCACCCATTCCAATGCTAATGCCAGCTGCGTCAGCTTCATGCTTTTTCAAATGTCGATCGAGATTTGTTTGTTGACCGAAGCACCGCTCACAGAGTGGACACTTAAAAGGTCGTTCTTTGTTGTGAATGTTGCGCACGTGACGTTGTAAATTACTTGAAATACTGAAGGATCGTTCACAATATTTACAACTATAAGGCTGTTCGCCCGTGTGTGTTCGAAGATGTCTTGTCAAGTTTGCTGAACGTGGAAAGTTTTTACCACAAAATTTACAACTGTAGCGATCTTTATTCTTTGGAACGTTGCCATTTAAATTTCCAAGTGATAAAGAAGCATTTGGTGTTGTCGGTAAGCCGCCAGCTGACATTAATGCTTCATGAAATGACTTTGAAGGAAAGCCACCACCGTTTCGGCTAAGAAGGTCGAAACCTGCACGGAAGTTTGGTCCTAAAAAAGGAAAAGGACGTTGAAAGGCATTTAGGGCACCAGGTCGGTACATGGCATCCAAAAGTAAAGGATGAATGGGCCTTGGATAAGCCATTTGATGTGGTTGTGGTCCTGGGGATGATGGTGTAGGTGTTTGTGTCGGTGAAGAAGAAGAGCGAGGTGAAATAGATGGTGACGGACTTGCGTGTTGAATCATAAACGACGATGGTGAATCCTTTTGAACGTCAATTTTGGGTGACGGTGTTCGCTCATGCTCATTACTTGTGACAGTCTCTTGCTTCACTGGGCTTTTCTTACGCGGTCTTTTCTTGGTAACACTCAAATCGAGAGGTTGTTCCGTTTGACTTTCATCGTTTGAGGTCGTTCCATCCTAAACGCAATTGAGAAGAAAAAATGAAATAATTAAAATCTAATGAATTATGTTGCGTTCATAAACATCAATGTAACAGACTGAACGTTTAAATATTAATAATCTTTGGATATTAAAAGTGACTAATAATTCTTGTAGCTTTGAAGTTAATAATTGAAACTTCCAAATGGTCTCGATGGGCGTTCTCGAAAATTGAAATAAAGTTTCTACCGTTTTCATGAAATTAGTTATTAAACAATATGCTTCTCAAATTAAATAGCATATATGAGTGTAGATAGTTAAGAGTGAGTGAGAGAGTGAGAGGTCACAAAAGATGTCAAAAATCTATGACATTACAAGTTTATTTCTAAGCTTAAGAAAAAAAAAAGCTCAAACGCACAAACGAATCGACACGACATACAGAGACGAAAAAGCAAAGCAAAAAAAGAAGAAAAAAACAAACATTTTGCAATGGAACAAGAAAAGAAATAATAATAAAAAAAGCGTTAAGACTGAAACTTTACCTTGATGTCAGCATCACTCTGATTGTTACTTTTGATTTCATTCGACGTGTCCATTGAAAAAGAACGTTTGCGGTTGAAGTGATCCATTCCATTTTTGGCAACAGTTCCATTGCGTTCGTCTTTAATACGATTGGAATGATTTCTACGATTTGGTGATGCTTCTTCGATATCCGCTTCAGATTTATTATATTCATGTTTGACATAGTTATTGGAATGATTCAAATTATTGATTGTGTTATTATTATTGATATTCTTATCATGTTTATTGATTAAATTTTGAATGCTTAATGGCGCTGGTCGAGCGGGTGATGGTTTCATATTTGTTGAAGCTTCATCAGCTTGCGATGGTGATAATTTATGTCCATTATTGTGTGATTGTGTCACATTTAATTTAGTTGGTGTCTTTCTATCGATAACATCCATTGATGGAATTTCAAAGTTTTGCTTTGGGAATAGCAAAGGAAAGTGCGGTGCTTGTGAGGGATTTGGTGGGAAAATTCCCTGAAGACCAGGGAATGGAGAAAATCCTGGTGGGAAAAACGATGCATGATTGCGAAACATCAAATATGGATTTGGTGGTGTTGTCATCGCTGATGGAATTTGCTGGGATTGCTGTTGACTTTGTTGATTATTCGAAAGATTAACTCCGGGTCCGGTTGAGTCACAGAAACGTTTGTGCTTTGATAATGACGTAACAGTACTAAAACTCTGTCCACACTTGTTGCACTTTATTTGCATTCGACAATCAGAATGCATCCGCTTGTGACGACACAAGTTTGAGAACTGTGTGTAAGCTTTAAAGCAAACTTCACACTGAAACGGTTTCACCGATGAATGAATGTGTGTGTGTTGCTTAAGTCCTGACGATGTCGCGAATGTCTTTCCGCATTCAGGGCATGCGTGACTGCGTGCACCAACGTGATGTGTTCTAATGTGTCGCTGTAGATTCGATGGATCAGTGAATTCCTGCAAAGTATGAAAATAAATGACTTTATATTTAACATTCACGACTATTAATTGAAAGATTAAAACAGAAACAATTGCTACGAGACGAAATAAATTGAAACAAATCACTTAGCAGTGATCCTTTCATTTTGATAAATTCTCCCTTTTTGTACTCAATTAGTTTGCATTTTTTTTAATATCAAATAGACGTTTTAAGTTGAAACTCAATCGCAATCAAATTAAGCTAAAGTGAATAAAAGCTATTGTGAAGGAGGGAAAATATTGCATTATAATATTTAACAAATTATCAAAGCGAATGTCTGCATTCGTTGTCAATAAACATAAAATAAAAAATTGTAATTGAAATCAGTTGCAAATGAAAATTAACTAACATTGAAAGATATTTCATTAATAATTTTCTCGAAAAGTTCTCCATATGTGTGTAGGCTTTTCCGTTGTCAATGTTTTCAAGCTTCTTTTATTACCTGATCAACTTTGGTAGATTGATTGTGTGGAAGTTGTCGCCAGTTCAATTTCAAAATATGTTTAATGATCTGTAGCCACATAAGAAGGCGACTAACTTGAAGCTTCATATAACTTTTCGCTGGAGGTTGATAAATTTAGATTTTCTCTCAAATAATTCTTCATTCAATTAACACCACTGGAAGCTCGATAAATAATCCAATAATCACAGCATTTCAATTCTATTATGAAATCAATCGATCGTAAATCGAAAAAAGACGAAAACTTTTCAAATCTCTTCTTTCATCATTCCTAATTAGACGTCGAAAGCACAAAATATTCAATTGAAAAAATTATCAATCATTCATCGTAATGATTTCTTTCCTCATTCACCCGAAAACATGAAAGAAGAGAGAAAAAATCTAACTTAACAAGACTCCGGATGGTTTAATTTTGTCGCGTAAACTTGCTGAGTCGAAAGATGCCTCGTTACAAATTTATTCGGAACGAGAAGAAGTAGAATGTGAATTATAATTATTTTTCGAACTATTAATCATTTTCATTGACCATTTCTCCTTCAGTTGGCTCGGGCGTTTTTCTTCGACTTTGCGCTCGTCATCGTTGCTTAAAAAAAGCAACATAAAAAATGATTATCATCAGCCATTGGATTTTTTTACAACCAATTAATTTTTATTTGTGTCTCAAAATGTGACATTCAGAGAATTTATAGCTGGCACTACCCCAACTCGACCATTCATTGAGCCTCGTAATTGAAACATTTATTACGCAATGTAAAATGTATTTATGTAGTCATTTTAGCTACATTGTCGTTTTCTATTCACAAATCGAGATTGATTTAAACACATGTCTGAGAAAGTGATTTTCGCACATATTGAACGTCCTTTTATTACGATCCATTAACTGGGCCGAATCCGGTATCTCATTTAGATGTCAAAAACGCTTCTCTCGCCTCGTCTTTCTTGTTTTTTTTACTGACCGAATAAACTGTAGCAAAAGAAGCAGCGAACGAAGCTGTTAATTTTGAAGCACTTTCATTTCCACATCTACGCTTTTACATCCTCCCAAAAACAGAGCAGCAACTGGTCCATTGAGAGGCTTATGTTGATTTTTCTTATTGGCAAGAAGTACAAGTGATTTGGGTCAAAACGCACGGCGAATGTCGTCAGGCTAAAGCAAGCTTCTCAAACATTATAAGTAAAATTTAATATATTCAAAAAAGAGATTTTATTTTATGAAAAATTGAACGCATTTCGTGTTTTTATATGATTCAGATGAAAAATAAGGCACAGCTCGCTTACGCACACGGGAGGGCGCAAGGCAGCGTTGAGGAATTTGTAACGAGATCGAGCTTCATTAATTGACTCAGTGTGATGTCTCTCAGCGCAAGTCATTTCTTGCTTCTCCGCAAGATTTAACGATTTTCTTCAATGTTGCTTTTAGCTTAAATATTTCTTTTATACTTTTTTTTTGCCTTCAACATTTCATACGTGTACAGTCGATAAATAAACAAATTATTAATCACACAATGTCTAAATGAATTACATAATTTGAATATAAGAAGTTTTTTTATATAAATTAAACATCGTCTTTTTTAATTCTGTCATTAACGTGCGATGTAAATGAGACACTTAAGTTGAGTTACATTACTTTACGAGCTTGCAATTTGACGTCAACATTTTGATCGACTTTGAATTATATATTTATGCATCAAACTCTTTGTAGTAAATCTTTATTTTATTTTTATTTTTTCATTTATATCTTGATAGAAATAAATAATCATAAAAAGGAAGAGAGATCAAGATGAAAGTATCAATAAATTTACAGCCCATAAATTGTCCAAGCCTGAGGTTTCTCATTCTCACTTTATATGATTTGTTGAACATCAAAAATATAAAAAAAATGCTGTAATAAATGTAATAGAGAAAAATCGTCTGAAAATCTGTGCATAAATTATATGTTGAACGATGATTTTATGTATGTTTATATTTGATATTATTTGATGCATTGTTCTCTTGATTATTAAAAATTATTTATTTATTTTTTATACGAAGCGTTCCATTAAAGTTTAATTGATTCATCTTAAGGAAGTCAAATGTGAACTTTTCCGTTCTTTTTTTTCTTATTTTATTTTTCATCAAGCAAATATAAATAGGCAGAGTCAGTCAGCCAGTCAATCATTATTAATATCTTTTTAATTATAATGAAGCAACTAACTAAATCCTATAAACGCTTTATAGCGCGAGAGTGAAGAAAAGAAGCAAATGAATAAACTAGATGTGTATGTATAGCCTTCAATCACATACAATTTCATTAAAGAAACATTAAAACAAATATAATTTTTCATCATTAATAAGTGTGCTCGAGCGCGCGATCTCTGTGAATGTTTCAATTGTTTGTTGGTTTTTTTTCTGTTGATATTGTTGTTGTTGTTGTTTCCATTTCATTTCAGTTTTTTATATTCGCTTAAAGTTAAAGAGACTTAAACATCTTAATACTTGGTCTAGTCTCAGATCTTATACAGATGTCTGTTAGTAAATTATATTGTGAGTTCTACGAGAACGTTGAGAATGATATCAAACACGGCAATAAATTAATGACATGTAATTACGTAATTGCCATAAATGAAATGGGAAACTTTAAGTTAGAGTTGTTTGCTTATTTATAGTTTTAGCTTTGAATAAAACTAGAACATTTAGAAAGTCATGATAAAGACAATATCAACAAAATATCCGCATTTTGGACTTTAAGCTTTGTTTATGACATGCCGCAAAGACTCGAATATGTCTAATCAAATAAGTGAAGCAAAAAGCAAATTAATGTAAGATAAAACATGAAAGAGATTCGTTTGCTATTGTTTCAAGTCATTACATATCAAGTTTGATTAAAAGTTCACTTAAATTAAGTTTCCATCATTTCGCAAAACGAGACAGTCAAACAACACAAAAGACTTCAATGAGCGATTAAAAGCGAAACAAATCCCAAATCGAATTGGGCATTTGCGGATATTTCTCGCTGTTGAATATTTTATCATTTGAAAACCGTAACATTTATTTATCTATCTCGTTTAGCGTCTCGTTTCGCTCATAGACAAGCGCATGATTTATCCTTTTGTATTCCGGTATTTTTTGTAGTATTGCTCTCGATATCTCGTATAATATCGTTCAGAAACAGTCGGTGGTCGATGGTCAGTGTTGATTCAAGCAACAATACAAAAAATTGTTCAGTTTAGGGGGACGCTTTGAAGAAAATGTTTCCAAGCCTCTTGTGTGATTATGACTCATGACGACCGACATGACATTTCTGTTATTGCTGTTGTTTGCCTGTGATCACTTCCATCTAACTACTGTTTAAGGTTTTCCCAAAAAAAAATACTAAACTAATGCCGAAACGAATCAGTCGCTAAGTCTTTTAAATTGTTTGATAGTTTAGGAAGCAATTTTTGATCATTTATGGCATTTTGATCGATGTGTTTAAGAATATGAAGAAAGAGATTTTTTTCTTCAAAATGTTGTTTCAAGAGCTTTCAATTCAAATATTTCTTCGACAATCAATTAACAAAAGACTCGACCAAGTATTGACGATGAAGGGAGATGAAAGTGGGGAGGCAAGAAATGAAAATAAGAAAATGAAACAAAACAACTCTCTCGATGTCGATATTGTCTACTCACGTTCGATATCAGTTAATTTAACTTTTCATTTGATCTACAAAATTTTTTATTTCAAACAATGAGTGAATGTGGAAGACAGAATGAAGTTGAAGTCGGAAGATTTTCTCTGAAGAAGAAGATTGTTTGATATTTCTTTCATGACTCTCGTCTTGATTTCTATCTTCGCTACAATTTAATCTTAAAAACGAATAGACTGTGAGTTCCTTCTGTTTTACATACTTCAACAAGTCAAAAAAGTTATTCGATTGTTTCTACGAGACAGTTTAAAGTTCAAGTTTCGCTTCGATGATCGCTCGCACGTTACGTTTTAAAATGAAGTCATTGCAACAAACATTTCTGATTTGATCGAACCTTTCAGACATGTTCGTTCAAGATGAAAACAAATAAATTAAAAGATAATTAAGCAGCAATCTTTATTTTTTCCTTGTATATTTTAAATAAAAAAAAAGAGAATTTTTGCGAAGTCACAACAAAAGAAAAAGTGAAATTGAAGCGAACGTCAAGGACATTTTTCGTCTCCCTTCACGTCTGCTCTCTGTCACTAACAAAAGATGTTGGAATTTAATTGGAAACGCAACTTGCCTCAGTGAATAAATATTTAATCGAAGTTCAATTATTACAGTCTTGTTATTATTACAAGCAACATTCAAAAAACTTCACGAAAAAAAGTTACTGAAGAGAGAGAAAAAAAGACCATCGACGAGGGAATTAATAAAAATCCATTCGAATAATTTGTTTCGATTTTTCTTAAGCCTAAATTAATAACCGAAAGCTTAAGCGAAGGAAAGAGTAAATTAATGACTTAATTATCATCAAACGATAATTAATTTCCGATTTTGCCATATTTGTATTAACTTGTCTCTAAATACTCGACTAACTGCTGTTCAGTTCTGTTTTTTATACTTCTCAGAAAGTTTTTTTTCGCTTCTGTTGCTCCGCTTTTACATCTATTAATTAATAATCGAATGTCTGCTGGGATCCTTCTGGTCACAATATCTTTATTTATTACATTCGATCGTATCGCTTCTTTAACATCAAATGTATCGCTTTTCTTGATATGAAAAGAATTTCTCTCAACTCCATGCGATTGTTTTTTTAATATGACTAATGACATTCGATGATTACATTCTCATGTTCATTTCCAATTGTAGCTTATTTGTTATGTTCATTCTTCCATCTCCCTCGAAGCTATCAAGTGCGCCAAGTTGGAATCTTCTCAATTTCGTTGCATGTTCCTCCTTGTATTTTGATTAAATCATTAAATTATCATTATGATGTTCAGAATATGTAATTGCTTCATAAAATCGGCACCGATTCACTTCAAACTTCTTTAACACCGACATATACATGACTAACATTTAATAAAACGTCTCGTATAGCTTCGTTCATTATGATTCCTTTCACGCGGTTTGCTGTTTTGTTTTTCCCCTCTCAAGATGCAGTTTACGTTCGTTAAATATTTATGCAAGCAGAATGAATTGCTTCGAGCTTCTCAAATTATTATTTTTATCAAAAACATTAAAAAAAAATTTTAATCCCCAAGAAAATTGTTTCCAACAAGACAACTACACAATTTATATCATTTTAATTAAATATTATTTGCATATATGCGATCGAATTGCACAAACGCGCCAGATATTTCTTCGTAAGTACCCATGAAAACATAAATAATTTGTCGTTCGTCGTTGCTGCTGTTACGAGTTTCACTTGCTTTTATTTTATTTTTTTTTTCGGGAGGACGGAATTTCTGTAATTGCAGAGTTTACACAATTCGCGCTCTCCTTTCTTTCTTGTTAATTTCACGTTATCATTAAAATTTCTTAAGGCAAAATATGTGAACATCATTTTTCAATAATAAATTAAGATAATTGAATTATTAATCAACTGCGAAACCATTTACCGACAAAACACTTTTAAAAGAAGAAGTCAGCAGTGCTAAAGCAGCACAGACATGAAGTTATTTAAAAAATGTTTTCTTTTTCTCTCTCTTTTCCTATGACGATTGTGCAAGCATGTGGTGATTTTCATAAATACTGAACAGTGTATGGAAATTAGATCATCTATAAAGAATCGAAGATTGTTTCAGTTGAGACTGAAGTGTTTGTAAAAAAATCAAGAGCTTGGGAAAGTTTCTCACGCTCAAAGCTTCTGTTTGAGTTCCTGCTCGACAATTACTTATTTATGCATTCCTCTATGCTTACAAAATATCAAATTGTAGTTCAATGCGCATTGATTGCATCAACATTTATCGTTCTTCCGTTGAACATGACTTTTTTTAAGTGTTTATGCAAATGCTATCAAAAGTTGTAAATTTAACTCTTTAAATCAACTCAGCAACTTTTCACATTAATAAAATTTCGAATCAATAAATATTGCATTTTTGAGTAAAATTTTTATAGAGAATCTTTCGTAAGTAGCAATTGTTAAACATGACACATAACAATGAACAATAATCGAGAAAAGCTTTAAAAGAATTGAAATATTTTCAGTCACTCACCTTTGAACAATTTTCACATGGATATTTCCTGTATTCGCCGTGGACAATGGCTCGATGTCGTAATAATGACGGACGATAACAATAACTCTTAGGACAATGTTCACAACGAAATGCGTCTTTCGGGTAATGATGTGTCGCTACTAAATGAACATCCAATCTGAAAATAAGAAATTTTTAATATATTTTTTCAACATCATCATCCATCGTCTTCTAAGTTGATGATTCTTCAATTGATGAGTCAAGCGTATGAAGGGACCTTGAAGAATCACATTAATATTATATTACTAATAAGAAATGACTGAGATTCATCCACGTCTATTGATTGAAAGAAAGATTCCCATCTGCCTTTATTGCTTAATGTATTGAGTTGCGCATTATTTTACACGGCGAAGAAGAACTTGAACGCCCCCGACTAGACGTAAATCTTCGACACATGTACGTTACATTTAATTAAAAGTCATCATCTATTGCAAAAAAATGCTAACTAACGTGAATTCATTAAAAGACTGTCGCTGTCGATGCCGATGAAAAATGCCAAAAAGGCCCGAGTCAAAGCCTTGTCAGAAGAAATCATGTATTAATGTATCGATTTCCATTAGATGGTAAAATATTTGTAATGTAATGAGCACACACAATGTTGTCAATTATATTTTAATATATCTTGAAAAAAAGAAGAATGAAGAATGATGAAACTGCGCATTGAAAAATTATCATAAAATTAAAATATCATTTCATTGTATTCATAGGCATGACTTGTGTCTCATCATCATCCCAAACTTATGAATGAAATATCGTCAAAACAGCGTGGGTGGATTTTGTTGTTTTTTATAATCATTTTACAAATTTTTGTTTCTCTTCTCAAGTCGAACAATAGAGCTTACACGTAAAAAAAGGTGTTTACGAACATGATCGAGCAACATCTAAAAGGTTTTATGCTATTTATAATAAAAATGCACGAGAAGGAGAGAAACGATATAAATCAAGTCTCGATTCTTTTCTCCTCTTTTTTTTTTCGCGCCGCAAAAACGTTCATAATATAACATCGGATATGGAAATCCAAAGTGGAAGAGTATTGTGTATAATAATTTTTTAATGTCTGCATTATTGCATAATATCAAAACTATTATCGCTTGCTTTATTTTTCCTTCTCTCTCTCTCTCTCTCTCTATGCCTTGTGCTTGTGCCACTTTTGGTTTCATTCCTACTCAGACAAGATTTTTTTTTGCGATTGAAAGAATGTGTTGCACGGTTGGAAACATTTATTAAAATTTTAAGAATATTTGAAATATTTTGTGTAAGCTTTTGAAGGAGATTTTTAAGGTGTGAAGCTAAGCATAATTTATGTTCAGTTTGGATTAAATGATTTTGTTATGCTTGATAGTTCTCAATTAATAAAAACAATAATTAAGAAAAACTTCAAACAAAAAAAATTGCATTCCAAATTTTTTTTCCCTCAGTGCATCAATGAAAGGAAAATTTGAATTCTTAATTGTAATCTGCAAAACTACGTGGTGATATTCATGGAGACAGAATAAGAGAAGTTGAAAGATCAGCAACAGCAGCAGCAATTTTATGTCATATACCTTCAACATTTCATGTTTTATGCTCATGTGGCGTACCAAATGAAAAAAAAAATAGATAAAACATTTCTAACAGAAAAATTAATGAAATATTCATACACGACACTTACGACGACTATCAGCATATTGAATATTTATGATTTCGTGTAGTCTATTGACGATGACAAGAATCAGTGAGAAAACCCGAAGCTAACGTGAAGGAAGAAATTATAATGATTATGACAATCGGTGAGAGGGTTTAACGTAAAAGAAAAATGATGGCGCGTAAAGTTAGGTCGATAAGAATGACCAATTAAGCTTGGTCTATAAAAAATTCATTCCAGATGAATCTAGAATAAGAACTTGTCATTTGATTGAGACATGAGTGGGAGTTGGAATCGAGACAATTGTGACAGTAGCAAATGTAAATGTTCCCATAAAGATAAAAATGAACTAAATCAGAATTTGAGAATTGTGACTAATTGTTAGGCGCCCTTTAACTAGACACGATTTTCCATTAGAATTTGAGTTTCAAAATCAACATCAATACTCAAGACATAATTTCATTCAACGACAATCGTCGAATGTCAATGAATTATGGAAATTTCGAAGCATAAATCAATTAAATCGAGCAAGATAGATTGCACAATTCGTTGTTTATTGAAATGTTTTTGTATAAATCTCAATTTATTAACGCCTAATAGATCGATCGATTGATCTATCGATGCAACATTTAAGGAGTTGAAAAATGTTAGTTTAAAAGAGACAATTCCCGAAAGGGTTTAACTTATGTTACAAGTCGTAACTCATATTTCTTTCAATTTATTGCATAGTAAAATAATCTTTCTTGGTCTAATGAACTGTGCTCTTAAATTATTATTTGTCGTCCACGGAGACGACAACTCAGTTTATTCATTTATTCATTACACCAAGCTTTTCTTTTTCTTTTTTTTTCTTGTGAAAACAAGTCAGCAAACACTGAACTGAAAAGTCATAAAGTTTTGTTTTCTCTCCTTTCATTCATTCATTCAACTTTTCCTGCCAAGAGTTGTCGAAGGTTCACAAGATGAGTTATGTGACATTTTCATTAGAAGTTATTGTAGGTATAGTGTTGAATGTTCTATGCGCTTCATGAATATTACGTACGCTCCATGATTTCAAAATGTTTGCCTATAGAGAGCCACTGCCATGTTTCTTACAAGCTTAACAAAATGTAACATAATTTCCTGTTGTGATTGAAGCGAAGCAAGCTTTACTTTAGTTGATTGTGATTTACTTATTGCCAGTTTCTGCCTTCATATATTTAAATCGCGTTCATCGTAACCTTCTAAGCTCTTTCATGTGATATGACTTATGAAACGATCTACAAAACAAAAATTTCTTGTTTATTTTTCCTTAACACGGAAGAATTGTGAATTTTTATTATGACATAGAAATTATCACGCTCACTCTCACTGCTGGATAATGTAAGCATCGAGGTCACGAGATATATTTTATCTCGACGACAAAAATATCCAAAAGAATTCATGCAAAGCCATCCAAAAAGCTCTCCTTCTCTCTCTCTATCGTTCACTCTTTTTCTTTCTTTTTTCTTTCAATTGCGCAGTCACATTTTATGACAGAACAGAAGGAAACATAAATTATTCAAATCTGTTTTTCTTTAGACTAATAATGGGCGCGCTCGAGGACGAGAAAGCCTTTTTATCGGATTTCTCTGTAAGCTCGAAAGAATCTGACGAGCGCACACGATAGCCCGACGATAACATTAAATTAATTTTCATAATTTCGCTATAAAAAGTCATGTCGCTTATCAGCAATTTTTGTTCTTGCTTCTGTTCTCATACTTATTCCTAATACAGCACAATATTTTCTTTTTATTGACTTTCATCCTATAAAAAATCGAGGTTGATGAGTTTCCATCGTTATTTGAGCCAACAACCAACCTTCAAGCTCCTCTTGTTCGTGTATGAATGAAATTAAATGCTTCAACGACACCGAATGAAATCCTTTCCATAGTCATAAAGAAATATTTGCGCTTCACTTTCATCGTAATTCTCAATGAATTTCTTCTTCGAAGTTTTGTAAAGTGGTAAAGTTCAAGAGGCATGAAAACTCAACTCGAAACAAGATTAATATGCCTCCAACAACTCACGCAAATAATCACATTTACAATGAAAGTTAAAGGAGAGAATGTGAAAGCATGTCGCAGGCATTAGATGATGTATAGTGTCGTACTTGAGAATGGTTAATTTTGTGATGATTATAATTGCCCCCACAATTATAATGATGATGAATGGAGAAATATTTCACTTCAAGTCGTCGTGAATTTTTAATGACAACAAATATAGCGAAACTTTTACTAAGCAATGCGATAAGGTAGCGTGATTGAATAAATGTCGCCTTTTTTTTATAGTGACGATGTGATAGCAGAGTTATCGAGTTTAAAAATGTAGGTTGCGATTGAGATTTCAATTCTCTCACTGATATCTCAGGCAATGTTATTTCGCGTGATTAGAGCTCGTTTGAAGGTTGCAAATTATACGAACTCTACGATGAACATGCTTCTATATATTTTGAATATTTCATGCGCAACTCGTAACAGATGGAGAAGAAAATTTAAAAAAAATTCAATTAACAAACTTAAGAAACTTAGCTTTAGCTACTTAAACATTAACATAATATTTGACACTTTAGGAGATGATTATGATTGTATGATAATAAATATGCTGTTAAATGTGTAACGAAGTTCTTGGAAATTTTCTCATGATTTATTGCTAAGCATCGTTTACTTGCTTAGCTACATAAAATAATTATCTGCATACATTTCATCTTACATTATCTTGAACACTTCAACTGCAAGCTTATTTGCCCGCTGGGTAATTAAATCCATATTAAAATCGTCTCGAATCGTAAGATAAAAATGTCTCAGATGTTCACAGAGGCAGTTGTGGAGATGTTTTTCAACTGGAAATCAAATTATTCGCATCTATTTAATTGAAGTGAGGTTCATTTACATAGACTTGCACTTGGATTAAAATTATCTTAAGATTGCATTTTTTTATATTTTTTTATTCATTTCTTTCACTTGTCATACGCTTATTTGCTTGAAATAAGATTGCATTCCCTCCTACGTATAAAAACTATTTAAAAGATAATGACTTGCTGTAAATTTTGTCTTTCTTTTCGGTATCGATATTCACATCATTCGTTGCTAAACGATCAAGCTTTAATAAATTTTATTCTCTGATGGAAACATCACAGGAAGATATCAAAACTCATTAAGGGAGAAAATGGATCATTAAATGCAACATTGATAGCATCTCGATTGCTTAAAAGCAAAAAAACAATCAAAAAAAACCTCGATCAGATTAATTGAATCATAATTCCTTGCGGGATTTTGAGAATTGAACACTTGTTGAAGTTTTATTAAATGTCAACTGTGAAGAAGTACCGCTCGCTTACATAAATATTTCATCGGTTCAACGGTGCAATTTAATTAATTATCGAATTATTTTTATGACAGCTGAGATAAGTTTTATGTTGTGATAATTCCCAGGATTTATTCTGTATGTCTGACACTCGCCTTGTTAACATTTATTTATTAAGTATTCAAGACTCATCAAGATGAAGTTCACAAGCAGAGTTTTATTAAAAGATTTCAGCACTTAAGGAACAAAAAAAAGCTTTCACAACCTCCTTTGGTCTTGTCATAAAATTAAATCTTCTTGGAGCATTAATACTTAAGATTTTAATTATCCTCATCATATTTATAATGACTCAATCAAGTGCAATGAGAAACCATTTGACTATACAAAACTTCACAATCATCTTCTTAGCTCGTTGAAAAATCTTTCAAGCACAAGACAAGATTACTTCATTCACGAAGCATTCAATTGAGTTGAATATTCTCTCACAACAGACAAAGAGGATTAAGACACAGAGAGATTTTTTTTGTTATGTTAACCCATAAATTTTATGGTAATGGGCAAGCTTTTGGGATAATAAATTGCACTTCGAGCCTTAACACAATTAAGTCCTTTCCCAATAATTCTTTCTTTCGTGGATTGGCTTTTTTTGTTTTGTTTCTTATTGTATAAAAGTCTTTACAAGATTATATCGTATTTATGTCTTTATTGTGAACCATTTCTTTTCACTTGAGTCAATTTAAGAAATTGTTCTCATTAAATTGCTTTGACGGGACCAACAAAAAAATTATGCTGGAAAGAAAAATGTTCGAAAAAAAAGAAAGTTCGGAACCTGCTTCTGTGCTGAATGCTGTTAAAAATAAATTTGAATGCTTTATCAACTCAAATATTTCGTTCTTTAAGAGACGATTAACGAAACTGCTAAAGTTAAATTAATTTTTACCCTTGGATTAATTGATATGAATTAAAAGTAAATTGATTGTTTTATGAGGGACATAAATGTCCTCGTTTTCTTCTCTTTTTAAAAATATGATTCTTTCAGCTGAAGCCGCGATCAGTTATGATACAAATGGTTGTATTTCTTACATCCAGTAGCACTCGCATAAATTGAAAAAAAAGGTAAACGAGATGTGAGTTAAAATATTCAATTTCGTGCACTTCTCTTCAAATCAATCCAAAGCAATCACTTGCAACACCGAAGTAATTATACGAGAATTGACTCACAAAATCCTTTTGATGGCAATTTTACACGCAGCTTAACGTGATTTAACTTATCCCCCTCTCACCGTACTTTTGCTTTATTGTTGCTCATGTTTGCAACTTTACTTTGGAAACGAAATGGAAACGATAAGTGAAGAAATTTCTTTTCTTATTTCGCGCTGCATATTTAAGCATCATGAGACATGAATTATTTTACAGCTCAACTCGTAAAAGGATGAAGAGCAGAAATCTTTTATAATCTTGCATGTTTTGGACGTCTCTCTTCGGTCTGTTTACTTATTTTTTATTCCTGATTTTTCGATTGTGATTCATGGTTTTTTATTTCAAGTTTATTTTTCTTTTTCTTTTATTTCAATTCAAAGTGAAGAAAGAAAAACCAATAAATGCAACTGGCGTGTATGTTAATTCCTTATCATCAAGTAAAAGGTGTTTTTCATGCTGTTTAATTAAAATTCTCTTTTCTTTCGCCACGAAGTCTCATCATACACATGTAGGTACAAAGAGTGAGTGTTCAATATGCGAATAAGAAAGATCTTTAACGAATTCCTTCATTTTATATCATTGCATAATAAATATCATGATAAGTGACACGTTATGGGTCGCTTAGTCTTTGACATTAACTTTTCATGAAACAAATTCGTTATTCAGAACTTCTCAGTTACATTTATTTTTTATTTCAAACATTATTTAAACAATTATCTTCCAATTCTTGAATTCGTTTTTTGAAATCAATAATCACTTGTTCTGATTGACAATGGTCATGGATTTGTTTTTGCATTCCCACAACACAACTGCGACTAATACAAAGTCTTTGCAAACATCTTATCTCGAATTGTGTCTGGGTCAATTCAGGGAGTGGCTTCAAGATAGCGTCGCCTACAACCATCAAATTGTTATCAAAAACGGTGACAAATTTAAGTTCTTTATTGTAAGTGAACAAATCGCTTTCCAAATATTGCAATTCGTTGCGATGGACCTCAAAACGAATGAGCTTTGTAAAAGGTTTAAGATCGTCTTTGGTGATAATTTTAAGACCACAGTTGTCAATGCCGAATGCTTTGATATTTGGTAGAAACGTTGTTACTTTCTCTGGAACATAATTGACAACTTCATTCTCAATCCAGAACCCTTCAATGTCATCATAAGTCGAATCTTTATCTCCATTGACACTTTCAATAATCGTTTTCGGATTTAATATGCTAATTTGTCTTCCATAACAATTCTTGAGTTCACCAAGAGCTCTCCATTTCGCAGGATACCATTCACAAGTGAAATCATATCCATTCGATAGTTGGATAGCAATTAAAATGAAAATAGAAAATGAAATGATCACCCTGAGAAATTATAAATATTTTGAAATATTTCTTGAAATTTATTTAATCTTTCAAACCTCATTCCGACTTTTCTCGATGAGAGTACAAAAATAACTGAATTAGAAATGATGGAAGTCAATGGTTTATCAGTAATCTCTCGAAAATTTCAATTTGTGAATCAAAACAAATTTTCCGTATTAAATAAGAAGCCGCAATGTTTGAAAATGTAAAGTTAGACCCGTACAAGCGATATTAAGCAACGATGATTTATTTGCATATGTCTTAATATAAGTCTTGTTGCCTATCTATCGAACCTTCTATACACATCGCGTCCAGCATGTTGTTAATTTATAACACAGACTGAAATTTACATAATGTATATATGCATGTGGTGTTGCGAAAAAAAAAAAGCAAAAACAGATCACAAATAGAAGAAACAAAAATCTAAAAAGCAAGAAAAGTGCAACGTTAAGAAGGAGAGAGAAAAATATTGCACCACCGATCGCGTACTATCATACAATTACATGCAATTGTCTATGCTGTGATTTATTATGATTTTCGAATAACATTATGGAGATTAAGTGTTTGAAATGGCTTAATATATGGACTTAAACAGTTTTCTTTTCTCTTTGCTTTTAAATTCTCTGTTGAAGCTCTAGAATTTGCAAGAAAAGTTTATTTTATGTCATGAAACGAAGTTGAAGTTGAAATTGAAACGAGACATATTTACACATCTAACAAAAGTGAAAAACTGAAAGAATATTTATGAAAAAGTATCATGTAACTTAACTTTTAAAATGTCGATAATGTGGGTGGACAATCGGGAAGAAAAAATATTCGAAAACATCCATTGAATGTACATAAGCGCAAGTAAGAAATGTCGATGTGTTTTAATATAATAGACGAGACTAGCGGAGATGAATGTTGACAATTGACAGAGAACAATAGAGATCGAGCAGAAATGCTGAATAAATGTAAAGTTCATAATTTATAATACTAAGATATTTGAATCATAAATATTAAAATTTCAATTTTCTACAGTTTATTGAAAGCAAAAGTCATTAAAGATTTTTTTTCCTTTCTGCTTTTCTCGCCAAACACAAACAGCTTTCGTGTTGAAATGAATGAACAGCACATTATTGTGCATTTAAAATATTTTCAACAATTCATAAATGAATTGAAATGTGATCACAACTCGGGTGTTTCAAGTGACTAAAGATGACGATCATGCATTCTAGATAGGTTGATGCGGAAGTTTTTGAATGAATTTGCACCAACGTCGGTTTGTTTTCCAAAGTCTTTCGTCCACTGCTTATTTCATGAAGTAATCGAATAAAGTTTCACTTTTAATATGAATTTAAATCGTTGCTCTTACTCTGCATGCAGATGTTTGGATATTTCATGCCATTTTTACTCAACTACACATTTTGTGTGCGCTCTTTCCTTTCGACTTTAGACAGTATCATTGATTTCAATCTATTGAATGTGCGCGCACAGTTTGCTTTAATTCAATCGCAACATTATATGACTCGATGGAAACAAAAATTAATATTTGATATATTTCCAACATGTTTACTTTCATGTCAATAGAACGCACAGTTTGACATTGTCCATAGCTTAGACATCTTGTACATAATTTCAAGTCTGACATCAGGCTTGTAACTTAAGCTTGACATAATTAACTTCAAACATTGACTTGTTTTGGGATGCGAGTTGACATCTTTTGAGTGGCGGTGGCAGCAATAAACTTTATTATATATTTGTTGTTAAACTTTTTTACAACACAAAATAATTTATTACACAACATGCGAGCATATTGTAAAATATTTCATTTCTGATAGTTTCAGATGAAGTTTGAAATGTGCATATTTAAATGATTCAATCGACATTCTTCCAATCCATTTTAGTTTATAATTAAGCGACATTTTCTTAATTGATTTCCATTCCAACTTTATTTATTATTCATTAATCGAACCTATTTCAGTTTTTGTCTAATTATAAAGATTTATTATGATTTTCTCTATGACAAATGCTCAAATTTATTCATTGGAGATGAAAAACTCTTTTTTTTCTTCCTTTTTCAGTCATTCATTTGCTTTCGTTCTTCAAAAATATGAACAGCGAAACGTGAAATCAATAATAATTTTTCATATTTGTATTTCAGTATCAAGCAAGTTTGTTTGTACAATCTCTCCATTGCCATTGATCATGTATGATAATTTTTTTCTTTTTCAATTAAATAATCTACAGTTCTTTATTTGCCAAACTGATTTCCAGTGAAGTATTTTCTCCATCGAAAATCTAAAGCAAAGAAAAGAGCTCGTATAAGGATAAATATTGACAAACAATGGAGAGCTTGGCGTTCATAATTATACAAATGATTAGTTTATTGGCATTCCTTTCAACAAGCGCATTTACTTCAATCGATGTGAATGATAAATGAAATTTTTCCTATCTCGTCTATTAATAATGATTTTTTTTTCAATTCTCGTCCACGATTGCACATACGCAAGACCTCAATAATCATCAACGATGATCGATGTTCAATGAAGCCACTAATTATTTTCATGCTCTAAATATCGTGTTGTCGTGTCGCGAGTTGCTTGTCTAATTCAATATTCTGACGAAGAAAGGGCAACTTGGAAAACAATGGAAGCGATGAGCAGGGCAAGAAAGTGGTTACGACAACTCGCGTAGTTCACGAATTAATATTTAATTTATTGTTTCACACGTTGACGAGAACAAAAAAAAGTAACCGAGAAAAGAAATAGTTAATGACACCTTGTAAATGGACATAATGGGACTTCCTATGAATTGATTTGAAACGACTCAATGCGCTCGATTCGATTGAATCATGAAATGAAAATTGTTCTGGCTTTTCTATGGGAATTTCCTTCATTATTTAATTTCGATTTCTTTCAAATAAATATCTACGCAACTTGAAGTTTAAAAGGTAGAAAAAAATCAAACATTACTCACTGATCGATATCGCCACACTGTTTCTCACATACGACACAACGTGCATCTATGCCATCAACATCATCATCGTCTCCAATCGACTCGTTGTTATTCTCATGCGTGGACTCCTGTTGATTGCTGTCTAAATCGTTCGATGAAGCATTGAAGTCTTCTTCGTATGCGCCGCTATGTTGGGAGCCTGAAACGATACGAAGTGAGATTGAAATTTGTTTTTTATTTTTTAGTGTTTTTTTATGGACGCGGATGGATGGATGGAAAAAAAAAGAAGCGAGCAAAAATAAATCAATATTAATCACACAACGAGATCTTCTTACGAACCAGAAAATCGTAATTACATAACATAGATAAAAATTTAAAGTTGCTTTTAGTAGAAAATATTTCATTCGCTATTCAAACAAATCTCACAAACTCTTCTTAAAACAAAAGAAGTTCATACATGAGCGGCGGTTAAAGGAATACGAAGAATTGTGACCGCATCAACTAGTTTATTGAAGGCAAAACACAAAAATGTCGTTAATCTTATTAGTGGAATCACTCAAATATGACATGATTAATAATTTTTTATTCATCTTGAATCTTATTTCAACTTTTGTTTTTTCTTTTGTCTTTTAACTAAATTTAATCGAGGCTTCGACCTATCTATCATCGCAGTTATAACCAGTTCTCAAAATTTCATTCGTATTTGGAGCGTTTTTTTGTTGTTAGTTAAAGTTAAACTCGGACGATGAAAAAGAAGCTTGTGGAGAGATCTTGAAAGGAGATGTTTTCAATGAACCTAATGTCGTTGTTGTTTTGTTTCTTTTACACGTTTAAATATTTTTTTGTGACCTTAAGTTACACACGAGTGAGTTGAAAATGATGGAATTATAATCATTTGTCTGTTTGTAAAATAGATAAAGAAGTTTTTAAATATGCAAACTAGCATCTGTCACTTTTTTAAATTAAACGTCTTCCATTTTGAAATCTTCAATATCTTTTTTTTAATTCCTTGATCATTCTGCACATTTTTCTCTAACCATGTTCACATTCATATTGGATGATCTCGAACGCACGAAATCGCCGCACCACTCATTTAAATGATGAGAAATCATTTTTTATCGACTTAAACTGAAACTTGAAACATCAAAAAATCGCTAGAAGAATCAGCAGATCGGTGGCGCTGATCTATTTTAATTAATAACATAAGCAACTGGAATGCCTTGTGGACTCTTTCATGTGTGGGTGTATGCGGCTTTAAATTTTGAATCAACTTCCAGTTAATGACTGACGACTCGAAGCGAGCCACGACTTTCAATCCTTCTGCTTCACATCTTACATCTAAATAACTTGAGCTGAGTTGAGCTGATGAAAAAGCGCTTCCAGCAGAAATTTTTAATTCTGTTGTCTGTCATTTGTTACATCGCATTGCGCTCGGTGTTGGCTCGCTTGAGCCTTTTCAATTCATTTAACATCCATCCATCTTTTGTTATGTTTTTTATTACCACAAGCCACAACATTCATTCTTGTAATGTCTTGTTGTCTTTCGTCATAATTTATATTCACAAAAATATGTGTAAATATTATAATGAAAGAAAGATGAAAAAAAAACGCAAAACTAAGACGAAAAATGTAAAATAAGTAACAATCTTTCCTTCTCACTCTCTTTCAACTGCTCAATGAAAAGGAAAGTTTTTCTTTCTTTGACTTTCTGGCTACACAAAATTTTCTTTATACTATTAAATGAATCGCTTGCATGACTTTAAAGTAACCGATGCTTATTTGTTTGTGCTGTAGTTGTGTCCAAATATTTCAACATCTTTTTCGATTTCATAATTTTTTGTTTGTTAATAAAAATAAGCGCGACACGGCAGTAAACTCGCTGAACAAATTGACTCAATCTTCATTGATCTTTAATCGATGTTTTAAATATTTCTTTTTTTTTGGAAAGTGAGTTCAGTTCAGTGTTTTAATCGTCATATTTTTTTAAATAGGAAGTGCTCGAGTTTGGTAAAATAAAAATAAGTTAAGCGAATCTCGCAAGTCGATGTATGAACGAAGTAAATTAATTTCTTGTAACGAATATTTTCGCAGACTCATTTTAATCCAAATCCCAAATAATATAGAAAAAAGTAATTCTCATAATCGACCGACTTTAAATCAAAGCAGAATGACTTGGTGATGGCTTTAGAAATGAATAAATAATGAAAACAAAAAAATGGGGAGAGACCGAGCACGACTAAGAAAAACAGAAGGCAAAGAAATGAACGAAAGCAACCATGCGATATTGTTGTTTGAGGCTCCGCGGCGGAGCTATCGAGAGGTCTTTGTTTATGTTACCTCTCTTCCCGTAAAAGAGAATTTTATTTCTTTTATTTTGTTGGAAAAAATATATAAAATGTTTATTGTAAAGGCTGTTAATCATTGTTTGACATGACGCGTGCTGCTATTGCTATGGCTTTTCTTTCCATCAGATTTTTTTTTGTTCAACTTTTAATTTTCTTTATGTTGATTGTTTTTTTTCAACTTCAATAAAATATCATTAGTCAGTTTTACATGTTAGGACTTCAGGGATAATTGTTATTGAATCTAATAGTTGAAAGTGAAAACATAATTTTAAAATGAAAGCTTTTGTGAAAATGCTTTTAGTGCCTCGAGATCAATTTGAATGTCTTTAAAGTCGTCAGATTTTAACTTTAAAGTTTAAATAAGTTTTGTTTAAAAATGAAAGGAAATAAAAACAACGATTTAAGATTAAATAAAAACTTAAACGAACCCTCGAGCTCTTAATTTACACCATCAAAAAAAATCTTCACAGCGGTGTGCATTGTTTGATCACTAACTATCACACTCCCTTGCTAAGATTACCTTACAACACTAAAACATCATGTGTAAGATCATAAAACACGATTTAAATACAATAATTTTATCACTTATTACCTTCTTTAAAGTTGGAACGCTTCAATGGAACGCGCACGAGATATTATTAAGATCCGAATAAAAATTAATCTTTCTTTTGTGTCGGCACTCGAAGAGCTTTAAGAACTTGTTGCTCTTTATCTTTCTGTTTAAATAAGGAAAATTATACGAGAATCTTCAGTCACGTCTTTGCAGGTCTTCAAACAATTTCTAAATGAGCTTCTTCACCAATGAGTGGTAGAACAAAAAAAAAAAGGAAACAATATCATCGAAGGCAATTGTCCACTTAATTTCAACGTGAATTATTGTGTGGTATATGGAGTGGAAATCATGTAAATTATAACAAACTATTATTCACCCCCTCCAACATGTCCATCATAATATGTTTGTCTGTGTTGGCTAGGACGTTCGAGAAGGAAGGGAAAGGATGGCTTGGCTTAGCTTGACTACCTACACTGAACTCGCTTTTACGCACGAAACAAATAAATTTATTCTTTGCACTGTCGTGTGGTCAAACATGTGAAGATCCTGTTTGATTCAACACACACGCAAAAAAAAAAGGAATCATAGGGCACTGATGGAATAAATAAATGCACAGGTGAAGGGAAAGTCATCGGTCATAAGTAACTGATAATAGTTTGTACACGAAACAGCCGCTTTTTTCCGTTATAATCAGCGATTTATTTTGACTTATGTTTGTTTGATTATAGGCAGTGGCAGAGTTCATTTTATTCTAGCATTTATGCTTTTTCACATGTGATTGACATTCACTGACTCTGAACTAAATGACGATTGTCGTCAATTGACATTTAATGTGTTAATTCTCGAATTTTGAATGTTGTTGATTGACAAATCGCGGCTTGTGAAGTGATTGATTATAAGTCACTATTTATTTGAATCAGAAGAAGAGAGAGAGAGAGAAAGTGAATAATTGTTTCAATTAACTATTAGCAATTGAGTTGAAATTGGGTGGAGAAATATTTATAATTCATTCATTTAAGAATAGAAATGAAAATTGAAAACTTTTCCCACGAGTTAAATATTCCTTAGAACTTGTTGACGAACAATGAGGAATTAAATTATTAATTTGCATTTTTAAGGAGTCATCCTTGAGCTGCCATCAGTGATATGGTGCAATATGGTGTTTGTCTTAATAGTTAAGCAAAAGTCGTTTTCACATGAGAAAATTCAGTCGCTTGGAACCAAGCGTCATGTGTTGAAGAAACTTCGTCATGTCCTTTTTCTTTTAACAAAATTTCAGTGACTTATGATGTTTTTAAAGAAGCTAACACAGCATATGGCATGACTTCGGAATAAAATTATTCTAATTTGCAATTTTAGATTGGAATTTTGACATGACGAATGAATGAGACAAGAAGAATTCCCACAACTTTCTGAAAACTCGCTTCGACCTGGTGGTGAGCGAGGAAAGATGTTAAACAGGTGTGTCGAATTTCAAGTCCACTTCTTATATTCATGCATTCCAAACTGCGAGAATAATTGTAGAAATATTAATTGATCACTACAAGATTGCCATTAAAAATCTTTTTTTTCTGTGCAAAAATGTTCCAGTTAATGTCCAACCGAGAAAGCATCTGAGAAAGCATAACTTAGAGTAATTTAAATCGTCTCTTAATCGGATTTTCTGTCTTTTACGCAACAGCAAAAAATCTTTATTTTAGCTTTCGCGAAAGAGTCCGTAGAAAATCAAGTTAAGCTCATTTGCATGGCGTGTCGTTTCATTAAAGATTCAACGTTAAAATGAAAGCAACCAACAACCTGGAGATTTACAAATGTCAATTTTTTTCATGACATGATGCGCTTTATGATAAGTTGTGAGTGTCACACGAAGTGAAATGAAGTTTTATTAAAAACAAAAACTGGAAATCAAAAGTCATGCGATGCCCGACCACAATCGAAATTAATTCATGGCAAGGACTTCCGCTTGAAATCGAAAATGACTTTGCTTTTATCACCGAAATACGATCAAAGTAAGATTGCGTGTTTCGGTGCTGACCATTCAAAAATTTATCCGAACTCATTTTTTAAAAACTCGGGTTGAAGTTTAATCGTTGGCCATTTACGGTTTCGTTTGAATTGAACAAGTCAAAGGATCATAGGCATAAGGCATAGTGAACATGTAGACATTAATTGAATATGCAAACACCTGCTTCAAGTTTAACCGTTTTTAACCGAAAAAAAAATCTTTCTTCGCAGTTTCAATGTCAGTTTTGAGAGTGAAGCTTGTTTATTTTATTTTTTTATTTCGGCGAATGATTGAATATAAAATGACATGTGAGCGATAAATTATCAGCTAACGATGTGTTGTTCTTGATGTTACTATCAATTTAAAGCTGATTAGGTTGTGTTTAACATGCATGTTCGAGTCAACAATGACACAGTTGGATTTAACCCGCACATAATTGAGTAATTTCATGTTGCAGCGATCGATTTTGCTTTCTTTATTTTTTTAACGACTAAACATGAGATTCACATGTGCCCCTCCTTTGTTCATGCAGAAGCATATATCTTGCAACATTTATCATTTTTTAGTTTCCCTCATTCGACATTTTATGCACAAATCACTATTTTTTGTCTTCTCTCCACACGTGTCTGTGATTTTCTTTGTACGACACACGATGAAGTTGGAAAGTCAAACACATGCAACGTTCGGTTATGTCCAGGTTAAGTTGATCAATTAACACGCAACAATTAATAGTGCGTGGGAAAGAAACTTTTATGGAATGTTTACACTTGTTTTATTTTTAAGAATTTTTTTTTGTTTTATTAAAATCGTGGAACTTACTCACTGAAACTTCTATTTATGTTAATGAACAGAAACTATTCCACATATATTGAATTGTATTTTTTTCCTTAACTGATTTAATTTTGCAATATTTAATCGAATTAAGTTCAATAAAATATTTTAGACAGATATGTCTTTATTTAAACATGCATTTATGAATATTCAACCCTAAATTAAAAGTCAGTCACAGAAATAACAAATTTTTTGCACAATCTATTTATTTAAGCAATTTTCCGGATAATTCATGTGACAAATTATCTTTCTAACTGTGGATATATATAAAAGCGACATTAATTGCACTTTTAGGGGTAAAACAAGGATCGTGTGTCATCATCTCATGCCTAACATTTTTTATCCTCATTTCGAAACAATAAAAAAGGAAAAAAAGATTGTTTCGGTTTATTAGGCTGCAAATCGATTGACAACAAATTTAACGACACACGATGACAGAAAAAAATTGATCGAAATTATATTGTAAAAAAATCTGAGCTGAAATCGACCGCTGCTTATTCCATTTCATTACTCTCATGATTACGATATGATGTCGTTTTTTTGTGCATTGGAAACAGCGAGAAACAATCACACGCATCATGATGTAAAGCAGTGGCTGCATTAAACACGCAATGTGCAACAGTAGCAAAAAATATAACAAAATTTCCCTCATATTTGCTCAATTTATCACATTCATTCAAAGATGCAAACAAAAGCGAACGGTGTTGATGTCTCATTGTCCCTTAATTTAATAAAATAATCATCAAACCCTAATATAGATGTCAGAAAATGTTGACTGTATCATTGCCCTCATCGAGGGTGAATAGAGCTGTCAGATTTCAAAGTACAACCGTCAGATCATCACACGATTTTTATTAATTGCAATGCAGTTGTTTAACAAAAGCGAAACGAATTCCGATTAAAATTTGTATTCAAATATTTCATTAAAAGATAAGAAAATCGCGCAAGAAGAATGAATGATCAACGCGCGCCTTAATTATGTTTTCTCTCTTTTCATAACAAATCAGCACTCACTTCATTTAATCCATCAAACGATAATTGCCTTCTTTTCATTCGACAAACATTATCTGATATCAACCTCAAAAGAGCTTTGCATAAACAAACATTTTAACTGACTCAATCATATCGCGGTCTAATCTCTTCTCTCCTTTCGCTCTGCTTCATTTTGAATGAAAATAAACGGCGCGCGCGATTTATGTTGCTGATGATTATCAAAAAAAAAGGAGAAAGATGAAGTTAAAATATTTATTCGTGGAATTCATTTTCGAGCATCTGTTGCGACTTGCAAGTCTTGATTTTATGAAACGTTTTGTTATTACGGGTGAGAATTTAATTCCATGAAACAAACTATTCTTATGAACCTATCATTTGCTATCACATAAGCCTGCCCTTTATGTTAGATACAATACCCGAATGAATAAATCTGTACATGAGGGATTATACAAATATGCTGTTTATTGTCATGATGCTTATTATGTCATTGGACTGCCTACAATCATTTGTATGCCCACGTACAACGCTCGCATCATAAGTCGTCATCATAAATATTAATTCAACATCATAGGGGTAATTTCAATCTGACTTCTTTCAAATTTTGCTTCTGAATGGCATATGTTATTGTGTGATCATTGAGATTTTGTTTTTGCATTTTCGACATTCAAATGTGATGAGTGAAAGCTACAAACCTGATCCTGATCGATCATCAGTTTCTCGTCGCATATCACTAAAATGTAAAGGAACTTTGGGTCCTAAAAGTAGCTCAGTGTCTGGGTAAATATCACATATCACTTCGTACCAAATCTGTAAAGAGAATTTAAATGATAAATATAAGCGATAAGTTTCTATATGCGGTTGCTTTTAACGTGAACTCACTTGACCATTAATAAAAATATGTTGAATGTTGACTGACGCACTTTCATCAGTGCTGTTTATATTTTTCATCCAATTTGTAGGCTCACTTGAAGCATCATACCAACAACGAATACTTGGCGAAGCAATGATCTAAGGAAACAGAGAAGAGAATAAGAAAACGAAAGAAATGGTATAAAAGATGGATGCAATTTAACGTAATTTCATATTTTGAATTGGTAGAATCTAGTACAAAATTTGAAAATTTCTCAATAATAACGATTGTGTCTCTTAAATTTTTTTACATTATATTCTTTAATTAAATTTTAAATGACAACTGTGACTAAATAAAAGTTAATCATTAAAAAAAACTTTAAGTTTGACTGTGAAGAAGGATCTTAAATATCTTCCTATAAGAAGAATAATCAAAAATTGTCACGAAACTAAAATGCGATAACAATAAAAATTATTAATCCATCTGTTGGCATTTCATTGGCAACAGCATGAAATAAATGTTGCATTTGAAGAAATCACATCAATTTATCATAAAGTAAAGCATGAAAAACATGACATATCGGTAAGTCAAAGACACTCACTTGACCTCTTCTAAATAACCCTCTTCAAAAATTGTGTTTAAGTAAAACATAACTTGAAGGAAAGTGATCACCGTAATAAAATAAACATAAATTTGTTATTATCCTTTCAACTTAAGTATGATGTAATAATGCTGTGAGAAAGAATAAGGAAGGGAGTCTATTTCCACCCTCGTTGTTGTTTTCTTTCTAAACACCGAAAATCATGTTCAAGGAGTAAAAACAGTTATCAAGGAAAGTTGGATGATTTTTGATATTTCCCTTCCAGTTTTTCCTTCCACCCCCTACATTGTGTTCCTTTATATTTAATTATCAATTTCCAGGGATAAGATTTACGTTTCAAAACAATTTCACACTCGCATAAAATGTTTCTCTGCTGTTGATGTAATCTATTAAACTTTACAATGATTGCGAAAATATGTTGAACACCGCCGAGGGATGATTGGATTGTGAAAATTATGTGTGAATTTTTGAAGCTTAAATAAATCAGGGAAGTGAAACGGAGCAATACGAAGGGTGGTTTTATGATTTAAATGATTTTAATAAGCGTTTAGAAAAATATGTGCCAAAAATTTAATGTCTTTAGGATTGTTTGAATTCTTTCATCATTTCTTGTGAATTGAATTTGAAACTGTTTTGAAACCAAATCACGTACAGAAGTGAAGTGAGAAGACTTGCTGTGAATTGAGCTCCAGTAGAGAGAGTAAAAGATTAACTGTGTTGAAATTACAAACAATAAGCTCAACTAGAAATCTTCGATGAGTGCATCAAAGTCTAAAAGCATTCCATTGTCATAACATGAACGACATTAGATCAAATGAGAGACAAACTGTTTTATTGTCATCTTTAAATCGGGTGTATGTCCTTGCAAGATTGTTTCTAATATTCTTCTCTTTTATATTGTAACCATCTTGTAATCTTTCAATAAAAATATTTTTCTTTAACTCATACTTATCGATTTTCAATAAAGTGTGAGGATTAAGGTGCTTAACACAATTTTGTTTCCTTTCAACATAACTTTGATATTTCTTAAGAATTTTTGCACATCCGCCTGCTACATTTTTAAACACGATAAAAAAGTTTTTGAAAGATATTGAAAGTATTCTGTCAAGAATTTATTTCATATCGAATAAGTCGTCAACCAACCGTTAAGAACTTCCCCAAGCAGTCACAGGGTGAATCGAGTTAAATGATAATTTCTGACCACTTAGAAACAGATGTTTCTTTGTATGTGCCTTTTTATTTCATTTCGTTTTATTGCGATGCTTCGATGAGCTTCACTTCTTGCGCTTTATTGAATTTTCCTTTTTTTCTGGGGTGATTTAACATAATTTTTATGAAATTTAGCTGTGTGCATATTTGCAACTTATTTGCTGATCATGACTAGCTGGAAGATAAATCATAAATCTCGTAATAACGAAAAAAGAGAAGAAAAAAACTTTCACGATGTTGTCTGCGACTGACAGGAAAATTTATTAGTTTTTCTGTTCTCTCTTAATAACTTACACGATGAAATTATCTTCCGAATTTGTACGAAAATTTAAAGACGATAAATTCCCTTGTTAGAAACTAATTACAACCCGTCAAATAATTTCTCAGCTTTTCCTACTTAAGGAAAGAGAAGCGTGAAGGGTAAATAAGGAAACATTTAATTTTTTATGCATGATTTCTTTCGTCATCTGTTCGCTACTTGGCAGGATCAACGGATAAGTGTTTTATTTAGCGGGAAATATCTTCATTTAATTTTTAATAGCCGGCAATAATCACTGAGAAATTAAATATCAAACATTCTGAAGTTTATTGACTTGGTTATATATTTAGATGAATGCATAGATAAAGTAACGTTGACTGTTGAATGATAAAAAAAAATTCCTTCATTGCTTTAATAGAAATGAAAACTTTTTCACTTTATCTATGACTTTTAACAACACACTTTTAACTAATTAAATGAAATATTTGTTCAACATGAGAAACGACAGAATGAAACAGTTCTTGAGAGAATAAAGTTGAAGTCAACTGTTGAACTTTTAAGTTAAAAAAATATTTAATTACAAACTCAGATTACGAGAATCAGAGAACAAAAAAATGGCATAAAATCAGCATGACGCCTTTTGAGAAGCGTTTTCATGTCGTTATAAAAGTTGATGCTCAGCTTATCCCCTCTAGTCATTTGAAAGAATCTCGATTGTGTGAAACAGTAGGAGTGACTAAGTGATTTTTCAGTTTTCACATTTCATGTTGTGTTGTGGTGAAAATATTTTCTAATTAAGAACTCTAGAGTTGAAAATTATCAACATCAGATGACGATTATATCTTAGATTAAATCTCAAACAGCAGCGTGACAGAAATGATGGCCGACTCGTCCAAACATTTGTTGAAAATTAATTTTTCTCTCGCTTTTTTTTGTTCGTTTTGTACACTGACCGAGTTATTAATAACAAACACATTTTACAATATTTATGAGCATCTATAAATTTGAAAAAGGTCCACGAATCTCAGATCTGATCCTTTCAAGCAGAATAAATCCCACTTACTTGTGAATTGGTAATTGCTCAATTTATATTCAAAAAGGAAGAGATTAACTCGACTAAGAGTGAAGAGACTTTGACTTTATGCGAAACATTAAACATAAAAAGCTTGAAAATCTGTTTGTGAATAAATTTCCTCAGCCCTTTCGTTCTGATTTATTTAAGAGGTCTTTTTTATTCTATTTGACTCTGGAAATATTTATTTATTTAATCGAGCTCTGATCCCTTAAAATTGATAAAACATTTCAAGGATATTCAATTAGGCTGAGAAGGGGAAAAAGCAAATTGTTTTCCATCTGAACGAATTGATGAGCATCGAGAAGTCAAATTGTGGTTTTAAAGTGGAAAACGTTTTCTAAAAATCCTTCTCAATTGCAATGTTAAAACATAAAATAAGTGAACATTCATGATGAAGTTCACCCTCGTAAGTGGTTCGTATAAGCAAACGTTTTCCATTGAATAATTCACTGCTCATTAACGAGTGTTTTTCCTCGATTAAAAAAAGAAAGAAAAACTTTTAACATAACATAAGAATTCAATCTCATTTGCTCCTTGATTGTTGGGAAAACAAAACGCACAGGGGTCGAAGCATGTTAACGATAAGACTTCTGAATGGGCTCAACATAAATTCGTTGTATTGATTGTTAATGATTGGAATTGTGTTTGAATTTTTCATAAGCGAAGTATTTCCATTGAGTATCATCATAATGAATGTAGAAGAAGAAAACTCAAAACTTCAACCACATCTGTCAATCAAAAATGTCAAAAGTTAATTTTTTATGTGGCTTTTAAGTGATTTGCATAATTTTCTTCCACTCTAAGAGTCTCCGTTCCGAATTAGTCATGAAGCAATGAGAAATCAATTGAAAAGTTTTGAAACGATTTTATTTGCTGTTCATTCAAATCTAAATAAATATGAAAAGTGTCCACTTCAGATTGTGGGAAAGTTTTTCATATTGAATTGCTGTTGTGCAACGGATAATTACAGACTATAAACTCTTTCATTTAAATGTAATTTAATATGTTGAAATGCAAATACAACAAACGACGGTTATTAAGTCAAACATCGTTAGATCGGTAGAAGTTTCGTCGAAGATCGCCCCTTGAAAAACTCACAGTGGACAGCAACATTAAAATGCCATAAATAACATTTCAACATTGCATAAAAAGAATTCGTCTTTATAAACAAGACATAAATTAAATGATATAATAGAAAATTTCGACCCTTACGTGTTAACGAAAATATTTAGCACGGAGATGTTTAGACTAAGGGCGAGTCAATTGTTTTCCCCTTTCTATTGAGAGTCCATCAATGCAAAGGTAAAGCGTCAATTTGAACCTTACACGTCCCATCGAATGTCCTTCAACAACAAGACATGTTTCTAGTATTGTGTGTGAACACGAAACGATAGATAACAATGTTATATTCATTTCTCTCTCATCCAGTTCCACGAGCACAAAGCCAGGAGGATAACAAACGTGTCAATTTCAGATTTCCTTAAACTTTTTTTTTCTTCTTCTTTTTATTCTTGCATCGTCTCGGGGTGACATGCATTAAAGAAGACATAAAAATGAAGTTTCCGAGTGAGAAAAACGTGGTAAACTGTCATGTGACGAGATTACGCATTTCTTTGAAGTCTTCCAGTGAACATTCAACAATGGACATTGAAAGAAAATTGTTTAAATAAATTCTAAGCGACAGAAAACCTTTTAAATACATTTCGATTGTCTTTTTTATCAGAACTTTTGATGAGGAATAAAAAAATCTTTTTATGTCAATCAGGCAACGAATCAAGATGTGAAATTGATAAAAATCTTCTTCAAAGGCTTCAGCGAAACTATTTTGTGTGTGTGTGATTGAAGTCACATTCTTCCTTATTTTGTTGAAGGAAAACGTGTGTAAACAAATCTCATTTCATGCTTTGGGCTTCATTTCTCAATCATCATGTGAACAATGGAATTTGTGATCGCTATAATTACGTCCAGGTAGCTTCAAAAAAATAAGAAGTAAAATCTGTCTTCAAAGAAGTGACAAAAAGTCTGTGAAAAGACGAGAGATTAAGGATGAACTCTAAATGATTTTTCTTCAATATTCTTACTTGACATATTCATTGCAGACCGGGAGTCGACTGCGGATGGACTGAAGAGAAAGTAAATTGAAAGGGAATTGAGTGTTAAAGTAATCAGATTCCTTTTTTTCACTCTATTGCAACAAAACGATGATGCTTCGTTGATGTGTACACAAAAGATGAATAAAATGTTTTTATTCATGTCTTTCAAAGTATTTCACTAACAGAAAATGAGAATGAAGATTGATCGTCTGCTTGTCTTCAACTTTTTTTTCAATTTTCCGCTTGAGATCTAAAAAACTATGTTTAATTATTGTGCAACTATAATAAAGACATCATCGATTGAAAGGGGAAAATGATCATCAATCTTTATTTTTTTATCTTGTTTTCATTCAAGCCTTTTTTTATCAATGATTCTTTGTCAAACTTGATGGTGACATAATTAATGATTCTTCTCTTAAATATCGAATTGAATTTGATCGGATTTGAAGCACAAATAATTAGTGGAGACTGTTTTTCAATTAAAACATTAATTTTAACTTCAAGAAGTACAAATTATCCTCTTTACTAAGTGTTAAAATCTTAATGAATCTCCTAGAAAAAATCTTTTAATGACAGTAAATCTTTCCGACCTTAAAGAACAAGAATCTTGTCATAAATCCCTTCAAACTCTTTTTATTGTCTTTAAAAATGTCTCCACGAAAGTTTTTTTTTTCGGTTTCTTTCTTCAATTACTTTTCTTTTGTGTATTTGATTGCATTTAACTCTTTTAAATCTCTTCGGCAACCCTTTCATTTATAGATTCCTTTAAAACATTCATGGTTGTGCTTGAACTCTTCCTTGGTGTCAATCAAAAATACATCTAATGAAATACATTATCTCTGGTTCATTTACTCATTTACACCTGGGCCTGGGGTTGCCTTAACTAAGATATTCAATTTTCAGTTGATTTGACTACAAATCCAACAGCAACACTGACAAGGGAGAAAAAAGATTTTCTGTCTCTTGTCGCTTGTATTTATTTTAAAACATTGATATGTTTGCGCCTAAACTTGACTACCTGGTCGTCGTAATAACAACAACTCTCTTCGAAACATAAAAGTGTGATGTTACAACCATTCAAAGATGCTTTTCTTTTGAAGTACAAACAACATAATAAGAAAATTGAGATGTCATAATCACTCCAATATTAATTGAATATTGAAACATTTTTTTCTCTTTTTTGATTATTGGGCGAGTGAATTGGATTCTCACTCATTGCAGCCCTACCAGATACTGCTGTTCGTTCAGGGTCCTACAAAGCAATGAGGGTAATTTGTATTTCTATCTTTTTTGTCTGCATCTGATTCACGACTTTCAAGTCTCTCTCAACGGTAAAAGGGTTCACGCAACATTTTTTCTTTCTTTTCGCAAAGCGATTTAAGTATCATTTGTGTTCAAATTTGTGGATATGCAGTTGATTCAGTCAATCGTGACATTTTGATTTTGATGCGTCATCACACCTCTATGTGTTCTTCGAAATTCAATTGTGCAAAACGAGAGAATTGAAGCGATTTTAATCCCTAACGACCGAGACAACAGATGAATGTCTCTGAGGGATTTCAATCTTTTATTTTCCTTTCAGATGTTGTAGATAGTGCAGTCTGTGTGAAATTTAATCAACTTTCACTTAAAGACTTCTGAAGCTGCTTTCTCTAGTCTGTTTCAGTCTCTTCTTTCAATGAACTGAAAAACGAGAAAATCCTGTCGTATTGTAAAAGGATTAGCTACTGGCAAATTTTTGTTAGCTTCCTGGTCTTTTTTATGGGTTTTTTCACTGTTCACTCAAAGCTGATATGCTCATTTACAGCATCTCGACAATCTGTCAACATGAAATTAACTCAATTTGGCGCAAAAATAAGAGAAGCAAATCTCATCTTTTTTCGTTTGATCCATTACGCAAATGTCTGTGTTTGCTTTATCTGTTAGCAAACCGGATTACCGCAAACTGTTCAATTACGAGTCAAATTGCATTGGATCGAACACGCAAAAGCGTTTGTAATCCTAAAGGGATTATAACAGTTAACCACAATGGAGAATGAATACATGCGTATTGGCACAATCATTAAGCGAAATTGTCAGTAAGCAAGTGGCATTGTTCATTCAACTGAAACAACACAAACGAATTTTTATTTTGCGATGTGCTGTTATTGATTCCACCCTCAAAAAACCAACTCATACATATGACAAACATTTATTTGAACACGAGAAAAAATAAATATCCAACATCGTTTTTCCATTTCTATTACACCCGATTACGTGTGATGACGCTTTGAAATATCATCACGTTTTTATTAGTTATGGTGGTTTGAACATTTCACAAAGAGATTTTTGATCTTTTTGTGTCGTTCGTTTCAAAGCTAAACCAAGTATCGGACTATGACTTTTTAGATTTCCTTTTGTTCTCAACTGCACATTTCTACGGGACACGTTTTCGCTTCAATTTGCTATATGAAACAGCAATACAACTGAAATGTTGTCAACGTTCATGCTATGAAATTGAACGTAGGAATGATGGATGTGCTAAATTATTTAATGAAAATAATGATCATGTAATAAAAGTTTAATGACAACAATAATGTTTGTTGAACAATGGGCACGTTTAGATGTCAAACGCTTTTAAAATAAAAGGAGTAGACGATAGTGTAAATTAATCATTAGAGACACACGCTGTTGTATAATGAATCGCTTCACGCTGAATTATTTCTAATGTAACAGATGAAAAATGACTTATAAATATCTCTGAAAAACTCACCTCCCAAGCATATCGTCGATCAAGTGGCTTATCAGTAAATTTTGCATTAAATGGTCCGTATTTTGTTCCTTTATTTATTTTTGCTTTTGAAAACACAGCACCGTTGCGAACGTCGAGGTTTTGTGTTTGATCATGTAGAAAACGAGACATTTCTTCAAGGAGAATCTCGTTTGTTAACTGTGGAAATAATTTTAATTAAATTAAATTAATTAGAATGATTTTTCAACTTACTTTTTTATCACTGTCTTTATTATAATATGAATCACTGCTTGGACTCAATGGAATTACATCTAATCCTCTTGGAACTGTGTCCAAACTTGAAGGAACACCACGAGATGTGTCTGATTCGTCACCACTGCTTCCTGCAATGAGAATTTATAAAATAAATTAATTTATTTTCATTCAGAACAAATTCTTAAGCGTCATAAACTTCTTTTAAGCAAAGATAATTATTTTGTTGATTCATATGCTTTTTTTCCCATTTCTTATCTTTTCTCTTTAGTAAATTTCTTTTCCCAAATGATAATGAAAGAAAAACCACTAAAGGAGGTTTGTTAATCCTTGAGTGGTTTTTTTGTTTTCTGCTCAATGTCTAAGCAAACAAATCTTGGAAGATTTTCACACAACAGAAAGACACAAAAATTTTAAAAATATCAATTTCAAACAATTTTTCGAAACATCTTGAACAGGTAGAAGAAGATAACGAAGATGATGGCAGTTTTGGAAGAAGATAAAAAAATTATCTAAATACACAAAAGACTTTTTTTCTCTTTCAACCGATAGGAAATCATTGAAAAAATATCATAAAATAATTTCCGATGATCTTCCACTGTGAAATTGGAGACGATAATTTTATTATCATCAGAACGGAAGTGAAATTTTCTTTCAATTTTTTTTTATCCAATTTTTTCACAAAATTATCTGCACATGAAATTTCAACATCATCATCACTTGTAATATTTTATTCATTTTTCATCATCTCACAACAATAAAATCGCACGCGTTTTGGCTTAAGTTACGTGAACCCAAAACTAATTTAATTATAATGATGTTTATTCATAAGATGCAAAATAAATACATCAAGCAAATGATTTTGTCGTCTAAGTCGTTCACCCTTTTCTTCCCTTGAGTTTGCCTTTGCTAAAAACCTGAATTCCGAATTCTCTTAGGACTTCAAGGATGTCGAAAAATTGCTGCTGCACACCTTTTAATCATATCACATTTAAATCAGACTATGATGGAATAAAGCAAATGGTTTTATTTCAATATGCACACGCAGGCAGCCTCTTGCATATTCATAAAAGAAATTTTATTTTATTTCTTTCTTTACCTGGCATCATTAATCCGTAATCAAACATATTCTACTATTAAAATCCTTTTTCACAAGTCAAACAAAAAAATATATTTAAATCCTTCAACACTTAACGCTTGCTTTCTTTCTTTAATTTATCGACTTCATTTGTCATTCGCAATTTCATAATTGCATGCACTCGATTCCCTTCTTTGAATTGAATAAATTTTCACTTTGTTTAATCACGTCGTTAATTAATCTTTTCTATTATAATTTTCTTTTTGCTTTCTTCTTGCCGATTCTGGCATGTGGACACCAACAAATCATCAATTATTATCTCATTTCGGTCACATTAACATTCCAAACGTCACAATAATTCACTGTCGTGGAAGAAAGTTTAATTAAATTCAATTTGAGAATATAAATATCGTTAATTGCATCACACACGAAAACTTCAGTCGTCGTCTTTTCAAACGTTAAATCGCGCAATGAAAGAAATCACAGCAAAGCACATCGACATGAATGAGTGCAAAGCAATATCCAGTTGTCTGTCTGCAGGATTCTTACAAACTAAAAATTGTTTTTCGAGATTCCCATTGTCAAGACGAGAAAATCTCTACGTGCTTATTTTATTTTGCGAAGCTCTTCCCCTTCCCCTAACTTTTATTTTCTTCTTTTTTCGGTATAGTACAAGAGAAGTGATTCCGAAGAATCATTATAACATAGATTTTTCTCTTATATTCAATATCACTATCATAACGAAAAGAGAATCGAAACATGTATCTGCTTGAATAACAACAACAACATCATGAACGTGTGTTTGTACTGAAGAGCGCATCAAAGGATGAACATTATGTTGCGAACGAGAAAGGGAGCGGGGAGGAGCCATCGTTGGGCGGGTATTTTTTAACCATCGCACAATTCTTTCGGAGGGATAAAAATCCGACAATGATAAATACGGGAGAGCGAGATGCGACTGCACAGAGCATGATAGAATTTTCATCTGAGTGTGTGTGTGTTTGTGCGAGAGCGTTTATCGATGCTACTGCTGCTTCTTTTCACTGATTGTGCTTGTCGAGTCTCACAGTAAACATATTTATAGAATCTGAAGCACAATATACACAGAACAGCATCCGTAGTCGCTATCATTGGATATATTCAGCAACATAAGAATAAGTAATGTCTCATGAGAAAGAGAGAAACTCTTCGTTTGTATCATGAGCAGTGATAATATTGTTCGGGAGATATTTTTTTTCGTTTTTCGTACCCTGTTTCATACATTCATACAACGAAGAAGAGATATTCTGTGTGTGCTCTGCCCGGGGATAGGAAAAAAGCAAAGATAACTGAAAAAGGGCGTGATAGATACTTAGTGCTAAAAGAAGGAAAATAATATGTTGAAGTTCTGTGAGTTTGCGGATTTGTCGATATCTCTCTGTGAAAGGATAAATAGAAAACGAAAGAAAAAGAAAATTGCTACTTTAAGCTACAATCATTGATAACTGATAGAGATACAATGTGGATTGATTTGATTTTATCTTCGCTTTGATTTTCATAATAATATCAAGAAGGAAAATTGACTTGATGAATAAGTTGTGATGCCAAATAAATTAAAAGTCAAGCTTAAACCTTCTGCGAAAATTAATCGTCTTCATAAATCCATATTTCGCAAATTGTTATTTATGATTGGAGATTTAAATCCAATAAATTTATTCACAACATACGCGAAGGGATGATTTTTGCGAAAAAAGTTTAAATTGGAATTTGTAAGTTGACACGCAACTGTGTTGGCCCATTAAAAATTTAATGAACACGATCATAATATATTTGCATGACTTTGGAAGTGATTGAAGGAAAAGTTTTATAAACTAAATCACAGACACGATCAACAGGGGGTGAGAGTGACAAAAGGTAGAAAAAGAATATTAAATGTAATTTAAAATCATTAACATAAGATTACATTTACGAATTGAAATCAAATAAAATTGAAAACATTTTGGTTCTTTCACTCGCAACATTTAACATTTATTTTAATTTTTGCATGTGCAATGAACGAAAAGTTTTTAATTTGAATTTTCTTTGAACATCGCAAACACAATTTCACATCATAAATCACCAAATGAAGACATTAAAAACTATTCAAACATAACTTTTATTGCCTTTTTTTTCGGTATCTGTCGGTGTTTAGTTGGCAAGCACCCTGAAACATAGCAAAAAAAGATAATAAATTTTAAATGGTGTATTCATTGGTGTCATGCGATGATACCGAAGAAATGTGAACATGGAAATCGGTCTTTCAAATTAAACCGTAACCCCCTGTTCATGTATCATCGCATTTCAAGGGAGAGTTTGGTTCACAGCATAACGATAGACATTAAAAGGTGTAACAATGTTCAAGTTCACATTTATGAATTAATTAATGCAATATCTCTTTTATGACATGCAAATGTCTTGTAAAACATATGTAAATCTGACATTATTAAGACGCTTTACTCGTACTTTCTGCTCGATTGTGTCTCAGGCAAAAAAGATCTTTCAAAGCTTTTCGGAAGAGCTGCTAGGGAATAATAAATTCTTAATAAAAATATTCTTGTTAAAAACACTAAACAAAAAATCAACATTCAAGTATTATAAATGATATGCCTGCAGTCTCGAATCAAAAATCGTTTTAATCTTATTCCTTGTAACAAAAAAATAAAAAAGACGACATATTCAAATTTTCCGATGTGTGAAAAGTCATGAGATAACAAATGCAATGCAATGAAAGAAAAAAAGGCGAAAAAAAGGTTTTAAAATTGAAAAGGGTGAAAGAAATGTGGAAAGATGCGAAATGTTTCTATTGTTTGGCTATTTTGAATAGAGATTGTTGGCTGACTTCTTTTTTGAAGATTCCTAAAAGTCAAAGACTTCTGGCCACCCAACTTTAATCCCACAAAAGGCGAACAGGCAATAAAACGAGCAATTTAAACTGGTTCATAAAATCGATTGGTGATATCGACGAGAATATAAATTACATTTTACAATTCAATTTCATTGAAAAGAAAGAAACGATCGATCCTTGGACCTTATCTACAATTTCAAATCCAAATAAATGGGCAGTGAATGTAAAAATTCTTTTTAAACTTTAAAAAGTTATCGCAATTGCATTACAAGATGATGAACAATACGATTTTTTTATCGACCAGCACATGTTCATGTGCATGCTATCAGAATATCAGATTATAGAACAACATTTCAGTTTAAAAATTGATTCAATAAACAGCAAACGTTGGTCTTGCATAAATCACATAGCGAGACCAACCCGAAAGCAAGCACATAACCCGAAGGTGTTTTCCCTTTACTCATGCACATTCTATGCTTGTTTAAATAACTAATTAAATGTTCAAGTTTTCCCTTCTTTCTCAACATGACTTTTACCGCAGGAAGGAAAATTCAATTTGTTGCTATTGAAATGGTCAAAGCTCTTGTCAATAGCGTCAAGAGAAAGTTAATTTAAAAAAGATCTTCAAATATTATAAAAAGGTGAGAAACTAGATTTATAAATTCGTTGGTGACATTAAAATTTGACCACTTTTAAGCATCAAAAGGAGAAACAGCAGGTTGACTTTTTCCCTAACTTTTTTATCGTGTCAAAGCTTTTACAAAATTTTAAATGAAAATTTTGATGAAAGGCTTTTGAGAAAACCTCCTTGATGATGTTTATGACAGTCTTTAATTTCTTTTTTTTTCTTTCGTTATTTTCCTTCGACAGATACACAATAAATGAGACAAAGAAAAATCTAATTAACTTGCAACAATGTTTTGTTCAAGGTTTTGTTGATTGAATCAATTGCAAGGTTATCTGAAAGTAGGAAAAATAATTTTCATTTTGTTGGTTTCATGCCACGCTTTTTGATTCTTCCACGAGTCTGTCAATTTCTGAATAATTTCACTACCATCATCATCTTGTTTACTTAATGTTTACCTTCGCGACAGTTTACTTTATCAGGCTTCTTTCTTCCAAATGTTGTTAAATAAGAGAAAACTGACAACGAGAAATTTTCGCTTGTATAACGTCGACAATGGGAATAACACAAAAAACAACGATATTGTGATATTATGGAATAATTTATTATGTACTCTACTTCCTAAGCGCTTCAAGGGACCACGACGAGAGCGAACAATGTCTTGAGTAAATATTGAAGGGGAATCGCTTCTGTTTTGAGCGACGACGTTACGAAAATTCAATTTTGTGTGTTTGCATTATGGAAACAAAGTGTTTTTCAATTTTCATATCTCTTTGAAGAGAAATTATTTCCTGTGAGTTTTCATTTTGATCGTAAACATTCTGATAAAAACACTGCATGAAATTATTATATTTCCAAACTCTTTCATTCCTTTAACCCCTTTTTTTGCTTATGGTAAAGACAAATTAATTTTCTCCTTTTTACACGCTTGATTAAAGTGTAACATAATGTTTGAGCGTCAAAAGAAGACCTCGACTTATCATTGATGATAATCGCTTCCTGGTGCTTTTCTTTTTATGATTTTCTCCTTCGTTCGTTCTTCTGCCATGTAACACTTGCCAAAAATTGCTGTCAAGTGTCAGCGACAGACATCTCAGTTATTAATGCGTCGACAATGAAAAATATATTTTAAAATCACAAAATAAATTTCTATTTTGTATAAAGGAAAGAAAAGACTTGTTAACAAGACTTTTGTCTTGTAAACTCGGAAATGTGATTTATGATTCAATGTCTCTTAAGCAAAAAGAAAAGAAAAATTAATTCAAGTTTTTTATTACACGAACAAGAAGTTCCCATGACATCTAAGAATGTGAGTAACAAAACGTGGTGAAATTAAACAGAAGCTTAAACATTCTTTAAACTAGCTGTTTTGTGAAGGTCTCGATCTAAATCTGAATCATTTTATTATGAGACAACCATTCATTTTATATATCTACACGATGTAGAAAGAATGAATTAGAAACACGAATAGAAGCTTAAATCAGTAATGACTATAATTAACTCAGTTTGAGGTCTTTTTTTTGCCCAGAAGGAATCGCAAAGGAACATAAAAAAGGCTTTATTTTATTTTAATGACTTCTTGTCCCCTTTATGATTGTATTGATATATCCTCGACATATCTACCAAAAAATTCTTTTTTTCTTTCTTAAGGAAGTGTAAAGACGTTACATGAACTTCTACTTCTTCTCATCCACTTCATAACGACTTTTCTTTTAAATATCATTCAATAAAGGGCATGAAAGGAAAAATCAAATCAATGTGAGATCATAAGTGTGCTTCAGTCAATCTGTTTAAAATAATAATGAGCTCTCTGCCTGCAGTGATTGTATTTATAATGAAGGAATTCCATTGCAGCTGATCGTTCTATATCTGTTATTTATTTACTATGTACAGACTGTAGTACAAAAACTACCGTAATCTCATTTTTGAAATGATCGCGTCGTTTATTTGTAATCAAATCTTTACTAACGCTTGCTTTTGTGTTTGATCCATTTCTGACTTAAATGCAATTGAGATAAAAGACGCCTGTCTTTGATATGACTCGAATGGGACGAAATGAAAGAAGTCTGAAACCATTACCTTTGCCAAATAGAGATTTCACATTGAAAAGGCGTAAGGGCGTTGCATCTTCAAACACATTTTTAAGAAATTTCAGCTCGTGAAAACGAAAAGGTGAGCGGAAGTCTATTAACGAACAATTTTTTTTCTCGTTGCAAAAAATTGTAGTCTTATATGCATGTAACTCAAGGACTTCTTTCTTCTATCCTTGCCGGAAATGAAACGAACGCGCCATGTCATTTGAGGCTCTAATTAGACGAGAAAAAAAAATTCACTTCTATTGTTGCTGTTCCCTCGAAAATATTAAATACCTCGAGACTGCATCATAAAAGAATCTTGATTGCAAACAATAAAAATCAAAAAAATTCCTTTATCTATCTCACGAAATCAACAAACTTCTAAAATAAAAACTTAATACTGAAATAAAGCGTTTGAAAACGGTGAAACATTAAACAGTAGAAACAAAATTTGCATTTGTGCAGAATGTGAGACTTCAACTTGGATTTTAGATTTCAGAAATGATTGATATGCTTTCGTCTACTATTCTGACAACAAACAGTTTCCAATTCAAAACCCTACAAATTTGCTCAAAGAGGTGGAAATGAATTCAAAAAAAAAATTCCATGTGAAAAATTGACCACAACGAACTCAAATTACAAGCTAATTAATGTTGAAGGAAAGTTTTTTTTTGAATGGCATAACAAGAATATTTAACAACATAAAATTTTATGCTTGAGACGGTGAAAAGGAGTTGCTCGTAAGGAATGAAATTCGGTGGAAAAGTTATGCAAACATTCCTCCTTTAATATTTACTAAGTATGACCCTTCAATTCATGCAATCATCAACAGTTCAAAAACATGTCAATGGATTCTTTGGAATGAAAATTTATTGTCTCGTGAAGTCAAATCAAAAGATGAATGTGCACAGTAAAGCGCAGAATCATTCTCAAGAGTTTTTCTCAACGTTTCAATAGATTCATGAAGAAAAGGAAAATGTCTAATTGTTTGCATATACTTCCGAAGAAATCATTCAAAAACAATGTTTTTATTCAAAAAATGAAATCAAATCAAAAGAAGTTGATTTGTCTTTCTATCACCCCTCATCCGATTTCATTTCAGTTGGGATCAAACAAAAGTCAAGAATTCTACAAACCACCTTTGTGAATTTACGTTGAGCGAATTTATTCACACACAGAATAAATCAAAACAATTGACAAATTTCATGTGGCAGAAATACTTGACATTGAACTTTTCCTTCTCTAATATCAAAAACGAAATCAAATCGTTACAATTTAATAAGTTTTTCACCTTAAATAAAAATTCCTGCTGAGCGAAATCAATTGAACTTCAAATAAAAGCAAATCAACACGAAATTCAGATGAAACGAGTTCAAGAATTTTTAACTTATATAGGTAAAATTACTTCACCCTTTTGCTCGACGTCTTAAATCTCGGTGAACTTTTCACATAAATTTCATTTTATGAGATTTACAGACATGAACAAAAGATAGAAAAAAGTTTTCCCTAAAATAGAAACCGAGAAACATGTGCGTGACTGATAGACTGATGAAACCTTTGCAAAGTTCACAACTAATTTAATAAAGTTTCCGATTCTTTGTCATAAGAATTTGTCATAGGAACAAGACGAGAAGGAAAATAAATTACAAGACTTAATTGAATGAGAGGATGAGGTTTAATGAGATTGAAGGGTTAATGCTCTGATTTCGATAGCAACAGCGACATAACAATAGTCGAAACTATCTTTTAATTACAGATTGAATGGAAATCAATAAAATCTTAAAGATTATCGAGATATTCTTCTTTGACACAATCATAAAAAAATATTTCACCCCAAAATTTCTATTTTTCTTACACGCAAGATAGAAAAAGGAAAAAAAAGTTTCTCATCAATTTAAAAAAGTTCGTCATAAAAGGGTAAAAATTTTCCTAATCAATTAAACAGAGTCATGAGAAAGTTAGATAAATATTTCCTTGATTTTTTTCTTTTTGTTTCAAATCTTCCAGTCATGAAATGATTCACAGATAAGCGGATTGAAATGCTCGTTGATGAAGTTCATAACAGAATAAAATCCGTTTACAATCATATCAAATTACTAAAGAAACAGAAATAATTATCTGCAGCCAAAACATTCAATTTTAAACATGAGAATGATGAGTGAATCGTCCGATGAAGTCGCCTCATTAAACAACAAGCATTAACGCTTCAACCACAACAGAAATTGAATAAAGTCATAAACATCTGAGTTATTATTGTAATTTGTTCCAGAAACTCATGAAAATATATCATCGAACGAAGTTGTTCGACTTTATTTCCCTCTGATTATTGAAAATATTTTTGAGAAACAATAATGGCGTGCAAGACAAGTTATCGAGAAACGAGAAGAATAATAAACTTTGTTTTCATGAATGCATGCATCATCGTGAAGCGTCTCAAGAGGCATCAAGCATCAACAAAGGCATTCGCCTCATATCTTTTTTCGCGCTCTGATTTTGCGATTTTGCATTTTGCGCATTTACATTTAAAGTCACGAACGAAATCACCGTAAAGTCATAAAATTGGAAAAGAAAAATAAAAATTGTGCAATATCTGATTTCTCGGACTTAAGTTTCTCTCTTCCCACTTCATTTGCTAATAACTTTTATCTTCATTGATTTTCCATTGAAAATGTCATACGACGATAATTGAATGTTTAGCAATTTACGCAATCTTTTCCCAATACATACTTCAGACATCTTTTTTCCTTTCCCGAGGTTAATAAATTAAGCAAAGCATAAAGTGATGAGATTGTTATCAAGGAATTAATGGAATCAGATCCCTTCTCATGAATTCATCCTTGACGTATTGTAGAGCGTAAAAAATTCTTCCATCAATCTTATCACGCCCGATTTAGCACTCCATACGATTGTAATTACGAAGAGAATGATTCGTCGTGAAGCATGTGGAAGCACACTCAGCAGTAAGTAAGAGATTGTGAAACTAATGATTTATGTCTTTTGATGCCTTTCAAGTCTTTTGATTTTCCTCATGGAAGGGCGATGAGATTAAGGAGACGGGAAGCAGTTTCAAAATCATCAATTTTCCTTTTGATTGTCACCGAAGTGAAATGTTACAATTCACTTTCAAAGTCACGTGATCAAAACCACATTTTGCACTTAAAATTAAGTTAAATGTCTTAAAGGTGGAAGAGTATTGAAGAGAAAGATTATTTATGACTTATGTGATAATCATTGAAAGATTAAACATTTTTATTTAATCTCAATGATGGTCTTAAGAGCGACCTTAAATTATTTCCCAAATAAATTTTCACTTCATAAAACTGAATTATCAAATCATTAATGAAAACAAAACTTTTCTACCACTTAATAATCCGTTAAATTTCTAAATTCCGATGAACATGAATTTCATTGTTTTATGAAAACCAATTGTGATTAAACCATAAATGCAATTCAATTGTTTACAATAAAATTACTCACTCTTGTGCATTTTTTTCATCCTCGAAATAATATTCACGAGACACTTGAGTTAAGCGAAAAACTCACCCTTTCAAAAAAAAAAAGTATTTTTGTGTTCTTTTTGTTTCAAGTGGTTTTCAGATTACATCGAGAATTTTTTTCTTTTTTTCATGTAGAAACTTCAGTCGACAATTAGAATCTCGGTCACATTTTTGATCCACTTGAGGGTCGTTCATAAAAACATTCACTGATAACGATCTTCACAAGCAGTAATTAACGAAATCTTTTGAAGCAGCCACCACACCACAAACCGTTTCCACAATCAAAGTTGAACTGATTTCTACCGACCTAGACTACCAAATGCTTCATCCAATTTCGATTCCAATTATCTAGAAAATTGAGATATTGACGCTTATCAATATGAGTTATTGCTTCTTTTTTTTCGATTTTTTTAGCAAAAAAAAAACGATTTTGACAACTTTTCGTTATTACTAATCTGAGTAGAGTAGAGAATTGTGTAAATAAGTAAGTATTAATCATTTTATTACTATTTAGGATTAATGAAAAATTACTGGAAAATTTGTGATGATGACAGAAAAAGAGTTGAAAATATTTATTTTTATGTTTGTGCAACTCATCCTGGACTTTGTTCACTTCACCTATCACTAACCTTTGCAATCTTTATAACAAATTGATAATAAAACTTTTGAGTGATCAATTTTTTTATGATTATGAAATCAGCCAAGAGATTTAAAAACAGACAACAAGCACACATGTTAGGACTGACGAATATGAAAACATCAAATATAATGAAATTAAGCCATTTATAGCACCCACGCAATAAGTACACCAAATTAAACTTAACAAATCGGAGAAGCAAAAGGGGGTGATAAGAAATTATTATCAGCTTTCAGCTAAAATTAGTGGCAATTTATTATTGAATGATATGATACTTTGTGAGTGATGATGATTTTCCGATATAGATTTGACATTTTAATAGCTTTGTAATTGATTATGATTTAATGCCTAAGTTTCTTTCATTTTCCAAAAGCACTTGCTTTGTTGCGTCAGATACATCACAAACGCTCCGATGTGTGATAAATACTGTCAAGATTATTGTCACAAAATAGCTTAATCAACATGTTATGTGACAATTCAAAGTAAACAGAAGCTTAATTGATTTGGCCACTGTTCATTCTTCAAATGATAAGAACAAAGCTCCACTTTTGGCTTCAATGTCAGTCAGGAAATAAATTAAAACTTATAATCAACCAATTGCAGAAATGAAAATTGATAAATATAACAGATGAGAATATGCAGATATCTAATTAGGAATTAGTACAGCGTAGCACTGTCTCGAGTTGTCAATATGAAGAGACGAAAAAAAAAATTTCGACAACTTCTTATCATATCATTTTTATCGATGATGTTTGTCTAATCGACATATTTATAACACTTAAAGAGTGATAATTCAGTTTACTTGGGTATCATCAGCCATAAAGATAAATTTTATTTATTACAGATTCAATGTTCATTCGAGCACAGAAGGAGGTAAATGATAACAAATAGATGTGATGCGTCAACTCACCTAATAAAATTTTATTTTCGATATTGAATTATATTTTCAACATCAAATTCACCTTTAGAGCTTCAATCACTCATTTAGGAATATTTTCGCTTGTTATCAGAAGTAAAAAAAATAGAAGCTTAATTTCAATTTATCATATGTCATCAATGAGTTCAGATAAACGTTTTTTCCCCTAAATGAAGTCGCTTATCTTATTGGCATGTTTATTGTGACAAATTGTCAATTTTTCTGTCACCTAATTACACTTGCACAATCAGAAATGATTTTAACCTTTGTGTGTGCTTCACGATATTATTCACTTTATTTCCGATGTGCTACGATGAGTGATCAAGAGCAACTACATAATTTATATCAAACTAGAACTTTAAACGCCACAAAGCTTACAAAACGCATCCGTTTGCCATGCTGTCGAGAAAAGATAAAGCAATTTGAAATAATTAAATTTCGAGAGATTACTCGCTTCTATCCCTCGCTATCGGGACGTTAGAAACAACATTTTATATCTGGTATCATATGATGTGGTCTGACTCGTGAGAATTTAAAAAAAATATTCATAAATATGAGAGAATATGAAGATAAGTCGACAATAAAAATAGACTCGAGAGGAGAACAATTTTATTTGTTATCAATGAAGCTTCATTTAAGAATAAAAATATTTTATCATGCTTCAGCATGTCACGACACATGGCTTTCAAGTTGATCTGGTTAATAGTTAAACCATGAATTTAATTGGGTTACAGAAATATTTTTAGGGATTGCAAATACTTACATATCAATCTATCAACAATGACGTATTAACTTCCGCATAAACTTGTTTCTTCTCTCTTTTTTATGTCAAAGCAATTTGTCTGTCATTCGTTTCAAAAGCAAACACCCATGTTCATCTTTACAGCAAATATCTCATGTTTCACAATTAAGAAACAAGATTTGTTGGATTCTAAAGCGTGCCATAATTTCACGACAACAACAGAAGGAAGTTGAATAATAGCGAATGTAAATCAAGCCAAATAAGAAGAGGGATCAGACAAAACAGATTTTTATCTATCAAGTGCACCTGGATTCTTGCATTCGACTTGGTGTCTCACTTTTTACCGTTTGCAGAAACAGAAGCTCGATGTGAAATATTTTCAGACATTTATTATTGTCGTTTTTATGATAATTTCAGAACGCACAAAAAAGGGTCAAACTAATTATTCATATCTTATAGTGACAACTAAGCGCGTGGAATAAATTAACTTCTCTCTTTCTCTCTTCCTCGTTTTATGATATTTTATTTGCCAAAACGAAAGTAAAATCCCATGGGGCTATTCGCAAACTATTCTTGCTTTCGTTTTTAATCACTCTGGTCACCATAAAGTAATATAAAAAAGGCTTTTTTATTCTATCACATTTACCAACCGAGTGAGCAAGCATTTTGCGAACGAAAACAAAAAACTAATAGAAGAAGAAGAAGAAGAAATGTCAAATCAAAAAAGCTTTCACAACGAAAGTTGATGAATGTTTTAGGTCAACAGTCATTTATGTACGAAGATAAGAAGCAATTATAATACTTTATTGGTAAGAGCAATAAGCATTCACTCAGGTTAAACTAGGAAGTCAATTTAAATAAAATATTCATGAAGCACGTCAACGTCCAACCCTCGCGCGACCCCCGCCGATTCTTATTCTCACGAGCTAATGAAATTCTAGTTTTCTCATATCAAGTCAATTTACCAAATGAAATCTACGCTTGGATCAGCACAGAAAACAACTTTTGTTATTATTTAATTAATTTACATATTTTCTTATTCAACTTTCCTTTGAAAAGTCCGAAAAATTATGATTGATAATGAGGGTAGATATCATTTGGAAAGGCTTTTTTTGAATCAATTTATCATAAGTTTGAAATCCTCGTGACTACGTTTTAATTGGAACAGGCGATTAACTACCCCATACATGTGAAAAGATATTTCTTATAATCGCGTGGGTGGTTTGAAGAAAGAGAATGAATGAGGGAGTGAGAGAGAATTTCTTTTTATTCCACCCTTCACAATTTCTTATAGGCACAACAAAAGCATTTGTGTAGTGAAAATTATATCTAAAACAATAAAACTTCTATTTGGAAAAGGAAAAGAAGTGAAATGTATCCAATCAAAGATTTGCCAAGACTTTTAAAACTTAATTAGAGCTCTAATTAAATAATGAAATAATTAAGCAGAGTGAAAAGCTGTGGAAAATCATAAAAAGCACGTGAGATTCATAATTATGATCTAAAATGAGTGAAAGGGAAACAATTATTCGAAAAAAGTTAGTAAGTTCGGCTGTAAGGGTGTAAGAAATTATTAAATAAAACTTGATACATTCATCGTGATTTAAATCAGTGTTCATTAAAAAAAGCATCACTCTTGATTCATTAACACTAATCACTTCTAATGAAATTCAATTAAAAGTTTTATTTCAGCCAAAGATTACAACAGTCGTGCATGCAATTTATCTTTTTTTATGTTTAAGCAACTTGAAAACCTTTCAAATAAATCGGCGAGAACTTTTCTTACTTTAAATTCGATTTAGGATGTGTGGAAGTTTATTGCTTGGGGTTGAACTAAATTTTTTCTTCGAACATTACATTGTGTAAAGTTTGAAGGATTATAAAATAGAACTTAGCATCGACTTCCGATGACTTCTCATGAAAGTTTCATACATGAAACTAACTACAAATAAATGACAGCACAATTTCCGGAACTTCCACATGACATAGTTGTCAACTATCTATTTTTTTACAGTTTTTGAAAAGAACTTATGCAAGAAGTTTGATGCCAAAAGCGACTCAAACTTATTTACAACGCTCTTGTTCTTTCTTGTAAAAGAAATCAAGTTGGCAACTGAATTGTTTGAAAACTGTGTCGATGCATAATTTGAGGTTGCGTCAGGTCTCCAAGAACAGTTCCATAAACAGACAACAAAGATAGCATTTCAATATTGAAGCATAAATTATCATAAAGATAACATTTCCACTTTTGTATCATCTTGCAAAATGCTAGCGCATGATTCAGACGCAACCAACATAAAATGTTCAATTCAATTTTTATGCTAGCTCGTGACTTCATTTAAATTTATGAGATCTTTTAAAGTTTAATTAGGGAAGGTTCTTGTCCGAAAAGATTCACGGCGAATAATTAAAGTCATAACTTTACGCAGCATGTTGCTGCTGCTTTCTTATTGAAACAATTAAAAATTTCTCCAGATTTCAGCATCATTCACAATGGAAAATATTTATTCGAAATTCGAAGGATTTTTAAACGAATCTTATACTGGAAAATTGACAATTTATTGATAACATCTGCTGGTCGTTACAGAACTAGTTTCATTCACCATTAAAGCGATTTCGAGGAATTTTCATGTTCATAATTTTTCCAACTTCTTTTATTGACTTTTTATGTCTTGAGTTTCATTTTTTTCTTTCTTCTTTAATGTTCATGAGTCACACATACACGAAGCTCACGAGTCTACTTAGAATATGTTTGGAATTATGCATGTACAGCCTTCCGTTGTCGAGTTGATCACAGATTAAGGCTCACATTTTACGACCTCGCCTATAACGTCAATGTTTATAAATTCAAAATAATTTTCGTAATCATGTGCACAGAAAAGTGCAATTAAAAGTCACTTTAAATGAATCGTTTCGCTTCATGTTCATTGTACGTTCCAATTGTCGATTGCAACTTAGAATGAGACGACACACACTTGAGTTGGGCTAATGTTATGGCAATCAAAAATTAATTCAATCGCCCACCCTTGTTCATTTGCCACTTTGAAATCAAAAGTCAACTGAACAACGTTTTACCATCGTCGTCCACTTCTATTGGTTTGTGTCTCCCCCCCGCATGAATATCACTGCTATTATGTTTTCACTGTTGTGTGTAGATTATCATCCATTGTCCCTTTTTCCAACGGGACGGCATTGATTGCTGGCGACTATTATAAATGTAGGCGCGCAGTATGCGGTAATGTAGCGAAATAGTGGTCGCATGTCCTTCTTCCGATTTGTGCCTTCCTTCATCGTCATGCAACGAATATTAACTTTTTCACTTGTCAGTTTTGTTATCTAAATTATGAAATCTCCTTCATTTTTTTTTGTCATTTTGCCCCCAAGTCTCGAAAGAATATTATTATAGCTCAGTTTTTGCTTTTAAGGATTATGGCCTGAATTTTTTGTTTTCCAGTTTATTTTCCTTTTTCCCTAAGATAGTAGTCAGTGTCCTAAAATCGTTGTCGCATGAATATCATTTGAAAGTATAATTTCATGTCACTGAAAAACCATGAATCATAATTTTTCTTCCAGTCTAGATTGTTAATTTATTCACAGGCTAGAAAACAATAAAGATAAGTGTTGTTTCAAAGTGCATGAATGATGTCAGAGATTTGAATAATGATAAAGGAAAAGCTTTAAGTTTGTAAAGCTTTAACTTCTTGGAAGTCTGTCATATTTATTATCAGCAATCATCTCCATTGTGCTTTACGCTCCAATCAACAATCGATTAACATTTAAACGATGAATTAAAGCGTTGAAAATTCTGAGTCACTGTGAATAACTTAAAAGATTTTCTGTTTTCCTTAAAGTTTTATTCTGCATTTTTTGTTTCTATTCTGTCACGGAGTCGTAAGTTATTTAATGGGAAAATCAATTAAATAAAAACATCCATAAAAAGCGGTCACATGGAGATTACGAAGCGCAGCAGATTTCGATTGAAACAAGCAAAATTTTTAATTGCAAATTGATTTTTGCATTCGCGATCGGACATAAAATTCAATTAGATCCAGTGATGAAATTTTAATTAAAGATTAGAATCAGTAGAAGTTTTTGAGATTATTGGGGAATATGAGAAGGGTTGCTTTTGTTTGATCAACTTCCTTGCCAATGAACTGCTTTTATCTCTCGTTTCGTCTCGTCTTTTATTAATTGAAAGATCTTCTTTCTCGTATCCGTATGTCATTCCAACTTGGATCTCAAACATAACGACAAAAAAACCAGATGATGTTGTTTAGTGTGTATGAATTTTGAAATTGTCTTTCACAACGTTCTCGATTGAATTAGTTTGTCTATTTTCAAAGCATTATCTTTCGAAAGAATTTCAATTTCTCAACCATCATTTTAATGCTTTAAAATTATTTCTTTTCAATTCCATTAATTCATTGCTTAACATCAACTGACGAAAACCGAGACGAGACCAAATGAAGATCTTTTTGTTTGAAGATATTTCATTGTAAGGAATTAATTATCTCCATTTCACTCACCTTGAGCAAACTTCCTTGCTTTTGATTTTGATCGCATTATAAAAACCGGAAGAAGACTCTTTTATATCTTGCTTTCTTTTTATTCCAGATTTCGCAAAACACTTCACTTATCACTTGCCCATTTTTATTTATTTACATAAAAAAATTCTTCAAAAATTGTCTTAAAGTTTGTTGTTTTATTCTTAAAGAAAAATATTTGAAAGGGCGATAAACCACCTAATTAGTTATAAATCTGATCATCGACTGACACTTGAAGCGACTACAGATTGAATACACAACTTTGACAAAAACAAAAAATCTTTGTTTAGACTTTTTGTGTTCAAAATTCTTTCTTAAACTGCTTTCTGCTCTTCATAAAAAACTCGCGCGCGACCGATACAAAGGCAAAGCAAGATGTGTGTTTATGTATGAAAATGAAAACTATAAACTTCTTTTATTTGACGATCGATAAGTAACTTTCATGTCTGTTACAACAACACTTTATCCGCTAAATAGCCATCAAGTGTGTACACACAAACGAGTAAGAAAAAGAGAGGAAAATAAAACATTCTACATGGGGCGAAGGAAAAAAAGTGTAAAAACTATAAGATTTTTCATGTTTGAGTGTTTGCGTTAATGAATAATAACTCGCCCTCTCATGCCACCGTATACATGATGAAGAAAAAAAAGCAGTTCATTAGAAACTGTGGCACATCACATTACCAACTACAACGCGACTCTCATAAGTCATTGAAAAGTAAAGAGGACAAAGCAGGACTTAAAGAGTTTCTTCAAAATACTTCCAATTTGTTAGTTAGTTGAGTAACAAACAAGTACAGTGAACTAACAATCATTCGAAAGGAACATAAAAGTCGAAGTGTTATCCTTTATCGCGATTCATTTTATTGCCAGCCCACTGTACATTAATTTGAGGACAAGAAAAGGCGCAAAAGAAAATAATAAAACATTGAGCAAAAATATCACAAAATTTGTGTTCCTTTCATTTTTTTTGAGTAAATTTTCATTTGATTTTTACTCTCCATTCAAACTTACTTCCATGCTTACAACCACAACTATCAAAGCTTGAAATAAATAAATAAATAAATAAATATGGCATGCAAAGCGATAGTGAACAAGACGGATTTCATTTATATAAATATTTTCTCTCTGCCTTTTGTTCTACAATAACATCGCGCGTTTAGAGTTGCTGTTGTAATTGTGAAAAAAGAAAACAAGCATTTTTTATGTAAATTGCCATTTTTTATTGACAAATACCCTACCACAGAATGACTTTAAGAAACTCATAACGCTTGTAGTTCGAGTGCTTTCTTATTATTCTCCTCGCTTCATTCTTCTATCGCATACGATTTGCAAGCAAACAATGAATTTCAGTTTGCTTTCAACATAAGAAATGTAAAGCTGAAAGAATTATTTATGAGAAACAAAACGACGAGAGTTACGAGAAATCTGTTGCAAATGTCGTTAAGCTTTGAAGCATTTGTGAATTTTTTTTCCGATGCCGACGGTGAAAAATTATAAGTTAAAAGAACTTCCGGTTTTTCTATAAAAGGAAAATTAAAAATTTCCTTTTATCATTTAGAAATCAATAACTTTTGTTATTTATCATGAATGATTTAAAACACATTTTAATGAAACCTTCAAAGTATTGCAACCTTGAATTATACTTTTTCATTAAAGTTAAGAATTGTGTGACACTTGTAAAGAAAACTTTAGAACAAATTCATTTGCATAAAACAATAAAAAATATATTAACTTTAGTGACCCATTTTAAGCGCGGAATACCTTGAAAATATATTATTACATCGTCAAACATTGTGCAAGGAAATTGATTTGATCTTCAATTCAAAAGATATGAAAACAGAAAACAAGAAACCTCTGAGGTTAATGGTTTTCCGATTGAATCACATTCACCCCGTCCCCATACACGACGAGATGAAAAATTCCATTAAGGAAAAAGAAATGAAATGGGAAACACAAAAGGGCAATCATGTCTTATCATTTTCATCAAAAACAATATATGTGAGAATTTGTCTCTCATGCGCAGTACGACGACGTTTAGGAAAAACGCCCACTAAATGATAAACAAACGAGGTGGGGGAAGATTTTCAATCGCATTTTCTCTTCTTCATTCATGAAGGGGAAAAATCACGTTAACCGCAGTACAAAAGAATAAAATTACATCTTGCAATTGAAAGACATAAAGTATGATTTAATATTTTCATTTCATATTGAAGACGATAAATTTTCATTTTTATGAGTGTGCAAAAAAGAGAAGAAAGAAAAACTTTTGTTTTTCCCATTAATTTTCATTTATTTCGCTCAAGAAGAGAAGCCAAGAGAAGTCGAAACTTTAATAAAAAGAATAAATTCGCTTCAAAATTTTGTATAAAGTTTAGTTTAACTTACTGTAAAAGTTTGTCATTGATTTTCCCTGACTATGTGAACTTTAACAAACTTAAAGCAAGTTTTCAAACTTTAATCGAGAAAAACGTCTAATGAAATCAACGATGGGAAGAATCGATCACAACCCAGCCTAGGTCATTACACAATCATTAATCTTTTTATTAAAATCGACATTCCTTTTGAAATAAATGCGAACGACTATTTAATTCAATTTTCATAGATATTTTCTGTTCGTAGTCAACCTTCAAAATGTTCCGGCATTCAATGAAAGAAAGCTTTAATAAACTCACTCGACGTCATTTACGTTAACATGTGACTGGTTGAAATGAAAGAAAAAAAAGGAAAATCAGCTGGCGCTTTTTGATCCATTTAAAAACTTCATACACAATTTTCATTGATTTCTATTAATAGAAAGGAAAAAAGTATTTTTTTCGCCTATTTTTGCAGCCGCTTTCAACACATTAGCAGAGAATTTGTACATAAAAGAAACACAAGTGAACAACTACATGGCGAAGCATGTAGTTGCAAAAAATGGATTTTAGCGTTTTTGTGAGAAGAGAAAAATGTCAAGCATGGAAAAATCGTTAAAGTTCATAGGCACTCTTATAAATAGCACACATTTGATGAAAACTTTGTGGAATATTTGTCGGATTCAAAGTAACAAGGTTCGCTTTTAAAGCTCCCTTTAAATAGATTCATATAAACTTTTCCTTGATGCTTCGTCAGTCTAATAACCAAGCAATGAAAAATTCAACAAATCAAAACAATAAAAGTAACCATGAATTGCTGTTGATTCAGATGAAAAGAATATAATAAAATTTAATTAATATTTTCCATACGAGCGTAATAAAATGGGGAAAATCTTTTGAAATTTCAATTTAACTCTTGTAATGTCTATCGTTTATCAACAACCTGAAAACTTTGATTTCATTTTAATTAGGAGCATAAAGCAGAAATAATAATTCAGCAGGAAAGAATTGTGAGGTAACCCTGCTAGTTTATTATCCAAATAGCTTTAAGCAAATGAAATTTCATTACCAATTTTACCTTCAATAAATATTTAATGGCACAGGATCTGTTTACTTCCATCCTGCTTCAAGATATGATACACAACACTCAATAGAAGAGTAAAAGCAAAGGCGTGGCGTCACCCACACAAAGGTTTAGAAAAAAGACTTGAAGAAACTCTCGAAGAAGAAAATTGATAATTTTTTTACAACTTTACTTACTCACATATACAACAATGACAGCAGTATCAAGATATGTTGTGAATGTGTTTGTGAAGATGATTAAAGATAATTTTTGAGGCACGAATGATATGAAAATATATGAAATGATTCCATGATATCCAGCCAATGATAAACAGCGCTTCTATTTTAGAAATGGAATAAATAATAATTTAATCTCTTTATTCAACAAATCGCGTTTGAATTCTTAATATTGAACATATTTATTCAACATCATTCTGATTGCTCTTTTTGCATTCCGGATTTCCCTTCAATTTGCGAAAAAAAAGTCTTTCTAAGAGCAATGCACGCGAGCGACGCTCTGAACTGAAAATGAACAATTCATGCAAAAAAGGGAAATTTCACATGAGTAAAAAATGCGAAAATTTTCTTTTCTATTTGCACATTCAATTGAAGCCATTTAAAAACATTTGGGAGTAAAGTTCTCTTAAAATATTCGATTGGTGATATGATGTTTAAACTAACCATCAAACTATTTCTTATTCATATGGATTCAAATTGACTTTCAGTTTTCGGTTTTTTGACCTCCCAAAAAACCAAATAAATTCTCCAGCTGTCTAGAAAGAAGTCTTTAAAAATATATCTTCCTTCATAACAACCATGAAAGTTTGACAAATTTCGAGGATGCTTTGATGTGCGTAAAGTTTCCGTTCATTTCAAATCTTACTATTCAAATAAATCAAAAGCAGTTGACTAAACCTCGACATCCACAAACTTTCATGCTTTCATAAATCATTAGGAAAGAAAATTAATTTCCTCATGTTTTATTGTCGTGACGTCTTGAACATGACCAAAATAAAAATTATGATAATAATTTGTTGTAATTATCAGCATAGTAGATGTATTTCCACCCACAACACAAAGTTGACAATGCGTTACATAATATTCTGGTTTGTCGTTGGCAACATATGGAAACAATTGCTGTACAAGAAGCGCCAGATTTGTTTGACCTTATTGATATATTTTGCTTTTATTGCTGTTAAGAACAATTAAGGATGAAGTTTAATCTTTACCATTATTTTATTTGCGTTTAGATAGTTAATTTATGTCACAACTAATTTAATAATGACACTATTTTAAATTAAGTAGATTATTAATTTGATGAATCGTTTTTAATCACGTTTACTGATAATATTCATTTATTTGAGTGTAATTGTTTAATCAAAACATCTTTTCGTGAATTTATGAATTGCACATATTTATGGTGCCATCTTGATTTCAAAAAAGCAACTAAAAGAATGTCTTCGAATACAACCTAATTTCGAATAAGTTGACATGTTCATAACATCTCAATGATAAGAGAAAGACTTCTGAGAAAATAACTGAAGGATATGTTTTTAGTGCTACTATTGGACCTTTTTCGACGATCGAAAGCATTTCTCATTTGGCCATCATCATCAGCTTATGTCAAAAATAATAAAAAAAAGTACAACCTTTGCAGCAAAATGCAGATTAATCATCGCCTTTTCAATCTAAAATTTTCAAAAGTTTTGTCAAATCTTGTGAAAATACATTCAGCGCCATCTATATGTTGATAGCATATAACAGGAGAAACTAATCTTCGTTAGATTTATTTAATTTTTTTACAATTTGTAAGTGTTTTCTTTATTTTAAAAACAGCTATAATAATTTCAATCCTTTTCTCAATTTGAAATTCTTAATGTTACTCAGCTAAATTTGGTGCGAAATGTGGTGTCTGTTTCGCAGATAAGAACAAATCCAGTCCAAAATAAAAACTTAGTTGAAATTGTGACCCTAAAGTTCAATTCAAAAATATGAATGCTTATATTAAAATATATTTCATTGATAATTTCATTCAGTCTTCTTCGATTCATCTCAAAATCAAGAACTTATAAAAAATTTGTGGCATTGCATTGTGAAATGTTTCCCAAAGTAAAGTCATTTTTATGTTGTATGAAACTTGAAATTGGAGGCATGGTTTTTGGATTGGTGTATGCCGTGTTTTCATTATTAGGATTAGTAACCGAAAATTATGATTTTTATTCTAACGATGAAGATGTTCGCACATGGTTTGTTGGTAAGTTTTAAACACTTTCTTTTAAAAAAAAAATTAATAAAACTTTTCAAATTAATGTTGTAGTTCTGTTCAGTTTGAAGTTGTTTTATTTATTCCTTCTCTCAATATCATCAATTCTATTGGTAATCGGAACTAATGCGGTAAGATTTAATTTATTTTTAAAACAAACTTTTTTCTCGAGTTTTTTTATAATTTTCCAGAGAACATGTTTAGAATTGCGTGTTTTTCTAATTATGATTTCAATCGGATTTTTAAATGTTGTTATTTGGACGCCTATAAATTATTTCATGGAACATAATCCGAGAATACTAGAAACTGGATGTGTTAAAACTGTAATATATTGCTACACATTCATCTGCATTTATTCTTTAAGTGAAAAGTTTAAAAATGAAAATCGTTCTTGTACCTAATAATGGAATGGAATTAAAGGAAAGAAAAGTTTAAAAATTGAACCTAAAGAAATTTCTTTGAAATATTAAAATATAATTTTATTCATTCAATAATTTATCGGAGCTAGTTAATTCTACTTCATAATAAATTAATGTTTTAATACTTTCATAATGATTTCATCAAATAATCTTTCAAAAGTGCAATTTTGAAAGCTCACACATTGGGTTTTGTTATGTTTTTCGGTGCTTCTGTAACTGTTTTATTGACAACAGTTGCAACTGGCATTTCAGGAACTGTTTTGCTTTCAACTACTGCTGGAACTTCTGTTGCCTCAGGTTTTTCATCGTCTCCGATACCAAGCAATTCCGTTATGATTTTTATACCCTGATCAGCTGTTTTACTTACAACAGTGAGAATATCTTCGACTTTAAATCCACCGATCGTTTCATCCGAATCAGTTACACTCTCAGTTGATGACTCATCATCTTTTTCATCTGTATTATCTTCGGCTTTTTTCGGTGGTTCAATCATACGAATTTCTTCGTTATTTAAATCAAAACATGGAAAGTCAAATTTCACAGGAACTTCGCCGAAAAGTTTCGGTTCCATTGTTAAACAACCAACAAGACCTCCACTCGCTGATCTTGTTAAAGTAGAGAATTTCGAACACATCTTTGCTAAGCCTCCGAGCATTGATAAGCAAACAGGTGCACTCGGTTTTGCAGAAGTGACAATAGATTTCTTTGAAAATGTCTTTCCAAGAGTCAAGTTCATTCCAACTCCATCGGTTTGTGATAAGTAAGTAAGTCGAACACAAGCTGGTCCAAGATCCAACACGTCCAGTGTTTCAGATATATTAAAGTCTAAGCAGCAAATGCAATTACTTCCGTCTGGTCCACTTTTTTGGCAGAGACAATCAGATTCACGTTCGCGTGCCTGTACCGAAACATTTTCTTCTTCTTCTAACGAAAGAAAGTCTTGCAACAAAAAAAAAGATTTATTGTGAGATAATAATATTTATTTAACTAAAACAAGAAGTCAATGAAAGCGACAGTTGATGGTGTCAAAACATTTGTAGAAAAAAAATCAAAAGTGGAACAAAAAGTTAAAGAAAGAAAATTTCCATTTCAATGAACGTTTTTCTCCTGTTAAAAGTCGCTTTGTGGTTTCGGTTTTTAAACGAAATCTGTCGTTGATTTTTAAAGAGAGAAAAGTAAAACTTCTTGAAGATTCGTTTTAAGTGAATCATTGTTTAAATCTGCATAAATGCTTTCTGGAGAAAGTTAAACCAACAAACCATCGCAATCCGAGACGAGTTGAAGTTTTTTTTATTTATTTTTGACACTTTCACGGGGGTGAAAAAAACTCAAAGGTGAACTTATGTATGGAGACAATGTAGTTAACGGAAGTCGTTGACTTCTTTCATGGAAAAGTTCAATTATGATTGATATCATTGACACACATCTTCTTGCATTATCTGCTTCTTACTTATGTTCTTAAAAAATTCCTTTTTATGTATTACCTAGAATTCCACAATTCGCTATCAGAATGTGAGATGTTGCTATTAACAATATCAAATAATTTATCTTAATCATGTTTTCGTTTTGGCAATTTTGGAACTAACACTTTATAATTTTTTTAATAATTAATACTTTGCAAGATAATGAACCTTTTTCGCACAAGCTCTCAACGATAACTGAATAAAATCTTCCTCGCTTTACTTCTTGCACGATCGTAACATTGAATCTTCTTATTCTCTTCCGTTGTTTTCTCTCTTTTCTTTCGCCCGTCATTCGTTGAGCTTTCTTCATTAAATAAGCAAAATGATGTTGTGTTAACAAATAATACTCACTTTGCTTTTCAATAGAATTGCTTTTTTTTTGTTTGTTTACATAGATATCTTTTGGAAAGAGATCATGTTATTTGTTTTTTAATACAGAGTTATACGCAAAAAAAAAATTAAAACATTCGAAATATGTTCCTGTTGGGATTGAATCACGTCTTGAATCACTTGTTGCAAAATAATTTTCATGACAAACACTCACTAGAGAGAGTTTGTCTGCATCAATAAACCTCGTTGATTGAATGGAAATGGCTTTCTCGTGTTGTTTTCAGAAGCATGATATTAAAACAGTTAGCCGCTCGTAAGTATGTTGAAGATGAAAAAAAAATTATAAGCGACATCGCGATGTTTTTAGATATGCTAATGTAAATAAGAAACTTGTCAAAAGATAAAATGAATTAATCTAGTAGCGTTTCAGTTGTAATTAAACGGTTTATAAATTGCTTAATAGATTAGATAAAGATAATCAATCATTTTAATTCCAGTCTTTAACACGCAGAATGATAAATTTAATGATAATCTAATTAAATAATTAAATCTCAAACTTAATCTCTATATTTTTTTTGTAAACATTTTAATTTTTGACTGCATATAGGTTGATAATAATTACTCAATCGATACAATGCATACAGTATACACAATCACATGATTCTAAAAGTTCATACCACAATCTGTTGAAAATTCTGAAAACCGCTCACTTGAAACATTATCTTTCGTCAATTATTAACCGTCGTTTTATATTTAAATCAAAATTAACCGATTTTTTTACTTTTACGGTTATAAACAAAGTGTGAATCGGTTCTTAGTCGCTCGATAGTAAAACAAATTTTAAATAAATTTTACATAGATATTTAGCAATTGTCATCTTATTAAAACCTCAACTTTGAAAAACTTTAATAATAAATTTAGTATGAATTCATTATAGCATCAAGTTGTGATCAAAAAATGAATGCATTAAGTTGTTTAAAGTTTGATTTAGAAGCAAAATGTATTCCAACTGGTTGCGAAAATTTGGATATGGCATTAGGAAGTGGAATAAGATTAGGATCAATAACAGAATTTGTAGGAAATTCAGGAGCTGGGAAAACTCAGTTGAGTTTACAATTAGTTTTTAACACAATTTTACCAAGTCCAGTAGGATTAATTGACGGCGATGCTGTGTACATCAGTACCAGAAGAAACTTTTGTCCTCAACGAGTGATACATTTGGCAGACGTTTCTGTAAGCTTATGGGAAAATTCTTTCTCTAAAAACAAAAATCGATCATTAGATTTTCGAACAAATTACACAAACGAAAAAGCTTTGTCAAGAATTCATCACAAATTAGTACAAAGAATTCCTGAATTAATTTCCACAGTTTACCAATTGGATTTGCTTGCAATTAAGCATCCAAATGTGAGTTCTAAACTAAATCTTAATTATCATTTTATCATTACTTTAATTATAGATTCGACTTGTTGTTATTGACTCCTTCTCATCACTTCTTCGCAATCTTGAACCTTCAGAACGGATTCGCATTGTTTATGAATTGTTTCATGTTCTTCAAAACTTTGCAACGACAAATCAATCTGCTGTGATAATAACTAATGACTTAACTCCGCACGTCACTCCAAATTCAATGGAACCTGCGATGATGAAGCCAGCTCTTGGTGACGCTTATCATCATCGATTGTCTCAACGAATTCTCCTAAATAAAGAAGATGAGAAGCAAATTACTGTCGCTCAAATTCTTAAAAATCTAAACGGCGGACCAGCACAATGTAAAATCAAAGTCGTCGACGATGGCGTTAAAGATGCATAGAGTTGGATATTTAAATATTACGCTTATTAATGTTAAGCATTTTAATTACATAATTTTATAAAAAGAATGAATAAATATTCGTGTCAAATTTTCCATGATCGACTTTGTCTGTTCAGTTACACATCTGTAAATTTTTAATTTTTCCAATATCTGTCTACAATAAGGAAAGTAAAGCGAATTAAAATTTTATGAGTCCTTGTGGACTGAAAAATTGCTTGAAAATTCAATATCTATGAGAAAAATGACAATTTGAGTTTACATTTTGTCGTGTAAGGATGTTTTCTTACGATGCAGATACAAAGGTTCTTAGTGGAATTCCTATTCCACCTTTTTATCATCCACAAGTTACAATTGGACAAGTCTATTACTTTAAAGAAGTCTCCCTTGGCAGATCTTAGCAAGTCCGATGTTATGATGATGGAGTTGAGTTGTCAGCTGGAGAAATGGCGAAACTTTCTTTGAGAATTGTGAAGAATTTGATGAAAGAAGGATTAAAGTTTGGAGATGTTGTCGGTTTGGTTGTGAAGAACACAACATACGTTGCTCCACTTGTGCTTGCATGTCTTCTCGGTGGATTTCCAGTGTCAACTCTCGATCCAACTTTTGACGATAATGAAGTCGCAAACATTTTCAGACAAACGAATCCCAAAATGGTTTTCTGTGATCATGACAATTTCGAAATCGTGGTTGATGCAATGGAAGTTACCAATAACGACAGCGACATTTACATAGTTGATGAGAAAACTACAGGCACGTGAAAGAAAATATTTAAATTATTTACAAGATGAGCTTATGAATTTTAAATTTAGGTGTTCGTCATGTCACTGAATTGTTGGGAAGTTCGGAAGGAGAAAAACCATTCATGTAACTTTTTATTAAATCATTCTAAATTTCCTTTTTCATTCAAACATTTTCTTCAGCCCACATGGTTTTGGAATCGATGGAACAAAACTTTGTTCAGTAATTTTATGCAGTTCTGGAACGACAGGATTGTCTAAAGGAACGATGCTTTCAAGTGCACAATGCATTCAAATGACGAATCCATTCCCACAAGTTCTAAATCCGACTTTCCTCTGTTTCAGTTCACTTTATTGGTTGTCTGGTTTTACATCTTTGATGTATTCACTTGCAAATTGTTGTAAACGTGTCATTTCAAGACGCAAATTTTCTCCCCTTTTCATGGTTCATTTAATTGAGAAATATAAAGTGAACGTCATTATTGCACCTCCATCACAAGCGATTTTACTCATACAATCGCCAGTAATGAAACTTGCTGATTTGAGTTCAATAAGAATTTTCATGATAGGCGGTGGAGCTTTAGCACAGCAATTTAGAAAATCTCTTCAAGAACATTTACTGTATGGAACTCTCATTTTCGCTTATGGAATGACTGAAATTGGTGGATTAGCTTCTATGACTTTACCTTTTCAGAAGCCTTCAAACTCTGTTGGAAAAATAACTCCGAATGTCAAAATTAAGGTGAGATTTCTGTTATAATTTTATTGTAATAAATTAATTAAAAATTCATGAACTTGTTGAAGATTGTCGATGAAGATGGAAATATTTTAGACACAAATGATATTGGCGAGATTTATGTGTTGTCACCCACAATGTTTATTGGATATGCAAATAATCCTGAAGCTACTAAGAGTTCGTTTGATGCTTATGGTTGGTATAAAACTGGTGATCTCGGTTATATTACTGTGGATGGAGAAATTTTCGTTATTGATCGTAAAAAGGAAATGATTAAATATTTAAATTATCAAGTAGCACCATCGGAACTTGAAACATTCATACAGAAAATTGAAGGCGTTAAAACAGTTTGCGTTGTTGGAATTCCTGATTACATAAGTGGCGATCTCGCATCTGCAATTGTTGTTAAAGAAGAAAACAGTTATTTAACAGAGCAAGATATTGTCGATGAAGTGACACGTGAGTGAATAAAACTTTCCATAAATAATTTTCATTAACTTTTCTCAATTCATAATATTTAGGATTTTTCCCGCAATTCAAGCGACTTCATGGTGGAGTTTATTTCGTTGATTCACTTCCGATAACACCATCTGGAAAAATAAAGAAAGTTGAAGTCAGAAAAATGGCAACTCAACTCTATAAAGTGCATGAAATAAATGGAAATTATTAAATAACTCATTATGTGTTTAATGTCATGTTAGCAAATTTTGATGTAATAAAATGAGGTCGAAACAATAATTCCTTGTCAAACAATATCTTATCTTCCCTTGGACTTATTGGAAATTTTTCTATTGAAGTCTATCTAAAGCTTTTCTAACTTTTAATCTTCCTGATAAGCCTCAGGCTCAGTATAAACATAAGTAAAGTTTGGTCAAACGACATTCAAGTTTCAATCTGTTAAGTGAAAAGCATTCAAAAATGATTATTACTAAAAGTATTTTTTTACTTGCCATTGCTGTTAGTTCAGTGATGTCAGCAGTTACAATTAACTGCGACTTCCATTTCCAAGTAAATTCTTGGAATATTTTAAGTGATTCTTATAGTTGCCGTGGAACAGTTATAAGAAATGACACAAATCATGCTGTAATAGGAGTTAGTGGAAATCACAGAGCCGGATTAAATAATACGCATGTCGAAACTTTACTTCTTACTCGCCAATCTTTAACAAATTGGCTATCAGATGTTGAAAACTTCTTTCCAAATTTACTGGCAATAGATTTTTCTTATTCGTCAATAACTACATTAACTGCAGATAATCTTAAACCTTTTCCTAACTTGAAGGTTTTAGTCATAATGTACAATAAGATTGAAGTTCTTGATTCAAATACATTTCAATACACGATTGAACTTCAACATCTTGGACTTGCAATAAATGAAATTCGTGAAGTAGGCTCAGGAATATTAGATGAGTTAGCAGATTTGAAACTTGTATCATTTTATGGAAATCAATGCATTAATGAAGCTGCTATGAACAAAGATCAGATTCCAGCTCTTATTAGATCATTAGAAGAAAATTGTCCTCGCTCTGTAATCGACACTACAACTACTCCCATGGAATCTACAACAATTGAGGTGGAAACTACTACTGTGGAAGTTGCAACAACTACTCCAATGGAATCTACAACAATTGAGGCAGAAACTACACCTGAAGAAAATGAAACAACAACTCCATTGGAATCTACAACAATTGAACCAGAAACTACACCTGAAGAAGATGCAACAACAACTCCAATGGAAACTTCAACTGTGGAGAATGAAACAACAACTGGATCATGTAAAACCTGCACCACAACTCCATCTGTAAATGCAACTACACCACGCTCTGAAACAATGACACCAGAAAAATCTGGAGCATAATTTCACTCAGATAGCTTCGTTTCCATGTATGAAAATGTTAGAACAGTGACATAGAAACTGATTTTACCTAAGCCCTTCATGTCAAATCATTATGTCAAATACTTAAAGTCGAAGATTTTCCAAATGAATTTTTTCTCCTAAATTCGCTTTAAGGTTTTGGTATGAAGTTGAATGAATTTCAAATCTCAACAACTCGTGCTTTGTTTGCTGATATGTAATAAATATTTGAAATTAAAAAGAATTCAGAAATTGCTTCAAGTAAGCAAATTTCAATTTAATACTGATGGTGAAATAAAAAGCTTTTCTAGATCACATGAGATTATTGAAGTATTTCCGTTTTCAATCGATACAGCAAATAATCAGTAAGTTATCAAGTTTGCTGACAAATGTTGACAACTGACAAGATTGCAATAGTTAAAGTTGGTAATAAATCATCGCTTTTTAAATTTTAATGGGAAACGCTTTTAAAGCACGTCAGTAAAACTTGACAGAATTTCATGAAATTTTGACACAGTTCGGGAAATGCTGAAAGTTGCAATCTTGCTATGAAATTAACTTTCATGTTGAAACTTCATTCAAAATGTGTTACAAAATGCTTTTTAGCAACTGCAACTTTGAAATGATGAAACAGCATAAGTAAGCAGAAAATGTATTTAATAAGGATTTCATCGTGAAAGAAATTTTAAATATACCTATTTAAATGAATAATTTCGTTGTTTTCATACACGTAGATTATCAATCTACCTGAAACTTGAAGTTTGAAGCTAAAACTTATCAGAATTAAATCATTAAAAATTCTCTCTACACTTTTCACTCTCTTAGAACTGACTTTGTAAAACTTGTGGAAAAGAAATTTAAATGCTGAAAAATCTGACAGAATAAACTTAAATTCAAGAAATAATTAACAAGTAATTAAATAATATTTGTAGAATGACTAACTGATAACTGCAAGCTAAACTGATAACTGATAGCTTCAAGTTTCTTGACCAGTCACAAACTACTGACATGAATTTTTTCCCACTTATTTCCAATATAATTTTGTCGTGTGCTTTTACGGATTCTATTTAACTATTGACAATAAACATTTTAAACGTGACAAAGAAATGTCTACAAAAAAAAAGGTTTAAAAAAGAATTCAAACTGAATATCAGTTCACTTGCAATGCTTCCACGATTTCGACGCGTAATAATTTTTCCTTTCATATTTTTTCTATTTTTGACATTCTGTGGCGTTCGAATCAGCAATGATTTTAAACCCCATTATGGGGAACCTCGTAGATATGCTGAATTGAAAAATTATGAACTAAAAGATTGGCATGATTACGAGTTCAAGAGACATGAAGCCACACGAGTAGGAGAAGGTGAGAATGGAACTGCAGTTCACCTCACAGATCCTAAAGAGATCGAAGCCAATAATGAAATGTTTGAAATTGAAGGATTGAATGTCATCGTCAGTGATAAAATATCCGTCAATCGTTCACTTCCTGATGTTCGTCATGAAAAGTAAAATTTGTAACATCTGATTGATTGTAATAATTTTTCATTCATCACGTTTTCAGATGTCGAACTGCACTTTACTTAAAGAACTTGCCAAAAGTATCAATCGTTGTTATATTTCACAACGAATATCCAAGTATCGTTAAACGAACATTGCACTCAATTCACAGACGAACACCGGCTGAACTTTTATGGGAAATTATTCTTGTTAACGATGCCAGTACGAAAGATGAACTTTACGAGCCATTGCAGTCATACGTGAGAAATCATTTTGATGGAAAAGTAAAGATTTTGAATCTTAAGGAAAGAGTTGGATTGATTGTAGCACGAATGGAAGGTGCAAAACTTGCAACTGCGGATGTTCTCGTCTTCTTTGATTCTCATGTTGAAGTGAATGTGAATTGGTTGCCTCCATTAATCGGTTAGTTTTTAATTTAATTGCGAAAATATTTTTTCTTTTAAAGTTTACTTTTTCCTGTTTAAGAACCCATTGCTATTAATCCACGAGCATGTACAACGCCAATTATTGACCGATTCAATGCAATAACTTTTGAACATGAAGTTTATGATGACTTTGGAGTTCGTGGATTGATTGCATGGGATTTTGATTATCGTACAACGTATCAAAGTAGATTTCAACCAACGAAACCAAAACCAACGCCAATCATGCTTGGATGCGCTTTTGCAATTAATCGACAATATTTTTGGGATCTTGGAGCTTACGATGATCAATTGTTGATTTGGAATGCAGAAAATTATGAATTAAGTTTTAAATTATGGCTTTGTGGTGGTGAACTTTTAGAATGTCCATGTTCAAGAGTCGCACATGTCTTCAGATATCACAACATATATCGAGAACTTGAAGGAGTTGACTTTGTTGCAAGAAACTTTAAAAGAATTGCTGAAGTTTGGATGGACGATTGGAAACAGTATCTTTATAAAACAGACGAAGATCGATTTAATAAGGTCGACCCGGGAGACCTAACGAAGCAAAAAATGATCAGAGAAAATTTAAATTGCAAACCTTTTGATTATTTCATGCATCAAATCGCACCTGAAATTCTAAAATTAACTCCAATTCCCAGGCCTGAAGATGTCGGTTTTGGTGTCTTGAGAGCGTTCGTGAAATCAAAAAGTTATTGCATTTCTGATTTCAATTTTCGAAACAGTGAGTGCAATATTGGAGAGAAATGTGATAAATCATTAATCGCACCACACACTTCACAATATTTCCATGTCAATCGTCAGGGCATCGTGGAGCATGAAAGAACTAAAACATGTTTTGATAAGCGAAGTTTCACTCATCTTAGTGACTACAAATTCCAGACAAACTCATGGAAATATGATTTTGTAAGTTGTTTTAATGTTTATGCATTAATGTTGTCATGACTGTTAAGAAATATTTCAGGAGAATCAACGAGTTGTACATAGTAATGGGATGTATTGCATCTCAATAAATGTAGACGTGATGAATATTAATTTAATTGAATGCAATGCAAATGATGAAACACAGAGATGGATGTTGGGATATGTGAATAAGACAATTTTGGGAGAAGATAGAAATACTGTCAAAGGGTAAAACCTACCAATGTAAATATAAATTAAATATGTAAATGAAAGTTCTAATTGGGTCGGAAAGAAATTAAATTTTCATTAAGTAATTTTCTGTAACTTCTTTAGTCCCATCGAATGAAAATCTGCATCAAGAGCTTAAAACTTGATGAAAGTAATTAACAAGTTTTGGAAGAATCCCAATTTTAATCAGACTTGAAAATTAAGAGGCAAATTAGAACGACCTTGTTGTCTCGATCTTAAGTCTTTCATCCTTAAAACTTTCTTCCTTCTTTTTAAAAAAGTTTGACAATTCTTGCAATCTTCTATCACTCAATGTCAAATGAATAAAGTTCAATTAAATGTGTTTACAATCTCAATTTCATTGGCAAGCATCAAGACAATTCCTTTAATGAGATGTTGATTGTATTTTGTCCTTTTTTTTGACAATAATAATAAAAATATTATTTGAAGTTTTTAAATTATGTTAAAGTTTAAAATGAGAATTTCATTCCACTAACGATGTGAAAACAGTTTGCCTTTATGGCTCATTAAAGTTGCCAACATTCAGGAAGAAACTTTGAGAAATTATCACCATTGATTAAATTTTAATTCAAGTGAATACAAACAGAACTTTCCGTATGGGGAATAATCAAAAATTTTAAACTAGCATTCCGAGAAAATCAATCGATAAAGTTTATTCAACCTGAACGATGTATTTGGATTATAAATACAATAAACATTCTCCACCGTAAGTGTTTACTTGATTGCCTCGAAAACCTTGTTTACGATTTATTTCCCACCTTCCTGATTGATTAATTTTCAATTTCCTTCTGTTTTATTATCGTAAGTTTCCTCATTCAATTTCATATTTCTTTTCTTCAATTCATTGGCCTCTTTTGTTCGGGAAATGTTTGTAATTCTTAATAACAGAAGAGCAGTGGAAATCTGTAAAGTTCTTCCGTGTTGCCACCTGTGAGAAAATGAAAATTGTTTTTGTTTGATTGAAAAAACAAAGTGAAACGAAGAATTACTCAACATAACAAAACTAATGACAAATTAAGCTTTGAATCCTTCTGCCCCAATGAACACAATCAATTTGTAGCACAGCAACTCGTAAGTTTTTTCTCATAAAAAATTTGTTGAGAGGGAAATAAATTTTTTGTGTGATGAGAATATCAACATTTTCTTTTCTGCTTTCCTGCCTTCCCCCCTAAGCAACAGTTCTTCTCAATTTGTTTCAATCATTCACGATAATGCTATCAAATTCTTCTCTCGATTTGAGTTCTCGGATCATTTTTCAAAAATCCCAACAGAAGCAGAACAACCAAATATTTCCATATTGAACTGATTGATGCGCGTCATTCTAATCGATTATTTATTGAAAATCTATTAAAGTACTCTTCGATTTATGTACTAATATCTATCTACATAATATTGAGTTTGAACAGGTGGAATATTTACAATAAAGTCACTTGAATTCAAAAATTATTGATATGGTCGATTTCGTTATAAATTTTTAATGACAAATGATTTTAGATAATTGTCAATGAGTTTTCCATTGAATTTTGATAAATTATAAAAACATTTAGACCGTTCAATGTAGGTGGTGTAAATAATTATTTAACTGCTCAACATTATGAAAAAATTACGATTTTTCGATTCACAAGATGATTACATTTTGACATTTGATTACTGGAAACGTGGCGACAGAACGCTTAGGAGTCGCTGGGAATTCTTAAAGTGAACATTATTTCATATACTGTTGATGGAATAAGCATCAAGATTAATTTAATGCCCCAGAGTACTTCAAATGAAGGACATTTATGATGTTGAGGACTATTTATGAATTTCCCGCTTTTCTGCTTGAGATTATTTACACAAATTTTCCTGTCATTCAAGAAAAAGCGTGAAAATTTTCAGTGAAAACTCTGCATTCATGAATGTTAGTCATTTTAATATGACAAAATTTGTTTTAATATTTTGTTTCTCTCACATTCTTAAGATACGCATTTAAACGTAGCATGTCAAGATTATCAAAACAATGTCATCTCTTAACATGATGACTTCTGTAGTCCCCTCCGAGAGAGAATTATCATTAAATGGAGTTTTCTAATTACGAAAATTAGTTGCTATAAAAATTTTCCATCACTAACAGCAGTCGAACAATTGGACAAATAAATTATTTTTTGTTATCAATTGAAAATAATGTGAATGTCTTCTGAAACAGCAAGGAATTTTTATAGACATTTCTTTTGTTCTATTGAAAATTAAGCTAAATATAAAGAAGGAATCTGAAGAAGACGAAGATTTATTTCGGATTCAATGGAGTAATTGTCTTGACTGTCTAAGGGATTTTGTTTTGAATTATATATTTTAAATTTACAGTCGATTAACTTCAGAGGTTATTAAGCTCGCAATTAAAAATTAATTTATTTGCGTCTTCTTCTTGTCTTATCTTAAAAATTGAATTAGTTGCACCATATTTATTTGAGTAATGATAGTCGCAATATCAAGAAGAAGATTAATTACTTAAGAGCTTTAAAAGTACGTAAAGTCGGCTTATTTACTTTGTAATACTTATTTGAAATGAAGTGGGAAAACTTATAAAATTCATTTACTTATTATAAATATCTACTTAAACATCATTAACTGACTTGTTAAAGCTTTTCCTGATTTCATGTTTTTGGTTTCTCTTCGGTTTTTCAAGAACATTTTCACTTAGATGCTTTAAAGAAAATGAGAAGAGAAAATTGAGGGAAAGTTCGCTCTCTCGATTTTTTATTTTTCCTGTTGAGAGATGAGAAAAAAAAGAAAATTTCTTAACATAAAACGTGTGGGTTAAAACACAGACATCAAGGAAATATTATCCAGTCTTTTGTGGGATTCACATGTTGCAAAAAGTTTTCTTTTTACTTTTCCATGACATTTAATCACTTTGACTTTCACCCAATTTTTCATTTTTGTTTATTTTATAAACACTTTCTAATGATTATACTTTTAAATGAAGTTAAGCATATCATATGCTCAAATTTATGAAAGCTTACGGCTCATGATTGATGAAATCCACATTAACACATAACATAGCGTCAATGAATATTTATTACAAGTTAATGCTTTCTAAATGTAAACATCATCGCGCAAAGTATCAATTTGCATAGAAATTTGTATTGTGGGAGTCATCGACATCTACACAATGTTGCATTTTATTATTCCTACCTTTATTTAGTACAATTTAAAATGTAAATGATTTCCCTCTACGTGAAAATTAAAGTTGAAATGAGATATTTAATGCCTTTAAATATTTAAATGGCCCTGAACAAATGAATTGAAAAAGGAAAATTAAACAAAGACATTTCATTTCTTTGAATTATTTTTTTTTAAGGATCCTCTCGTTTGTCACTGACAAAAAAAATGGCAAGTAATTACGCTCTGATTCGTTTCGAAATCAGTTGCAAGATATTCAATTTAACAGTTCATAGCTGTTGGCGTCGAGTTTGGAATAAAATTTCGTGCATTTATTTTTATCAATTCAAGGCCCTTTTCTAACTGCGATGTAAAAGAACCAAAGGAGATTCTATATCTTGAGGCATTTCTTTTAGATTAATTAGCATCGTATAAATCAGAGCGAAATAATTTTTTTTTTGTCGTTTTTAAAAGGAAACTGAATATCTACTTGTTGATTATAAAACAATTTTTCTGTTGGGATTCGAAACGTGCAACTTCTTAACTTTTAAATGTAATATTTTAAAGCTCTTATAATCTCTTCCTTTTTCAGATCTGCATAATTTATTCTTCACTTTTTATTACTGATAACAAGTGCTACTTCATCCACCCACACTTAAGCAATTCCTTTTTATTCTTGCAAGACAATAACCTTAAAACTTTTAAAAACAAATTAAAGTTAGTAAAAGAATTGAGTTTACCAAGTTTTAAATGTCCTTAAGGGAATTCAATGCAGGAAAAGTTTTATTAAAAATAATGAGAAGTTTCAAAGCAACCTCCCACGCTTTTTTGGTTAATATCAAAAAAGTTACTTTTTCAGCCTTTGCTTTGTGAATTTTTGTTAGTTATTTCGACGCTGAGGTTTGATATTTTCATAATCAGCTCATCCATATCCATAAATCATACTTCATAAAAAATCAATCAACAGCAAAAAAAGCGCCAAAAATTTTTGTTTATAAAAGTAAAAAGAAAAATGTTTATACATTTTGAGTTGAGAGCGATGTCGAAATGAAATTTTTCTTCTCGTATCTTGAATATAATGTCGAACAGATGCAGTTAGGTGTTTTTAAAGATTTTCTCTTGTTTCTTAAGTAACAACACCAAATATTTAAATTTTCTTACTTGTTAAAACAGAGAAAGGAAGGAAAAGTTTCAATGTCGATGTTTTAACAAATGTTGTCCTAACTTTCCTGTCACGATTTTTGAGAGTTGACATTTATTGGGAGGATAATTTACAGTGACAGTTTCAATCTTAAAATTCTTCAACATTATCATGTTTGGATTAATATCGGAGACTTTTCATAACTTTTATCGAGACAGAAGACCCAAATAAGTATTTATTTACAAAAAAGCTTCTCGTGGCATAGCAAAATTACTTCTCGCTGATTACATTTCCAATCCCACGTGACAAGAAGTTTGAAACATTTTAAAAATTTAATTGGTTTGCTGACATTTTTTAATGGATTAGGTGCTGTCGACATATTTTCGTTTCGAGCAAACAGCGTGGGTGGTACTTTTAGTGTCATCACCATCATAAAATGTTTGATTTATAGATTTGCTTAAAATATTTTCTGTAAGATTCTATACAATCTAAGACGAGAATGGAGCAGTCATGGAAATAAAACGTCACATGTTATGCCTAATGGTAAGAAAATTTGCTTGAAATATTGTCCAACGAAGCAGATACGAAAAATTCTTGTATGTAAGCATCAAAATTACTTATTTTCTGATTATACGCTTAAAATTTGACGCATCTTCTTAAAATAGAAGACAATTTTTACCCTTTTTCATGAAGACAGCATCAATCGTCTTTTAACTTTCTTTCCTTCCTGCCTGTTTTTGAACAAAAGACGCAAGAAGAGTTTCATTCTTAAATTATACCTTTGACGTTTTCCACCCCAACATCATTTTCATCATACTTTTGGTAGCTGTAAGTGAAAACGACATCGTAAATATTTTCATCACTTTTCAAATTATTTTCAGTTCACTAAGTTTGAATCGTTTTTTGATAAATATCAATCATACGAAGTGTCGAGATTCTTTTCTATTTTTAAGTGATTTTCTATTGTGTGGTTCATTTTTTTCTACTCTTGACACAACAACAAACCTAGACAATTTTCTGATATCATTTTGCTATGAATTTATTATATGAAAGCTTCCAAACTTCAAAACATCCTTGGAATATTTTATAAACAACAATGAATATGGTTAAAGCCTTCACCAGCCTCCCTCTTCTGAACTCTGAAAATATTATTTATGATCCTTTCACAGTTTTCTCCTTTTATACTATCTGGAATCGTTTTCAGGAAATTCATGATCGTATTTTTCACTTTCCTTTGCATGATTTGAAATTAAAATAATTTATTTTCATGTATACCTAGAAAGAGTTAGTTATATAAAGAGTGAATGCTTATTTCAGTCGATATGAGAATTCAGAATATAAAATTCCATCTATTTATATTTAAACAGCTTTAATTCAAATATTTGTTGAAATATCGGCATTTTGGAAATTTTCTCTGTTGAAGACAAGCCTGGAATTAATTTCAATAAAAACCAGAGTAGAAGCTATGTGTATGAAAATTAATTTGATAGAAAAAATATCTCATATCCTTTATGGGTTGCTCCTCTGAATATTGTTATCAATTCATTAAAGTAAAATTAGCATAATTTTTCCCAAGATCCCATTATTAGCATCCTCTGAATCAACAAAACTTCACTTGACTACACACTGATGAATTTAATTATTCATAAATGCGAATCCCGCATCGAGAATTAAATAAGACATTGATGAAAGCCTCTGCAGCTTGCGTACATAAGAATTTAAGCATTCAAAAAGGATTATTGAGATCTAATTCTTCCTTGAATTCTTTTTATACCTACTCGTATAATGGAAACACAACAAAAGCTTTTCAAATCTCTAAACTCTTTGTTTTTGAGCTTTCAACAACATTTATTGTTTCAAGAAAATGAGGGAAATTATGTTTTCATCCTTCAAGGTATAACTGAACTAAATAATGTTTATGTTAGATATCTACATAAATCTAATCAACACCTTGTTTTCTTCATCACATCATCAACACATTTTTTGATTGTTTGTGTCATTACTGATGACAGAAAACATTAAAAAGCTACACAGACAAATTTCTTTCATCTCTTTGATTCAACAAGAATTCTTTTCATTAAATTTAGGTGTGAAGTCATGAAAAAGTCGATTTTTGCCTGAAGAATTTTGAATATTTTAAAGCTTAACATAAAAAAGAAATCAACACTGAAAAATTCAAAGTAGCAAACGATGTTTGAGCTTTTTCATGCATAAAATTGATTTCAATCTTAAAAAGTTTACCCACGTTTTCAATGAATGTGACGTTGCGTATATTCTGATGCGACATTTTCGTGATGAACTGGAAGAAATAGAAAAGAATTTAATTGAAAAACTCATTCATTTTTCGAAAATCTCTACAGTGATAATCTTGAAACGTATTTGTGAGTCTCGATAATACTTTTTCTTCCATTAAGCATAATTTTCCTTCTCATTTCACAGACACATTTGAAATGTAATGTGATTGAAAATATTAGAAAAAGTTTTCAATCAGATCATCCTCGTTGATTGATGTATAATTTCTTTTTATTTGATTTTCATTGGGAATATCCATTATCGATACTATCGATTCATGTAATGCAATACGTTTAGGTTTCTTTTTCTCTAGATTATACATATCTACATAAATATGTATGCATAAATATGTAAATTTCGCTTATTGACATGAGTCGTTCCTCGAAAAGCAACAATTTCAATTCAATACAAATTGCCTATGTTGATTCTTGTATTAAAAGCTTTTGAAAATAAAGTAATTGAATTCAATCGGCTTAGAATGCTTTTTGTTTGCTTAACCTTTGCAAGATTCATTTAACAATAAAAAATTGATATTTTTGCACGTTTTAACTGCCGATTTCATTTGCTTTTTGCTCCATCAAATGTGGTGAAAGGAAAGCTGATTTTGAACCTTTTCAACTTACGACATTTGAGCCTTCTAAAAATAAATGACAACAAGCTTTCATCACTCGTCGTTTCACCCTTTTTCATGCAATTAGAATGTATTCGGAGCTTCATCAACCTTTTACTGCCACCTTCCTTTCTGATTTTATGCATTAAGTATAAAACCATATCGTTGAGAAAAATTGTATAAAAGTGTCCCATGAAAGGCTTGTTGATTATTTTAAAGTGTTAATCTTTGCTGACCCTTTAATAAGTCGAGCACAATAAATAAGAAAATTCTTTTTGATGTTCATGTAATTTTCATGAAAAAATATTTCCGAGAGAATGTTGAGCGAAATTTAGCTCAAAATGTGTCTTCAAAACTCAGAAAGAGAGCGAAACTTATTTTCTCATTTCCATCTGTTGAAAATTATCTTATATTGGGAAATTTCATTCACATTTTCTTTAGTCTGCTGTTGAACGTCGTGTGCTGTTTTTGAAAAAAAAAAATTATCTGAACATTGAAGAAGTTTGGTTTAGTTTTAAAGTCATTAAAGAAAATTTTAAATGTTCAACTATAAAACATTACAAAATATTTTTTATGACTTTAGTAGAAACACGGGAAAATTGGAATTAAATATAAACTTGCATAGTTGAAGTGTTTTGCTTTATTCAGAACGAAGATCATTTTGTGGAACTTGTGATCGAGCTTATTTTAAGGTGGAAATGTGAGAAGTTTTGAGTTCACGTGAAATTAAAATCACGTAGTGAATATAAAAGTATTTTAATAACAAGAAAAATTCCAAGAGACATTGAATTAAAATCTCGAATTGCGCAAACAAGAAAAAATGAAATGAAGTAAAACAGTAATAAATTGAACGTGAGCTTTGCAACTTTCCTCAAAACCAAGAAAATTCTTAAGAAAAGGGCTTGCAGTTACTTGAGATTCTTAAAGTTAGAAGGTTTCCTTTTATAATGATAAATAGCACAACTCTTTGTGGGAGGTCTGAAATATTTTCCGCATAAATTTCATTTTGCTATTCGGAGAATCAGCTTGAAAAAAAATTCAATTTCATGTAAGCGGAACTTACTTTAGCGAACCTGAATAACTCATCAACTTCCAAAGAAACCCAAAAATAAATAAAACAAAAAAAAAGTTAAATAATTCGAAAGGGTAAACATTCTGTATGCAAAAATTGAAATTCTCGACAAAAACATAATTCAGTGATCAAATTAAATCTCAACTCTCAGTCTTGAAAGTATGAAAAACATAAAGGTTTAGTTATAAATTAAGAAAAGTTTGTTAAATCTAATTTCGTAAGAAAATGAAAAAAATTCTTGCAAGAAACGAAGGCTGAAGCTATACAAAATGAAATATTGTGGTCATTAAATTAAATACTAAAAAATTTGAGTGGAAATAATTAAAAAAAGAAAGGAGAAAGAAATTAAATTACAAAGCCGTGCTTAAGTGAGATACAAAAAGGATAATCCCACAAATGAATGAGTGTTGTAAATTACTGTCCAAGTAGAATAAAGCCATCAAATTAAGTAATATGGAGACAACGTTATCATCATTAATGACAACATCGGTGGACGAGTTAGTTAACAATTCGTCAATGCTTGACTTTATGTTAAATCCTTCAGCAACGCCGACAACATGTTCAGAGACTAGTGAGGATTGTGTCATAGATCATTCAGTAGTGTGTGTAGGTGAAGCTATTTTCTGCAATTTGTCAAGAGAAGATTATGAGAACTTACTGTACGAATACATTGCGCCGACCATACCTGAGTGGATTTTGATCTTTTCCCATATTATCGTATTTCTCATGGGACTGGTAAGTGTGGACATTTAACGAGTCAGGGATTATTAGAAAATTCCTTTTCCGATTTCCCTTCCATTTTTATTATTCAGAGTTTTTTAGAGTTTCCGGTTGATATGAGTGGGTGGTGTTTTGATTGACATAATTGATTAACACTTCATTTAGCCTGGACGGACGTTCACTAAATATAAACTCAAATTGCGAACTCAATCAAAACAGCCATCATAACAAAATTTGTTTTCAAAAGTCAATGACGCAGTAAATAAATGAATTTGTTCCTAGTTACGGTTGCTTTAACATGATTGAAAACGAACATTCTTTAGTTGCTACAACTACTTGTTTCATTATAAATAATTATATTCCATCCCTATGTCCATAAATGAACCTGTAAACAATTTCACAATTAATTGGAATAAAACCGTTTACGTAAATATTTGCAATCACTTCATTAATAATCAACATTTCTCTTCAGAATAAATTTCAATATCGCTACGCTATCAGAAACTTAAATTACATCAGAGCCTGTCAAGAATTTATTTCATCATTGTGAAGTTTTAGTCGAATCAGAAATTAAACATTTGAAATTTTTTTTTTTTACCTTCTTGTTAAAATAGTTGATTCTCAAACTATTGCCAAGCTCTGATTCGAAAGATATTCATAGTCGCGGCTATAGATTTAAATTTCAAGGAAATAATAAATTTGAAAGAAAATACTCAACTCAACGCGTTTACATCTTAAGAAACTAATTGAAAATATTTATTTCTCTAATTAAAAATAACTACTGACAGTTTATTAAAATAATAATAAAAGAAGAGACTTTGTAATATTTATTAAGTAATATTTTGAGATTCATTCCTTGAGAACATCAAAGCAAGACATGTTTGCTTCAAAATTGAAATATTTTCCATGCTATGAACTGAATTTTTATGCTTTATAATAAAAATAATAAAGCTTTAAATACATGAGGAAATTTAAAATTCTCTCCATGATTTAAAAACATAAAGTAAATAGACAAGAATGAAGGGAAATGTTTTCTTACATGATTTGACATATTAAATAAATTGCACTTTTGCTTCTTTTTCTTCACTGATATGAAATAAGAGAATTTCAGAGTGTATGTAGAGCGTGCTTAAAATGCGGAGCATTATAATACATTAATATCACTTCCTTCCTTCTTCTGCATCTTTAAAGTTTTCTTATCTAAACAAGGCAGGAAGAAGAAAAAAAATTCTTCAGCCTTGTGTGATTTAAAGTTACAAATGCCATTGATTTTCTCACAATCAAATAATGTTGATCACTTTTTTATATTTTTCTTAATTCTACAGATTGGAAATGCGCTTGTTTGTCTTGCCGTCTATACAAACCACTCGATGAGAACTGTAACAAATATTTTCATTGTTAATCTTGCGGTTGCTGACTTTTTTGTGATACTTCTCTGTCTCCCACCAACTGTTGTATGGGATGTGACTGAGACTTGGTTTCTAGGCGAGGTGCTTTGTAAAGTTGTAATTTACTTTCAGGTTAGTGTCGATTTCTTGATAGTTTCGTTCAATGTTTTTCCCTCAACTGACGTTGATTATCTTAAAAGTATTGTTTATGGCACTTTTTGTTTACTCTCGGCAATCATAGCCAGCTGCTCGATATCATTTGCCAAAAATCACACGTTAGAAGTTGAACAAATGAATCGCAGAAGCGCAAACATTCAAAACGAGCAGATGTAGCTCAACTTTATGAAGTATTGAATAAATCGACAAGAAGAAAACGAAGAAAATAATACTTGGCAATTGTTTCTCGATAACATGTTTCTGGTTTGTTTACTTAGTGGGCCTAATTATTACACTTGAAATATTAGATATTGGAAATGATTATGAAAAAAATTATGAATTTTCTTTCTCATGATGAATGGAAGAAAATTAGCCTTTTTCTTATTCTTTTAATTAGTTTCTACCAAAGATTTTTTCTTGTTTCATAAATCACGGAGAGATACTTGAAGAAAGTTTCCGAAATTAAAACCTTAAAATTTTCTATCTCAATGGAAAATCGATGACATGGAAGAATTTTTTTTTCTTAATTTATCACAAAATACGAAAAAAGAATTTTAATGCGAAAAATCTCGTAATTTTTCATGCTTTCACATGCCTTCATCTCAAACCTCTATCAAATGTTGAAATTTATGAGATTTCAACTTATCCTTGGATGTATTAAATGAAACGAAAAATTTCTTATTGCTTATTTTTATCCTGCAAAGGTTGGGAAAAAGAATTAATCTAATTAAATCTCTGTTATAGCAAAGAAGTTTCTTTTAATTGAATTTTGCTTGAATTTATTCACCTTCCTTTGAATTTTAAGTAAGCTTCAGATGTACGACTGATTTTATTAAATTAAACTCTAAACATTTAAAAGGCGAATTTAGGCGAATTTGTTTGGTATCTAAATCCTTAATTGAGATTTTAGTAGGTGGAAATAAAATCTTAAAAGGTTCTCGAAATATCCTAAAAGTTTAATCCAATAAAAAGGCGATTTACATAAATTTTTGATAAGCATAGAAAAATTGGCAAGTATTTGATTAAAGTTTTTAAAGTCATTTGAAATGGAAACTTCAAAAGTTGATGACGTCTAAGAAAAAGTTAAGAAGATTAATTTGATCTATTTTTATTTTAATTATAATTTTAATTAATCAACAATGAACAATAGATCAAAACAATTCTCGATTCGATAAAAATCGACTTGTTTTCGTACAAAATTTATTGTTTGAAAAATTAATTTACGATAAGTCTACAGAAATTTAATTTCCTCGTTAAATTTTTCTCGTTTGTTGTGATTCAAACGAAATCTCACGACATGATAACAGCAACAATGAGCAACAGCACGAGCCTATGAAGAGTAAACGAACAAGCAACAGTGTTTACAATAAAAATCAAATTACGCTTCTTGTCGTTACTTGTAACAACTAATCGTGTTTCTTTCTCTTTCTCTCTTATCTCGCTTTTGAAAATTGCTAAATCTCAACATGATTTCAGACTGTCAGCGTCACAGTATCAATTCTGACATTGACGTTCATTTCAATAGATCGTTGGTATGCAATATGCTTTCCACTACGATACAAACCACAACCAGGTCGTGCAATGGTTTGGATTGCCATCATTTGGACGGTTGCGCTTTTATTTGATTTACCGGAATTCTTCGTTTTGCACTTGGCACATCGAAGGCTACGATTTGATATCCAACTTTTCACACAATGTGTTGCTTCGTGGAGTGCTGAAGATGAAAAATTGTTCAACATTATAAAAGCTATCTTTTTATATACGTGAGTGAATTTCTATACATCTTTCTCGTCTTTTGTCTTTTCATAAAATATTTAACACACAATTTAATTTCCACATGAAAAATTTCGTCTTTTCCCTTAAATTTTCACTTTTCTTTTTTTTTTTTTCATTTTTAGACTTCCACTGACCCTGATGACAATCGCTTACTTCCAAATTGTGAGAGTACTTTGGAGATCGGATACAATACCCGGACATAGTAATATAAAAGTTCAAAAGCCTAGCTATTATAGAAGTAAATTAAAATGATTTAACATTTTCTTAGGGCTTAATTCTATCTGCTAACAACATTCGCTTCATTATTTATCTTCTCTAATTAATTATAAATTATTGTTTACTCACAGATAAAGTCAATCATGCAAGTCATGGAGAATCAAATGCGACGACAATGGGACAACTTCGTGCAAGGAGAAAAGCTAGCAAAATGTTAGTTGCTGTAGTGATAATGTTCGCTGCTTGCTATTTTCCTGTTCATGCCCTCAACATCATTCGTTATACGTATACGGATATTGATCAAAGTGAAGTTGTTTCAGTTCTTTCCCTTCTTTCTCATTGGCTGTGCTATGCGAATTCAGCAATCAATCCTCTTATTTATAACTTTATGAGTGGTAGGTTGAAAGGTTCATTGCCATAAATTTTTCTACGATATCTAATCAGCTTATTTCTGGAAAATAAAATTGAATTAATTATGTAGGAAAATTCAGAAGAGAATTCCGAAATGTTTTGGAACGTGGGCATTGTTTAACTTTGAAAAGTCATCAAAGAAGTAATCAATGGCAGTCTCAATATCGATCAAGATATGCAAATGAAGACCAAGAACATTCATTTATACATTCAACAACTCACATGATTCATATAACGCCTAGCAGCTTGAAACGAAACTATGCATGTCCACCGGTAAGTCTCCTTAATGCACGATTAAATGCCATGTCTTACATATGTCGCTTCTTATCTCTTAATCAGCAAACCTGTCAAACTTCATTTACCAACGGTGGCACCAGTCGAGAAAATTCTTCATGTTTAAAGGGTCCCAGCTTTACAGCAAAACGAAATTAATGTTTCAATTGAAATTAAGAGAAAATAAAGTTTCTTAGATGTTTATCGTGGTTCATAAACTTTACAGCTGGTAAAAATTGAATAAACTTTCGAATTAATTATAAATTTCATGCTGTCCACATCATTACAGAAAGTGTAAGTTAAATTCAAAATATTTTTATTGTGTTTCAATTATATCACATTTAATTTCCTTGTGTTTCATGCAATTGAAAGCTGATTCATTTAATAAAAAGGGAAAAAGAAGAAGTTTTGAGAACAATTCCAAAATATGGTAGTAACTGGAAAAACTTTTTTTATTCTAACTTCAATCAAAACGTCATTGTTGGTTTATCTAACAATTCCGAAAGGATATTTCGTTGATAAATTTATAGAGATTAGTTGTTGGGATTGAGGCGTTCAAGTTTTCACCTTTGTCATGCAGAAAGGATTATGGAAATTGGTTAAACTTTTTCAGAATTAAAAGAGAGTTATGTTCGACAACTTTGAGAAAGGTGTTGACAAAGGATCGGATCAACTGACACCTAAAATAAATCTCAAGTGAACCATAAATATTAACAACATGAACATCATTTTATCACAGACATGACCTTTCTATTTTCCTTAAACATTTTACCACATGCCTTTTCTATCTTCTTGATTCTTTTGATCCGTTCATAAAATCATAAATGAAATCCACAATCAGATTTTTATTTGAAGCGCACGTCTACGTCTTCATAATTTATCTTCGCTCGTAATTCGTTATCCACAAACAAAGCATCGTTATATTCTACTCTCCATTGCTATCACGTTCTCTCATTTATATATGTATTCATATTTGTTATACTTCATAAGAAAGTTTCACAACGCAAACCTTGTACGACATGACAATTTCAACTGTATTATTAAAACCGAGAAAAGTTTTCAACGAGTTGACTTTAGTTTGCAACATGGCATAATCTTCTTATAACTCTTACTAATTCAAACGATAAGCTTTATGTAGAAATAAAAACTGAACTGCTCGAATTTTCAAACAGCCGCAATGATTAAGTAAATTTTTCTATTTTCCAGCAGTTACCTTAGCAACAAAATATGTATTCAACGTAACAACATAAACCTAATGCTTTGTTGAATCAATTTTTATTTATTTTCCCTTTGATATTATAAAAAGTGATGAAAGAATAACTTTTCCCTGAAAAGCAATTTGAATTGAAATTGAAATTTTCGACATCATCGTGACAGAGTTAAGAGTGTTCGAAGAAAGCTAAAAGTGAGGAAACACCATCAGATAAGTTAGAGTCTCATCGATGAATTGAAAGAAATTCTTTGTTTAACTCTCACTCTTACACTTGATCCAAAAATAAACATTTCAAAGTAAAATCTGTACGATTTTAGTGGGTAAAATAATTTGAAGATTAAGCAGTGTTTGAAGATGGTGTTTGAAAAGTTGTTTATGAAAATTTTAAATAAAGAAAGGAAGCCGAAGCAAATTAGCATTTTAATCATCGGCCTTAATAATTCTGGAAAATCAACGATTGTAAACTTTTTCAAAAACAAAGATGTTCGAAAGTCTGTCTCAATACCGACAATTGGTTTCAACATTGAACACTTTGAGAGTGAGTCAAAATCTATTTTTCTTTATTTGATTGTTTTCTGATGTTTTAATGACTTTGACCTTCACAGGCATGTTACAAATCCATTAAAAATTAATCGATTGATTATTTATTTGTTTAATTCTACTCCCTGCTTCCGTTCGATGTAAATTTGTTTTTCTTTTATTTTATTCCATCACAGATCAAGGTGTATCGTTCACAGCTTATGATATGGCTGGAATTGGCAGGTATCGGAATTTATGGGAACACCATTTTAAAACATGTAATGGAATTGTTTTCGTGATTGATTCCAGTGATCGAATGCGCTTAGGTAAATAAACGCTTTGCGAGTTTTTCATTTTGTTATTTTTTGCTTCTTTTTTATCTTAAATCCAACATGAAAAGAATTTTCAATTTTTTCGATCAGTACAAGAAAAATATTTTGGTTGTCAAAGTAAAATATGTAGATCGATAAATAAACTTTATCGACACAAAACAGTTTTATATCTGAAGCAGAAAAGGTTCATATCAGTCACATGTGGTGTTCGAAGGCAACCTACGACCATCACAGCTAGAGTAGGACATCGAATTTAGGAAAGAAATTGTTATCACAACTTTTAGTTGATTTTCTTGAATAAGAATCGATGTTTCATGCTTTATTCAATGATTTGTTATGGATCTAGAAAACGTTATTAGATTTATATTATGAAATTCCATCATCATTTCATGATTTACAATAATTTCAGTTGTTGTTAAGGATGAGTTGGATTTGTTGCTTCAACATCCGGACTTGAAACGCCGCAGGGTTCCTATTCTTTTTTTTGCTAATAAAATGGATTGTATCGATGCGCTATCATCTGTTAAAATTGCTGCTGGATTAAATTTGGAGAAAGTGGATAATAAACCTTGGCAAATATGCTCATCGAACGCATTGAGTGGCGAAGGTTTGCAAAATGGAGTTCACTGGTTAACGTCACAGATAAAAGAATGTGTTCTAACGCCACCCGATAAAGAAGTTTACGACTAAAATGACGTGATGAATGTTTCGTGAATTTCGAGACAAAATGAAAATGAACATTTCATGTTTGTTTTTTGGAAAGCTTTTATTTCATGGATAATTTGCAATGTTTTTGTTTAATTTTTGGCTCATATGTGAATAAAATTCGGAGACATGTAACTGATATCTTAAGACTCTTTTCTGCTAAAATCAACAATAAAAAGAGAAGAACGAAAACTCATTTACGACATCACATTTTTGTTAACGTTTGGCAACAAGTAAGAAAATCGAGGCGAAGCGCTGAGTTGTGTAAGCAGATTATTTATTTTTAAAGCAGATGTGATCAATTTTGCCTCCCTTTACAAGCGGTTGAAAGCAACATGGATTGAATTAAATTAAATAAATCATCTACTTCCATACAGATGTTCAAAAATCAATATTACCAAGCCAAGTTTTTCGACGTAAAAAATGTCGCAGCACGGAAAAGGTGGGAAAATCAGAAGGAAAGTTGTCGCCTTTTCTTTCTTTTTTCTTTTACAAGATAACTTTATGCCTGACTTCGTGTAAACATGAACGTTCTCTTCAATGTGATGACGACTCTTATCGTTCACGTCTCCAGCTAAATGTAATCGTCGTTATAAATAAATAAATTCTATGGCTATACATATTTAAGGAACGAACTTCCTTCCTATGTTCACTTACATATGAAACATTTTCCCTTGATCATTCTCCAACGCATTATGGGAAATGAAATATGCCATCAAAAAGGAAAACGTTTCTTTTTATTTCTCACAGGAGAGTATTTATTCATCAATAATCCAAAAAAGAAGCTTTTTGAAGGTTAAAACCTTCTTCTTAATACACCTTAAGGACACAAGTAAATATTGAGAGTGATTGATTTAATCTCACATTTTCAGAGTTTCTAAAATAGGCACACTGAACATTCTCCATATGTCAGGTAAACAAAGTTCCATCCAAGAAATTGATTAAAGATGAATTAAAGTTTACATAAATATGTAACGAGTCATCATGGCAACACTCGTTAAACTTATAACTAAATAAAACTTTTTCCTATTAATAATTATTTGTTGAGAAGTTTCGTATTTGAACTGCTAACTAACTAACTAACAAGCAAGCTAACCCACATTGCGTCTGTTAATGATCAAAGATTGAATTAATGGTCTGAAAAGATTCAACTGATGTAGGTATTTGTATGTAAATAGCTAAAAGCACTTGTAATCAACGATAATATTTTATCGGTCAGAGGTTGCTTAAGTTATTAAAGGATTTTTAACACATCTCAATAGTTAAAACTGTTTACATTTTCAAGAAAGAAAATAAGAGAAGAAATTCAACATTAGATATGAGATATACGAATCAGATTAATTAATATTCTTAATCTGATTATGTGAAAGGAATATGCACACATAAAGTAGATCTATTTATGTAGTTTCAATTTAAATATAAGCATAGTAGAATGTAAAGCTATTTGATATACTCAAGAACGTCTTTGAAAGTTCTAATGAGATTTCAGATAAATATTTATCTTGAAATGCTTCTAACTGATTTTGTTAAAGCTTTCAACTTAGCTTGAATTTTTATGGTAAACTTTGAGTTTGGTGGAAAATGAGAAAGAAAAATAGAAAAATGAAGAAATCATAAAATGAATTAATTTGCTTTATTACAATTTATTCACGCTCAATTTTCAGATAAAAGCCTCGAAGCTAAATAAGATCTCAGCCGTTTTCAAAATAAATACAAAAAGAAAGCTTTTTTCTTCAACAACCGAGACATTACATTGGAAAAGCTGCTTATGGAATTTGAAAGTAATTCTTTACGCTCTTTTACAGCATCTTCTTGTTGTTCAGATGATATTTCAAAAATGAAAAGAGAAGGTTTTGAAGCATCTCTTGTATGTTTCCTTGTTTCAAACACACAAGTAAGCACACATGATGATGATAAATTATTTACAGCGATCCATGTAATCAGACACATCAGCAAGAATTGTGAAATTCTAAAACTCATAGTCAGCTGTTTACAAGTTATGACAGAATTTTTGACATCACTGACTCAAGCATTCTCATAACTTAATATGAAAACTTTACTCAAAGTTCATACTTATTTGATATTTTAATTTTTCATGAAAAATCGCACTTCATATTTTATTTATTCAAATTTTTGAATTTTCGTTTTTCTTCTCATATTTTCAAATTTATTCAGAATATTTTGGAAGCCAAGTCGGAGGTTATAAAAAGATTCAAATACGTAATGTATTCAACATTAGAGTTTTTATACTCTGTCAACTAAGATCAGTACAAAATCATTTTTATTTAAAATCCATTCACTTCTACATACAATGTTGCTATGAATATTAAAGCAACAGCTTTTGTAAAGCTTTTTCCTTTTTGTCAAATATAATTCATCGTTCAATCTTATCAATTTTTGAAAGATTAAATGTTCGAAGAATTGAAACAGAAATACCGTAAAAATATTGTAAAGTGAAGAGAAAAATTTTCATTCTATCAAACTATCACTTTTGGGTGATTCAACTGTACAAAATATCTTAGGTAGGCAGGTAACCTTACTTCACATTATAAATGTTATCGACAAATATTTTCAATAGTCAGAGTAAATTCAAAGATTCGAGAAGATTCAAAGCTTCGTTACTTGTCAATATCAAATTTTCTGAGAAGAGCTTTTCATTGCTATTAAGCTTTTTATAGAAAGCATGGTCATTTCAAAGAAAGGATCGTTCTTCTTCAATTATTTACTCTCAGAACTCTTGACATGTAAGTCTTTATTTGAGTTGTAATGTTTGATACATTTCCAGTTATATGTATTCAGATATTTACGTTCGGAAGATTAGAAACGAATAGTTTTAAGTTCTTCATCTGTGCAGAGTAATTTCTCAGGTGCACTTGAAAGTTTTCAACATTTATGCTTCATTTCTACAAAAATTATACTTAATAAAATGTTGAATATTATGTTAAGCATTAACTTTAGATGTTTTAGTTGTAAAAGTAAAACATTTTCGGCTTCAAGTTAAGGAAGCAAAACAACAAATGGCTAATTAAAATTAATTGTAACTACAACATTAATTCATTAAAGCTTGATTTAAAGTAAGATAATCGTTTTTGTTAAGCAGTTAAGACAACTAAAGATTAAAACAAGATGTTGATGCTTCGAAATAAAGGATTAGACAAAATGTTGGAAGGTTTGCGGCAACAAGTGTCTTAATATCTACAACTAAATTTGGAATTTATATTAAAATCTTCATATTAAATTATTAAATTCTGACAGAGATTAATATAATGCTGTAGAGCAGTAAATTATTTATGCATTCAACAACTGTCGATTATCTAAGCGAAAATCAATTTCGACATGCTGAAGCTTTATTGAATTTTTCCTAAGAATATTTTACTATCGTCATTGATAGCTTTTGGGTCGTTCTTCACGTTTTTTTATGCTTTTGTTGTTGTTATTGTATTGAGAAGCGCCTCGATTACAGACCAAAGTTTCAGTTAGGTTTTTAGGTTTTATGCTAATACATAGAATTAAATTATGGCTGGTGTAAATGATGTAGAATGACTTGGTTACTGCGTCATTCATTGATGTTTTATCGTTGACTGTGATTTATACATCGACGTTTGCTTCAATGAACTTTGAAGACGTAAAATGAGAAAATTGAAAAAAAAATCTGCTTAAGATGTTCGTGCATAAACGATGAATTCTCTCGGGAAATTGACATTCGGCATTCAGTATTGAGGAAAAATTGATACGAAAGAAATAATTTGATTGGATTGTAAATTTGATGAGACACTCAAGGGTCAATTTTGGTTATCTGGCAATGACAGGTTCCTGTAGACATTCCATGTTATAAAAAGAAAATTTGCATTCTAGATATGGTTTGAAAATTCCATTAGACGTCTCTCAATGTGAAATCATCAATTTTATCAACTACATAACAACTTCCTAGCACTAAAAGCTTTTCCCAGCATAATAGGCTCTAAGCAACGGCATGATAACCGCAGTAAATAAAATCAAATCGAAAATCAAACAAATTTTATCGAAGTAAGATGACTTGGGGTGATGACAAAGCTAATGGAGAATCTGAAAGCATCTTCATAGGAAATCCCATTGACTTTTCTTCGTTATTTCTTTGATTTGATTCCTATCGTAGATGAATATCTCTTGAAATGGTAAAATATTCAATGTCAATGTTGACTTGAAGTCCTGACTTGCACGAGACAAATCGCTTGAAGCTGTAAAGGTGATTACTTTAAAAGCACATCACATACTTCAAAAACATAATATCAATGACGTCGCTTCACTTCGATCTGCACAAGAGACAAGAAACATGGAGATGTTCGATATCGCGTCTCTTTTACTTTCTTTTACAATTGATGGCAGTTGACTTTGCGTTGCTTTCAAAAAGTAATCGAATCTTGACGCGCGTCATGAAAAGATAAAAGACATGAATTGAGAAACGCTTTGAGACAAGACCAAGCGGAAAATTGAATTTCCTTTTTTCCCATTTTTACTTTTGAGGTAAGTTAAGTACCGAAAGTAACATCAATGAAGGGAAGTTACTTATGAACTAATCAATGTCTTAAGAATGACTCCCCATCCCTTATTCACTTTTCTATTAATAACTTCTACATGATCATGGTTATCCTCAATGAGTCGAGCTTGGTCACGTAATAGAAGTATTCTGGGAAAAGCTCTTAAATTCGCTCTTGTCTAATAAATTAGGTTCGCCTACATTCATAAAGTCACAAGAGCTTGTTTTACTTCTTGTCTTAGATAACTCTCATGAAAAACTTTATTAACTTGTGAATGTAATTTCAATTCGATTATGTTCCAGAAATTCTTACTCAGCAAACATTTCAAAATCTCTTCAAGAGAAATAAAAGAAAAATTATTTTCAAAATTGTGTCTGAGGAGTTTTTGATGAATAAAAAAGAGTGAATAATATTGAATGTTTTATTAACTTTCCCTCGCTCTATATCCGTATTGTTATGGAAAGTCTAAAGAAGAAAAGGATTTAAATATATTCTTCTTTTTCTTATCTTGAACTGATGTAACAAAAGAAACAAAGGATAATCTTACACGAGATTAACTATCCTACATCAGTAACTTTCAGCAAGATTAATTTCAGAGTTGAATGAAAGAGAAGCAAAACAAACTAACTATTCTGTGGGTAAAAGAAGAAATTGCTGTTGATAAATGGAGACATGAATGACACGAACGCGCTCACATCAATTGAAGTCACTGACAGTAATGCTTCCATTTTTTTCGATTAAACTTTGAAAGTTTTTTCATCCCAAAACTTGAGCATATAGAAATATAAATTATTAACACAATCTTTCCTCTCAATGGATTTCATCTTATGAATCCTCAAGACTGCTGAACAATTGATTTTTTCTGTATCAGTCAAAAAGTGTCACAAACTAAAAGTCGATTTGTCACTCATCAAGTTCTCTTTTATCATTTTGCTTATTTTATTACAATTTTTTATTAAATTTCGTCTCCATTGGAGAAATTATAGAATTATAAACTTTTTAAATACGCCAGTTTTATTTCTTGGTGTCTCTTTCAAGGTCACTTTTGTGAGAACTTTTTTGTTTTTGCTTTGAATCACAACTTTGGAAAACAACTTTGTTAAGCTGACTCAATACTTGAAGAACATATGAAACGAAAATGTTTTGATTTTTTTGCTGCGTTCGCTGATTTAGGTTTGTGATTCAAAGCAACAGCAAAAAAATTAAGTTATTTTGATATAATATTCAAACCTTTCTCGATGAAAAAGAGGAAGGTACGTAAATGTTTATTATAACTTATGACCCTTAAGCACTTAACTTGTTATGCATCGATAAGGGAGGAAAGATCTCATAAATATTGCATAAGTTTCAGGATAAAAGCTTTTTATATTCAGACTTAAAGTTATGCAATTTGCACAACATGTTATTCAGTTCTAGAAAAGAGTTTGGTATTTCCTCTCCCCCAAATCGTACTTCCTCTTTACTCACAATATTTTAGCACCACAAGAACCTTCTATACATGTTTGTTACGCTTCAGTGCTGAATTCATCAACATATAAAATTTATATGGAAATTATTAAATGATGAACACACTCACACAATTTAAAGAACACTTTAAGCGTGAAATGATAAAACAAAATCAACAATATACATAGCAGAACGATGTGAACCGAGGAGGAAATAAAATGATCGCTTTGACTTCCGTTTTAGAAGTTTCTTGCTGCAATCAACAGAAATCTTCTGTAATCAAATTTGATGACTTTTTTCTTGTAAAATAAAGATTTGAACCGTATGCTGCCGCCGTACGTTACTGTTGCTTATAGAAACGAATTGCTGTGAAATAAAATTTCCTTGCATTATGAACAAGAAAATGAGTTTTTCATCAAAGCAACATGCATGACAAGGCTAAAGAATTAAATGTTTTTCACATCGAGTGCAACTAGCATATTTTTTTTAATTGAAGCTTTCTGTGAATCCATTTGATGAAATTGAAAAAGACAAAAAGAAATTTATTCATTGCCATGCGTCAGAAATATTTTATGTTTGCAATTTTGCACTGAACCTGATTGATTTTAAATTATTCATCCACTTTCATACATATCAAGTTTGAATGTTTCAATAAATGGAAGGTTTTAATAATTGAAGCACCTGCGAAAGGTGGCAACAATTCTTCGCTACGTTTTATCAACAACAACACACATTACACTAAGACGAAAGAACAATCATTATACTTACTTCATAATTCTTATGTACAATTGTTTCATTATTTACGCCGTTTGTGTTCATGACAGTGGAATGGAATTAATTTATGTTACTACTTTAAAAGAAGAAAAGAAATAAAAACAAGAAACAAAAATTCCACTCGTTGTCGTTTTGTAACAAAAACAATTTTTTTCTTTTCTTTTAGTAAGTCGATATGAATAAGCCTTTTGATGAATAATCTTAAGCTTAAAAAAATGAGAGCGAGAGTAAGGGAGAGAGAAATAATTGCGTCATTATGTAAGCTGATCACGTGTAGCACCAAAACAATTTTTTTGTTTTCTTTTTTTTACGATCGGTTCTCTCATTGATGCTCTCATAACATTTTATGCTCTTTTATGTTGATCGTATAGAAAGATATATTATGCTAATGTTCATATTAAAGCCAAGGGTCCGTAACAAGTTCGCGAGTGTGACATGGGAGAGTTGTAAGTTGTTGTATGAATCAACAGCAAAGCGAGTCCCCCGCTTCACTTCTTTAACTTCTCTCCGCATTTGACGTCTCAGCACATTTCTTGTGTTGAATAAAATTTTTACATTTTAGTTTGTATTTTGAATTCGTATGCATCTGACAAAATAAAAATTTGCTCGTCGAATGTTGAGTAAACATTTGTGAATTAGTGAACCGCGAAACGGTGCTTTTTGGAAATATTTTATTTGCTTTCTCTTTGGTGCATGTGCAAATATTTATTTGTTTTGAAACTATGGTATGGAAATTGAAAAGTACAAAATTGTTAATTTAGCATGTTGTTTTATTGAAACTCTGAGAATTGCTTTATTAAATTTTAATTTCATACTCGGGGGTGGAATTCATAATTCTGTTGTCGAGATGAATAAATAAATGAAAAAGAGAAGGTTTTGATGTGCGACTATAAATATTGAATGATGGTGCTTTATGATAATGAGAGAGAACAAAACGAGCAACAATTACCAGCAGGTGCGATTTATTTTTACCAAATTAGTATTGTTAGTCAAGTTAAGCTCCAATTAAAGACTTCTACAAATTTCATGCAAAGGATTTTATGTATTAAGATATTTTACTTTTATTCTTTGACGATGTTTCGTGCTTAAACCATCCGTGAAACGTGCGGTACAGAAAGATTTATGAACATTGTCTTTCCTTGACGTTAAAAAGAATTCTTTTGTTTTTCCTTCTTATTGTTTTAATTGAGCTCATAGAGTTACTAAAGAATCTAGATCGGACGATGAGTGGAGTGAATCATGACAAAGAAATGGGCGATGTTATTTGCCACACCTTCAACACTATGTAAACCTTACATTAATCGAATCATAAGCTCAATATTAATTTTTTTCTATGTCCCAATTTATTGTCCGTGTCTGGTTGTTTGCCAAGACAATTTGCGCTCTTTGAAGAATTTTTATTTCTTAAAAATAAAACTTGAATTGCAAAACATCTTTTTAAAGCCACACAAAGTTGAATCTGTTCGTCTTTGCCATAAATAGCATCATCGTTTGCGGATGAGTTTATTTTTTTCTTTATTATATTTTTTCGCAATTGTGAAGCAGCAGAACAAAGCATTAGACACAACTGAAATATGAAAATTAATAACAAATGTGCTCGTTATGCTATGATGAATTTAATTCAAATTATAAAGGCAGACGAAGGCAATTTTGAAGAGCTTTAAAGGAAGACCTTGATAAGAATTCGAATATAAGAATAAAGAATTGCTTTGATTGTTTCTTTGCTTTGTTCATTTCATTGTACAGTTGGGGCAGCACGACGAAGCTTTATAAATATTGCGTGCGGTTCTGTTTCTTTATTCAAATAAAAAATTTACGCGATGGTGAAACAGAATCATTTGAATGAACTTAATGAATGATGATTAGGTTGTTAAAAGAAATTTAAAGCTTCAAGCAATTGAAAATGTCTCAAGAATTTAATTTAAATAATGAAGAACATTTATGTTGTAATGTCTTAAGGGTGACTTGATGTTTAAAAATCATTACAAATGAAATTTCTGAAGTAACAATAACAGATTTTAATTAACATTCACTCATTACATTTGATATTTGAAAGTCTCGCGAACAAAGTTTGCTTTCGAAAAGATTTCTAAAGAGAAGATTGACTGGTCGACCTTGTTTAGCATCTCATCTCAAGCAAAAAAGAAGCCGCATTAAGATTATTATCAAACTTCTAAGGTTTTTCTTCGAATGAAAGAAGCATTTTAACTCTTGACTTAACGTTACAAGCAATTCACTTTGAATTTTAAACACTCAAACGTGTCTTACACTCTCAAATCATCTCAATGATTCGCCCCAGAAAAACGTTGCGACTGTTAAAGTTCCTAAAAGTCATATCGTGATTGAGAATTAGTTGATGTGGAGTGTGGCGCACAAGTTCCATTGATGTTTTTTTAGTATATTGGGAAGGAGGCATGAACATTTTGTGATTTAAGGTGTGGAACGAATCATCAATGAATGCCAAGAAAATGGAAAGATTTGATCGTATTTGGTTGATTGATGATCTCTTTACCAGCCTTTGAATCGCCTTTTTTCTTATTCTGCATTTACAATGTTTGATTAACTTATTTAAGGAATTCCGGGTGTTTGAATTTAAAGCGACAACACTTAATTGGGCGTTTACCGTGATTCTCACTCAAGTGCCATCATCCAACACATATCGAAACTCGAAAATTTGCAAGTGGATTCAACCGAGCCTCAAGATTTTTCCAACTCTTTTTTTGTTCATCTCATTTAAATAACAAAAAGAATCTGCACGATTGTTTTGGTAATTGGCCTTCGCACCGTTAGATAAATCTCCAATTGTGTCTCCCCCGATCGCAAAACTGCATAAACAAGAAAAAGATAAAAAGAAGCTAAGCGCGCCTTGGAAGTTACTTAGTCGACTTTTGTTATTGCACATCAGACAAAATAAAAGTCGCTGCTTAATTCACTTTGATTACATCATAAGCGTAAGCAATTTCTTCGTGTGACATTTGACGATTGAAACAAAAACCAAAAATTGAATAGCGTAATAACTAAACAGCGAAAGAAAATGGAGAGATTAACAAATTATTTACTTAATGCAATAAAAAGTGTTTTACTCACAGTTATGGACCGAACTGTGCTTATCGTAAATGTTTTGTTTATTTTTTCGGAGGTTTTAATAGTCACATTTGCGAGTTGAGCTTTCAATTGACTTTTGACATTTTCATACAAATGTTCATTTCGCTTTAATTATCTAAAATGAATAAAAGAGAAAAAAAAAACTTGCTGAACAAGCATAAACTTTATCAGCAGTTCTATCTCTAATTTGTGAATGAGAACTGTAAAAAAATCAGAACCGTGTTGCGTAACCTGATTGTAGAATTAAAATTCACCGCATCTCTTTAAAATATTCTACGCTTTAATTATCGACTTGGCTATCGTCGACGTCGGTGGTTTGTAGTCGATGGAAGTTTTTCATTAACTTTTTAAGACGAAACTTTTGTGAAGAACAATTGTAGCATTCTAAATGCTGTTGATGTTAACACGAATGAGATAATTTTAAGCATTAAAAATATAAAAAGTGAACATTTCAATTAATCACTATTCCGTTGCCCTGGTCACCGACCGAAAAAGTTTTTCAAGAACCAAGAACAAGAAATACAGAAAAAAAAAGCGAAGACGACTTCAATTCCATTGTTTTCTTCATTTAACTTTGAATCTTTTTCCGTGTCGGTCAACAACGTAAGTTGCTATGATTCATTTGCAATTCAAAGCACGAAACTCTCGTCAGTTATTTCATTGCTTTCGTCTAGAACCGCCTTAGAACAGTTGACAGCATAACATAAGACCCAAAACTTAAGCTTGATTGTTTAGAAAATTTATGAAAGGATTTAATTTTCTCATCCACATTTAACTAACTTTGCTTTCCAAATGTTCTATTTCTAGAATGTTCGTCATCGAGTCTTTCGAGGAAATGGTGTAAATTGAGACAACGTTGTGCTTCGTTTCATGCAATGAAAAGTTTGGATTGTACATCAGGCGAGGGACCATCTTCGCTTCCATATCAATTTTATGATAACGGATTACCCGAAACAATTCCCCAACAACATAACTTCATCCTAACTCACGACCCTCGTGTTATCATGTTAAATGGAAAGCCCATGATGTATTCGGTCATAGATAATCGCAGCGGAAGCCGCAACGGATACTACGCCGGAAACTTTCCTATGACGTGCGAGCCTATCATTGAACATCAACCGATTAAACTTTGCAAATGCAAAAGCCGCATGTCTGCTTCGTCATCATCACTTAACTATGACATTAACGAGCCACAAATGATGCACGTCCTGAACCAACAATCACGACTTCAGTATTTTGATGGTGAAAACGTTGTGAAGGCTGCTAAACCGAAAACACGAAGACTGAGCCTTTTCGGCAGTGAACGAAAGGCAAAGAAAGAAACGAATAAGAACTTTGACTTGAAGCAATTCAAGTCAGTGTCAATGCGATGTCATCATCACCATCAACATATGATGTACTTTCAAGAGCAACAAATGTTAATGCGACAACAACAAGAAGCCCAACAGCAGTCAAAAGATACGATCAAGAATGGAAAGTTCAATACAGTTGGAAGAAAGAAGCGGTCAATTTACGACGTGTTTTTCAATAGCAATAAATCATCGTCATCTGCAAGTGAATCAGGCATCCAACAGCCAACATTTTACGTTCCTTTACCGACAGGGGAAAATGGAAGCATAAGTAATCAACTATCAAAGCACCAGCACAGACAAAACGGTGTCAATCCGATACGCTCGATACGTTCACGTTCTGTCTGCGCCACTGACTCGTCGAATAACGTTCGAACCTTGTTCAGAAATATTGATAGCACACCAACTGCTACAATTCATGAACGAAGAAAGTCAAACAGTTTCAACCCACGAGAATCTCTTGAAATCACATCATTTCTTTTCAATAAACTTCGATTAGATCGAAATGGTTCAAGCAGTAAATCGTCGACGTTCTCTGAACGAAGAGAAAGTTCTGATGGGCAGTCTGAAGGGAAAATTAGCAACAAAGTGAGTTGATCCGACCATTAGATTAATAAACGACTCGACTTAATTAATTTTCGGATGATTGATAGTTGGATGGATGTAAACGTTAAGCTTTGAACAAGAGATTGAGACCGTCCAACTTAATGAATTGTGTAAAAAGTGTCAAATTTCAGTTTAATTTAATTATGATGAAACTTTCAGACGCTCATTTTAACCGCAAGCAAATCTTTTGTTTCTGTTTCTTTTTTTTTTGTCATTGCCTCAAGGTTTTTGTTTTGCACTAAGTAAGCGGGTCAAAGTGACATTCCATTTATTTGCCTATTCAATGCCTTTTAAATCGGAGTTGAAGTGAAAGCTTAATTGCTTTAAACTGTGGCATCTTCATTATAGCAAACACTCTTAGTAGCTTGTTACGCAATCAAAAGAGATGTAAATGATACGATATAAGAGCTTCACACAATTATTCGATGCTTATCATCATCATCGGAATGCCAGACTGCATCATGCTGAATCATTTAAGTAAAATTTGATGACACAACCAAATTTCTCTTGTTGCTTGTTTATTTATGAAACAATTTTGTTTAGATAATTGGAAATTGATCAATTTATTTTCAAGATAAAAGCAGAAAATTGAGTTGTGAAGCGTTTTGGAGATCATTGTCACGTCAGAAACTGATGACGTGATGTCTCACATATATTGTGGTGTCAATTTCATGTAATTCACTTACACAGTGAACTTTCTGTCAAAGAAATTACGTAGATTCAATGAAATTCATGTTCACATGTTCGATTTTCCCACATCGAGCTAGTACTGTAGGTCGTCAATGAACATTGAATCGATTTCTTTATAGATAAAGAGAAGAAGATTTCACGACTAAAAATAACATTGAGCGCTTTATTAATCAATTAAGGATGCATGACAAGTATATTGAAGATAATTGACACTTGCGATGATATTAAAATATGATTGATAAGCTTTAAAAATCCTACGATAAACAACAACACGTTGCGATGGAAATTTTCTTATGAAAGCTCTTTTTGTTTTCGCTCGTCGCTTGTTAGTTGTCGCTATGTGAATAAGAATGTCTGGTGAGAACAGGCGTTGACGATGATGTGATGGCAAATAACTGAATTAGTATGCAAATTAACGACTAAATAGAAAATTTACATCCAAAGCACTCGTTCGTAAAACTTTTCTGTAATATCGTTGAAGCCTTTTTCCTCTCACTGTCATTAATTAAACATCATATATTTTATTTCTCTTAAAATACTTGAAGTATTTTTAGCGAATTATTTTATTTTCATGAAAATATGCTAAGTAATTGGTTCGTGTTTAGCGAAGGTGGGGAATTATAATCACCTTTATAAATTTATTCCAAAATTTAAAGTGATTGACTTGGTTAAAGCTTTTAATTTACTTAAATATACAAACTTCAGATTTAAGACTTTTAAATAAATGATTTGCCTTCGCTACGATGAGTTTAATAAGCAAATACCCGAAATTCATTTTTTTCGTCTAAAATTTCTCCCTCAAGAAAAGCTAACTAAGTTTATTCAATTTCATTTTGAATGAAAAATCATTTCATCCCGTAAGAAATGAGAGTGAGACCTGAATAAGATTTATATGATGGAAGATGAGATTTATGGTAGATTTAAGAATTCATAAGATATTGGGCGTTCAACCTTTCTCAAGTAATTAAAGCAAGGACTAGAAGACAGCTTTCTTCAAAGATGTCATGAGTACGATTTCCAATTAATAAATAATCAGTCATTTATATTGGATTATAACTAGACTGAACCATCACAGATAAAAAAGGGGTCATAATCACCTTGACAGAGTATCTAGAATTAAATTCATCTGACAATTCAAAGCATTCAAATTTTTCCTATTCAATGATTTGACAATCATTTCTTTTTGAAAGAGAGAATGAAAATACTTTCATAAATAAATGATTCGTTGTTGTCTACAATAAATAATGACGCTTCTTTCGTTATTTACCTGCGATCCATTATTCCTGTCGCTATCATACGCAAAAAACATTCTCGTCAATTTTTTTTCTGTATTTTTCATGAAAAATATTTCATTACTTTCCACTCTTCTCGTTACTGACATTTATGATTTTTTATTGTCCAACTTATTAAACTTGATGCGGACAACAGAAAGAAAAAATTGATGGCAATAAATACTTTCTTTCTTATCTTTTTAAACTTCAATTGTTTCTTTCAAAAGAAATTACGCAATTTTCATATTTTTTTCGGTTCTCTTTCATCTAGTCATGAATGTTATTGAACTTATTTTTGTTTTGTATTGATTAAGTAATGAAATTAATTCCTCTAATGGAAAACATAAATAAATATTTTTTTTTCTGTCGTTTTGTCTACGTGACCGGCATCGCTGCAGTCAAGCGTAAGAATAAAAATTCATTTGTACGAACTTCGAAGTCAAACATATTTATTTGTTAGCAGTAATGAAGAAGAACATAAAATGCTTGTTGACTAAGTATTATTAAGCACATCTAACGAAATTTTCTACTTACGTTCTTTTTTAGGAAGTGTCGAATGAAGCGAACATTAACCAACATCTGACAAAGGATGTGATTGATGGAAAAGGCAAAGCGACAATAACGAACGGTATTGACCAATGCTCAATGCCAAAGAAGAATTCAGTCACGAAGAATTCGCTTGCATTAAGGAAAGTGCAATTTATAAAGAAACCTGGCTCCAAAGCGCTTGGATTTTCTATCGTCGGTGGCATTGATTCACCAAAAGGTAAAATGGGAATATTCGTAAAGACAATTTATGAGTACGGACAAGCAGCTGAGAGTGGGCAACTTCGAGAAGGTAAAACAATTGCCACATCATCATCATGGCTTTATTGTTAATTAATTAAGGGTTTTCCTTTCAGGTGATTTAATACTCTCAGTAAACAATCAACCACTTCATGGTGTCACACATCAAGAGGCAATTAATGTTTTTAAAGGAATTAAAACTGGAATCGTTGAGATGATTGTTGGTCGTGCACAAGCAAATATTTCTTCATAAGTTTTAACTTTATTTTCACATAAATATTTTTTACCAAAACAATAATTTTTTTACTGACAAAATAAATAATTTAACAAATCAAAATCAGTCATCATCAGCATGTAACCACTTGAAGTTTTTTAAAACTATTTGACTTTCCCATGGTCGAATTTTCACGAAGGAAAATTCTTTGATGAAATTTTTTTCTAGATTTTTCTTATGAATTTTGATTTTAGATCCGCGGGATTGGAAATAATTTAATTGTTTGTGATAATTACGTAAAATTTTTACAAAATCATCGTTGAATTCTACTTCAGGATTGCAGGTGATGATGAAAAAGTGCGAAAGTTTTTGGTGACTAGAAAAGATTCGCTCGAGTTGATGACAGTCGAGTGCGATGACATTTCGCAATTTTAACTTCTCAAGGTTGATGAGGGAGTGGTTAATGATCTCGAGAATCGTGTTTGAGCACTTGAAAGTCTTTTGATCAACATATGAACTGTGCAGGCAAAGTTCCTTGAGCTTCAAGTGTTGCACATTATTGAGCGGAAAATCAACAACTTCTGGTGAATCAGAATCACAGCCAAGAATCAGCGTTTCAAGGTTTTTAAAGCTATCAATTAAAGTTCCAAGAACACCTATTGATTGATTACTGATGTTAAGATAATTAATATTTGGCATGTTTAATGATATTTCAGAAAAACTTTCAGAAAGAATTTTCAATCGTGGAAATTTTATTTTCAACTTTCGTAGAGAAGGAATTTTTATTGTACTAATATTCCTAATATATTCAATTTCCAAGCGATCATAGTTCAACATCAACTCATTCAATTTCGACAAGTTTCGTAAATTGTACAGAATGTCACATGAAACTCGATCGATCCAAAGTTTCAAACACTTTAAATTGTCGAGAGTGCAAATGATTGAGAATTCACTGTCACTTATGTGAGCTCTTGAAAGATCTAAGTTTTCAAGTCCCCGTTGATTCTTCAACAATGCAGCAACATTGCGATTACACATGAGTTTGACATTCCTCAGCTTCAAATGTTCCATCGATTGCGGCTTGACATAATAAGGATCGAATTCTAGTTCTCTGATGTTTCCTTGATTTCCGAAAATCTTTTCGAGTGTTTGATGTTTTAAAATACAATTTTCAATTACTAAACTTTGGACAGTAGAGTCTGGTAGTTTCAGAACAATATCCGGAATCTTCACATTGCATAAATGAAAACTGAACTTCTGCAAATTGTTCAACTTTAGAATTCCATTCGATTCATCAGTACTGGAATATTCAAGATCATAGAAAATAATGTTTTCAACATTTTGAAGCTCATTAAGTATGTCTACAACTTCGTTTTCATGAAATGTTGAACTATTTATCTCAAATGTTTTTACTTTTTCCTCAAACTTTCCGAGAACTTCTTTAATCCGTAAAATCACGTGATGGTCAAGCGATCTGCAGTTTACAATCTTAATATGATTGAAAGTTCTCTTAGTGTTCATAATAGATAAATACTTATCATCATCTTTAATCTAAAAGAAATCACAATTAGAATTTAAATGGAATAATTAAAAATAAACTTGAAGAAACTTACATCAATAAGTTTTAAACAAAATTTCTCTTTTTCGATTTCACAAACAATGTCATAGAATTGCAATGACACAGTAGAAAGATTCCATCGATTGCCAACATATTTAAATATTTTAAGTAGAATTTCTATAGGTAATTCTGTTAGATTTGTCACTGAATTCATTTTAATGTCACTAAATTTGAGTAAAAGTTTTTTGTAAACAAAACATTTTGATTCAAGTTTTGAGTACAAGTTGTAGTAACGTACAGCATTAACGTACAACTAAGCGTAACGCTTCATGACTTTTAAATTTCATAATTCCGTTAAAATTTTATGGATGCTTCTTGTAAATTGTAAAAATTATTAATGATTTTAAACTTCACTTGAACAAAGCATCTTTAGCTTGATGAATCAAATTAGAGGTGCGGATAAACACATGATAAGCTTCCTAATTCTTTTTTTCAATGTCATTTTGTATTAATGTTCTATTGTTTTATTTTCATAAATTGGTGTCAATCAGCATATTTTTAATTGACACAAAAATAAGCATATTGCAATTGAATTCTATTATTCTGTTTGAAATGAATGAAGTTTTTCATAATTAATCACGACTGTGTCGATTTCCTTCGTTGAACGTTTCTACTTTATGTGATTTTCGTTGATATCTATGAAAACATTTTAGAAGTCGAGATGGGAATATATTCGTGATTAAATTGAAAAATAAATGAAAATATTTATGTTGCATGACTGTTACGTGACAACATATTTAGATACCTGCGATAATTTTGAAGCTTCATTTTATCAGAACAAATCACTGAAATCATTGCCAAATTAAGCATCTTAACGCGTGGTTAAAAATCGTTTCGCGATGGTGCTGATAAAATTCTTAACTGTGTTCTTAAGTCTTATAACTTTATCAATTTGTGCAAATATTCTGGCTGTATTTGAGCTTCCATATTATAGCCATCAGAGTTTTCCAAGAACCCTAATGAAAGAATTGGCTTTACGTGGTCATCATCTAACAATTCTTTCTTCAATTCCTTATGAATATAACAATTCAAATGTTACACAAATTCATTTAAAAGAAGGTCCTAAAGTGTATGGTGGTTTAGTGAATCAACTTCTATATAAGAAAATTTCTTTTCCTGCACTATGGATATTGAATGAGTTAAATGCTCATTCAGAATTGACAAAAGAAAACTTGAAAAGCGAAGAAGTTCAGAATTTGATAAGAAATGCAAAGAAAAATGATTTTGATTTGTTATTAATCGAGTGTGTAGATGTTTGTCCAATGCTTGCATTTGCTGAACTTTACGACTGCCCGGCCATTGTTTCAACAGCTTTTGCTATGCCTTTTATGTTACTTGAAACTTTGGGCAATGACGTTAATCCAGTGATTCATCCAGAAAGCATTGCATGTCCGTTGATGTACGGAAATTTATCACTTTTTGAGAGACTGCAATCATTCTTCTTTTACATTGGTCATCACTGGTTTGCGAAACATTTTTTCAACCTTAAGAGTTATTTTCACATAAAAAAATACTTTCCGAATCTAAATGTTTCGCAGAAACAACTCGAGGAACGAATTGCATTTATATTTTCAAATACTTTGACAAATGTTCGTCCATTCTTACCGAATACAATAGAAACAAGCTTCATGCAAATTGAAATACCAAAGCCACTTCCTGAAGGTGATTTAAAGACATTTCTAGATGATTCAGAAGAAGGAATTATTCTTATGAGCCTTGGGTCATACACAGAATCAAAAGATTTAGACACAAATGTCGTTGATGTCTTTCGAAATGTTTTCGCTTCACTGCCGTTTAATGTCGTTTGGAAGTTTGAGGCCGAATTACATAACAAAAGTAAAAACATCATGACAACTAAATGGCTGCCTTTAGCTGACGTTCTGGCACATCCAAAGCTGAAGCTTTTTATCACGCACGGAGGGTTGATGTCAGTTCAAGAAGCCATCGATCGTGAGGTGCCAATGATTACTTTTCCAATAACTTATGATCAGCCTAGCACTGCAAACACTTTGGTTCGTAAAGGTGTTGCAGTCAACTTAGATCTCTTCTCTTTAAATGAAGAAAAATTGCGTAATGCGATTTTTGAAATAGTTAAGCTGAAATATAAAAGAAACATTCAAGAACTGCGTCGTCAAATTCATGATCAACCGATGAGTGGACTTGAGAAAGCTGTTTGGTACACTGAATTTGTGATTCGTAATAAAGGCGCTAAATTTTTAACTTACCCAGCCCGGGATGTTCCATTTTATAAACAACATCACTATGACATTTTGCTGATCATATCATTTGCTATTTATCTTACATTTAAAGCGCTGAAAGCCATCATGCCAATGTTTCCTAAATCTCACAGCATGTCGCCTTTAACAGCGAAGAAAAGCGATTAAATTTCAGTTAGTGAGTAAGCGAAATGAGTTAATCATTCATCTTTCAATCTTGTGTGTTTCTTAAGCATAAATAAATTTTATAAATAAAACCTTGTTGTCGTCATGTCACGAAAAGAAAGTTAATGATCCTTATGGGATCTAAAAGACTTTAACATTTTTTTTGAAGAAAGAATTGTCAAATAAAAGTTGTTTGAGAATAAAAGTTTAAATAGAAATTTCAGTACTCAAATTTTTTTTAATATAAGCATCAGTGACACGAGAGACTAAGATTGTGTGGCTATTCGAGTGTTTCGTTTATAATTCGAAACAACAGCAACGTGTGCGGTGAAATTTCGACTCTCGTCTTGGACATATATGTAAATATAAATCAAATAGAAGAGTTATCGTGTTGATGTGATCGTTCGTGCTCTTGCAAGCGACAATTTTTGTTGAACATGTTTAGGTTTGCACTTTTCCTCTACGTGCCGGTGCCACCAATTAACTCTTTAACGAACAGATCCGCTTTCGGCTTTTGTTGGAATGATTATCTATCTTCTGTATTGGATTGTGAAACTTTTCAAAACTGCTATCGATACGGTTACCGCCTTTTTTACGCGAAAGTCTTCGTGTGTCTACATTTAACATAAATCTCATGATTGATGTCTATCAAATACAAATATTTTTGTTTGTAATCATTCTTTCCGCTGATCATAAATCTTATGATTGATCTATCTTATGGGCATGACTTCTCTTGACACAATTTCAAACAAAAAGTTCTCGCTTTTATGTAGCTAAATAAAGAATAAAATTAAATTCCAATCACCTACAATTGCTTTTAAAAATCCAGAATCCAAATGCAAGGCCATAATTTGCCAAATCAATTATCCAACTTTGATCTTTTTCGGTCGTCAATACATAAATAAAATTATACCACGCAAGTTCAAAGACTCAAATTTAACAATAATTAACTTGGAGGTCTTTGAAACAGTTTTTGACAACAACTCGCAAACGATGTCATTAAACAAAGAAGGAAACGTTCACTGATAATTATTTGCTCAAAGTTTTCGAGATCGTCGATTTTTCCATCTTGTTTTTATTGTTAAAAAACTAAAGACGGAGACTCAGGCCATAAAAAGTTTCATGGGACGAAAGCTGTTTTACAGGGCATTTAAAAAAATCTTTTTCTTATCTTTTTCAACATTCACAATTCGATTTAGTTCCTTATGTTATTTTAAGTATTTAAATTCGTATCTTTGGGGCTATATGCATACATAAAATCATATGCAACATATAAGAGTAGCGCCAATGTAAAATGATTTATGAAAACAGAAAATTGCCAATAAAAAAACTTGCACGTGATGGCGACCCTTGAAATAATCATTTACAACTTTTATCTTCTTCTCCACGATCAGTCAGTTTCTTTGTTGACAGAGTGATTATGAAGATTGATTCGTTTTAAATGGCGTGAGACGATCATTCATAAAGCATCACTTAAAGGTTCGCTTAAAGAAAAGCATCAAAGAATTTTTGACTTTGAAATTTAAACTAAGTCCGTCCCTGTACATATCCGGTGTTGAGAAACATGCATCGCTTGTGCCTTGATTTGTTATTCAACTGTCTCATTAAAGTTTATTTTTATTTGGTCAATAAATTTTCCAGCTAACTGAATTTGCATTCATGCTGAGATTTTGAAATCGATGCAGTACAGCAAAGCACATTTCCATGAAAAGAAGTCGAACTGTTTAAGGCACGCAGAGACGGTGTATTAATGATAATTACACACTTTGATCTTTTATCGTCATTTAAAAGTCAACATTAACAAATTGTGCAAAATTTATCACTTTTACCGAAGAAAATCGCTTATGATTTGTGAAAGGCCGAGTTCCAAATGTTGACATGAAAGAAATATAAATTAAAAATTAATTTCACGCCTTGTTACTCTCTGTTGAAGCTTAAGATTTAGATTAAGAGGAATAAAACACCACGAGAAAAACCGCAAAGTTGTTTGATTAATATTTGGAGTTTATTCGGTATTTTAAAGTGGCATTTTTCAATTTGTTGTTTCGAAATTGCAGTCAATTCAAGTCGACTGCGTCGAGAACTAACTTTTGCTCCACTTTCAGCTTCATGTAGATATTTATGTACACCTGACGATTGACGTGAGACGTCTACAGCATGGCATCGACAAAGTGCCAACGACACGAGTAATTGAAACAATCAATCAAATTGTGAAAACATGTAAAGGCCTAAGTGGTGCATGATGGTGGCTGTTTTGATGTAAAACAAGCCTTGAATTATTTCAATTTTTTTCACTCTCTCATTCATATCAACATGCATAAATAAAACTTTTGACAGAGAATAAAAAATTATCGACGATGTTTTCTTTTCATCCACAATTCCATTAGTTGGTCATCTTTGAACTTGAAAGTTAAAAACTGTTCATGAACTCACTGAAGTAGGTGTTTGTCTCTCTATGGTTTGTTCAGTTTATTATCGCTTTGATAATGAATAACATTTTTAAAAAGTCTTTGAAGTTTCTTTAAATAAATTACATTTCGAGACTTTATGTCTCTGAGAATTCACATAAAATAAGAAACTCTTGCAAACAGTAAAGTTTTATTTTCTCACACTAATTAATGTTTCCTATTCTTTTAGCATCGTCTCTAAAACTTTTCAAGGTTTCTTCGCTCAAATGAAACCCCAAAGGCGCCGAAAAAATAAAAAAAAAAAACATTTCTTTTAATGATTAACTAATTCCTGTCAATAAATATGCTCGATTAGTAACAACATAAAAAGCATAATGGGATTACTACTAATTTTTTGTTACTAAAACTTGAATCGTCAGAAGTTTACACTTCTTAAGATGGTAAATTAAAAGCTTTTAAAACACATTTTACGACACTTTAAATGTCAAAGATATTAAACTGTTTTTTTATTACACCTCTTAGATGATATAATTAATATCACGTTTCTCTGAAGAAAAATATTCTAATCACGTCAGGAAAGTTTCCAACCTGTCTTTGACCAAGTTTACAATGTTGTAATGTGGATGAGAATGAGGTGACAAATTTTTGTGACATTGACATTTTACAACTAAGTAAAAGTAAAATGTAAATTATGTTAAACTTCGGGTATTTCTTACCCTCTTTATCACTCAAAGCTTAAAAGTTTTGGTATCTACTTCATTAATTAAGTTAAAAAATGAAGCTTGACAAAGAATTTAAAGTGGTTTAGTCTTTGCAGATTTTATAATTTAATTGTTGAAATCAAGGCTGTAATAAAATGTGAAATTAATTTCAGTTCCGTGAGAAATTTCCCAAATTTTCTTCACTTGTAAGCTTCATAAAAATGTTCAATGCACAATAGAATAAATTCAAGTGAAATACGATACTATTAAGTAGTGAACTCTAACGAAGATATTTACGAGTAACATAAAAAAATATTTTTATTCAATCGTAAAGTTTGTTTCCACACATAAAAATAAATTATAAATTAATAATAAATCAAATGCTTTTATACGTTTTAATTGAAATCGTCAGAATGATGTTTGACGATTTCCGGTGTTGAAGTCATTACTTGACTTCCGCTTTCCATTTCTGATCTCGTTTCACTTTTTTCAGTTGATGTTGAAATCTTTTCCGAACTAATAAAATCTTTATCAGTTGAGTAAGTAATGGAACTTGGTGAACGATTAATTAAAGCAATCTTTTTGAAAGCAACATTGACTTCTTCTAAACTATCAGTGATTGATGATAATCGTCTCTCAATTTCAGAATTCAAATTTGCTTCACTTGTCGATGTTGTTGCGTTTGAGTGACGACTCAAAATAACTTCAGACGAAATTTCTTCATCGCTCGTATTTTGTGAATGTTCAAATTCAGAGCACTCAGCAATTGTTGAGAGATCCTTTCGAGTATTCTCGAGTTCTTCATGGTGCGTACTTTCAGACATACCAGAAATATCAAGGTTGGGAAAGGAAATGTCTTCAATGAGTTGTTCTTCGTGAATTGGATTGTCGTCATCCATGTCAGTTATTTGAATATTCACTTCAGGAATTATCGTCGATCCATCGGAATCAGCTGACGAAACTTTTACAGACAACAATGACTCAGTATTAATGACTGAGTTTCGATCACTTTTCACATCTGGTGATAAACTTTTTTCTTTCGATTCTCCTGAAATCTTAAACGTTGTGTTGACAGCAATCGGTGTCGTTTCATGATCTTCTTCTGTCTTCTTAACATCAACAAAAACTTTCATTTGATTTTCCAACATTTGACGTAATTCATCGTCATTTGTTTTGTCAGTTTCTGTCGCAGTTGCTGTTACAGTTTCTTGATGATCATATGAGAAACTTCCTGGATATTCTTCTTCTGTTTCAATATTCATAATTGAATTCATCGTGCTTACATCTGACTTATTATCATTTTCGTTTTCGTTTTCATGCTCGTTGTCACTGTCACTCAACTCATCTTCTTCATTTTTATTATTCTTCATTGACATTTGTTGTGGGATTACCGACGACTCAAGTATTACTTTCATGTCACTTCGAAGCACAACTTCTTTCGCATCTTCATAAAATTTTGCGAAATCTTCTTTCGATAATTTGTAAGTGTCGATTGGGTCATAAATATTTTGAACTAGGCCAGTTAATCGTTGCCACAACTTGTTGAGTTTTTCACCAGAAACTTCGACAAATTCATCGCCTTTCACTGGCTGAATATTCTTTAAAACTTTCAAACTCTTATCAATTGACTTTACCATTTGTAACGACTGATCGAGAAGGTCATTATTGTGATTGTTTTTCCTTGGGCTTGACGTCAACTTCTTCTTATTTTCACCAAGAAGTTCTTGTTCCATTTGCTTTAATTTAGCTTCGGCTCGATCAAGTTTTTCTTGCCACTTTACAAGATGTTCAATGTGATCTCGTCGTTTCTCGATTTCTTGTTCACGTTCTTGAAGAATTCTGTGTGAAAGTGAAAGATTACTTTAAGATTTATTCAACATTCTTCATATTTTTATTTACCTTTCTATGTCTGCTCTTGCATTTATTTCACTCAATGAGAACGAATCTTGATCTTTCAAATGAATTTCTTTTCTTTTCATTCTTTCTTTCTCTAAACGCAACAATATCGCTCGTTGTTTCTTTCGAATTGTCGAAACTTTATCCATCAGTCCATGCTTCTTAAACTGTTGTTTCTGTAACTCAAGCCATGCAACTTGACCACGTGCTCGATCAATTAAAGCTTTTTCCCAAGATTTAATCTCTGACGTCGATTGATTCATGAGCTGTAAAGAGATTTCTTGTTAAAGATTTAATCATAAAAAGAATCAATTGTTGATGATGACTTACATTTTCAAAGCTTTCGTTATTGTCTGTAAGCGTGATGTTGAAAGATGTCTCCGATTCGTTATATTTGAAGATGTTAAGTAATTTGCTTTCTTCAAACGTTGTTTCCAGTTCTTCCTTTTTCTCATTTTTCAAACTTGACTCATCCATGTTTGTTGCGGTTAATTTTGCGGTGTTACTAGAAACATCTTGTGCTGGTTCAACATATGCGATTACTTTGTCTTCAATTACATCACCTTCAGTTTTAAATGAATCTTCGATGAAAGTTTTTATTAAACTGTTGGATTCGCTTTCTTGTCTTTGATTTGATGTTGGAGGTTGCGCTGTGACGTTTGTTTTGACACTTTCAGTTTCAACGTTGTCCTCGAAAGAACTTTTGTAGTTGTGATAAGTTTCACTCGTCCTTGACGGTGATTTACTGTTCAAATCTTTTGTTAATCGCTCGTTATACTGAATAACATTCGAAAGACTTTGATTAAACTCATCTAATTTTTTTTGATAATCTTCTTGATTCTCCACGATATTGAAATCATTTTGAGGAATAATTTCAGGTTTTTTCAGTACAGGAAGTTCTGTTTTTGCTGATAAAAACTTATTTTGCTTTTCCATTGTATTTGGCGAAATTTCTTCCGGTTTCAAATGTAAGATTTTCTTATCAAACGATGTTCGATCAAAAGCCGAGTTCAAACTTTCTCTCTTCTTGCCTATAAAAGCGTCATCGTTTAAAGATTGAAAGATCAACTCGCTGATTGTTGTGTCAGCATCATTATCGGCTGGATTCTCATTTTCTTCACTCTTCGACTTCACCAAAACCATGTCAGATTGAAGTGAACTAACTTCAGAAATTGTGTTGGCTTCCAATTCTTGCTCGTATGATGTCACATTCGTATCTGAAGTTTTGGTCACTGGTAATTGAAGTTCAGATCTATCAGTTTCATCACGAGATTTTAAGTCACGTTTGGAATTTTTATTTAATTTTTCTGTTGCCATTTTCTTCAATTTTAATTCTTTCCCCTTCTTGATTTCCATTGCTGCGTTGTAAGCTTGAAGTTTCTTTCTTACAGCATAAATAAAGTTATAAGGATAAGGTTGAACATTTGAATTCTGAAGCCATGTAACGAGATTGGTTTGCGGTTCTTTATTCGATTGATAACTTGACTTATAATTTAATTTAACATCCGGAACTTTCAATTTTATATTATTGCTTGGATCTTCGTTTTCCTTCGATTGTGATACTCGTTGCTGTGGCTTGTTTACTTTGGAAATAATTTCCCGATTTTGAGTGGATGATTTGAGTGGACTTTCAGGTTTCTTTAAAACTATTGCAGGTTTTATTGGTGATGATGTTGTTGACTTTACTTCCTGCTTTGACTTTACTGGTGAAGAAGATTTGGGAACATAAATTTCATCAGATTTTCTTTCTTTTCCACTTGGTGTAAGATCAACAACATTTGGTGATTTTTGTGACCCTTTTGACATCGGCTTAAGTTTTAACACTTTGATCTCTTTCATGTGGTGATTACTCATCGAATAATAATTTCTCGGTGGCGATATATTGACTTGACTTTTGTCTTTTTGTGGCTTCTTTGCGATTACATTTTTTACGGTTTTCCGTAACTCATCCAAACGTTGCTTGATGATAAATGACTGATCAATTTCCTTCTTCGTTTCCAACTTTCGCTTTTCACGCTGTTTCTGCATGAATTTGCGAGCTTCTCTTCGCGATGCTTCATTCATTGTTGTTGATTTATTTGTTGGACGTTCTGTGGTTATCGATGGTTGCCGATATCTTGATTGTTGTTGGTTCAAAGTTTTTCTTTCACTTTCTGATTTCCTTGTCTTCGTTTCAAGTTCAACAATATTTTTACTTTTCTTGTTTATCCATGAATCTTCCGATGGTAAAAGAGACATTTCGGCGACTCCATGAAGAGATTTTTGAAGTTTCTCTTTGGGTGATAATGAGGTTGCTTTATTGATTACTGACAATTTTTCAGGCTTTAAAACAAGTTTAGCGACTGTAATTTTATTAATTGGCGAATTTGTTAATGAAGGTGATCCTGTGAAAACATGAAAAGAACGTATGGTTCAACGACCGTGGAATTTGCAGTTGCAAACGTTGATTGCTTACCTGTTTTAGACGCTGACTTTGGTCGTGTTATTTGAACTAATAGGAAAACAAATTTTCATTAATTTTTTCCGCTTAATTAATTTTGAACTCTTGAATGTTTACTTGCAGATGAAAATTTCGGCAAATTATCGTTTTCCAATGATTCATTCAAATCCATGGCTCATCGTACTTCAATTTCATCTGAAAGAAAGGTAAATAACAACAGCAATTAAGTTTCATTTCGAATGCAATATCTCGATATTTCGATGATGGGAAATGTAAAATTAATGGAAATCAAAACACGAATTTCAAGTTGAAGAAATTCGTGATGGAATCATGCTGTAATTTTTACTGCTGCTGTCGGTCATCAAGCAAGCAGGTCAGACGGAGAGAAACCGTATCGATAATCTCGTCCGTCGTCTTTGATTGTTGCAATCAGGCAACCTTTGATGGCATAATCTTATTTTCACGAGTGATACTTTGATGGGAAGCGACATAATGCTATCAAATATTTAGGCTCACAAAGCTGCAGATTAAGCTGCAACAGTAGGATATTTAATCTCTTGTTCAACCTCACACCGGTTGTTGCTAAACAATAATCAAAGCTTAGCAGTAATCATGATCAATGAACAGTGAATTTCAGTTAATTTTAATTAGCATCAAAATTAATCTAACAAATTGGAATTCTCGTACTTCACATTAAAAGAAGAAGAAGAAAATTAAAAATATTCGAATCATAATTTATAATTTTTCTTTATAAATTAACCTTGTGGATGTGTGGGACGGCTAATTGCCATAATTCAACACTCACATATCCGTCAAAGAAAAATTAAAAAATAAGATTCAATCAATCAATCAATAAATGCATATTAAAATTAAGTCTGCAAACATTCAATTACAACGAATCGTTTCTGTAAAATCAAGTTTGTATAACCCACAAATTATTATGCATTGATATCGAATTTCAGACGTCTTTTCACATAGAAACTTGAGATTTAATAACGAAATTTCAGTCTGTAAGGAATAAAAAGATTTATTCGCTTTCTGTCATCTTTTTTCTCTTTAGTGAGTTACAAATTAATTTATTACGAACGAGATTGCGTCAATCGCTAAAATTTTGTTTACAGTTTTTTAACCTCATCAGAGCAGAGCGCTAGGATTTTTCCAATTCTTTTAAACCGTCACATTACATTAAATAAACTTTGTTAAACTTAACTAGATAATTTTTTGTCCGTAAAGAAATTATTAGCCGCGTAATCGTGAATTACAATATTTGACTGATGAAATAGTTTGAATTCGAATTATAAAATTAAATTACGAATGATTATCTACAATTACAACTAAATCGATTTGCTGGGAAATTAATTGCACGAAAGCAAGTAATTAAAAATTAATCTTTTAAGATATTTGTCTCACTTTTTCCCAAAAGCTGAAATGATTTTAAGTTGTTAAATAACAAAAACAAGAAAACATTATTTTTAATAATTTTCTTCATTGAAGATTGAGAAAAACTTTTCTAATTTTCATTTCGATCCTAATTAAGATTGAAACAAGTGAAGATGAAGAAGCAGAGAAATATTCATAAGCCATATGTAAGCATTTTTATTAGTTTAAATAACGTTATTGTATTCATAAGTGCTATTACGATTAAAAATAATTCATTGCAATTTCTCGCGCAGTTGCAGACACATAATTCGTGAGTTTTATAAGTCTCACAATTCATTCAAATCTGCGTCAGATCCAAAATAAGAAAACAACATAAAAGAGCTGGGGGTTGCGTAAAAGGTAAATTACTCTGTGTGCGTGGCTGATATAACTTCAACTTAAATATGGTTTCAAATCAGCCATAAATAATGAAAAGAAAAAAAATTATTTGAAAAGTCTCGCGCGTGGTTTTCCATTTGCTTCACATAAATGGAAGCATTAAACCACATTTGAATTTCTTGCCCAATGCTATCTATCGTTCAAGATTAAACAATCGATAAAATCACTTTCTATCGAATGAATATCAACTGCAACTATTTTTTATTTTTATTTTTTCTGGTCATGAAAATTGTCAATCGTCAACCGAAGGAAACGACACAATTTATGCCCTCAACGTAGATCGAAAATGACATCAATCTTTCTTCATTATTTATGAGACTTTAATCGGAGCGAAACGCATACTAAAGCCATACACGATAATCTAATCTTGCTATCTGTCGCATTTACGTTCTACGCAATCGTTTAGTTACGCAATACTTTGGATTTGCTCTAAATTTCCTTCATTCATTCAATTTCTATGCCTTATTGTTAACTTATTTATTTATTATTTTAACTGTTGGCTATTGATTTGTGAAAGAAAAGAAGAAAATAAATGAAAAGAAATTAAAATATGTAAGCAAATTTAACAATTAATTTTACTTTGTCTAATGTTAAAGCGTTAAATTGGATAACATTATTGAATGCGATTAAAAATATTTAAACTGTTGCCAAAGGGACAAAAAAAAGTAATAAAAATTTTCGATCGTTAAAATGGCTCGTGACTGGTCAAGCGATTATTACGAGGAAAAAGTATTTATCGTCTGATATTTCCGGGAATAAATAAGTTCATTGATACCTTCCTTCAAAAAGCATCCAAATAATTGAGAAATGAAAATCGATAATCTTAAAGTTTGATACAAACTAACAAAGCACTTACTTGGCCAATTTTTAAGGCAGACATTAAATGCTTATAATAATAATAAAAGACACGCCAAATGGAAATGCATGCAAGAAAAATAAATAAACACAATTTCAACTGATTTCAACAACTTCACTGACCCAATTTTATCAACGCGAGCACATGAGACAGATAATTATCATAACATGTTCACTTTATGCTTTGAAATTGCAATCTATTGCTTTTTTTTGCGGTTGCAAGCTTTATGATTAAGGAAAAGTGAACGTGAAAGTCGCGTGCTGTTAAATGGAGTAAGAAAATTATTCACTTTGCAAAGTGATTTTGTTACTTTTCCTTCTCGTTTCATCAAAATGGAAATTGTTAAAAGATCAACAATGCACGGAAACAAGTCTGTGCAATATGAGACAGGTATGTGGGCTTTTTAATGATCTTATCCGTCTCTCGACAATTTGTCTCGTTCGATTTGATGCATGACTCAATTTTAAATTTTATTCATCATCATTTGACTTAAACTATTCACAAGTGTTTTCATCTGAAATGAATGCATGCATTCAACAGCTTATGAACAGGGATAGTCTGGTCATTTAAAATTAAATTGAATGCGAAATGATCTCATTTCTTATGTTTCATATTCTTACTGTGATCGAATCAGTTTAAATTATTAAATAAATCAATTTAAATTAAAAATGAAATGTTGCAAGTCTTGCTGCAAGCAAACATACATAAAGAAGCTGTGCTGGATTGTTTCAATATAATCCAACAATTTGTATTATCCCCAATTATCCAGTGGACTAAGAAAACATTAAATTCAAGCAACTTTTGAAATCAGCCGAAAAGAAATTTCCTGCATGATATTTACTTACTCGAGCAATTATTTACTTGAACATTTATGCTGCATGATCAAGCATAAACACACAAAGCCCTGAATTTTTATCTAATATCAGGCAATAAGGCAATAACCGCTGACATTTCTTCTTTTTAAATCTTTACTTATGTTAATGCTGTATTCGATTATTTTTCTTTCACTCTTTCATACGGTTATGGAAAGCTAAATAAATATCAAATTAAGTGAGTTATGTTAGATCGAGTAATATTCCCACAAATTCACTTAAATTTATATCTGAATTCAAATGAGTGAAATGAAAATTAGTCATGCGTACTTAATAAGATTTAATGTGAATGTGCACAGCATGAATGAACGATTCAAGAATTTGCATTTCATTTAAGGCTGATAAAAAGAAAAGAAAAATTCCAAACCAATTCGCGAAATGACTTTAAATTTATCAACTTTTTAAGTTTTAAACACAGAAATTTTAAAATCAAAGTTAAATCTCACGATATCTTAAATGAGAAAATTATGGAAATAAATGAAGATATTTTCGATTCGATGTCGTAACAAAGTTTGATAGTGAAGCAAAAAAAATTGATAAAAAAATATTCACGATCATAACCCAAATAGGCTGCAGCAGCTCTATATTAGTAATTGATTATTAATAAACTGTTTAGAATATCAAGAACCGAAAAGCCCCCAAAGATCATGTTTTGAAAATCATATTCAATGCTATTAGAAATCAATGAAAATTTATAAATAGGATGAATTCATTGATCTTTCAAGCTAGATATCTTATGCAAAATTTATTATAAATAAACAATAAATTTTGTTATGACAATCCAAATACGAAACTGGAAAATCGCCCTGTTATGTTAAGTATTTTCACTTACTCTAGCTCGTGTTGTTGTCTAACATGTGAAAAATTGTTATTATAGATATTCTTCGTCGATGAGTAAACATTTGAACATGATGTTTAAATAAACTTAAACTCAAACATCTACGAAGCTTATGTGCTTTTTTTGGTGAAAGCAAGAAGCGTTAAATGGGCACAATCGATTGTTGTTGCTTTGTTAAGCTGTTTTCATTTTAGCATCTCATCAATTTGCAATGAAAAATGTTAATAACTTCCCCGATGCGCAATCGCTGCATATGAGAATTCATGTTTCATTCGCTAAGTAGATACTTATGAGTGTAGATTGTTGCAGTTACACTTGCAGAAAGGCAAGTTTTTCATTTGAATTTTCTCAATCATACATAATCACGACATATTTAAATATTGCGTTGAATTGTAAGAAGCTTGAAGTTGCCGTTTTATGTCATTCATATTTTTATGGTTTCTTTCGAACTGTTTTCAGTCAAAGATATAATTCAAATTTAGAAATTGCTTTGCTGCTTATGGCATTTATAAATTTGTCACTGCAGGAAATTATTTTTTATGAGATTTTTGACGTTTTCATCTTTCTTCTCAAATACTTTAAGCAGCTGCTTGTTGTTGCTTGTTAGCTTATAAGTGGCGCATGCTTTGAAAGGTTAATAAACTGACATTTAATTATTTCTTGTCATGTATATTTAATATGAACTTTAATGAGTAGCAACACAAAGAAAAATATGTTAATTATCTAAATATTTAAATCGATTCTGCACTTGATTTGTACAGCTGATATTGACCCATGAAAAATATTTAAAATCTGAATCAATTAGAAGATCAAACGTCTGAATTTTTTCCATCTACTTCAAGCATTTAAATCTTTTGTAGAACACATGTTGAGTTCAGTCAGTTGATGTCTCTCGAAGTAAGACAATTGAAACATTTAAAAGCGGAAAAGAACAAATTGTGGTGTTATTTAAGAGTACATTCATATTCGATAATCATTGGGCCAAGCCTTTAAGTATTGTTCGTGACATTACCAGGTTCAGGAAGTTGCGGAAAGAAAAAGTTTTCTTCTTCTTTTCTTGCCATTATTTTGGTGTTATAGATAACAAAAGTCGATGTGGCCTTTGTGATCGGTTTAATGCTTTTATTTGTTCTCAAGCTGATTACGGATTTTCTTTTATTTTCTCTCACGAAACTATTGCATCAAAAATCCATAACCGTTACGTTAATCGGCTTTACGTACGAGCAAAGCATTTCTCATATTAGTCTTATTGATAGCGAAAGTAAAACTCTCAGTAGGAAACACAAAACACGCCGCAGACAGTTCACAGACACTCCTGAACTGAAATTGAATTGTGTAAAATTCATGAAACTGCTATGAATAAACTTGGAATCTCTACAAAAACTCCCGCATCGAATCTCTCACCATTCTCACTTATACACGTAAAATTTAACATAAATCCAATATTTCGTGATCACAAACATCTCCAAGCACGAGCTACGAAGAGACTAAAGAAAAATCCACAATAATCTCAGCACAGTGATACACCGTACGCCAAACAGTTTGGTCGTGTTTTGTTTTCAGTGACTTGAGAATATTTTCAGAAAACTTTTTGTTTTCGCAGACAATTTGTTTCATTTAATTCAAGCAGAATTAAAACAGAAAAAATATTAAATAAAACATAATTGAAAAAAAATCCCTTCAACCCATTATAAACTTGCCAAAACCAGTTCTCATAAAATAAATTAATCAACAAAACGTCATTCAAAGCGACGATAAAAAATAAGGTCTGTGAAAAAGAGAGAATTCACCTTCAACATCAAAAATTAAAATAAATTCGCTGCAAAGTGTACATAAAGCAAGGTGCATGGAAATTTTCGTTACAGTTCACAAAAAACTTCCAATTTCCAAAATTATTCTGTTAATTTATCGTATTTGGTTCGCAGCATATTTTTTTATATCTTTAAACAATTTTTTTTTCTCTTGTCATTACAATAAATTTCAACTGCAACCTTTCGTTTCCAATGTGGATGTGGTGAGAGAGCTAGCGCAGCAATCAAAAGGCCACTCTTATTTAGTGAAATATTGTGTCGAGCACGGGAGAGAAAAATGTATTTTAATTCAAGGATTTCTTTGGTATTAATTGAAGCAAAGTGCTATTAAAAGCATTAAAAATAATATTTTAGTGTTTGTCCACAGCGGCGTTAATTATTTTGATTTTTTTTGTGTGTTGTCTCTTCAGAACAAAATTACGTAACAAAAACAAAAATAATGACAAAAACGCGAAGTGAATAAGCATTTTATTTTTATTTCTGCTCCAGATTACAGGTTCTTCAGTTAACAAAAGAGTGAGAGAAGAAAAAGAATTAAGAAAAGCAATGTGTAGAATGCTTAAAAGAGCATCGTTGATGCAAACTAAAATGAATAATGCAAACAAGTTCTAATAATGTCGGAAATAAATTGAGTGACATTTAAAGAAGCAAACATCAAACATATCTTAGTTGTCGTGTACGCAAAACAACAAGAAAACAAAAAAAAAGAGAAAAAAGCAGTGACATAAGTTTGTTCATGTTAAATTGAAGTCATTCAGCATTGGAGAGAATTTAGAAAGTCACAAAACTGAATTAAACTTAAGAGAGAAAAAAATAATTCACAATGAAGGCCTTCTGGGCCATTACATTGTTTTACTACTCGGTTTGTGTGTTCGCCATCACACCTGTGAGGCCTGGCACCGGTAATCCATCACCTCGTCTTCCACGAACAAGTGCCAGTCAATATCCAAAAAATGCAACATCAAGGAGCTCCACTTCCAAACCGACTTTTCGTACGAGGTGAGTTTCTTTGCTACGTGCGCTTTTTTTCGATCTCGTTTTGATATCATACTGACAGGACAATTAAAGTTATTGCAAGCAGAAAAAAAATGATCAGAGATATACTTAAGACGTGCTTTAGAGCAGTAAAAAAATTATATAAAGACTTCAGTAATCGACATATTTAGTTGATCAGGTGTTGTTACTTGATGCTGGTGGTTAGGAAGAAGAAGTTCAACATTCCAAACATACAAATGATCTTCATGTTTCATCACTCTTAAGTAAATGTTGTGATTCATAAATCCATCTTTAGTGCATACCTTCATGCATAAATCTGACAAGATTTATTAAGTTTTGAGTTATTCTTAAGATGTCTTATTTGCACTTCGAGTTAATCGTTAATATGTGACGACATAAATACAAAGTTGTCGATTAAAAACAAGAATTTATCCCATCATTTTTCTTCCATAATCTTCATTTTCGCATAAAATTGCAATCAACAATTTAATAAACATTTGTGATTGCGAGAAAATACTTATTACAAAATACTTTAAAAGCATCGATCCGACACATGAGCCATAACTTTCTGTAAACATGTTTTACTTTTTCCTTCGTCTCTCGTATATTTGGTTAAAATTTCATAGATGCTTTTAACCGCAACACCGTTCATACGATAAAAAGATTTTAAAAGAAAAAAAGGAGATCATATTGGGTTTCACAATGCATTTAAGTTTCACTTTGAAAGAAGTCAGGCAATTGGTGGCATAAGACAACGAGCCAGAAATCATTGCCAATAAACATTTTCCCCTCATTCGCTCATTCACTCACTTTCGATTGGAAACAATGATTAATTAATAAATTGTTGTATTCGGTATCACCTTAAAAACGTTAATAATTTCGGCTTTTATTCCTTTCATGAGGGAAAGAAATAAAGAAAGAAAGAAACAATGAATTCGATCAGTTAGGTACTTATTTACCAAATGAATGTATTTTTAAACTTTTATTCGACTACCTAGCAGTCGAGTCGTTTATAGGGCCTTCCATGTTAACTTATTTATGTTGAAATGCTTTTTAATCAAGAAAGTTTTTTACTTATTTTCTCATAATCAATAAGTGGTCTTGTATGATTTGTCTTCGTTTCTCTCAATAATTATTTTGTTACTTTTTGCTGTTGTCGACTCTGTTAACAAAACCAATTTTAAATGCATTTAGGGTAGCAAGTTGACGTTAAACTTTCAATGAAATGTTTAAATTGATTTCAGGTATCCGATACATATCTCTTCCCTAACTATCTACCTACTTAAGTTGCTTGTCAGGCTTCTAATATCACAAAAAAAAGTTGTTCAAGCTCTTTTTTTTATTTATTCGTTTGTTTTTTCAATTTCATTAACCGCTTATGCTCACGTCTCTCCTTCATTTAAATATAAATATTTTTTTATCAGCTGCGAAGAATCAGTGGCCATTGACTTAGGCAAGCGAAAAAAAATAGATGAAAACAACTAATTCATATACGAGATCTTTGATGTTGAATTTTCATGCTTTCTGGTTAAGCAAACAACGAGAGAGGGAAAACTAAGCCAATTCAATTTAATGCTCGCAGCATGTGCAAACAATTTGAGACTCAAAAAAATCTTTTCTATTTTTTCTTTTCCAAATAATTTTTTTTAGTTTTAAAAACACTTAAAAATATTTGAGTGAAAATGATTTTTAGATGATTTTCATCATTGCGAAATTCACGAAGCTTCACTTTTCTCAAATGAGTGTTATGCACGATTTTTCTGATAACAATAGAAGATGTTTCATGTGAATTTTAGCGTCGACGTGGTTAATTATTGCAAATATTTTTCAGTTTTAAAATAACTCAAATTAATGTTTTTTTCTTCTGTGAATTTAGTTTAAACAGTAGAAGAATGAATGCTATGTGAGTTAAAATTGTCGATACAATTTCTGCACTAAACGACCATAAACCATATGTTCCAATGCAGCCAAGTTGTTATTGCTTTGGAAACGTGAGAGAAACGTTCGAAATCCAAAACGAGCCTTACAATCAATTTTCCGAGTCCATGAGAAAATTAAAAAAATATATTTCAAGTGGTGTACTTATTTATGTTTATATTTTTGATATAAAGTTACTTGGAGTCTGCATACTAAAGTTACAACATCAATTCTCTTGCATGTATGTTATTTAATATTTTGCAACGACAACTCTAGAGAGAAAAACAATTTTAGATCATTGAACTAATGAACCTTATATTGAACTATTTACTACTTGTTAAGGCGTTGATCGGCACATTATAATTTGTTGCAATGCTTCGGTTTCTACGCTTCGGTTTCTACCACATCTTAAAAAAGATATTTGATGAACAATTTTCATTCTCTTAATTTCTTTATATTAATGAATGAATGATTTTCAGCTTTTTATATTTAAACCAGAAGTCTTTTAATGTGTTTCTTCTTTTTATTCCGTTACAACAACTACCAGTAGTTCATTGATTTCTGACTATAATCGTAGTTTCACGAGTTGTCTTAATGAATATGGATTTGTGTACGTTTCTTTCTCTATTTCTTGTTAAGGAAAATTACTCATTCATTAGTTTAAATTGTTTTCATCGATGAGCATCTTTGATGCAAAATATCGTGACATTTCATTCAATACTTCTGTGAAGAAAAAGAAATAATGCTGGAGGTCTTTTTATGACATATTAAAATCAAATTGGTGGTCATCAATATTTTTATATTCACTTTCAATTACCAAAACGTTTTAGCTAAACTTATTCAAATAACAAAGTTAGCAATCGCTTGTAATTCATTCATTGTGCAATTGTATAAATATGGAAAGAAGGTTCAAAAAAAAAATTCTTAAAAAAGATTCTACGCCTTCAAGGGACCAATTTCAATTGCCCTACTTGTACTTTATACAATGAACTCATGTAGCCAATGCTTGAGGCTATTTAAATCTCGTTTCTGTTGACTCCTACATTTCTGATACTCTTACTGCAATACCGATCACGAAAATGAATTGCTGGCACTTTAATCAAATATTTTTCTATTGTCAATGAACCAGAAAATTTGTAAAATTCAAGAAATAGCATTTTTTGTGCCCACAGCGAAAAAAAATAAAACCAAGAAATCGTGTCGACGAGTTAAAAAATGTTATGCCAAGACACACCATTATCGATTGCAGATTTCAACTTTGCTGCAAACTACATGGCTTTTAATTATTATTGTGTAATATTTTTCGTTTTCTCACAAAAACTTTTATAAGGAAAGTGAATGATGATTGCAGTCGAATGCTGCGAAAATGATTGTCATTTAACAATGAAAAATCTGCTAAATAGTCGAGATGTGAGATACAGGGAAGCAATATTTCATCCTCTAGTAGGTCAAAGCAGCAACAAATGAGTCTATTCTTAAACTAAGATAAACCAACAAACCTAAACCGAAATAGTTTCATAGTTTCCTGCGTCAATACTCTTTTTTGTTAATTATCTGATCATGGTAATGGTAATGACTTTAAACGAACGCTATTTGCTCTCATTTCGTATTTGCATTTTATTTTTCAAGGTAATCTAATTTGAAAGGAAATATCTAATTCGACTCGCCATTTATAAAATCAAATGTTCCTATAGTGGAGCTTAACAATCGATCTTTTCTCATTTCATTGCACTTTTGATGCTCAAAGCATTTCTTATTGTTTACTAAATTCACAAAATCACTTTGATATCTCATTCATAAGTAAAAGCTCTTTTCTTTTATGTTCACCGATGGAGCTTTAATAATGGAAGATTATAAACGCTTTTCATTTCCTCATTGTGATAATCGTCCGAAAATAATTTAACGACAACTCTTAAAGTTTCTAATTTCGTCTTAATGGTCATAAAAAATATATCAAAAGTCATTAGTAAATACAAGCGATCATCACTGTTACATAATTTACATCAGAGTGCACAACTCATTCATTTTCTAGCTTTTCCATTTCCCGAAAGAACGCGTGGTATAAACGGTCGTACGTTACTGTTAAAAAGTTGAATTAAATAAATAAACAACTAAACCTGTATTTCAATAAATGCATTTGCTAATTATTTCTTGATTATCTACATTTATTAAAACTTGTATTCTTTGATGGAACATTATGTCAGATACATGTTTTGAAAACATCATTCATTAGTTATGCCTACGGAAAGATTCCAAAGCGATTGCCAATTAAATTAGTCAATGCATTGTTAAGAATTTAAGATGCGAATTCTTTTCTTGATTACATAAACATGAAACATTATTTCAAAACTTTGAAGTCATGACAAAAGAAAAAAAATGAATTAAAGTTCAATATATGACAACATTTTGATCGTATGAAGGAAAACAATGTTTAGGGGAATGATAAGCAATGTTTTATAACAATGATATTAGATCACGCTGTCATGGTGAATTTTGTTCAGTTCAAGACTTAGTTCAAGAGAAAAACAAAAACATAAACATTTAAATACCTTTCGACACAGCAAGTTCAATAAAAAATATCTAAATAAACAGCGAAAAATCAGCATGGATCATTCAATACTTTAAATAAAGCTTTTTGATTGTTGAGAATAAATGAAACAATAGCGTAAGGCAAGGCATAAGATAAAATAAGTGGAATTATATGCCATTTTAAGCATCATTCTATGTCAATATGTATGTAACGACCCTTTCGTCTCTTAACCTTATAATTATTTCCTAAAGCGTACATATTTAGATTCAGAGCGAGCAATTGTTTCGCCTGATAAAATTGTTGACTTTTAGAAATCATTTTTTTGTCGGTTTACCCACTGTAGACACAACGATACAACTTATGAGACGGATGACGAAGTTTTTCGCTTCAAAGCAAAATTTACGTTTCATCGACAATAAATGACACGACGCGAGCTTTAGTCGATGCAAGGAATTCAATGATCGTATTATTTTTCGTTGAACATTCAATCAAGCGGTTAACCCATGTCGAGATCTGTTTTCGCCACTACTTACGTTATGCAGAACTTGTCTTAAACTTATTCAAGGCAACAACTGTACAATTAATTAACTTCAACTAACAATAAAAGTTTATTGCAAGCAACTGAACATATATCGGTCGAAAATTTCAAAGCAATATTTATATCCTATTCATTGTGATATTTTTATTTACTTCTATCGATGTATGTTTACATAAATATCTAAATAAAGTGGAAGTTTGTCATGACTATTAAACAATAATAATAAAAGAAAGTTTTCATGCGTTTCTATCTTGTCTTGTTCATAAATAAATATAAATGTGGGTTCAATTCAAAGGCAATTAATCTGTTTCAAGGGCTTAAAGAAAGTGTTAACATACTTGCGCCACCTGACACTTTTCAACGATTATGAACACAAATATCTAACAAAGCGTTGGAATTATTGTCCATTTTTTTAACACCATACATGCTTTGTATGTGATTTTCAATCACAATGTTAATAAGCTACATGAATTTTACACTTCGTTCCAAAACAAATTGAATTTTTTCGATTATTTTTTTTTACGGAGGCCCCACCCTAGGGTGACGGGCAACCGTATTGGATTTGCCCAAAAATTTCAAAAAATTTTCTTTGCTCAATTACACTTAAAATGGCGTGAAACGTCGAGAAAAGTGGAGAAAAGCAGAAAAAAATTTTTTGTCCGCTTTCGGGTCTGTGGGGATGGATGGATGGATGGATGGATGGATGGATGGATGTAGACACTCGCATTTCTACATTTCTTAACCGATTTTAAAAATTTCTTCACCAATGTGTTTTAAATACGAATAGAAAGTTTCTATCAGATTATTGGGTGTGTACCTTTCCTCTTTCGGGTACCTGCCATACNTGCTAGCGAAAAAAAAAAAACATTCCCAGCGAAAAAAAAAAAACATGCCAGCGAAAAAAAAAAAACATTGTGAAGAAAAAAGTCTGTTACCGAAAGTCGGCCCCAACAATAAATATCGTGCAAAAGCCCGATATTTAAAACTCCGGCAGTTATAGAATTTCTAGACGAACAGTATTAGTAAAAATCTAACTCCAATAAGGGGCCACTTTGTATAATGTTTCCACCTTCGATATTCCAGAAACTTTTTACACAAAGTGGCCCCTTATTGGAGTTAGATTTTTACTAATACTGTTCGTCTAGAAATTCTATAACTGCCGGAGTTTTAAATATCGGGCTTTTGCACGATATTTATTGTTGGGGCCGACTTTCGGTATTTTATTTTTAAATTATAAAAGGCATTCATTCTCATTTCATTCACTTTTGAATGCCTTAAATGTCAAATGATTCAAAGTAGCAGCGAATTTATGAAATGTCCAAAACATTTCATGATCTTCGACTTAAAACTTAAAGTGAAAGAGAGTGAGAGAGAGAAATGATGAGGGCAAAAGATGGAGACATAAACAGAAAAATAAAACAGGTTTTTATAATATGTGTGGCTATCATCAGTCAGCTTGAAGATGATAAATAATTTAGTAGCACAAAATGATAATCATCTTATGGAATTTGTATGCTCAAACGTTTGTCTGATAAAAACTTTTGCTGAAATGAATGAAACGCATTTTAATTTATGATCTTTTGATAAGGATTTTTAGATCGTTATGTAGGAAGGTTTCATAAGATATAAAATAAAACAACTTTAAAGCTTTTGAGGTGATGTTCATCACAGCAGAAATAAAAAATCACAAAAGTTTGATGTTAATGTGGTCAATAAAATTAATTTTATTTATAGTCGTGTTTATTATGAATTGAAATTTGGACATTAGGTTCACCATCGTGTTGCAGTGTCTGGTTTTGATTAAAACATTGCGAAAAAAAGAAAGAGACGCTTGTAACAAGCTTATAAAAAATGATAATCTTTCCTCATGTTGGAAGCGCTCTGAACTCTTTGAGAAATAAATGGAAATTCATTATTGCAGTGTGTCATTAATCTTCTTAAAGTTTTATGATGCAATATGTTTGGAGCATCTTTTTTTCACATTGTTTGACACAATTTTCATCTATTTTATTCGATCTTCTCACATATAATGACACTCGATGGGTCTTCTTTCTTTTATTATTTTTTTTCAAGTATTTTCGTCGTTCATAAAATGTCAGTCCATCTTCGTACAAGCAGTGTAACCGTAATGGTTAACGTCAAATAACTTGATGATTTCCATAACAGATTTATGCTTCAAAATGAAAAACTTAGAGACAACTTTGCTCATGGTTATTTTGGTCGTAGTTGAAATTGAGTGCTAAGATTAAATTACTTAGAAACTAATTACTGAGTTACCTCGAGTACCCTTTACTTTCAACATCAAAGCATGTGACAAATTAATATCTCAGTGGAATTTTCCTAAAGTTATTCCAACAAAAAATATGACTAATTCAAAATAAAGTTTTTAATTTTTGTCTTCTTTTGTTTTTTATAATTCGCAGAGAACAGCAACTGCTATCAGTATTTGAAGCAGTCATCTCAACGCTTGAGGGCAAACTTCAACGTATTGACAATCTTGATAAAGCAGTTGAGCATATGATGAGACGTGTCGAGTCGTTAGATCACAAGATTGGTGACAATATTGTCAAGACAGATGCGATCATGTCGAGATTAGGTGATCTCAACACAAAGATCACTGGCGATGATGCTTTAGTTCGAGAAAAATTCACCAGATCATCATCGTTGTCGTTGAGCAACAAGCTATCAGCTCTAGATCAGAAAGTCAGTGACATTGACATAAAATTGGTTAAATTAAAGAACCACATTGACAACAACTTTTTACCCGCTGACGACATCAATGCTGAAGCAAGCGAAAAAAAGCCAATTCATATGAATGTTGCTGCAGAGATTACACGTGCTATGAATAACGAAGTGATGAGCCATGTAACAAAAGATTTAGATCAATTACGAAAAACTACCGAAGCGATTGATAAGAAATTACAATTTCATGTTAATTTAGTGTCACAAAATGTTGGCAAAATGTTGAATTTAGTTCAAGATGTGCATGAAGCTGTTGTTGAACAAAATGCTGATTACACAGTCAATGCGACATCAACAACAATACCGCCATATACAAAGTCAAGTAAGATCGATTCATTGGTCCATCAAGTTAAGCCGATATTGTCAGTTTCTGAGAAAATGGATGAAGTTTGGAATGTTGTCGTTGGAACAAAAAGTTCAATTGACGATTTATTACCGAAGTCAGACAAATTGTTGACACAAACACAACGACAAGAACGTGCCATTGGTCAAATTCATCAAGATCTACGAACTAAAACGAATTTGATTATTGAGAACTTAGATATGGTTGAGAAGCGTCTTAAGAAACAAGAAGATGATGTGACAATTTTATCTCAACAGCCTGTCCCAGCTGATTTGTTGATTGATCCAACAATCGATAGGTTAGTTGAGTACAATCCAAATCGCTATTCGATCATTGAGGAAGCAACCGAGCAAATCACAACGACAAGGGTTCCTTCAACGACACAACCACTAACATCAACAAGTACTGCTCAAAGTACACAAGTCACACCACAAGGAAGTTTAAATAGTATCATCAACGCATCAGCGACAAATCAAACAATTGGATCAACAACAACCAAGACAATATCACGAAAAGGCGGCGTTATTTTCCCAAGTGTCAAAAATAAGCCATCGAAGATAAACACAACCTTCATATCTGAATCTACAGGCATAAAAGATATTAAAGTGAGTAAATATTATCGCTTGACTTTTGATTTAAATCAAATATAAGATTTTGTCACAAGCAAGCATTTGTCATTGAACATTATTAATCGTCGTTTATAATGAACAAAAGATATCATTTGAGATAAAAAAATGTCGCTTATACAAAACTCCTAATTGTCACCTTTGCTTTGAACTTTCAATAATTTTTCTTTTTCTCTTTTCTTAGGGATATTCATGCACTGAGTTGATGAATGCTGGAATGCGACAATCAGGTGTTTACTATCTTCAGATTCGCGGTACAACTTACTGGTTTTTGAAAGTTTTTTGTGAGCAAGAAATTGCCGATGGTGGATGGACGGTGAGTAAAGACAGATGAAGTAAAAATGAAATGAAATAATAAATTATTTCCGATTGCGGATAGAAGTAGTGAACACAACTTCCAACCAATGATGAAAGTTTCTCTGACTAAATTAAAGCATTTGACATGACTTTTTGACGTTTTATTATAAAAAATGTGCCTTGCTTTGTGGATGAAACCAAAGCAAGACAAAAGATTAACTTTTTTCATATAAATCATGTCAACGAAATGAAATAATTTTTAATTCGCTTCGTTCCCAGGTGATTCAAAGACGTGATGATTTTGGCGAGCCGAGAGAAAATTTCAACCGAGATTGGGCTGATTACAAAAACGGATTTGGTGATCCAGCAAAGGAATTCTGGATGGGAAATGAGAACATTTACATGCTTACAAACAATGAGGACTATGCTTTGAGAATTGAGCTCGAGGATTTCGAGGGTAACAAGAGGTCAATATCATGATTAAAGCCTTGTGAAAAGTGAACTGATTTCCGACAATGTCATTCACTTTTTTCTTTTCTTTCGAATCATAGATACGCTCAATATTCACACTTCAAAATTCATTCCGAAGCTGACTATTATAAGCTTGAAATTGACGGATATGAAGGGAATGCTGGCGATTCGCTCAATGATCCATGGTATGGCTCAAACAACAGTCCGTTCTCAACGTACAATCGAGATAATGACAGAAGCTCATTGAATTGTGCCAGTATGCTCAAGGTTTGTTTCTTGGAAATAAAAAATGACATAAGTCACGTGAATACTTAAATGATAATGAAACGTAATTTCACAGGGTGGCTGGTGGTGGAAGTCTTGCGGAAGGGGATTAAATGGACTTTATCTTCACGACCCACAAGATATTACAGCCCGACAAGGCATCGTTTGGTTTAGATGGAGAGGATGGGACTACACATTGAAGAAGGCCACAATGATGATCAAGCCTTTTGTGAAGCCGCTCAACACAGTCCCATTGACAAATACCTAGATTATTATATATATTTTTTGACCTATAAACATCACTAGACAATAACACTCTACGCGTTCACACAAAATTTTCAAGACCATGGCTTTGAAATTTGGAACGAAGTCTAAATTATTTATTCTGTTTATCATCTTAGTTATTCATAAATATTTCATGCACTTCATCATTCATAATTCAATCTGCCATCATTTCTTTGTCTGCGATGCTTCAAAACTTTAGCAATTCATAAACTCGCTATTATGTATCTCATATAGAGCCTTCATGGGATTATGCTAAAGCGTAAATCACTTAATAAAAGAAGATGTAAATTATTTTTTATAGTTAAATGATATATTTTATGTCAAATATATCCATCATCAAGTCCGTAAAGCCAATCAAGCTCATCTATCAAGTAAATAATAAATAAAAGCTTGCGGAGACGGCTATCAAGTAGAACAAAGATAATGTGACTGAATGTGTAAACACAATCTATTGTAAATATTTCAATATTTCATCGAAAAGATTTAGGCTTCACTTGCGAGCTTCCCATCAGATATTTTTTTTTTATATTTGTAAATATTCATTCGTATGCTAACTACTTAATATCAAGAATAAAAGTTTTTGTTTAATAAACAGAAAAAAAATTACTTACAAAGTCGTTTTTAGATCACCAGCTGTCTTTTTGATATTTACTTGATATTAATTTTTTGTTTATTGTTTCAATTTTCAGGCACTTTGTAAACAAACTCAACTTCACTGTAATTTCCAGCTTTTCAATCTATTAAGCTATTAAATAACAAGTACTTCGGTGTAAATTGATTTTTTATTTCATTGTTAACTTCTTGAGTTTAACTAATTATCCACTTGAGCTTCAGAAAGCTTTAATAAAGGCATAAATTTGTGTTTTTAACATTCAATGTTTTGACTCGAACAAGTCGGCTTTGCCTCAACCGAAGAAAGAAGCAAATGTTGACGTTAACGGTAATAAATGTTATGTTCGAAATTCGAATATCTTAAGCAACAGTTCTACGTAGAATGTTGTCTACGTATCTAATGGAACTTTACTTGTAAATTTATTGCTGCTAACACGTTGTTGTTGTTTATTGACATCTTCATCTGGATTTGGCACAAGACAAGATATAAGAAGATGTTGAATTTGCTGTTTATGTAACAACTAACAATTTAATAATTTTTTCAGTGTGTAATATGATATTTAATGTCAAAAGCTGTTCATTGCGCTGTCTTTTAAGTTCAATCAATTCATTCATATCTCTTCTTCATGAAGAAAGCAAAAAGATGTTAAGTTTATCGTTTTATACGGTGAATGTGACGAGAAATATAAAAAAAAATCATTAAAATGCAAAATGAAACGAGCCGCAAATTTTTTTTTTTAAATGACACGAATTTCATTTCGCTCGTGATAATGACCCAAAGAGATAGTCGTCAGACCAATGCATTTTGAAACTTACCTTGTTTTTTTTTTATTTATTTTGGGTTATCATTTAATCAAGTCTCACGAACTTAAATTAACATAATTTTTTTTATTTCAAAATCAGCGATGATGATTTTGGAAATTTCCATAAAGTACATCTCATGGGCCTTTCGTCAAGAAATATATTCATGAGAGCTAATAATTTAAATGAAAAATGCATAAAAGTTTTTTTGAAGAAATTTGTCAATGAAATGTTTTTTTATTCATTAATTATTAGGCTGCGTTAAGTACATTATTTATCGATTTAATTAAGCTACTCGATTGCATGCAGAGCGGCAAATTTCAAAGTTAGCAAAACAAACATGAATTCTTTATTCTTTTCCTTTTATGACTTTTAATTATCATCATCACATGTTAAATTCCAAGGTTAATGTAAATAGTGATGAGTTAAATCAATCAAAACTCCACCGTCACCATCACCATAGATTAAGATATTGCTGGTGATTTTTACAGAGGCCAATCCCAGAACAACGACTAACGTATTTTGATCATGCCATTAACTGATCATTCCATTTGTTTGAGACATGAGACACGAGATTGTCATTCATAAGTATAAACGTGTTTTTTGCGAAGTTTTGCGTACGAAGGTGTATGAGGCATCTTGCACTTCAAATATTATTGTCTTTTTAAATAAGTGAACAGATTTTGTTAAATCTTGACGGAGTTTTGATGCTAATAAGTCTCTTGAAAATAAAACAACAAATAGATACATTTATCTGTTGATCTCTTAATAAATATTAGCATAACCTCGGCATTATTTACTCTTACAGTTTCTTAAGCTGTTAGATATTTATTATTAAAGGATGTGAAATTAAGGTAGCAAATGTTAACCAATTAAGTCAAAAACATCTCTTATTCAAAATCATTTCAACTTCCTTTTTTATAAATAGTTCTCCAACTACATTTCAAGTTTCGCACAAGTCATCATTGAAGTGTTGATGAATCAATAGCTGAAATTATACGCCTCACACTTGTTTTGCTCCGATCGGCTTAAGTTATGAGATCAAAAAAATCTGTTATAGAAAGCAATATTGATGATTTTATGAGCGTTTGATTGATGAGGAAGAAGAAAACAAATTAAATCTTGTTCTTTCTACCTTCGTGAATAGCGGCCATCAACAAACAAAGACTGCCATAAAATTCATTTTTAAAATTTATTCAACATTAATCTCAATCAATGAACACAATGTTTGAGCTTTTGTGATACGATTTCTGATTTGATGCAAAAAGAGAGAAAAATAAATAAATATTAGATCATATCGTATTCAAGGTCGTATTTTTAGATAATTCAAAGTCTGAACATGAATCAAGTTTTGTGTGCTTTGTTGTTGATATCATTTGATCATTGATCACAGTTTGAGTGCTCGTTCCCTTTCGATTTGATGGCCATGACTACCATAGGCGTGATTATATTATATGCTTGGGATAATCACATTGAAATTCTAATTGAAAATTGTGCTTAGAGTTGTGCTTTAAGCTTATTCTCCCTGACTCATGTATCTGTATGCAAACAAGTGTCTCATTAGTTGTCAACAACAGAACTTTAAACTTTCAAATCTTTATTTTTAAATTCATATCAAGATTTGTTTTCTTTTGCCATGGCAAAAATACGAGTAATGACCACATAAAACTTGGAATTTGCTATACAAAGGCCGTTGTTATGCAAGTTGATGCTGTAGCAAAAATCTATTGAGGACTGAGGTAAAGAAAAAATAAACATAACAAATTTCTTGCGCTTAGTTAATATTCAATAAGATTAAAGAAAAAAAAATGCAAGCAGACGACCTTCAAAAAGATTTCATAGGCAAAATAGAAGCGAAGAGCTGGCGAACGTAAATCTGTTTCTATATAATTAAGCCCTCTAATCTGATGTGAAACGAGACGCATAAACGTTTTCTAAATTGATCGCATTACTGAGAGGAAACATTACCACACAGACTCGCAACATTTAACTCGACGCTTTTTGGTGTTAATGAATTGTTTACTTGACTAATAAATTTCTTTTAAATTGCAATTATGCTTGTAGATTTGTAGTGCTGTAATCAAAGTCAAAAATCAGCTGTCATTGGTTCGAAATTGGATAAAAAATAAACAAATTGTATCTGAAAGTAAAATAAATTTGAGAAAAATATAATAATTTGCTTCTCGTACTCGACAATTGAAATAAATGGATGCCAATTAATGCCTCTATTGTGATTACATCACAACTGTTAAAACAATGGATAAAATTGAGTTTCAATTGAACGGTGTAAATAATTAGAAAATGAAGAGATTCACTTTGCAATTATTCATGGTTCCCTTTAGGCTATTGAGTAAGTGAATCTTGTGTTGTGCATTATTTGTTGGGAATTATGCAATATCGTTTTGAGATGACTTCTTCCCATAATCATTAACTGTGTCGAATGTTACAGGAAATGTGCATGATGTTGAGATTGCACTTCAGGAACATTATATTGTAAATATTTTCAACGTTAATCAAACAGTGGCTGTTTCTCATGCCCTAACCATGACTTTTCACTGACCTCGGTGCTTCACATCACCAAATCGAATGAATAAATGAATGTTGCATTTTCTCTTTATCGCTATTAACAGCATAAATTGTGTAAACATTTAACGAGAATTTCTCTCTCTCTTTTTCTCTATTTCTTGGATTTTATGCAAAAATATTGTTAAACATCAAAACTTATTTTTACCAAGAATCACTGCATGAAATAATTCGAAATTACACATTGCATTCAAAGCAGGTAAATATAATGTTGTTTATGTCATTTAAATTAAACACTTTAAAATGTTTAGATGTTCATAAACATACGAGACTTACAATGAGTCATTAAAACTACGGCATCTCGTTTTGAAAAAGCTTTCAACAAGCTTATAACACAAATGATTAATAGTTTATCCCAATTTCTATAGCATAACCACAAATGAACATATAATTCATTTCTCATTCGCAATATTATGTTGTAAATAGTTATTGTCCTAGTTTTATTTCTTATCATAACATGTGCGTAGACAATTGTGGAATATTTGAACAAAAAAACTATTTGAAGATAGCAAAGTTAATCACCAGTCAACCTTTAAGTTTTTTGAAACTGTTCAAATCAAATAATTATCGAAGATCCCAAAAACACATGAGGAGTAATAAAAATCAACGAAAATATTGCGTTCACAGTCTTTTTAATCAAATTTTAAAAGACTATTAAAATTAAGCAAACATTGACGTCTAAATGAAGCTTTCATCTTTCAAAAAAATAAAATATAAAGTTAAGCGTATATTTAATAAAGCAAATCATATAATTCATTTTATTGATCATCAACATTTATTTCATTTCCGATTTGCATATTAATTTGCATAATATGATAATTTACACATGACGTTAATTTCATTTTATGAATCATGAATTGTAATTTCTAAGCTAATAGTAATTGAAATTTCAGTTCAAGTGTAGATTTTGTTATGCTTAAACTGAATGAATTAAATCAATAAAGTCAATTCCAGTTATTAAGCAATTTGTTAGCATTTAAATTAGCAATTACACTGGATGAACATTTCGTTTCACGCAGCTGGTTAATGATCACCACTTTGGATTCGAAATGTGATGGATTTTTTCTCTTTTACGGAAGAGTACAAACGTCAAAAATGAAATCACACTCACAGGCGAAAAGATGTTAACATTAAACTTCAAAACCTTGTCGTTTTGTAGTTAACGCACAAAATTTCAGTCATACATCATATTGTTGTAGTCTTAAAATTGTGCGTTGCAATATTACTGAACACAATTCTTTTTTTGTCGAACACTCTTTCGTCACGCACAAAAACCATGCGCGCATCGGAATGGAGAAGAGTTAATTAAACAGATGAGATCATATGGAGGATGTTAAAGGTCTGTTGTTGTACCATAGATCAGCTGTGATCAGTGGAAAGACAAATCAATTTTGAACCGTGTTACGCTTTTGAAGACTTTGTAGATGATCTTCGTAGACATTAAACTGCAAAATATTTCATTCAAGACCGTGAAAATTTAATCCAATTTTTTCGCACCTACTGGTATCCAATTCATTCAGCAATTATTTAAATCAGTTGAGCAGAGAGAAAGAACTTAACAGCCTCAAGTCATCTGACACTCAACCTGAAGTCAAGTCATGACTGTGAACAATTATAAGCAAAAAGTGAAATAAATATCATAAAAATTGGAATTAATTGATTGCAAAATATGCGATATAAATTGGTGCAAGTAGATATAAATATGTATACTAATTTAAATTGCTAGCAGTGGCTGTGTGGTAAGATTTCAAGGTTCTTTAATGTAACCAACATTTTTACAAAGTGAGTGAATAGAATAGCAATTCAACTTTGCCGCGGGCCATAAACAAATATCTGAACTCAAATTAAATCTGCTTATGACTTCACGCAAGAGCATTGTCTGTTAATTTTCGAAGGTATTATTTAAAAATGAATTTTTACAAAAATAATAATAAAGAAGAAAAGAAACGACGAGGCGGAAAAGCTATTTGGAAAAGTTTTTGCTGCGTGAGAAATTTATTCAAAAATTAGCACGGGTAAATTTAAGGAAGTAGGTAAGTTGTGTAGAATAAGAGTAAACAAAATTTATTTTGTTATTTCTGAATAAAAGATTTAGCTGGTTAGCATAAGAATGACAAACGACGGTAAGAGATGATACCTGCATCCGCACAGACGACCGGAAAAATATTTGCACCGCACAAGAATGATAAAAACTTCGGATGTGACTAAGAAATTCGACAACGGAAGTTTTGCAACACCTAATCAAAATTTAAACTGACAGAAAAAATTGTTTTACAATTAACATAATGATTAGTGATCATTTAATTTTATTGTTGCTAAAATTAATTTATACAATGATTTTTGCCGAAGGCTTTCCATCTGCTGTTGCATCTCATTTATGAATGTTAAACTTCCAAAAATATTTTGCAAGTGTGTAATATGTCGACATCAGCTTTAATTTAAATTAATTTTTTCAAATAAGTTACAACACTTTTTTCGCTGTTATTCGATTTTCTAATCGAGTATAAATCATCTTTAGAAATTACTGCGACGTTTTGGTTCCGTATTATTTTGCTATTTATTACCTGCCTGTTTTATTTGCCATTACCTAATAACATTGCAAATAAGTGTTTCCGTCATGACGAAGTTCCAGTCGAATTACATGAGGTGTTCATTTCTCTAATTGAATTAAATTGTTTCTCCGAACTTATACGTACTAAGTCTTATCGCATAAATTGAACAAAAAAAAATTGCAATTCGTAGCAAAAAAGTATCGCAAATAATCCAATTCAAACTGTGAAAATTAAAAAACTTCAAAAAAAAACGAAGTAAGAAACTCAATTTGCTTCTACGCTTAATGAACATGTGGTACGAGACAAACCACAAACAATTTCACCTTTTGTACACAAATGCGTGAACGTGCTCAAGCGATGTCAGTTTTCGTTCAGAAATTTTTAAAAATTTAAGCATACTAGATAAATATTTTCATTATTAATTACAATTCATATTTACTTATATGAAGCAAATTTGCGCTTTAATGAAATAATTATCTTTTTCGTTTCGCATGCCTTTGCTTCGTAATATGACCACATACTTCGAATCATGAAAAACAATCTTATAAGAAATCTCATCTTCTTCATCGTTGTTAATGGTACTTTAAATAGTTTTTAAATTAAAATTATATTATTATCTACAGGAAAATGATGACGAGGTAGAATAATCAAGTACATACTTTAGATGATGAGACACGAGGCACTTTTGATGATTCTTGCTTTTATTTGCTTTAAGATTATTTCAATCCATGTCAAAAATACAAGGAAGATCTGGTAGCAACTAAACTTAGCTTTATTAACTAACCTTTGTCTTATTGATTAGCACTTAGAATGTCTGCTGAAATGTTTGTATTTAACTGACGGATATGATAGCTTTGCACTTGATTTTGAAAAAAAAATAAATAAATTGCATTTATTATCTCCTTAGAGATAACTGACAAATCAGCTTTGTTTTAATCTTAACTGTTATCATATAACGTGACACATTAACGATGATAATGTCTTATGAAAATAACTGTTTATTTACACTTTAGAATATATTTTGGGCTTAGTAGTAGAGCTTTTGATTTCATTGGAGCAAATTAAAAATATTATTTAACCATCTTCCAGAACCAAAACAAAAATAAATATATATCAGGGTATTTCGTGGATATTAGAATTATCTGTGAGTGTTAAAAGGTGTTTGCATCATTATGCTAGAAGAAAGAAATATTCTTGAAAATTTAATTTAAGAAATGACATTTTGATTCAATCGACGTCAAAGTTGAAAAAGTCGTTAGAACTCGAAAATTCAAAAATTTTCGCATCTTAATTTTGCATCAAAGGGGTGTATAAGTGGTTAAAGCTTCATTAAATCGTGCATACATACTTTTCGACTCACACAAAGACGTGAAACTTCAAGTCTTGCTAAATTTTCAAAGAAAGTTTTTATAAGTTTGAAGTCGTAATTATATTAAAAATTCTAATATTATGATTCTTTCGAATCACTTTTGATCAATCGTAAGTACTTAAGATACTAAAATGAGCTTTTTTTAGGGGAAAAATTGAATCGAAAATTTCTGCGTTGCTTATTTTTGCTTCTAGTTATAAGAAAATTTTTGTTACTTTGTTGACATTTTTCTCCTATTTAATAGTTAACATCTTTTTAAATGGCATCCCCAGACAATTCCAAATCAATATCAAGCAGCCATTCGATTCCATTTTCAAAGCCCTCGAGAGATGCGTAAGTATTCAGGATCTCTTTTTACTTCCTGGATTCTTCTCTTAATTTATCATCTGATTATCAGACGAGTTGTTTATTTCTTTGTTTCACTTAAATTTTAGCTTTGAGGATATGACAGCATTCACCCCACCGGTAGAAAGTTGGATTATAAAGTACCCTAAGAAAGAGCATCAGGATTCACGAAAGCCTCGTCGCGTACCAAAAGAAGAAGAACTCGAAGATCCGTGCAGGAAATACATCGAAAGTAGCGAGATTCCAATAAAATCGAACAAGTCTTTAGGAACTGACGATCATTTCAAATCAGCAGTTTGTTCCAAAAATCTCTTGAAAGCGTGTGAGAAAATTATGAGTACAAAGGATTTCTCGAAGCATCCAATGGAAGACGGCGACGAATTTGATGCTGAGCTCTCGCTCATGAATGAAAACAGTAGAATGGAATATTATCGACAAAAGCATTCAGCACGTCGTGGCTCGCAATCGTTGCCTGCCTCTCCAAAGCTTGAACGAAAACAAACGCCAGAACCGAAAGTTGTACATCATAATCCATATTTCACTATCCCTAAACAGGAAGAGAAACGAGAATCCAATCTTTCGTTTCTCACAAATCTTTTTGGAATCACGGCAGCTAAGCCTGCAGAAGCGAAAGCTAACATGGCTCAAAAGTATGAATATGAAAGTAAACATGAAGCCAACAACAACAATAACAATAATAACATCAGCAAGGAAACATCAGATCAACCTCAGCGCACTCGCAAATTAACACCGAAACCTCACGAATATCGTGAAATGAACATTTTTTCTCCGACTTCCATGTGAAGCGTCAATACAAAAGATATCAACAATCTAATTTGTGTTATCTGTGAAGTTTAATTACTCTTTTTCTACTTTCTTTTTTTGATTTGATATTATAATAGTATTTAAAAGTTGATGGGATTGATTTTTTAGAATTTGAATTGGGAGTCGCATGATTTCTCAAAAGTGTATAGAATTCGAGGATTTTTATTATTATTAATCCCTCCTTTATTAATCAATATCTATTAAAAAAAATAATTTTCTTAGATCATAAAATTTCAATGTTGTTTCGTTAATCCTTTAATTAAGTATTTTCTTTTCTTTCATCTAACTTCCTTTAATTTGTTTGTGGAGAGGAATTTCTGATGATAAAAATAATTTTTTTTATGGCATGAGTCCAAAATTTTGTTTTTTTCTCTATTTGAAAGTTAATAACTAATTCATTAGCCGGCTTTTTTCTTGATGAATTCTTAATATGGAGAGAAACTTCAATTCTTAAACAAAGGAACAAAAGTATTCGATATTTCTTTCTTCTTTTTATTATTAATATAGCAAAAATAGAAAATAAAAGAAGACAGGAGCTTCAATACTTCATTATCTTACAATAATAATCATTTCTTGATGAATGTTTTTTTTCTTGCAATTAGTAAATAAGGAAAAGTAATTGAAATTGTTTGTTATCCACAAGAAACAAAGAAATAAAGTTTGTGTAAAGTGAAGCATATATAAAAGACAATATCTTGGATAATTTATTTTCCTTCTTTATTTCTACGTGATTTTAAAAATTTTCAGAAAAACAAAGGGACCTCTAGTCCCACTATAAACTTTGGACAATCACTTCAATATGACACACTAAAATAATTTGTAAAAATTTAATTTGGATTACTACGTATACGATACAACGATGAAACAATGAAATCCTTTAGCAATATGAGATTAATTGTTGGATTTAGCTTTCGCTTCAGCCAAGCTTTTCTCATTGTACTCCTTGTGCCAGTCAAGATTCATCTTTTGAACACTTTCTCCTCTGCTGGCAGCATTTTTACCACTCCATACCATTGCAACACATGCTAATGCTGTTAAAACCATCATAATATTTGCTACACGAATACGTATTTTGTTTCTTGTTCTTTCCATCACATCTTGGCTGAAATAAATTGTAGGTTGTGAGAAAAAAGATGCAATCAAGGTTAAACAAATCTCTAATCATGTTACCTTACGTGACCTGGGACTTCATCAGCATTCTTGTACTTTCCAGTCCACACAAGCATCTGGAAAAGAAAATGATAAAAAAACAATTACAAAAAGAGGTCAAAGGTGATGTCGAAATTTAATTTTAATTATTACCTTACGTTCCAGTGCATCTACTTTATGTGTTGCCTTTGATTGCGACTTTGTGTCTGAAGTTCTTGGTTGTGGAGTTTCTGTTGGTGTGCAAAAGGCACGTGCACTCCTATAAAATCCCGAGTATAACAAAGAACTTCGACGAGTAATTGTATTGATCAATTGTGATGCCATTATGTGATATTGCTTAAGGATATTGCTAATAATAAAAGAGATGAATATTTAATTACGCTCGCCACAAAGAAACTTTTTATGCACCAATGAGAAACTGCAACTAATCTAAGTTTCAAACTTGTATGGCTTGGCGTTGTTGTTTACAAGATGCAAGTCACGTAGCTTAATTTGGTATGGAAAATGCTTGTAAAGAATTTTATCAATTTTTTGGAGAATTAGGTAGTTTAAATCAACTTTAATGTGTATTGAATTGGAAAGTGAAAGTTTGATAAGAAGAGGTTTTTGAACTCTGTCTAGCGATACAAAATAAGTTAATCCAGATAAAATGCTTTATCCTTGAAAAAAAATCTCTAATGTCATTGTATCAAACCAGTCCAATGGCCTATCAAGGTCAAATGAATTTAAAATGCTTTAAATTATAATAAAATTTGGCTCACCAGTGGATTAAATAATCAGATGCTAAAATTTTTTCTTTAAAACTAACAGAGGAATTGCACTTGTTTGCTTTCTAATAAAAGCTTTTGCCGAAACTTTTCTTCCACAGGTTGTCCTTTATGCAATGTTATCAACGCAAGGGACACGCTTAAAATAAGATTTGTTTTCAAATCAGTGAAAGATTTTATGCAAGAATTAACACCGCAGTAGGGATGATTATATTCACTGAAGTTTAAATTTAGAATACACCAACAAACCGTTGCTGCACGTTGAAACTTGTTAAGTTTTCAGTTTTAAAAGTCGTGAGTATAAAAACAGCTTCGATCAGCTTTAATTTTTATTTGTAAACAAATCGTTAAATTTTATTATTCTATTGGTACCGTTGCTTCACATGGCAATAAATTCTTCATTCAATTTTCAGGAATGGCATGAGATCCAGTTTTTTAATAAATAAATCTAGTTATTGAGAATCTTAATCACAGGTGATGATAACTTCTTCGACTATCGATTCTTTTTCTTCACTCCAAAGCTTGTAGTAGTCATTAATTGGATATTTTTTCTCATACCCACATCTGTTGCATTTAATGATCCCAAGAGATTCTTCAGTTACTGATATTTCGCTTGTTGTGGGTGTTAAAAATATTGAACATCGTTTACAAAGATCTCTTTTTATCGACGAATCTCTATAATTTAAAAAGAAAATATTCAGTTATCTTGTTAAGATACAAAAATAGTTAGCATTTACATTTTAAGAACAGATTTCTTCTGAAGTTGTTTCATGAGGCTTCCATAATAACATGCGAGTGAATTATTTTTTCCGGCCATTAACTTATTAGCCTGAAGTAAAAAGTTGACACGTTGGAATACTTCTTTGTTGTGAATAGTTTTTGCTTTTTTTACTGACATTGTGCCGCTTTTAAATAAGAATTCAGAGTATCTAGAATGAATTTTTAAAAATCAAAACAAAAGGTGTGCGCAACTTTGTAGTAGAGACTGTGAAAATGTTTTTAATATACCGAGTTAGACAGTAGATTTTCGTAAATAAAACCCTGCAATTTTAGAGAAAAGAAGCCAACAAGCGATTCGCTAAAAATAAGCTTTAAAAATCGTATTAAATCGCAAAAAAAGTTCGGTAAATCGCAATTTGTACTATGGATACAAAAGTTTTGATTGAAACTATAAAGCTTTATCCTACATTGTACGACAGAAAGCATTCATCCATCAATATAGAGCATAAAAATTTAATTTGGAATGAGATTTCCCAAAAGATTGATCAACCTGTAGAAAAGTGTAAAGCAAAGTGGAGGAATCTTAGAGACAGTTATCAAAAGGCAATGAAATGGAAACATGAATTGGAAGCAATCGGAAAATTGTCAAGTTATCATCCTTATAAACATGAATATTTATTAGAATTTTTAGAAGTTAGACCAAAAAGAAAAATCTCTGATGGATCTAGACGATCGAAATTGTAAATATTATTGTAACATTTATCATGAAATTTCAATAGTTTTTATTTTAATTCTTTCCTTCTTCATCAGCAAAGTTTCTAACTATATGCTTAAAAAGCAAAAGTTAGAGGATTACAATACATCTCAAGATGCTCATGGACTATCTTCACATGCTGTAGAGTTTCTCGTTGAAAATGAAAAGCAAAATATTCAAAATGATGATTCGAATGCAGACATTGTTGAAGCTGTTGACGAACAAGACCAATACGAGGAAATTACTGAAGAAGAGCAAATCTATCAGGAAACATCTGAGCACCAGGAAGAGAGTGTCGATAGTAACAATAAAGTAGAAGAAAAACCATTCCTTCTGAGCTATGATTGTGCTCATGAAACTGCTCTACAATCCTCAGAAGAAACGAGAGAAGAAATAACATATCAAGATACTTATCCTAATGAATCTGAAACATCATACACATTAGAACTTGACTCATGGTTATCAGGAATAAAAACAACTCTTATGACACTGCCAAAATTATTACAAGCAAGGGCAAAAAAGCAAATTAATGATTTAGTGAGTGATTTCGAAATCAACTATCTAGAATCATTAGATCAGAGATAAAAGTTTAAAATATTATTATTTCAAAATAATAACATTGAAAAATAAATGATGGCGATATTCTTCATATTATTCAATTCTCACAGATTTTCTGTAAATAAAATTTAATAGGTAAATGACCGTTAGAAGTTTTTTTAAACCATGCTTTTCTTCGTTAGTATCAGGGATAGGCAGTGAAAATGCCTTGCATACCCCGCAATATGCAAAAATTGTGAATGTGAAAATAATAAAAATCATCTAATTCCTTTGAAAAACGAAGTTACCAAATTATTATAATGGGAGGAAAGGCTAAGCAAGCTCAAAGGACAAAGGGAAACTTGAAAGTAAATCGGAATATTATTTTAATGACCATAATCCTGATTTTCTTCTTAAAATTGTAGCCTGCAAGTTCATCAAAAGCATCGGAACAACTCGACACTTTAAGTTTTACTCCTTTAGATATGACAATAACAAGCTCTATTGTTAGTGGGTTTACGGAAGATCCATTTGACATTGATTCTAGAATCGATCCTAATTTTCAAGTAAGATATTTCTTGCTTTCGTCGTCGTTTTGCATTTTTACATTTTATTTACTTCTTACGTAGATGGTTCTTCGTAAAATGGGAAAGAAAGATCCAACAACCAAAATAAAAGCATTAAAGGAGTTTATTGATCTTGTGGGTCAAGCTGATAATGATACTTTAACAGCGGTATTGCCATTCTTTCCAAAAGTGTACATTCAGCTAAGTTGTGATGTCGACGCTCGTGTAAGAGAAAGTTCACAAAGTGCTCTGCAATCAATTGTCAACAAGGTTGGAAAGAATCTTGCAATGATTCTTAAACAAATCTTTCCAGCGTGGGTGTGTGGACAATACGATACGCATCCGACAGCTGCCAGTATTGCAACGAATTGCTTCGAGAAGGCTTTTCCAGCAAAGAAGATCAGCGATGTTTTCGTTTTTTGCGAGACGGAAACCTTGGATTATATCACAAAAAACCTCACGGTGCTCACTGCTCAAACAGCATGCAATCCTAAAATTTATTCACCCGAAGAATGTGAAGCGAAATATCAACGAATTGTAATTTCAAGCTTACGAGGATATGCTTTGTACTTGGAAAAGATGTCATCGGATAAATTAGAATCGTCAATGAACAAGAATTTTCTTCTTATCGAGAATGACCGATTTTGGAGTTATCATAAGAGTAAAGTTCCTCAAATCAAGTCCGCTTTCTTTGAAGCTCTTTCATCTTTACTTCAACACGCATCATATTTGTTAGTGAACTTTGAAGAACAAATGACTGCGATTGTGTTCAAATCAATTGATGAAACCGATGCAGCTTTATTGTCACACATATGGACGTGTGTCGTTCTAGTGCAAGTGAAGGTTGAGAATTGGTATAAATATGTGAACTTTAACAAAGCAGTTTTTCCGAAATTGTGGAAAATTCTTCACTCGTCGATGTGTCCTTGTGTGATTTTTCCAAATCTTTTACCATTTCTTTCAAAATTCAACAAGTCTGTCTTACCAGACGATCAGCTTCAAATATTTTATTTGAAGTTTTATGAAAACATCAAGTTTGGGTTAATTAACAATCAAATGGGAAAATCAGAAACATCAGCAGTGAGTTCAGCTTACTTTGAAACTCTTCAATATATCATCATTCAAATAGCAAACGATAGCGAGTCGATTGAAACTGATAAACTCAGTTTTTGTCTTGGTCTTCTTGACGAACATGTCATTGCTGTGATTTTTTGGTGCATCAATGCCGAAGGCTTCTTCGGAAAGTTTGTGTTTCATCACATAGCGAATATGATAAATTATTTCTCAAAAACTTCATCAACATCGAAGATCTTTGAGAGTCTTTTAAATCGATTTTGGTCGGAACTTTATCAGGTGCTCAGTAACAGTTTAGAAACAACAACAAACATTGAAAAGATTGCAAACAGTCATGTCGAGCTTATCAAGAGTATGAAGAGTTGTCAACAAAGAATTCGAACAACGAAGATTAAATTTGATGATGTTGTTGAAGATTCTCCGTCATCGTCGCCAACAAAAGTCGTTGAGAACTCAAAGAATCGAGCTTATGAAGACGAACTTAATAAACTTGTTTACAAAATCTGCAATGTTTACACTGAACGAATCAGTTCAACTCATGAGATTGGATTTGTGGAGAACTTGGAAATTTTAATTAAAGAATATCAATCGGAAGAACTTTTCAGACATCTCGCCAAATGGAACAATCCAGATGAAGTTGACATCTGTTCATTATACGACACATTTTCAGCTTGGTTGCTTGTGAAAGAGTTGAGATGTGAATCGATTGTTGAAATCATTCTCGTACTTTATAAATATTTGAAACCATCAGAGAAAATTGATTTATTAAATCGTTGGATTCGCGTTCCATCAGTTCAAAGTTGGATCATCATGAGAGCATTGAGTTATCCTTTATGCATCGAACCCGACATTTCAAAACTCTTGCAAATGCAGGAAGTCAAAGATCACATGATTCATTGTGCACGACAAGCATCGAATGGAATTTACAAAGAAAATCTTATAATCCTTCAGAAATATTTCTTTCAAACTGAGGACAGTCAAAGTAATTTAATAGATTCTGAGACTTGCGAGAAAATCATTGAAATCATGTGTGAGCCATTAACTGATGTTGCAAGAATTTCACAAATGGATCAGTGTGGAAGTTTCCTTGCCCAAATTTTGCCAGTTGTTTGTGCTGACTCTGACAAGAAATCACTTCAAGAGAAAATATTTCTTGCATTGTATGAGTTCAGTATGATAAAAGAAGTTTCTGATGATTTATCTGAAGATACGCTATGGGAAGTGACAACAGCATGGCAAGATGCATTATCAAGTAGAGATCTCATCCTCGACGAATTTCTTTTAAATTCTTGCACAAAAATCATTCAAAATAAACTAGAAAATCTTTCTATGGAAAAGATTTCAATGAATGACATGGAGAGAGTTGCGGAAGTTGGATCAAAGTTAATTATGTGTTCAACAGAACAAGAAACGCCAGATGAGAAGAAAAAGATTGTCGATATGTTAATTAAGAAGATTTTGAAGCATAATGAAGATGAAAATGTGAATTACATGGAAAATCTTTGTTTGTGCATTGAACTAATGCATGGCGATATCATTTCGACGACAATCTTTGACACTCCACCCATGAACTTTACAAACACCTTGGACACTTTCTTAAAGCATAAAATATTCAATCTTGATGTTATCACGAAGTTGAGTTGTAATATTAAGAAAGTTTCCAAGCAAATGATGAAAGTTGAAGACGATAATGATGACGTTGAACAGCCGGGATATGAAATTGAATTTTCTGAGCTTCAAAATCAAGCTTTGGAAGAAGAAGCGACTGAGGATTACTGCGATATGGATGAGAATCTATTAAAGGAATGGAGCGATGCCATTTATGAAAAGTTTCACGATATTTGTTATAGTGAATCGATTTTAAATGTCATTTTAACACGTGGAAGAAACATACAAAGTGAACTTGAGAATTGGATAATTTATTTGCAAGAACGGCTTGAAACTTTAATGAAGAATTTACCGGAAAACATCTCAGTGATAGTAAAGGAAAAACTTTTTGAGTTGGCAAATGTTCGTGGTGGCTTTTGGACGAGATCTTTGATGAATCTTCTAAACTTGAAATGTTATAACGTTGAAAGTGGAATTTCACTTCTCCTTAATGATTTATCAAAGCCGTCGAGTCAGGATGAGATTACCAACAACTATTTGAACATCATTCAGTCATTCTCAGAGCGAATTGATAAGAAATCTTTGACAATTGCTTCAAACTTGTTTGAAAATCATTCGAATTTAATTGTGAAAGTTTCAATAATTCGTAGTTTGATGAGAAATCATTTGAATGTCGGCGACTTTAATGAAATGAATGACAGAAGAATCGTTGGAAATGCTTTAAATTTAATGAATGAAATTCTTTCAAAACAAAAATCGGATCCATTTTTATTGTACAACAAAGACATCTCGATGGATGGAGAAGAAAGTATTTTAATAGCATGCGAGATTGCCAACTTCTTGTCAGACGTTCTTTCGTATTTTCCTAATGAAGTTGATGTTAAACGATGGGATTTCATTCGAATTGCACTCAGTTCGTGGGTGCTTTCAGTATCAAAAAGTTGTCACAAATTCCATGAAAACAAAGTGAAAATCTTCATCTCTTCAATCTTCAGACTCAACGCAACACTTTTTAAGTTCATCACAATCGAGAAAACAAAAAGTTCAACTGAAATTCTTCAAAACGTCATCGATGAGTGGGAAAAAGTTTTCGCAAAAGAAGTCAATTTGGTGCTTATAAAATCTTTTATTCTCATCATCAAACAACTTGGTGAGTTCACAAAACTTTTTTATTATTTTAACTTGCTCGTAGAAAATTCTCAAAAATGTTTTATCATTCAAATTGTTGAAAGTTTTTCTTGTACTAAGAACAAACTCAAGTCGAACTTAAATTATTATTTATTGTCGTACGGATCCAATCGTGATAAAAACTAACACGAGCATGAGCGTCGGGAAATCTAAGAAAAGAAAATTTAATTTGTAAAATTAAGATTAAGGAATGAAATTTGCTTTACCCAACGGCACATGGAACTCCCCAATTAACCACAGCTACAACTTCTTCATTATACGTTAATGGTGATCCACTAGAGATTTCAATGAGTTAAATTCTAATTTCAAAACATTGTTAATCTAACTTACGAATCGCCATTACAAGCTCCTTGTCCCTTTTGATTAAATGTGCAAACATGACCGATATCAATGCCGTTACTTCCATCGTGAAGTCTCTTGCATTCAGTGTAATTAACATAATTCAGGTCAATATTATGAAGGCGGTTTGGCGATTTTCCTCCAGCTGAAAGCCGACCCCAACCTGTTAATCTTAAAGTAGAATTTTCTGGCAGTTGTTCCCATGCAACGGTTATTGGTTGAATTTCCGAAGTGAAGTTTATTGGCTTTGACAGACGAATAAGACCAATATCGTTAGAGAACATTGGCTTGTCGTGACTGCATTGAAAATAATTCATTAATTCATCTTAACACTTTGAAATGTTCTCTTACCGACTGTGAATGAAAAACTTGTCAGGATGATAGAAAACTGAACCTTTTTTAACGTCATTTGAACCAACCATAACTTTATAATCTTTCGGTGCTAATCTGAATAATCAAAATATTTATTTTTGCGTTACAAAAATGATTAATTAATGAAATTTACCTTGCGAGACAATGTGCAGCAGTCAAAATGAATCTTTCATGAATGATTGCACCGCCACAGTTGTGACCCAAGTTACGGTATTGCAAGGAAACCTGATATGGTGCAGAACCTTCCTCAGCTTCAGTTCCACCAACAATTTTTAAATTATTCTCCGCCGAGATCAAAGTCGAAGCACCAAAAATTAAAATTATTTGAATGAAAGAAATCATTTTGAAATGCTTGCACATTTGTTTCATTACAATTCACAACTGTAAGTGATTAAATGTCTCGGAAGCTTTTTATAGTCGATGAAGCTCGTGGAAAACAATGTCAGGTAAATAACTCAACAGGTAGCTTTGCCCTCCTAGCTCCAATGATTCTTATCGCTGTAATAAAATGAAGTGAAGAATGTCAATCTGTTCTCGATTTGAATTTTTTAAGTGTTTAAAGATTCAGGGCGAATAAATTCATGTTGAGTGCTAACATAATATGAGATCATTTTTATTACTTTCTATGAATATCAAAAGACATTTCTTTGAACAAAAGTATTTCGATGTAAGGAGTTGAAAGTTTGGCCTTTGCTTTCTGAAATTAAAAGTAAATTATCAATAAATTAAGTCATGTTGAAAACTTCAACTTACTCGTAGTAAAATGTCACAAAAGCTTCAGTAAATATTTTAGTCCGGCATGTGCAAATCGCTGCGGGAAAACTGAGAATAGTTTTAAGTTCACGTGGCAAGAAATGACGAGAATTTCTTAGTGATGTCTTCACTGCTCTAAGCGAACGTTCTTTCAATGAAATCAATTCCGATGAAGTGATTGTGTGAATTTTATCAAGTAGGAAAGGAAGATTAACGAGTAATCCATTTGGAAGAATGAAATGTTTAATTTCCGGACTATTTTTAATAAAATCTGACCTTGAAAGAGAAACATTTTTAATGATAATTAATGATTCAACTTCACAAATTCTTACTGTGACGTTAAAAGATCTGACAAGTCTTCTTCGTTAATTGTGAAGAATTCGGCTGTCGTCATAAGTGGATCAATAAATTTGACTGCTTCTTGTGGAATGCAATTCAAAAGTTGATTGCCAATAAATGAAAAATTCATAATCTTCGATGAGATGATTGAAGGAATTTGAATTAAATTGCAGCCCCTGAATGAAACATTTGACAGATTTCGCATCATAAGAATATCTCCTGGAAATGAGAATAATCGCGAACAATCATCGAATGATAATTGAAAAATCTTTGGACATTCTGTCAGTTCAATTGGAATTCTCATGATGAAATTTCTGTCGAAACTTAAAATTTCCAAGTTTTGCAAGTTTTTAATTTCTGGAAAAGATAAAAATATGAAACTTTGTCATTGATGATTGAATATAAAATTCCTTTTTTCACCTGAAGGAATATTTTCAATGAAATTCCCTGACACGTCAAGATAACGAAGTTGAGTTAGTTGAAAGAAGTTTGTTGGAAGTTTCATTAAACGATTTTCTGAAATGTCGAGATAATCGAGATTTTGCAGTAAGTTTATTGAAGGTGGAAAGCATTCAATTGAATTATTTGATATGTTAATGTGTGTAAGATTGTGAAGCTTTATCAACCACTTTGGAAACTCAATAAGATTACAAAATTTTAAATAAATTTGTTCCACTGAATTCTCATCAATTTGTTCTTCATGAATCGACGAACTTTCGTTTGAAATATTACGAAAATTATAATGCAAAGCTATCGACATTTTTTTTAAGATTCTTTCGTTAATATGTTTGTGATTCAGTTGAAAATTGTTTCAAGACTAAAATTAGATCAAACAAACAAGTTTTCACGATCATCTGTAAAAGCGGAGAAGAATTTTCTCTCAGATTTTCTTGGCCTTGTTAAATTGAAACTCACGATCAAATTTCTTTTTTCTCTTTCATTTTTGGCAGATTACCAATCAAAACATCAAGAATGCTTTGTGGATTCCTTATGTCCTTCGATTGACTACATTGACTTCAACTATATTCTTCAGTCACAGAAGGTTGACAGCACATTCTCACTCAAAGATTTGATTGTGTTTTCTTTAGAAAATTTATCAAATAATTATCGGACAATTTGTGTGACTTCTGCGACGATCATTAAAAAATTGACATTTGGACTTATCAAACTTGATCAAGATGTTCTCATTCAAAGGAACAGTGAAGATGACACTGGAAGGAATGATGACGATGAAAATCTCGGCAATTACAGGTGGCACATTCTTGATACATTCCGAGATACTCTTGAAGGATATCAAGACGTGATGAAGGAATTCATTGAAGACTTCAAGTAAGAAACTTATTAAATATTTTTTTCAATCAACAATTAATTAAATTTCTTTCATAAACAGTTTCAAGTTGAGTGACATGGACGAGTTATCGAGTATTTCTCAAAATGTCGCTTTCTCGTATCTTTTACTGTGGGATTGCATTCTAAACTTCTGTTCGAAGGCACCAGCTGAATTGCGTTCGATTTACGCCAAATGGATCACTGTTCATCACTTTGAAGACGTGAGAAAAATTCATTGAAAAATTATGAAACAACAAAATTTAAAAATCTTTTTTCACAGGTTTTTCTTGTATCTTTATTCAAATTAATGCCACGAGATATCGTAAGAAATCCCGAAGCACAAATGAAATCTGGACATGTTGTGTTTTCATCGTTAGAATGGAAAGAAATTGAAGGTAAATTATGTTTATTTTTTCTCACTCCATTCGACTTGCCATTGTGGTTTTCTGTTGACATTACCGAGACATTCCATGCCTCCTTTATTCTTCTTTTTCGCCTTTTTGACAGCATCGCGTTTAGCTTTTCTCGCTGCTTTTCCTTCGGCTCGTTTAGCAATTGCTGCTAATAAAGCTTCAGCCTTGTTAAGAAGTTCACGACATTCATCGACGTCGAAGTTGACTTGCGAATTATTTAAAAATGAAATTTTTCTTTCAATTTCTTCCAATTCATCATTTTGATTATCCTTACTTTGATCAAATTCGCCATCAGAATCTTCATCACTTTCAGTGTCCTCTTCACTTTCGTATTCTTTAGTTTCCGATTCGTTTTCATTTCGTTCAGAGACTTCTGATTGATATTGGACAATTTCCAAACAATTCTTTCGCTTTCCAGCATCACATTCGAAGTTGTCATTTGAAGAGATTATTTTGAATCCACTTTCTGTAATCAAATCTTCTAAACTTGACGCTATTTTATTTGCTAGTTTATAAAATATTTGACCGATTAAATCATGTGAGTTCTTTTGTGGAACTTTTTGTTTCATTATAAGACAAATTTGAGTTAGAATGTCTTCGGTTAGTTTACTTTGCGGTTCATGACTTTCTTGTTGATTTAAAGTTGAGCATGTTAGCTTTTCGATAATGTTCTTGATATAATTTTGTTCTTCTTTCTTGCTTTGACATTCAATTCTTCGACAAAGTTTTTTCATTTTCTTTAATCTTCTTTGGGCTCTCACTTTGTTTTCAATGTTTGTTTGCTTTGTTGAACGAAAAACTTCTTCTGGTGTCAAATAATCTTTCTCGAACATTTTCTTGAGAAAACTTTCAATTTCAAAGATAGACAAATGATGGAGATGAGTTTGAAATGTTTCAAGTAGTTTGTGCATCTTAGGATGTGCTAAACTGTTTATCAGATTCGTGCATGGTGGAATTTTCTTTTCAATCCATCTTGGAAATCCTTCAGGAACTCGCTGAAAATTTCCAAGGATAAATGTACATAAAAAGTTGATTAATTAAAAAACAAAACTCACTTTCTTTGGCTTAGAAAGAAAATTCAGATAATCTTCTGATGACAAGTTCTCTCGTGACAGAACAAAATCATTCTGATGACAACATTTAGGATACTTTCGTCTCGTTGATGGATACAAAATCTTTCTAATTTTCACTTCATCTTCAACTTCTTTATTTTCATCATGTAAAGGCTTCACTGACTTCAATTTCGAGTGACATCTGTCATAGTTTATCTTTTGTCCTTGTTTTAAAGCTGATGCAAGTGAATTTGACATTTTTACTGGAAATTTTGTTTACGAAATTTAATTTTTTGTCGAAGTTTACTGAAATGATTTTCGCTTATCAAATTTGCAGATTTAAGTGTCGACATTGACAGATACGCTGCATTCCTTTATGCTGAGAGTTTAAGAACAGTTCCTGCAGTTGTTCGTAAATGGTGGCATGTGTCAAATACTCGACAAGCACAAATTGTCGAGAAAATCACTCAGAATTATGTATCGCCGATTTTATGTCAACAAGACTTGACTGTTCTCATGAATCGAAAGGAAAAAGATGGCAAAGACAACATGCAAGTAAAAGTGTTGATGCAATCCAGAGAAATTTTTGCGACTTATTCTCTCGAGGAAGCCAAAATGGAGTTGACGATTAGTTTGCCTGCAAATTATCCACTCGGTGCTATCAAAATTGAATCAACAAAGCATATTGCAGGAAAGTTCCAAGCGCGTGAGATTGTGAAACAACTTTCAATTTATTTGACACATCAAAATGGCCGATTATATGATGGAATTTCATTATGGAAAAGAAATTTGGATAGAAAGTATGAAGGGGTTGAAGAATGTTACGTTTGCTATTCAGTTATCAATCAAGATACTTGTCAGTTACCGAGACTAACATGTAAAACATGCAAGAAGAAGTTCCACAGTAAGTTCACTTCATAATTTTGAATAATTTGAAATTTATGACTACAACTTCATTTATTCGTATTTCTAGGCAACTGTTTATACAAATGGTTTACATCAAGCAATAAATCGACCTGTCCACTATGCAGAAATGTTTTTTAAATGAGGGAAACTAATTTAAATAAGTCAATTTTTCAAACTATAACTTTGCTTTGCTTTTCCAAAATTTGTGTGGTGATGAAAAAAAGTAAAAATAAATTGATTAGAGTGAAATGCTGTGCTTTGTAGTTTGATATGAAGTTATTACTTAAATAAAAACTGAAAAATTCCTAATGCGATATTAATTTTTATTTTAATTTTGATATTAAACACTAAAATTTGTCACTTGACAATTATCAATCAATTAGCTGGCATCTGGTTTACATTTTTTACTCCGAGGTTCAGGTATAATTGCATCTTCTTTGAATATGACATTGTCGAGTTTCGCTGTGTCGTTACGAAGTTTCAATTCTAAATTAAAAAATAATAATTAGAGAGAAAGTGTTAAATGGATCGGCAAATTTTGAATCAGCATCTCGTTTTTACCATAATGATCACTTTCGGGATTCTTAACAGCTTGCACCACTTGATGTTTCAGTATGTCACCAACATCCTTTCAAAGAAAAACTTTTAATATTATTTAAAAGCCTACACAAAGCAGATTTTCATTTACCTTTGCGATTTTCAATTTTTCATGAATGACTTCTTGCTCTTTGATGGTCGAATTTTTCCTAAATTCTAAATTAATTCTGTGACGAGCTTCTACAATTGCACGTTTATCTCCTTCAAAAGTCTGTTGCACAATCCTATGGAGAATTTTAAACGCTCTTAATATGTCATTTCGTGACATTTTTGATGAAACTATCGAAGGAAAAATATTTAATAAAAACAAAAACAAACTGACAGCATTTCCCACACGATTCTCACAGTATTATCAAAATGTGTCTCGACTAAAGTCAGTTAAATTTAAATTTACAGGATTATGCTGTTAGTATATGTATGACTGTTTTTTCTTAATAACTCCTAATTGGCTCAATGGATAGAAAATACCTATGTCTTGGGACGATCGATAGAGGTGGCAGACGTATATGTTTTTGTAAAAGACATCCTTTTTAAAAAATGTTTAATTGAGTTTTTCTCTGAAAAGTTTGCGGTAGTTGTGTACCCTTCATAGCAATTCAAATTTTCAGTGAAGACACATTAGCATCTGTAACGTAAACGACCAACTCCCGTATTTTGTAATAAACAACCAAACCGTTTAAAAAGCGCTTTTTCTTCGTTCTCGAACAAGTTCGTGTATTTTCGCTGAGGGAAATATTTTCCTTTTTTTTCTTTTTTCAAGTTTCCGCTCAGTTCTATTCGGAAGACCATTGTGTCAGCTGTCGTTTGGTGTTTTTGTGATTCAATCCCTAACCATGAGTGTAAAAAAGTTATGTTCGCAAGTAATTAAGCAAACAAATTTATCGTTCATTAGACGAAAATATTTTTCAAGTTCAAAACAAATTTTCAATACACATTTGCCAAATCAAGTGCAGCACACGCAATATAGTCAAGCCTTGGGCAGCCTAACAAAAGATCAGGCTCATGACTTAGTATTTCGCTTGAATGATGAGGAGCGGACGCTTTTAATGAAAACTCTCGAGCAATTTAATGTAAAGTTGGAGAAAGATGGTTTAACATGTAAGTTCCTTTGTTATTGTTTCATTAATCAACCTGATGAATGTCTGCAGTTGACACGCAGACGTCGCAAACTTTTGCCCAAATAAACTTCTCTTGTTACAATTCACAAGAAAACTTCCTTAGAGCACAAAAGTTGAAATCTAAACTTTCTTATTGCTATGACGAATAAATACTTAATTGTGTGATGCTTGGTTCACATATCTATATTTGAGGAATTGTTTAACAATTACGTCATTAGAATGTCTTAATTGAATAAACAAAGAATGTAGGAAGTACATTTTAGAGATTAGAGGAATGCTAGACGATTGAAAGTAAAAATATTTATTTAGGAACATCAACTGAGTTTCTGATGACGTAATTAAATGAATTTCCCCTATTTAATCGTTTGTTTAGACTTTCCTAAGCTCCCAAAATCCCAATATTTTCTCATTTTATCTTTATCTCGCTGTCGTCCTAACAAACCGTTTCTTCTCAATGTGACACAATGTAATCTTAATCACACAGAATGTTATTTTAATTTTGCGACACAATCTATCATTCTTCTTTATCTGATTACCCTAACATCATACAAAACAAAACGAAACAAAACAAAAGGCAATTGAACATGAATGTTTGACATGTCGATAAATGACATCGAAATCATTCAAAGGAGGACACAAGAAACTTTGAGAAACACAAATATAAACAGAGCTCCATCGCCCGACATTCTGTTATTTTTAACCATAATAATTGTTTAATTAAATTTTAATTTTCCACACAAAACAACGCATAAACACTTGTGTGATCTCGTCCACGCAATGACCTAGCTCAGCTAGCATCTTCTAAATGGCGTTCACGCTTCGGACGTCCGACGAAAATTGATCCTAATCTTGGAGAGGTCGTTGGTGGAGTTTATTGTAAAATGCCAGAGGATTGGCTTCAAAACAAAATCGGTATGAAAACATAGAAACAATTATTTTTTTTCTTTTTTTCACATTTTCCTTCCATTTTTCATTTGCGTTTGGGTCGTTGTAATTTATTTTTTTATGTCTTTTACTTCCCTTTACCCCTCTAAACAAAAAAATCATCCGGAGAAGAAAATTAGATAAACTAAATCAACATTAAGTGACGTAAATAATTCAAAATTTAAAATTTGTTTTGTGATCCACCCAACTCCATTATAAACTTTTGCATATGATTTGTTATTTTATCTGTTCACAATACAATAAATACTTAGATAGTCATGTAACTGGATACAGGTGGTCTCATGAGACTAAAACTTTTCATACATCGGTATATTCTGAATTCGAGATCATCTGTGCACATGAATTGGCCTCATATGAATGCGCATACATTTCTCTACACTAAAGTTAAGTTAAAAATATTGTTTCATCATATGTTTCGGACACACGCATCTCATTATCATTTGAGTCCTCATAAAACGTCTGTCAGACCTGCATGAGTAGCATCTTGATGTCATTTCAATTTGAAACTTTCTCTTCATGCTTTCCAACTCAAAATTTCGTGGGACAACTTTTGGAACGATAAAACTTTCTGAAGTTTTTCCTTCAAAAAAAATTCCAATTGCTCTTTAATGCGATTTTTTGAAGCATGAAACTAACTTTATATCACTTGACCTTAATATAATTTAACATCTCTTATTTTTATGACATTCGATATAATTTTCTCTTCCAAGTTTAATTTAATTTCTTTTTGTTTTTATTGATGGTGAAGTGTAGGCGGTGATAGATAAGCAGACTAATGAATAGTCACTATTGTCTGCTTCTAATATTTAATCTTAAATAATTTAGATAACCATTGCATGATAATCGATAAATAAAATTAAAGGAAAAAGCACTAATGATGATAATTATGTTAACTTAGCATTCTTAAGTGCTGAATGTTATTTATTTCAAATTTTTTCCGGGACATTTAGCTGCTGCGACGCCACCACCAAAGACCAATGACCTTCTAAAATGTAAGTCGCTGTGATTTATTGTCAGTTGAGCCTTTTAACCTTTCGTGATACCGAACCTTTTCATTCTTTCTCGCATTTTAATATTCAGTGTGTCTTATCAATTCACTGCCATTCGTTGGGTTTGGTTTTCTCGATAACTTTACTATGATCATTGCTGGCGACTATATCGAACATAGTTTGGGTCTCATCATGACAATTTCAACGATGGCAGCAGCCGCTTTGGGAAATACAATTTCAGATGTCTTAGGTATTGGTTCAGCTGTATATGTCGAACGGTTTGTGGAAATAATTGGAGTGAAGGCGCCCGACTTAAGCCCTATACAGCTTGAAATGAAATCTGCAAGGCGCGCGTCAAACATGGTATGTTTTGCAAACGCTTGAATTCACACAAGATAATTTAATGAATTCTCGTAAATATTTATCTATTTGTTCTAATTTAGGGACGCGTTTTAGGCATCACAGTAGGTTGTCTCCTTGGAATGTTACCACTGATATTTATGAAACATGAGAAAAGTGAAAAAGACGTGGAAAAGGATAAGAAAGATGCTAAGAAGGAGAACACATCCGCACCTTCTCCTCAAGTGAAGTAAATTTATTCATAAATCATCATGATCTACAATCATCCGTTACCAATCCGTTTCACATTTCACATTTCGTCATCACATTTCTTCCTTTGACAAGAAGAAAATTTATTAAAAAATAATAAGCAAGAATGATTTGACAGATGTTAATGATGATGATGATTGTGATGTGAAAAGTGAATGATTGAATTGAGCGGCAAAAACCAAAAGAAGTTTTTTATTTTCATTAGAAAGGAAGAAGAAAAATCGTTTTTCCTTTCGGATTTACGTCATTACAAAAACGCGTGAGGAAAAACAGGAATAAAGTTATTCAAGAAGAAGCTATGAAAGCTTTTCATTAGAATGATGCTTTGTCTCTCTTATGACACTTCTTATGGTTAACTTTATTCTTATAAATTTAATTAATACGAAGAAATTATAATTCTAAATCCTTTTACTCAGCGAAAGAGAAATCAAATTTTAAAGCTTTTTTTTAATTAAAAAAATGAGATGAACTTTTTAGAGACTTTGAAGTGGTTCCTAAGAATTTAAGTAATTTTTATTTTAAACTTTAAAAAATATTTTTCTATTTTCTCTATAACGAAATTTCTAAAATTCTGACTTTCTTGTAACTTTAGGAATTTAATTTTCAATAATAATTTTTTTTCACTTGTGATAACAAAAACAAAGGAAAATAATTTGCTTAATATATAAGATAAGTTCGCTTATTTAATGAAACTCTTCCACCTCGAATTTTGTCGCGAAATCACATAAAATTTAACTAATTAAAACTAATTTTAAGAGCTAGAAAAAAGGAAGAGAAGAGAAAGTTGGGTTAGTCAAAACCTGTGTCAATGACACCAATATCTAATAAAACAAATCTTTTCTGACAACTTTCTTTTATTGTGCTGTAAATAATTACATGACAACTTTTCATGATCCTTTTTTGAGTCTTTAAGACAGTGCTGAGCCTTCTAAAAGAAACTTTCTCACAATATTTAGGTTTAGAAACTTTCCTAGATGAAACTTTTTGCACCTTCATCGCACGCCAAAAATCCATCCCTTGCCTTATTCTCAATGGAAAATAAATTTTCCCAAATAAGATTTCAGAAAATTTTAGATTGTCTTATCAAAATTTATGCTTCCTGTTTTGTGCTACATTTTTCCTTCTTCATGTTTCCATGAATTGAATATTTATATAAAATTTAGATGAAAATCTTGTGGTTTTAGGCTCGTTGTTTGTTGATGTTGTTTGAATGTTTAGAAGAGATGAAGATAAGTAGAAAAATGCCGTCTCATTTACTTATAAGATATGTAGGCCTTTCCTTAGATATCTAAACTTATGTACACACACCCACATACACAAATATTGTAAAGTTCTTTAAAGAATTTTCAATGATAATTCATTTCCATGAAATAAATAATTGTGAAAATGTTCATATTTACATACTTACACCCCCGCCAATCCAAACTTCTTATTCCATGTACCTATTAAAAATGCTTGCAACAATTTTTAAGCAATAAAACAAGAAAGTTTTAAAAACATGTGCGAGAAATTTCGGATGAATGAAAAATAATTAAAACGTGAAAAGTTTAATTTATTAAAATGTTTTAATCCTAAAGAAAACTTCTGTAGTTAAGGGCACACCATTATCGTCAAATAGGACTTACCTTCATGAGCTTATTGTAGAAAATAAATCAAAAGAATTTCAACGCCGATTTTGTGGCACTGTTTGGCTTGATGATGGAGATTATTCAAATAAATCTTTCAATTCATTTAAAGACTTTCTTAATAAGATCTGAAAGTTACTTAATAAATTATTCAACAATGTTTAAATACGAGGAAAACCCCCACGACTATTTAAAGATTTCAATCACTTGCCAAACTTTGCCAAATGTTAGTCATAAACTTTACATTCAGTATTTCGAAAGCTTATAGGCGAAACATTAAATCCTATTTGTAGATTTTATTCTTCTCTCGATTGAAGAAATATTTTATTTGGAAAACATCAAAAAAAGGGAAATCATTGAAACAGAAAACTTTAAAAAGAAATAAAGATTGTGAAAAGAAATAAAATTTATGCTGTTTGTAACTTTAAAGATTTTTACAGGATTCAACTTGTTGATAAATTTGCTTATTGAGAGAAGATTTTAATGATGTTAGTAGTGTAATATGCTGAAGTGCTACGTAGAAAACATGCGTGCAATACGCCTGAGTTTCTACATAAAGCATTTCAGAATGTCGCAACACTTTCATCGCGATCATCCTTTTGGAATGGGGATGATCATAACTTTTAAGGATAACTCTCAGCCTTTTGATTGGCTGAGAGAAAAGTAAATTTATTATAAAAGCAACGAGCACTTCCTAAGGGGGTTTCTTCTTTCAAAAAATAGTTTTGTAATAACAAAATAGATAGCAAAAATTCTAATAAAACAGCTCATTAAAGTAAAGAAAAATTCAGTGTTCTCAATCTTAGTTAATTTCAGCAGTGAAAGTGATTCGTGAAGATAATTCCCCCAAGATGAAAGAGAATCGTTACAGCAGTGATAAGGTACAGGATCGTGTTTTCTAGGTAATAACTGGAGATTTTCATGAACACCTGCTTCCAGCTCCCATTTGATAACGTGGTAAAAGAGTGAGAAGTTTATTGCTTTGTTCCGGGAGGTATCAACAACGAAACCATCAGTTGAGGTGCTAATATCAGTCACAGTATCAATCGAGATTATTGGAGTCGGAATGGTTATCAGAGAATTGTCGTGAATTCCACAGAGTTCTGTTGAGTTTGATTGAGGACCCATAACTGTCTTTGAACGAATTGACGATAAGATGAAGAATGAAAAGGCGGTTGTAGCGATAATGCAGGCGTAAGAAAGCATTAGGATTGTCGTGAAGTCTAAAAACCTTTTTGCGATTTCAAGTGACGGCATAAGCAACTCAAGTTCCGTATATGTAAACCAACCTCGATTAAAACCTTCTTTCATTGCTAATAATTTTTCAACAGTCTTCAACTTCTCATCAAACTCATTTTGTCTCACTAAGATGTTCCATTTTATCGCATTTAAGAATTTAATTTCCAATTGCGCTAAACGTTCAACGTCAACTTTTCCTTCTTTAGCCCAGGCACTTGTGAATACATTCATTTCATCATAATCGCTGTAGAATTTAGCTGAGACCATCTATGAAGAATGATAACATTAGGAAAGTTCATTGAAGAGAGAAAATTAGACTTACCAGAGCAACGAGAAACAATTCCGAAGGACTTACAAGCTTAACAAACGCAGGATCCAATAAATTTATTCTATCAAGATAGATCATAGCCAAGATAAGGGTACAAGGTGTTTGTTGGCGAATACGAGAGATCTCATCTAATTCCAGTGTGTTGAGCGAGTAATTACGATGGTTTTCGTTGAATGAATGTGATACGTGAACAGCAAGTGGATGCGACGTCATTCTGTTTGGATTCGATGGGCCATAATAGAACGTCTTTTTTATTCGGGTTAAGAACTCTTTATGATTTATTGACATTGGCTGTAAGCATTAAACAAATTAAATATTTAGTTAAATAACATATATGTAAATGAATGAATGAGTCATACGACTCTAAAATTAATTTTACCTTTTCGGAAGAAGTTTTAAGCTTCTTGCTCTTTTCGAACAACGAAACCATTGCTCTGCTTTGTTCCTATTTAATTGTTTTATTCTTTATCCTTTATTTTATTTAAAGCACTATGATAATAAAGCTATTGGTTTTATTTATTTAAAGAAAATACAGAAATATTCACTCGAGTTCAATTTGGTAGTTGTACAGTGGAATTTCGATAAACTAATGGTCCTAAGGGAACAAAACAAAATTAGTTTATGGAGCTTTCTCTGTAGTCCAAAAGTGTCTAAACTAATCATTATAGTAGTAAGGACTCAAACCATTCTTAAACAAGACCCTGCCTTTTGAAAATTCACAGTAAAAATTTAACGGACGATGAAAAAATTTTCTAGTAATTTTCATTAATTTATTAAAATAACTGCAGATAATCTTGCTTATAAGCAAGAAATGAAAATATATGACTGAATACTATTATAAATGATAATTCGTAGGCTTGATTTTTCATTTATTATTGCTTCTATATTTCTTCAAATGATCCAAAATATTATGCTATACTTATTTACTCATGAAAATCTTAGTAAAAAGGTTTATGAACATAAATTTAGAGATTACCTATATCAAGTCAATCCTAAACGAGTAAAAAGAAAATTTTAAATAATTTTTGATGGCTTTAATTCAAATGGGGCCATAAATATAACAAAAAATATTCCATACACTTTGGTTGATTAGAAAAATCATCTTAAATTATTCGTCATCGATCTTTTTAACTCTTCATAATACTCGATTTTAAAGCTTCTGAATTCGATACTTTTACGAAAAAATATTGATAGCTAAATTGTGATCCAAATCGCTATTAAAGCACTCACTGAAGTTTACGAGTTGCGTGAGAAATATATTGAAATGATTTTCGAAACATCGCTTACCAACCCTCCAATTCGCTTGATTGGCGAAAACAATTTCATCGACATTAAATTCACCAAACAAATCATCTAGACAAGGCCGTAAGTTTCCAAAAAGATTTATTACCTTCAATAAAGTTTACAGTCATCTCACGATACTCGGAATCGTCACTAAGGCGTGAGGTTTACATTATAATCACAATATCGAATCATTTTGATTTCATTTCATGAGATGTCTCATCGTCATCGTCATTGTGAAGGCTTTTAATGCATATTCATTCCTTTAAAGAAAACATCAAGGAATTTATTTTGACTGCATAATTCCTTTTTGCTCTATTATCTGCATATTCCACACGATTGGCTTTGCCTTCATTTCAATAGAAAATGTTGAAATTCGATTCTCAAACATTTTTACCTAATAAATAAAAAAATGACAATTTTTTGGGAGTGAATCTTGAATTTATAAGTTAATTTCTGATTGTTCATTAAGTTGCGAAAGCTGCAAGGGAATTTTGAAGAAAAATAGTGAGACTAAGATTTTATTTCATTAATTATCATATCAATACAATTTCAATAATTGGTTTTCTTGCACCACGATTATTTACAAACATTTTTAATTTCATTTGACAGGAAGTTTTTTTTTTATTATTGAGTGAATTTCATTAAACATCTTCAATGATAATTATTTAATTAAAAAATAATGTTTAGTTAGATATTGTAATTTCAAGTTTCATAGCACATTTCTTCACTTGAAAATTATGCATCTGAGATTTCTTTAAAAAAAATCAAAACATCCTCCTCTTCATTAATTCTCATAAAATCGAAGGCATTTGACATCGGTAAAACTTTCTTGACAATTTGCAAAACTTTCTTTATTGATGCGCAACGATTTCATATGTTTAGTGTTCTCGCGTAAAGCTTTGCAGACTTTGGCATCAACTCTGATCACTGGTAGATCCAAATGATGCAGTTTCATGCTTGTCAACAACTTAACAATGTCAAAATTTATGATAGATTTAACATAGATTTTTTTTATGGTCATTGTATGTACATTCGGATTGTCGGCTGCAAATTCTTTCCAGTCAGGGATAACATCCAAACCACCTATGGTAATTGATTGTAGGCTTTGCGATTTTATCTGGTTTACATTAGGAGAATATTCACAAAGTTCTAAATGTGTCAAACGTGTTAACACATTTGAAACTATATGCAAATCGGTAGGATAACCTGCTCTCAACATTTCAACATTAGGAACGTGCTTAAAAAATTCTTTTAAAGCATCTTCGCTTGTGTCTATAACGTTAGAAACATCTAGTATTTTAATATTTGGATTGACTTCAAGTCGCTCATATAGAGACAGGTCATTGGGAAATTCTCCACTAAAGAATGTCAATGAAGTAAGTCGTCTAGATTTTGCAAAAATAAATTCAAAGACGAAATCGGGCAATGAGTAACCAATTTCCAACTTTTCAACTGTATCCGAATGGAATTCCAGAAAATTCATGAAGTTAGAGTGATCGAGCGTTTCATAATTGTAATAAGGAGACAAGTAAAGTTCCTTCAATTTAAAGGGAATGTTTACAGTAGCAATAGGAATTCTGAAGAGTTCAACAAGGAAATGTCCAGAATATTGTAACATAAGACATTTTAAATTATTTTGATTGGTCAGAAAGTCCAAAAATATCTGCACATCATGCTCCTTGCTGTGATTCTTAGGACATATTTCAAATGAATTGATTTGGGTCTTTTTAAAATACTTCATCAATTCAAAATCACTTCGAACTAACTTTAGTCTTCCTAATTTTTGAAGATGAGGCAAATGATCTTCGAAGAAATTGTTTGCGAATCTACCTCGAGTATTTGAATTCATTATGCTGACTTCTTTCAAATTCGGCATGAAACTCAATATATCACAAAATATAATGAAATTGCGGAATTCTCCACTATCCATAACTAATTTCTGAATTCTGCCTCCATGTTTTTCAAAAATTTTCATTAATCGAATGTTTCTCATCTCAATGTAGTTAACACACCGAATTGACTTGAAATTTCTGTTACTTTTAAAGATGACATCAACCCATGGCTCTTCAATTTCTTTTTTGCTTCCAAATTTCAAGATCAATTTCCAATCCATTCTGGAGGATATTTCATTCCATCTGGAAACACATTTAAAACATGCTTTCAGCAAATTGTGAAATTAGAAGAAATATTAAAACTTACTTTTTGCATGTAAGTGCAGCAGCTTTTAATGACTTAACATTTAGAAAGCTTAGGATTTTTGCAACTATTTCGTCTGGAAGATGATGAACTGTTATTTCCTTGTTAATTGCTTCCATTTTAAATAATAAATCCAGAAATAAACGTTATAACCTTTCAAGAATTGAGTTGGAGTATTTCGTTGAAAATTCGTCGAAAGCCTCCTTCGTTCAAATAAAAAGTGAAACCCAAGACACAATTTGATGGTGTTTTAGAACATGGAAAGATGACAAAGGGGTCAAAACTTTTAATTTCATTTGAACCGTTACAACTAAATCTTTAAATAATTTGGAAATATTCCATTGTTTCATAAAGATGTCCTTAAGACATGTTACTTTGGTATTCATAAAACCGCAGAAAGAATTTCCTAGTTTGGAAAGAGTTTCTCGTAAACGACATCAACGCAGAACAGCATCGTAATGAAAGACATAATGATGGAAAGAGAAGAAAATGTTTCTATTCAACAGGATTGGCTTTCCCTTCATTTTGATAAATATAAAGTATTGCAATTCGATGTTGATACATTTTTAAATCAATATTAAAAGATGAAAACCTTGACAGATGAAAAATTTGCTTAGAAAATCGCATTTGTATTCGAAGAAATTAAGATTCTGCTTTTAATATGAGATTGGTTTTATCAGTAAAAATAACGATAAAAAGAATTGTTCGAGTTTTACGAGATTTAATTAAATTATTTATCTATCCACAAAACTTAATTAACTATCAAAAAAAAGAAGATTAAAAAACTGTAAAGTTTTGATAACAATTCTTTTTAAATTTATGCATTAAGTACAACCCAGGTGCAAGATTTTTAACGACAATCACAGATATTATAAAAAAAAATGGGAGAATAAAGAATAAATTTAAACAAGTTTAGTTAAATTGAGAAATGAAAGTCAAGAGATTGACCCAGAAATTAACGTCGATTCGATTATTGTTTCATTTATTAAGTCTAAAGCTTTAGAAAATATCAAGAACCATAAAAATCAGCTTATCTCTTGCATGCTGACGAAACGGGATTCTCTCTTAATGATTGAAATAAAATCTTTGAAAAAACCCTTCCCATCTCAATAAGACCGAGAGAAAGCTCTAAACATAAATTTTGCATGGTCTGCATGGTAAGAGTCACTAAATTTAATAAAAAATAAGATCCCGACTTCAATGTGGCGTGACATATATGAGTACATAAACGTAAAAAAAACGAATCAAGTATTTGAGTTTATGCTTTAAATCTGAAACGAATGAAGAGAATGAAAAAGCTTCATCACCTCGTAAGTAGTAGATACAGGCTTGAGATATTCTCTGTAAAATTGTATAAAATTCCCATTAATCATTTTAGGATTTGATACTGAAGGTTTACTTCCTAAGACATCTCCGAAAATTTATCCCAGTCTCAACTTTTTGTTTGGAAACGCAATTGACTGTGGGTATTCGTCGTGACAGAAACAAAAAATTGCAAGCAAAATAGATAATAAATGTCATGGTGCAAGTTAAAGCAGAAAAGTTCTTTGGTGAAATTAACAAAACTTGAGTTCCGTAATGAAGTTTTGTTGGTTTTTAAGACTTCATGAATCGTAAAATGTTATTATAATTATCAACATAACGTCAGACATTTAGCTTCTGACTATCAGGAGCATAGTTGAGAAACAGTCTGCGGATAAATACAAATTTTCTTTATGACTTTCAATGATACCTTATTCAACTTATCTTTGCAACATGCAATGAATATGCAGAATAAAATTTTTGTCTGTTCTAAAGATTTATAAGACATGATTTGTTATTAATTTTCAAATTTAATTATTTTATGTAATCTTAAATTGAATCTAATTGGATATTTGTTATTGCTTGTACTGCACATGTTAGATTAATTAGTATGTAAATTTGTAAATGAAGAATATTTGGGAAATTGATACAAATGCAATTAATACATTTTCCCACAGTATGCAGACTATCAGTACGTTGTCAGCTCAAGTGAAGCTTCCAATAAGAGTTTAAAACTAAATACATGACAAGCCAATCAGATTTAACTTGATATAAGATTCGTTCGTAAGTTATGTGAAAATTAACTCACAAAGTAATCTGAATATTCATTGAATTTGTTAATGCTTTACATCTTTTACATCTTTTAATTATAAATCGAAATCCTCGAACAGTCTGATTGTTATTTCATGTTCATTCATAAAAGTCATTTCGTTCAACATGCTTCAGTTTTAACTAACTAAATATGTCCATTTTAATTTAAATAAATTAACAAATTTTTGATCAAATTGGAAAAGCTTTGAATGGGAAAACGATTTTTCCTTTTATTTCTACTTTTAACTCGTTGAGAATTCTTGGTAATCCAAAAGATTACAAAATAAACAGAAAGGATTTCTGAAGAACAGAAGTTCCGATTCTCTCCCACTCGAATTAATCTTCACTGCTACTGAAACAAGATTAAATTAGTTCAACAGTTTTGAATGCAAATAAATTTTTCATCTTTTAACTTGAAACTTTTTTACTATTTTTTTATACTCCCATGAAATCTTTTGAAATTTTTCGTTTTGTTTTATTTTTCAAGGTTCTACAGTTTCGTATCAGATTGTTATATGAACTTTTCTTGTTCCCTCAATTAACAGATTAGCAGATGAGTTCCCTTCATAGTCTTATCATTCAGTTGAAGCTTTGAGGTATTTTGAATGTGAAAATTTAATGTTCTTGTGAATAAAGAAATTAGATGCATTGTATGATGAAGAAATATTTTTATTTCATTTGAAGCTGCAATTATTTATGCTCATTGCATAGCGTATGAGAGAATGAGCTTCAAATTTATGTATAAATTATGCAGATTCAGCTTTAAAGAAACTCACGACTTTCTCAAATGCTGAACCATGTCAAATTACATTCTGAACTTTGTTTAATCTTTTAGCTGAATGTGAATGTAATTGAACATATTTATAATTCAATTTTAACTTTCTAATTATCCATTCGGTTCTTTAGTTCATAATTTCATGCATGAGAATGAAAACAATTTTCAACACAATTAATTATTTTTAGGAAAAGTTTCCTTAGTGTACATGTTGGCAATGAGCTTTAATTTACTTTTAAGCTAATAAATCCTGAAAATGACATTTTTACTAACTCTTTTCTTTTGTGAATTATGAAACTCTCGACATGGGAATATATACATATCGAGAAAGCGGAAAAGGGTGCGAAATAAATGAGAATAAATTACATTTCTTTACCGATTATTTAAACTTCAGTTCGCAATAAAATTTATGAATATTTACTCCTTGGAAATATTTAATTACCAAGCAAATAATTCTAATTTGAATTTGTGAAATCGTCTTTAAAATATTTTCCTAGAGTTTTCCAACATTGAAGAAATGATTGGGTGATTTTCATCCCGTCTTTTGCCTTTTCCGGGCATGGATTTGACATTTGAATATTAATACGATTATGTTGCTCGATGGGCTTTCTGATAAAAGCATTAAAGTCTGACATATATATTTATCATCATAAAAAGTCTCCATCTCATCAGACGAAAATTTTCTGAATATTTATTCGTCAAAGAGATTCAACCATAAGGCGATAACAAATTTAAACAGTGAGAAGCAGATTTTTAGACTTTTCTTTATTTTACTACGCAATTATTCATTCCTTCATTTTTCAGTTAGGCACACAAATCTTTCTTGGATCTGGAAATTATTGTTAATTAAATTCAAATTTATTCCTGAAAAATAAAAAAATTATACCGAAGAGAAGATTTTAGTGTCAACATTTTATCAATGACGATTTGTGGCTTTCACAGTCGTCATTATGTAAAATAAACAAGAAACAACAAAAAGAATATTAAAAGAATAATAAAATTGTGTACGTGAAATACGCATTTCCACTTTAGATGAAAATAAGAAAAAAAGGTTTCCTATCTGCTTAAAAATTTATATACGGCGATTCAAGAGAATAAAAGTTTTACTCTGTGTTACTTGTTTACCTGTAATATTGTTGTTGGTTGTGTTTGGTTCATAAGAGACCATCGCTAATGTTACTTGGGACATTTCAATAGAGAAAATTTATTGCACGACCGACCCGTCCCTCTCATAGGTTTAACTCTCTAAAAATATAAAAAAAGCTTTTTTGTGCTATTTAAATCATTGTCGTCTATTTTCGTGGAGTATAAAGGGTTTGTTATTTTCAACCCACATTTATGCATCTACACATCTACATTTAAACATAAATTTAACGGTACAAAAGGGAAGCATTTGAAGAAAAAAAATTCACTGTCACGTTGTGGCAGTTCGTCGCCGAAATTTTTTCTAGGATGCGATAATGCTTTTGTCGTCAGACGTAGGCCTAATCGGCGATTAAAGGAAATGAAGGCATTCCATAATAAAGTAATTCTAGAAAAGGTTGGCAACGAAATGTTCATCATTGAGCGTAGAAGCGAGCTTTAGAGAACGGAAAAATAATGACACAAACATTAACAAATAAATATCAGATGTATACTAAGTTCGGAAGATACGAGAGATTTGATTTATGTTTAAAACCAAATTATAATGTAACACATGCTAATGCTTCAAAACTTATCTCTCGCAACATGGTGAGCGGAATGTAAAGAAGCTTTCAGAGTTTTAAAACATTCCTCAGTCGTTAGACAAGCCACAAGTAAATGTTCAATGTGTTACCATCAAAACACAAAACTCTGTACGGCTGATTTCGTGTAACAAAAAGAAGAAGGAAAAAAATCAATTAATAAACGGAAAATGATTTTTCAGGAAAGGAAAAGTTATTTGGTTGAGCAAACGTTCTAATTGAGCGAGCAATCAAATGAATATCAACAAAAAACAATGTTTGAGACATGAATGAATAACAAAATTAAGAAGTTGTCAAAAAGAAGTTTTCATTTTACGTGTGATGAGAATTTAATTGTTGTCGTTATCCTACACATTCGACTTGTGGCAGGAAAACCCTTCTCAACAAAATCTTATTTCCTTATCTCGTATCTTCTCCACTTACGTGTCAGTCATCATGCATCGTGTCGTGCTTGTTTTCATCTACTTCATGCATAAATATATTGAGTTAAGTGTAGAAAAAAAAGAAGGAAAAAAGTCACAGCATGAAACTGAATGAACTTTATGTTTAGCTCGATTGAAAAATGAAGTTGCGTCAAAAGTTCAGATCGTGCTGTGTTGAGGGAAAACAGAATTTTCCTTAGTTTTTGAATTCCAATCCTGACATTCTTTCTTTCAACGTTTTTCCTTCGATATTTTTGTTTTGATAACAACATTTTCTTTAGAATTCAACTTTTTTTACTGCCCACTCTCCCTTATGCAAAGTACCTTTACATTCAATTTTCCATTTACCTCACAAAAGAAATCATTTCAAAATGAAAATTTCTTCTCGTATCTAAATTTATTTATAACTTGAAAGCTTGAAAATAGCCTCAAAGCAAAGTAGATTCAAGTTTCAATATTTGCTTATGTAAAAGTGAAGATCCAATTAAGTTTGATTCAAAACTTTCACAAAAGCTCATAAAATTATTTTATAATTTTATTATTGAGATGAAAGCTTCTATCGTTATTATTAAAAGCGAAAGGAAAAAGACATTTTTCGTGCCATCTAAGACCATCTGTAAAGAGAAGAAAACAATTTAAACTCATCTCTTGTTGGTCAAACTGTTCTGACTCTGAAATACTTTCTTGATGAATAATGCATTAAACGCTCTTATCCCTACATCCAGATGGATTATGACAAAAGGTAAAAGAATCTTCAGAGATGAACAGAATAATTTGATCTTTTTTTCTAACAACGTTTAATGCGGATGTTCGCTCCTAAGTATAATACCTTTTTGGTCAGAAATACCACTAAATTTGAAATAATCTGTCGCTTGATAATAAAGTCATTGACTGCATTAAAAGTTCAAGTTCTTATCTTATCAAATTATTCCCAATATGTTCATTTGTTCATTGTTATAGTTTGTTTACGAGAAGGTTTACATATTAGCATTCTTATCAGAGTCTAAAAATGAAACAACAATGCTGATGGAGAGTCTCTTCGGAGCAATAAGGGTGAATTTAAAAACTTACGAACTTCACCACAAGTTAAAATATTTTTTGAATACTTCCTACCATTTTGTCAGTTTATCAATTTAGCCAAAGTTTTAATGTTGTTCTCTTACATCGAATGAAAGTACTTTATCGTTTGTCTTTCATTGTTTTCAAAGTTAAATGAATATTTTCAAACCGTAAAACTTTATGATGCATTGCGGGAAACTTCAAAAGTTCATGGCAAAGATCAATAAAAACATTTTTTTTCTGTGGCATATGAGACGAGAAGGAAGAAAAATGGAAAGCACTGAATTTCATGTTTCCATGTACAAGATCATAAATTAATGCTCGGTTAGCATATATGCATTTATTGCTGCTGCTTCTGTGGATAGAAAATTTTTCAATAACGAACTGAAACTAAAGCATTAAAGTTTAATCCTATACTTGTTAGAAAAGCAAGAAAAACTTTTATAATTCTTTTCTAAATTAAATATTCTTAGAGATTTATGACCTTTAAATCTCCATTATTCTTGCTTTCCTACCTACATAGATTTCCAATTTATTGGAAATAAATTTTTGAGAACAAGAAGAATTGAATGAAATAAAGAAAAAAACTCGTAAAAGCTCATCTTTTTTAAATTATTAAAAAAAGGAAATCATGCAAATAAACTTTCAAGGAAGGGCAAACAGAAGTAAAATTATTAATAATATTTTGAAAGGTGAAAATAATTTAAAACATAAAAAGATAATTTATTGAATTCCAAACGAAACTAAGTAAATATTTGTTGAAAACAGTGAATTAATAATGAAAGGAATTTGAAGATTTTTGCCGATTGAACTCTAATTTAGCGAGAGTCCACAGTAAAGTCGAAACGTCTGTTGATGTACGCTGAACTTCACATAAAAATCAAAATTATCATAAAATTTACATCGAAGGAAAGAAAGTGCAAGCAGATGTTGTTTCGTTAAAATTATGAATTTATTATTTAGTCGTAGTTTTCTGCTCGTTTTCAGTCGTTTGTGAAATAGCACTGAATAAATCAGCATTACAAAATACCAAACACCACAAGGAAATTCGAATGCTTGTTTTAAATAAAAGCTATTAGATCAGCTGCAATGCAACAGTGCATAGAAAAGACTTTCAACTTCATTCATTCAGTCTGCTTTAAACTTCCCTTTAGCTAACTTTACTATTCATTTAAACATTCTACAACAATCAACTCATCGCCCTCAAGTCTAATAGTACATGAGAAAGTTCTATTAAATTTCACTTCAGTGGCTATAAATACATTACATGAGTTAAATTCTCGACAACCTCGACGTAGAATTTGCTAAACGAGAATAATTATTCAATTCTCTGAGAAACATTTAGATAAATATTTAATAGATAGCTTCAATGTTTTGATTTTATTTGATTGGAATAATGTATACATAAATACATTTTGAACATATTTCGGAATCAAATAATCAATCAGCATCTGTGATTGATTTGTGATGTGTTTTTGACTTTGATCATAGAATTAAATTTTTATTTATTAAAAGCTAGATAGATGATTGAAAAGTCTTAAATCGAATTAATTCTTGAAATATTCACCTGATTATCACGCCACTGAATAACAATGTAATACATTATCATCAAAAATCACAAATTCAGAAGCCAAACGTACTTCTTTTCCTCTCGCGTTATTGTTTAACTTCCTTTCAGCTTTGCTTTTTATTGTTAGTACAAAATTTCAAAGAAGCGTTGAATCATCTGACAACTCAAAAATATTCCAATCAGATATTAATTCAAATGATATGAAAAATTATGCATGCTTAGAGAAATGAAAATTCCTTCAATTGAAGCGTTTCAAAATTTTCCATCATTTGTTGTTGCAGAGCTTAGAGATTTCTCAAGATTTATTTGCCTTTGTTTTGAGACACAAATTGATGTCTTAAGCTTAAAAACTTGACACATTTCAGTCTTTAAGCTATGGGAGCTGGGATTTACAACAATTACTGTTGCTTTTTTAAATCTTTTTTTCCTTCTATTTTCTCTCATCTCCCGTCTAGATAGGTAATTGCTTCATTTTTTTTAAAAGTAGCATAAAATAAATCGATTATTTGAGATTATCTAGTAACGTTTCACAATTTACTCTTACCTATCGTGCATTGTATTCTCACGTCGTCTAGAATTTATTAGAAAATAAATATGCAATCAATCTCCATTCACTTCTGGATGGAAATTTACGTACAATGAACTGACGATCTCTTGAATAGCCATAACAAATGTCTTGATGTTCGATGAAAGTTTACAAACTACTGATTCTGTTGTTATTTATTTAAGCGATTCGATAGACTATTAATCAAGAGCTTTCTAACTAAGTATTAAAAAGCGATAAATTTCACATCTAAAAACCTTTTGATGTCACAAAAAGCGTTTCAAGGAGAAATTCCAAAATTCAACATTTTTACTTCGTCAAATCTCTGCGGTTTGAAATAAATGTGTTGAGTTATGTTTATAATGAAAATTAAATGAGTCGGAATGGAATGTTCATTGTCGTCTTTCATGTTTCAAATTTATGCTTTGATCCCCTCGAGGACTTCAAAAATTTCTCGGAATTATTCTATTTGAATATATTTAAATGCTTTCCATAGAGCTAGCTGTAAATTATAATTAATTTGTGCAAGGAAAGTTCAAGTTCACACTCTCCACTTCATGGCACATTAACATCAGATGCCTTAAGCATAAATTTAAATTAATATGCTCGCATTGAACAGCTACTTGACATCATCACCCACTTAAACAAACTTATTGAAGGTTTCAATGAGATAAGGTAATTCATAAACTTCCGTTCCCTTCCTAAATCTCCTTAAAAATAATTAGCTCATAAAAAATGATTGGAGCGGAGAGAAAACGTTCTACGAAGCTTACTGAATTTTTACTTTCCGATGTGCCATTGGCGTAATTAACAAAAGCATTAAAAAAACTTTTCTTTAAAACTTTGAAGACGCAGACGACGACAATTTATTTTCTTGATGGAAAAACGGGAATAATTTAATTGTTAAGCCTATTTAATTACTGGAAATATCTCTTCAACGACGATGCCATTTTTTTGTGTTTCTTATCATTTCAACTTTTGCGGCGCGCGAGTGAATGTAGGAAAATTCTACAAGAAAAAGACGAGCGTAGGCCCTTGATGTTGATACTAAATAATTCTTGTCTTCAATTTCCATCGAAGAGAATTTTCTGCAAGAAAAATATTTTTTTCTGTACGTCGCGAAGACCCTCGATTTTTAGGGACATGACAGAGATTAAGAGAAGCTATCGCATTTCACAACGAAACGAAACGAAATGGTGGAAATTTATAAAAATTCTAACAAAATATTTTTGGTGTTGAGATAATCCTCACAATGTTTAATTAGAAGCTTTAATGGACAATTTGTGTCGTTAAGATAAAATTTTGTCATCCATCTTGATCCGATGAAGTACGAATGATTCTAACATGAATGAGACAGAAGAATTGTCATAGGGATTTGAATATTTAAATGCTTATTTTATTCAAAATCGTTTGCTTCTAGCTTAGCTCTCAACATTTCAGCATCTTGACGTAGCATTTCATTGTTTGGATCAAGTTGAAGTGCTGCAATAAATTCAGTGTAAGCTTGTTGGAGGAATCCCAACTTGTTGAGTGCAGCACCACGTCGTGCTATTGCTTGAACTCTTGCTTTTAAATTAGAAGCAACTGGTGGGTTCAAAAGCTCAAGAGCTTTTGTGCAATCTTCAGCGCATCTTTGAAAATTTCCTTGAGTCAAATGTGCTGCTGAACGATTGAGAAAAAGTTCATAGAATTTATCAGTGAGTTTAATTCCTGTAGAATAAGCGGAAATTGCAGCAAGATAATTAGACTGATGAAAGAACTCATCGCCTTTCTTCTTGAGATATATTGGATCACGTTCTTCCGGTCTCAAGTCATCGGGAACAAACCCAATCGCCTTTCGTGCTTCATTTTGTTTCAGAATCCACTGCTGTTCTGCATAATCTTGCGATTCTCGCTTTGGTGTAGCAAAGTTTCGCTTGCTGAATTGAATTTCTATGGAAGCCGTTTTTCGAATACCAGGAATCTCACAAATTGGCTTTGCTTTCAATTTACTCAGTGTTTGAATAGGAGCTTGAACTTTTGACATTTCACACTCAATTGCTTTCTTCTTCATAATCTCAATTGATTCTCGAACCTTCGCATCGCTAGCCATTGCATTCTGAACTTCACTTCGCTTTGTTTCTTGTTTAAGTTTTAGTTTATGTTCCAACTTTTTATTCGTTTGCACTTGAACTTGTTCCAGAATTTCATTTTTCACTCGAAGTTTTTCCGCTTTATCTTGAAAATCTCGCTCAAGTTTTTCCCATTCAATTAATTCTGCCTTTTTTAAGCACAGTCTTATTTCACTCTTCGTAAGCTGACAGAGACTCTCGTTCTCGATAATTGGATGAAGCAAGAATGCTTCGAAATAATATGGAGCTGCATAAATTTTCACAAATTTCTCGTGAGTCGAAACATCAATTTCCTTTCCAACAAATTTAATTGGCAATAAAATTTTAATTGAATCTTCTGTTTGCAGCCATTTGAAATCTTTAATAATCAACATTATTCCTTCAATCGTTAAATAGATTTCTTTTAACGCTCAATTTTGCTTGTTACTTAAATAAATAATTTTTTCCATAGAAACAACTTGACGTCGTTGCTAAGCAGGCAGCTGATTGAAATTCGAGTGTTTAAAAATTGGGAGATGCAGTTTTGTTCAAATAACTTCAGGCGGCCGTTTTAATAAAACAACAAACCCAATTAACAGTTCATGTTTATTTTTTAGAACGTTTAGATATTGCCTACCTAATTTATCTGCGTAAATTTGAAATGAATGTTTGCATCCATGTTGGTTAATTTATTTTATTTTTAATTTACATAACATTACAACAGTTTGAATTTCAATATTCATAATTTTATGAAATATAACATTATATCTTCAATTCATTTCTAAAATTATTTGAAGCTGCATGGCTTATAAATGACAGCAACAAGTGAGAAGTTTTTAACGTCTAAGTTGTCGTTTTTGCAAATATCACAGACTTGTGTTCACTTATTTTCCACTGAATGAAAATCTAAAATTTATTTATAAACTCTGATAAAGTTTTCAGATATCAAATCGTCATCTTTATCTTCAGGATTCTGTTCATTCCAAAATATATCATTTTGAGTAATCAAATGTCTGTCATCAATGACAAATGATAGTAACATGCTGTCATCACCAGATCCGCTTCCACTTCCATCAGGTGTTCCTATTATTATTTCTGTCGTCGTTGCTATTGTTGTTTCTTCTGTTGTTAAAATAACTTCATCATTAGCACTATTAGTTTGTCGTACAATTACAATTATTATGATTGTTGAACACACCGCAAACCCAAGAAGTACTAAGTAAAATAATTTACTCGACAAAATTTTCTTTAACCAATTCATTATCACGAATTACTTTTTCGTTTGGCAATCGTTTAATATGTGCTCAGACTCGAGTGAGCTGTAGGAGTAGCGACTGGGTGTTAAATGTGCTTTTACGCGACAAGTTTCTCGCATTAACTGTGATAAAATAAAGAACTCAATTAATTTTTTATTTCTTTTATAATGTGAATCGTCTTTGTTAATGTCAATTAAATCATTTTCATTGTCAGTAATAGCACAGTGACTTTAAATAATCAGCAGGAACTGATTGATAAGTTATCAGACCAGACAAAGTGAGTAAATAAATAATCCCTGAAGAATTAACACGATATTCCATTTGTCAATTACATATTATCGCTTCGTCTTCATCTTTATATTTTTATGAACTGACATCGGATTTCTTTGAGCTTCAATTTATATTGATCTTGTTAATAAATTATTATCATTTTATTCTGTTGATGTCGGCTAATTCCATGAAAAGATATCTCATTATATTGCTTTGTTCGTATAAAGAAAAATAAAAATAAGAAGTTCGACTAACAAAATTCAACAAGATAATAAAAATATCCGCAATAAAGTCACGCATCGACCTAGAAATTTTTTAAGCTTTTTATCAATGTACTCTCGAGAGTGATAATAACAAAAGCTTCCTCTGGAAAAAAAATTAATTTAAATGTCATAGGTACACAAGTGACTTCAGAGAGAGATTTTAAATTTATTTCTATGCAAAAAATATCCTGAAAAAAAAAATTGCTGACATTTTATAAGTCTCAATAAGTGGACGAAGCTTTTTTTTCAAATTATGTAGAAGGTGGATGAACTTTCTTTTTCATCCATCTTCGCTTACGTTTCCATTTTTCTGTGTTTTCTTTTGAGCCTTGGATTCAAATCTTGTTTTATTAGATTTTTGTCCGTAAATAGAATTTTTCCCTCGCGTATCTCAGCATCCGCAAGCGGCGAAATTGCTATCGCAAGTAGCATTATAAACTTTAATTTCTTCCGGTCTTGTTACGCGACTTACAAATGAAAAATATTTTCAATCACGAGGATCTTAAAGAGCTCTTGTAGGATGGAAAGTGTCAAACAGGAAACTGTTATCATTTCGGGAGATTAAATTAATATAAAATTGTTCATCAAACTGGACTAATTAGAGGATACATTCAAAAGCATCATTAATTAATGAAAAATTTCATTACCGAACAAATCAGATGTGAACAATTCAGAAGCCTGTGAAACGACTAAAAGCTTCACATAATTAAAATCTGAAAATTGATATTGAAATAAAAATCGAGAAATTGAATCTCGCTTTTACCATTTAATATATTTTATTCATTTATCCTACTTAAACACCTTTTGAACTTCACTAAAACAAAAGTAATATCGTTGAAAATTTCGATCCATAAATTTGCTTTAAATAATTCACACACTCTGCTTTAAGTACCAATATCAAGACGAATTATCGCAATTTAAATTTAAGTAAGAAAAATATTTATTTCATTTCTTCCACCCACACTTCTTTCGCTTTAATTTAAATTGCTCTGCAATGCATTCAAATATTTCTACTTTATTTTCAATTTGTTCATTTAGTTAGTCTAGGATTTTATTCGAATATAATAAATTTAACACTTTTCGTTTTTACGACAATGAATTCAGTTGGTTGCTCGCTTATTTCATGACAAACTTCTGGGAGAAGACCCGAATGAATACTAAACTTGCTTACCTAACAGCAATAGGGAAATGAAAGAATAACTTGGATCTCGCAGCTCTGAATGTGAGCTTGATAAAAATAAATTGCAAGTTGCCGTTTTAGACCTTTTTTTTTCCTTGCGCGTAGATAATAAAAATGTAGATTCCTTGCCTCATAAATTCAAGAAGAATAACGTGCACTCCACTCCTCCCGAAACTATTCAGAAAAGGTTATTTATGGAATTATGGTTTTGACGCTAGACGATGTCGTGCATAATCCGAATTTCTTAGGCCGTTTCGCACGAAGCGACAGCCAACGTGTTTGATTGGGGACGAACATCTCAGCTGGTAAATTTGCAAGCAAATCTAAATATACCCAAGAACCATAAAGAAGAGAAGAAAAGAATCGAATGACGGCAGACGCCTTATGTTGTTAAAATTTTTATGAGATAAGTTTCTCTCTTCATACCCTCATCGGTGGAAGCTGCCATTCGCTTAGCTTTGGTCGGTGAAGGAAACATCGAAATGACTTCGTCGGGCTCTCTCAAGAGAATTTTTCCGACACCTTCGCAATATCGTAAGACTTCATGTTTCATCAACTTCTCTCGAAACGCTCTAGGAACTTCCTTGTTGTTTTCAATCCACTCACTTATACCTTCAAAATCCTTAAGTAGATTCAATGCTCCACAGACAGTAAATTTGATTTGTTTATTGTAGATGTGCTCCAAAATTGATTCGCATATGATTTTCATCATCAGTTGGAGAATGTCGAAATCCTTTGTTGCTTCAAATATCGGCTGATACATTATACCAAGATAAATTCCCACGTATTCATTGCATCTTTTCTGTAGAAATGTAAAAGAAAGCTTAAGAACAAGAAAAAATAAATTCCATTTCTAAAGCTTTCTCTTTTCTTTTTCTTTTTCAAACCTTCACAATCTGAGATTTACTTACATGAAGCATCTCATGTCGCCATATATTTTGTGGAGGAAAATAAAGTGAAAGCGTCGCCAATGACGTAGTTTCACAAACATTAGCAAGCACTTCAATGCATTCGGAGCATGTCGTCTATTCAATAATTGCAAGAGAGAGACATATTAAGGGTCGAAGAAGTCAAGTTGAATGAATTGGAAAACTTCAAAGGTTCACCTTTACTTTTATCGTATTATCCTTAATCTCTTCGGTTAGTTTAGCACGAAGGGCAACGTTAACCTATCGTAGCGATGTAAATTGTGATAAATATTCACTTTTTCTTTTTATTTCGTTCACTTACTTGGATATGAACTTCTAATGGATCTTCTGCCACCAATTCTAGTCAAGGCAGTCAGCAATTTCAGAAAGTAAAGAATAAAAAAGTTTCAATGATCAAGTTGAAATGCAAATGTTTTGATTTGAATTTACATTCGCTGATATAAAAGCAGCATAAACTACAAAGCTTCTATGTATCAAGAGCATCATAACTTCCAAACCAACCTTTCATACATCCAATTGGATAACAAAAAATATCAAACCTGGCGCTCGAATCTCATTTAGTCGCTCCATACAGATTCCTTCCATGTCATGGTGAATGAGACGGAAAAACATTTTCATATTCCAGTCTGAACACAACTCTTTAGCTTTCGAGTTGCCCCATAAGCGCATTGTATGAATTGAATGATCTAAACGATGCAACACCTACATAATAAATAAGTTGAGTTAATATTTGTTTATAATATTCTCGTAGGGAACAAAATCTCACCGGAATTTGTTCTACAATCGGCAGTTCATTAGCAATCGTTCCAGCTCGATCACATGAGTTGCTTATGTTGACTAAGGATTGAAATAATTCCGCCCAAAAGAATCCGCATGTTGTCCCAATCAACTTGTTATTTTTTTACGGGGAAGGGAAAACATTGCAAGTAGAGAAAATTTGATATAAAAAAAGAAAAGCGTAAGAAGGAAAATTTCTAATTCTGAGCAGATTCAGGTCAATGGATGCGTCCGATTCTGTGTTCTTTTTATTTTCATTTCACTTTATGACTTTCAGCTACATATTAAATCGCTTGCAAGGAAATCTTAGGATGAAAATTTTATTAAAATAAAACAGGGATTGAAAATAGTTCTGAAATGATCTTGAAACCTTTTCTAGCTCAGAAGAATTCTTAAAAGTTTTGCAACTTGTTCTAAAGTCTGAAATAGGGAAGATTCATTCGACAATCCTAAATGTCTGTGACAAATGAAAATCATAAAAATAAATTTGAGAAAATCTCTTAAAGCATTAATTTATAAGAATGAAAGAGAAAATTGTAAGAATTTATATCTTATTATGACGTGATTTAAAGAGGTTCCCTTACTTGTTCTCCGGGTACATAAAACTCAGAATTTTTATCAAACATAAGATTTACTTTCAAGCTCGAAAGTACTAAACAAACTCGAAAATCCTTATCCCATGTTGTTCCGACTGTAAAAGCGACAAGCATAAAATTGAAAAATAAAATCATTTAGTTATAAATTAGATAACATACCAACATGTACTGTTAATATTTCGCCTAAGCTTTTAAGAGTTGATAAAATCGGTTCTGGTGCATAATTTCGCTGAATTAGTAACAAATATTCACGCAGATATTTGGTGCAGTTTATCGGACGACATGCGAGAGGAAATTGAGACCACCAAAGCAAATAATGTTCGAGTGTTCCACCAACATTCGTCCACAAAAACCTTGACGCTCGATTGATTAAATTCATTATCTCGTTTTTCGTTATTTCATTTTCGAAAGCACTGGGACAAAGTTTAAGGCACTTAACGATCATCGTAGCGAGAAAAATCTCTTCAACTCGAATGAGATCATCAAGGATTTTACCATCGGCAGCATTCTCGCATCGAAACGCTTCCTTCGTTTGAAATTCATTCACCATATTATCGAAAAACGTCACAGTTGGTTCACTTTCATCCGTGATATCCGTAATTACGGTTGGTTTAATCTTAATATTTTGCTGTGGTTGACGTGGCATTATCATCATTTGTTGTTTTTGAAGTTGCATTCCTTCATCTTGCTTCGCTTTAGCAAAATTCTCATCCCTTAATTGGTCTGTCAAAGTCAAGTAAACTTCCAAACTCAAATCATCTCTTTCTGATTCATCGTTCATTTCAGCTTTGCAAGTGTCGAGTAAACAAGATATCTTTTACATTATGATGTTGGAGGACAAACAAATATTTATGAAATGTTATAAAATCAATAGTTTATCTCTCTCTTCTTTCTTTTGCTTTTATTAAAAACATTTTTTACGATAAGAAAAAATAAAATAATTTCACGTTGTTTGGAAAGAAATGAAAATTTAATCGCTCATCATTATTTTGTGTGTAAACAAAGAGGTGTGGAATTTTCCTTTTCTTTTTTTATTTTTATTTTGAAAGATAAATAACTTTGTTTGAGTGAATCAAATAAAAAATCATTTCGTGTTGAGTTTAATGAAGGTGTCGATTACGTTCAGGCAAATAAAAACTTTGATTATCAATGAATAAATCCAATGAAAATATCTACTTAAGATAAGGAAATAAAAATTTCATACCAAACTTTCACAACATTTTTCGGTACGATAGCGTGTTACCATCTGAAGTATTGTAGTAATATGCATCAATCTTGGATTTGACAACAGAGGAGGGAAAGTATTTGATATCACAAGAGTGCCCGAAGCACTTCTCGTGTTTTGAAGTGTCCTATTTAAGAGAAAACCGTAAAAACTTGTAAGATGAAAATGATTAAAAGCTTTCTTAGCGGATGTTCGCTCACAATATGACAGCACTATTATAAAGTGAACACATCAGGAAGCCAGCTTCAAAAACTCCATTGCACAGCATTAATTTAATGACTTTGGCCACAATCAAAATTAACTGGAAATGACGACGCCTTAAATTCCTACGAATTTCAAGAGCTTTCTTATTCAGAATAACTTTAAAGCTTGACCTTTGCACGTTGGCATCGTTTGACGTGTTTCCCATTCGATGTAATTTGTATTGAGTCTGAGAACTTTCCTCAAGGACAAAGTTTGTTTGGTGAAGTAAATTCTGATAGTCCTGTTGAAATGATTTATGTTTTTACTTATTTCACGAATACGAAATCACTTTCGTTTGAGCTTACATAATAATCAGGCTTTTTATAATTGATATTTGTAGCGAACTTTTTACCCAAAATTCTCAATTCGCGTTCAATTATTCGAGTTTGTTTGAATATTTTATTCATGTCATTGTTTTGCTTAGGAAGCCACTTAACGATATTCATCTCGATAGCACAAAAGAGAATCGTAGAAATGAAGATAAATTAAACTATTTAAGAAATATCGAAATATTTCCTCAGATAAGCAAGAACAAAAGAGAAAATAATTGAAATATAAAAGTTGCTTCGCAGGGTCTACGCTTTTCCATTACTGAAACAAAACTGTAATTTTTTTTAAAGTTTGTTGAATAAAAAAGCCTTCACGAAGCAACAAAAATGAGAATTTTAGTATGCAATCGAAAAAACAATTTCTCATTTCTTCACATCGCCATGGAAAAGAAGAGTAAAATATTTTCTTTCGTAACAATATCAAGGACAGAGTGTTGAATATCTTTTCCAGTTTTATTATAGCAGGAAAAATAAATAATGAATGAGAGTTTTGGCAGTCTTGGAAAATATTTGATATTTCTTTCCTCCTTTTTTTATGAAAGATTTTGGTCACGATAAAGTTACAAAATTCTCAGGGGAAATCTTCAATACACAGTAGTGGAATTGTGTAATGTCGGCTAAAAACATGATATAAGGATGCTTAGTTAATGACAATTAATTACTTTATTTTTCAACAGTGACACTAAAATAATCCATTCACAACTGGATACTGACGAAAGTGTGCAACCGCCGAGATTTCCATCGTCATTGTCACAAGCTGTGAAGAAAAGAAGAAACTTTCATCACGAATTTTCATTAACTAAATTAGATTCTTAGCCTTGTCTTGTCTCAGATTCGTTATTTAAACAGCACGACTATGATAAGCATGCACAGTACTATAGAAGTGAGAAAAGAATTCTTTTCAAAGTGACTAATTATGATTAATTAAAGCATATAATCCAATTGTACAAATGAGTAGTAATATGAACAAACCTTGTTGGTTTAAATCCAATCCAATGTGAATCTTGACCTACGATATGACTGAAAAGAAAATCGATTATGAAATCGCTTTTGTAACGAAAGAAAAATTAAAATGTGACGTGAAAAATCAAATATAAGTCAAAATCTGAATTTTTAATATACAAAACAAATGTCATAAAAGTTTTATTTCATTTTAAGCTTCATTTCTTGTTGTTTCGTTTTTCATAGTGTAAGCGAGTTGTGGGAAGAATATAAAATTCTACTTAAACTTTAATTCATGAAATTTCTTACTCGCTCTTAATAAAGAAAAATCAATATCAATTCGAAGAAATTTCTGACTCAACGCATAATCAATAAGCACCTCACTTCATTCAAAATCATTTCTATTCAGCACATGACTGAACCAAAAAATGTTCGCAATGATTTCACAGTTGATTTTATTCATTAACAACTTTTATTTTGAATTCTTTTTCATTTCTTCGAATTGCTCTCACGACTGAAAAAGAACATTTGAAAACAATCATTTAGATTCAGATTTCATAATAGCTAGCGATAAGTAATTTTATTTCTTGAAATCGAGCTTTTAATGTAGAAATAAATTAAATTTCTTAAATCATTCGTTAGAAATTTTAGACCTTCCCTTCTGGCAGGTTTATTACGATAACTTAAAAGAACCATTTATCTCTTCTACAGCTTGTTCGAAAGCCTTACAACTTACAATGTCTTCGACGTAAAGTTGCTTGAAAAATTACGATAAAAGTTTAAAACTTTGATACCTTATTTTCCAATCCTACAAAGTTGCAAGGTTTCAGGTTTTTTCTCGTTTCTTTTTTAAAATTCATCTAGGTAATCTAATCGGAATCATTCTTGTATTATCTAATTTAATACCTTTAGAACAATTCTTTGATGGGGGAAGCTTTAGAAAAGAAATACGTTTAAAATATAAAAGAAGGTTTCCGCAAAAAATTGGATTAGAATGTGTAAAGAAAACTTATTTGTTAGCTCATTTTATGCTTCACTTATTTCCATCACAAAATGTATTAACGCTTGAATTAAAATGTTTTACTCACTGAATTGAACTAATGCTGGAAAGTTTAATTGATTTGAAATCCTGCAAGCTACGATAAAAAACATCTTTAGAAATTTAATGCTGATTTACTTAATGCACAATTGATGTTGACTTTTGATAATAAATATCTTGTTATACTCACGTCTTAATGATGGCGACAAGAGTCTTTATGCTTCCATTTATTCTTTGAAGGAAAACAGATTATAAACGGCATTTGTTGCTTTTAATAATAATTTTAAAACATGATGTAGGCTTGTGTTTCTGCGTTGATTAACAAAAAATCCTGAAATGAACTTAATTTACTACTTAATGCATTGCAATTAAAAAAAAGCGAACATCTGAAAAGCCAAGATCATAAAAAATCATTTTAAAGACTTTCCTTATTGTTTTTTATTTCTTTTATTGAAGTAATTTTTATTAGATCATCTGTTTCTTCTTCCAGTTAATTACAATAATTTTCTTTGTTTTAATAGAATGTAAGACAAAAATTATTCTGGCTTAGATATCAACTGCTATTTTATAGCTCTGTGTTTTAACAATTTTGAAATTCATGATGTTGAATGTTTTAAACAGTTTCTGACATTTAAAATTCATCCAAATTTTCGTAAATGTTTTTCTTTCTATTAAATCAAGTGACATCTTTTTGCACTATGAGTTGCTACATGATACAAAATTGTAATCAAAATTTTATTAACACATCGCCATAATTGTCCATCATTTGATATAGATTTAATAAATTTGAAGATTAATATAATCTTTTCTTTTTCGAAAACCTCTTTTTATTTATTCCGACAATTTTAATAGCAAGTTCATTTAGGATTCACACAAAGAATTTCTCTTAAATCTGGCAAACTTCTCATCGTTTCGTCAATTTGTAAGCAATAGCTTTTTGTTATGATCAGTTATCTATGCTGGTTGTTAGACTACAAACTTGTTTCTTGATGCTTCAGACAACGTTTCTTGTTTTTTATTTTCGAAAATATTTTGTTGCTTCATATCTCTCTTATTCTATTTATTTTCTTCAATCAAGTAAGCAATAATTTCGTCACCACATTGCACATTTTACTTCAAAAGAAACTAAGTATGACATTGTCTCAAAAAGCTTTCACATAAAAGTTAACTTCCAGAGTTTTCCTTAAAAGCATCCTTTTTATTGTTTGAATATTTAATAGAAAAGGTCTTAGGGACTTCCGATAAGACGCATAAAAACTTTTCATTTTCTTTACCCCAGCAATAGATTTAAAGCATTTCATTTCTTTTCTTTTACCTTTTTCGATAGGTGTCCCGTTCATTTAAATTGATAGCGATTCATGGCAATTTTTGAAGGGTCTAGCTCGATTTTTGTCTTCTTCAACGTTTCAATAAAATCGAGTGAAGTGAAAAGTGTGGAGAGAAGAATTGCCCAATCATTTGTTTTTTTTTTTGAAATTTCTAGGAGGTTTTCTAGTAAAGATCTAAGAAAGAAGAAGAAGTTGTTACAGATTCTCTTTTTGAATTAGTTTCTTTATCTACTTGTCGTGAAATCTTGTTTTTTATTTAACATCGATAAACATTAAAAACATCAACTTTAGTTCCTTCGCTCATTGGTTATACCATTTACAAAATGTCTTCTTAACAACAACTATATTTGTTTAATTATTTATTTATTTTTATTTTCTTTTTTTTGAGTTTTCTTTTTGTTTTTTTTAATGGACTTTTTACGAAGTATTAACTCTTTCTAAATCGGTAATATCTGTGAATCTATCTCTTATTCACTTTTAAAAATAGTCAAATGGCATTCACAGTTAAAGTCCCATAATGAGATAAAATGTTACCCTAATAAACATCCATAAAAATATTTATTATGCTTGCTTAAAGTTCTCTTAATCATTATTTAACCGCAATTTTATTCATTTGGATATACGACGTTTTCAAATGTGTTTTTTTCTTCTATTTATTTATCATTGAATTGAATTTTTTTAGTCATAAGAACATTTTAACACTTCATCTGTTTAATGTCGACATTCATCAAAATGAAATCGCCAACTTTATTTTCTGTCTTCGCTTTTATATTTTTAAAGTTTTGATTAAACAAAATTTGATTTTGTTACATGCATGAAAGTTAACTCGATTTGCTTTTTTGGGACGATATATTCATCCTTTTAAGATTTAGAAATGTTATTGTGCTTTTTGTTTTCTAATTGAGTTTATACTTTTGGAAATGAGAAACCGAAAATGCAAAACACAAATATTTGGAATTCAAAATATTTTTCTATGTCACTTTATATTTATCTTAAGTGATAAATAGAATCAAGAACCGCATCCACAATAAAAGAGCCTTAAAGTTCATGAGGAAACTATGCAAGTATATATATAGATACATATCAAAAAAGCACCAAAGCTTTGACATTAAAGCTTATTGACAAAACAGGATAGTTTTAAACATAATGTTCGTAACATGCTCCTGAAAGGAGTAACTTAATAAAGGAAATTTATGCGCTTTCATAGCGATGACATACATTTTTTCGTTTTATAACTAGATATCTGTTTTTCCAAGTTGAACACGCAAATAAGATTATGTTTGCATTTCATACACATATCTAGCTACGATTCTCAATATATGTCAATTTCTTGGTGTTTCACACTACAAATTTTTACATATGATTTTTGATTTTCTTTCCATTTCTCGTTCATTTTTAAAGCCTTTACAAAAAAATTTTAAAAAATGCTTAAGATAATACAAAATGATATCAGATTTGCCATCAATATTAAAATCTCATTCATGAAAGTATAAACAAAATTTATTGATAGGTAGGAAGAAAACTTTTTCTTGGCAGCATTGAACGCTTTTCATTATTCTACTTGAGAAAATGTTGGAAATTAATTATGCTTTACATGACTGCATCTCTCATATCATTTTACATGCTTCAAACTGAGTTGAATCTTTTAATAAATTTCTTCATAGCTTGAATGCTGATGTATGTAAATGTAGAAGCAATTACAGCGCAAATAATTGAATTAATAAATAAACAAGAGGAAAGCAAACAGGAAAGAAGTGGAGAATAAATCTGGCATGAATAAATGAATAGAATGACGTCTGATTCGCGAAGAGAAGTAGCAATAGAATGAAAAATTACTGAGAACGGTGACAAGAACATCATCAAGGATTTTCATTTTAAAATCTGATAAAAAGCTTTGCCTTGCCATATGTTGCGATCAATTTTTTTTCTTGGAAATAATATTTCATGTTTATATTACAAAACATTAGCTTTGATTTTGTGAGCATAAAAATTTATTATGACGCGTTAGTACTTTAAGAACAAGTCTGCCACTGAAAGATATGTTTTTACATGTTGAGGGTTAGCACAAATGATTTATATCCGGAGGAAATTAGAAACATATTCTTCAATTTGTCTCGAATATGAGGAACGATTTCTCAATTACGGAAATCATATTTTTTCTGATAAAAAAGACATCGAGTCACAAGCAAAAAAAAGTAGAAAAAGAAATCAGTAGAAGAAACTTGCAGAAGAAATTGCTGCAATCTCACTTGAAAAATGATTTTAGTTTATTACTTTGTTTGTGAAAAATGTGTCTATTCATTTTACTCTCAACTTTTTATGTGCAACCTTAAATGTCCGCACATAAAAAATATATATAAATGGGATCGTATACCGACTGATTATTCAAAGTTCTAAACTATTAATCATATTCAACCAACGCAAAATATGAGAGAAATTTTCGAAGGATTATTTATTTAAACTTATGCTTTGGCACGTGTGTAGAATTGCTCGTGTTGAGTGAGGAGTTGAGACTCAAATGATCGTTCCATACATCTCATAAAATGTTTTTCCAAAAATGATCGATGAAATTAAACTAAAGTGCTTCAATTCTGTCGTTTTTAAGAACACTTACATATTTCCTCAACAATGTCAACATATCTTTTTATGTATGTTTTGACATCGTTTCGCTTTCTCTGCATCTTCTTGTATATGGCTGCGAGGATTTCGAAAATAAACATTAATGTGTCAAGAGGGAAGGAAATAGACAAATAGTTCGACTCTTGTGAGACTTTCAAGTTGAAACTAGAAATTTATTGAAGAAAACTTCTTTTCCGTTCTTCAGAAATTTATGAGATCAGGATAATAAATAATGACGAAAAATTCGCAGTTTACTTAGATCCATTATTCCAATAAATGAATTTGTTCGAAAGAAAAAAAATGGAGCGTATGATATTGAATAGCAAGTGCTTGTGATGCTCGATTTTAAATGTGAAACGAGTGGAAAGTTTAAGAAAATTTTGCAATTATAATGAATGAATAATCTCAGTTATTTTCATAAAAATCTTGTATCTATTGTTATGAAAAATTACAATCATCCAAACTGTCATAATTTTGATCTATTCCTTATTTACATTTCAAGATATTCTTCTTTGTTGGGTTTAAAAGCTTCTCTCTGGCAATAAAATAAGCTTTAACAACTCACAATGACATAATTCAACTGAGGGTTTTCTCAATCTTTTTCTGCTCTAGATTTAAAATATTTCTTTGGTGTCAGATGGATATTTCTTTAAATTTATGACATAATCACTCGACTGTGTGATATTATTGGATTTGAAGAAGATGGAGAGGATTTATACAAGTTTCAATCATTTGTGAACTACTCTGACAATATAAGAAAGAAGTTAAATAAATATTTTCATCCTCACTTTTAATTCTGCTCATTCGAAACTTTCCATCTCTGCTATCATCGCATTAAAGTCATAAAAATTTTTCTGTGAATTCTCAACATTTTTGTTATGTATTAAGAACTTCTGTTCGGGACAGTTTATTTGCTAATATAATTAATGAGAAATGAAGTGTCACAATATCACATCTGGCATCTCAAATATTTGTTTCATTTGTTTATTGATACTTTTTTATACTTCTTTGCCCGCTTCCCCCAACAAATATCTTAATAAATTATATTTTTAGCTTTGAACTTATCAAATGCAACATTTTCTTGATAACTCATCATTTTTCTTTATTGGAACAAGGAGAGAGACAGAGAGAAAGTGGGAGAAAGAAATTTGCCTACAGAGATGTCACATTTCAACGGATGACATGAAATGAATAAAAACATAAAAGTCGAAAAAAAGCTCAAAACCAAAATGTTGCTTCTCATGATAGTGGCAGAACAACAGTCGGCTCCGTGTACCATGTCTTAACTTTAACAAGCTTTGGTAATTCTGTCGACTGAGTACTCATGCTGTTGTTTGCAGCAATATCAAATTCGTTATTATGACATTGATTGGGCGGGTGTACGACCGTCACCCAATTATCGCCGTCATCTGCTTCAACTTCTTCTACATCATCAGCCTTACAGATGTCATCGAGATTAATGGTTTTGGAATTATTATTGTTGACACCATTTGATCTGTTTATCGATTTACAACGTTTCGCGGCAGTAGACAGTTGAATGCGTTTCGTTTGACTTGCTTTATGTCCAACATTATTTTTCATTTTATTGCCAAAGACAGTTGCTAGTTGAGTGGTATGAGGATGGTATCGATAATATTGTTGACGTTTCTGTGAAGAAGACCCATCCCGTTGTCTTGAAGTAGGCCCAAATGATGGCGATAAATTTTTATGGTTTTGGCTGTCAGACAATTTCGATTTTGTTGATCTAATGCCATTATGTTGTGTTGTTGGATGGACATACAATTTGGTTGAATGACTAGAGATTTCAGTTTTCGCTTGCTGCTGGTTGTGCTGCTGTCTGTTGTGGTCATTTTGTGATACTCGATTTTCTCGTGCCTTCTGCGATGATAATGATAAAGTTAAGTTTTCTCGATTTCCATTCGATTCATTGCCATCATCACTCGGTCAAATGGTTGAATCAAACACAAGCATCGAATTAGTTATGGCTTGATCACGACGACAACAGTCTAGAAATTCATCTATCGTCACAACACCATCATGGTTTCGATCCATTTTCTAAAGAAATGTTTATAAATAAAAGCATAAGCATAGAATTTAAGACCTTAAGTGGAATGCAAATTATATCGACGATGATTGAAACTTTTCCAAATATTTACAGATATTTTAAAACTTCAAATTTCTTTTTATTGACGATTTATAACTGAAATATCAACTTAGCAGTTCGTTGAAAAGTTTTTATAAGTTTATTTTTTTGATCCACTTCTATCAATTTCAAATAAATTTATTCTGAATATAATGAGTCGAATCGTTTCAAACTTTCTCTTTACAGAGATTTTTTATGAACTAGTTCAAGGATTGAAATTTTCCGGATGATTATCCTTCTTTCAAGCAAACATTGAAACGTAATTGAAAATTTAAATTGAAATTCATCAAATCTACTCACATCAAATATTCTATCAACTTTAGCCTTTATTCGTTCATCGTCAATCTTCTCTTCGACCGGATGTCCCATCAGATTATAAACGGCCGTCACAATGTCATTCATTTCTTCTTTAGTGATGTGCCCATCAGAATTTATGTCGTAGAGTTGAAATGTCCAACATAATTTTTCTTCCAATGTGCCACGCGATAATATTGATAGACCTTGAACAAATTTCTGTGAGAAGAAAATATAAAGAAAGACGAAAAGAAATGTCACATCAGAGATTTCAAGATCCATAATGAAAAATTGGGTTGATCGCTGTCGGGGAGAGACGAATGAATACATTTTTTTTCTGATATTCCATACATCAATCAAACACTGGCTTAGACGCAATCATGATAACAATTTACTCAACGCTACGATGAACAGACGCTATTATCGCTTTCCTGAAATTGGAATCGAGGGAAAGCTTCACTCAAGCAATCTTCACGTTTTCTTTGCTAAGCTAAAGCAAGCCTCTCATCGATAATAACTGGAAAAGCCAATAAAAATAATAATCTAGGACAAATAAATAAGAAAAGCAGTTTCTTCTTAATACACATACACTAGAGACTGCCCCAAAAGTCCATTTATGTGATTCTCGGTCGTATTTTTTTTACTTCACATTAGTTTATTTCCTTTACATAAACCTAAACACATAAACATGCCAGCACAAATTTTATTTGTGTTCATGATTTTGATATGTATTTGAATAGAATGTAAAATCGTAGTATAATGAACTGTAAAGATCTGAGATATCCTTGTTAAGTAGGTATATTGCAGCCTTAACCACTAAATGGACGTACGAGTCCCAGACAAGGCTACTGAAGTGTGAAATAAATTTCTCACCGAACCGTTGGCTGATCCAGGCCACTTAACAATAAGTTCATGACTCAATAAAAATACATCAGAATTTCTCATGCTGACGGTTACTTTCGCATTTTCTTCTAACCCTGATAAATTTAAACTTTCCTTTATCAAGAAATTAGAAACAAATTTAACTTCGTTTTTTCCATCATCAATGATTGATTTCATGGATATTTACTTTTCTTTACTTCTTTTTTAGTATAATTTTCCAGATTCGTTTTATTCCGGACACGAAAATGATTTCCTTTTTCTCGTACAATCCAATTTGTGTTCGTTTTGTTGTTAACGTATCAGTTTTTGTTGCTTTAGATCATGCGAAGCTTTTGTAACATCTTTTTCACATGAAAGAAAACTTGTAAGAGAATAAGATGAAGAAGCAAAACAGAGACAGACAGGCCCATGATAATAACGAAGCATAGAAATCAATGAGTTTTTGTGAACCTTTAAGCGACGCAATTGCTGTTCTCAATTCTTCTTTACGAGTTTTTCGTCCCTAAAAACTTTTAGAAGAATTCTCTGACATTTGGTCGTTGTTGGACAAATACAAGCCATAACTGAATTGTGAATTTTTGTCGTATTTTCGAAAATTATTGACTTGAAAATGTCTGCATAAATTTTTACTTTTCTTTCTGAAGAAAAGGACGATTTGGGTAGACTTCGACAAAATGTTAAAATGTAACATATGAAAATCCTAACTTAGTAAACAAAACGCAACATGATCAATAATCATCAATGACTCATCAGATTCTATGATAGAAGCCTTAATGGAAGGAGAACATTGATAAATAATCAATATTTTAGAGAATTCTCAAAGTTTGAAAGGAGGATCCGAGATTGTTTCTTCCCTTGCCTTCAGATGCCATTAATGTCCTTAACTCATGTGCGCTTATGCGTTACTTACAAAGCATATCAAATCCCTGCTACCGCTTTTCTGATGACGTCATTTCCATCAACAGTTCAATTTATAAAACTTACTGACGTATAAATTTTCAAGCTCATCGTTTCTAGATACATAGATTGTAGATAGTCATCATCAGACTTTAATGAAAAGACACGAGCGTTGAAAGAATGATGGAAATAACGTGAATAAATCTGATCAAAATCGATTTACATTAAGCTTTGTGACATTCATAATGAAGATAACTTAATCGAATTATTTATCTTAATGGTCACAATTATTCTTCGCATCTTCTTTTTCTTGTCATCAACAACTGGTCATGATTTTCCCCTCAGATGTGCAAATAAATTTTCTTTTTCTCTATATTTGAGACTGAAATATGTGATTGCATTTTTCAATGGAAAGACTTCCTTTTTAGAAGAAAGAATTCTTCCCTTCACCTTTAACGAACGGAATATTTCTTTATAAGCTTTTCATCGATGGAAAGATGGCACAAGCATGAGCTTGCAAAACGAGAGAGATGAAGGAAAATGCTTAGCTGTTTTTATTTCGTGCTTTACTCTTGAGATTGTGTTTGCATTCAGAGATATTTCAATGAAAACCGCTTACATTTTCTTCTTAATTCATCGGAAGGAAGCCATCCTTAGGAAAATGACTGTAACTCAATTTTCAAAAAGAATGAAACGATTGTTCAGGGGCCGGCAGTTTATTCTCGACTTGACAAAAAAAATTCTCTGCCACCAATAAATGAATTTCCTGGATTTGCTGATGTGAAAAATCTGATGAAAAGATTGGGACATGAACAGTTGTGTGATATTTTAACTTCTAATTTATATAAAAAGTTTCAATTCGTCAGCAAACTTATGCATATAATGAAATGAATTTCATAAAAAATTCACGCAATTAATGCGAAAGTAATTGAGAATATTTCTTCTTCCACTTCTAATGAGGAAAATGTCTACATAAATCGTTGTCTGTTTGACAAAAGCAGATGAATAAACTTCCGCGGTGACACATCTCAAGTGTTCTCTCAAACTCGTCAAATTAATGATTCAACTTCTTCTTAAACATGATTATCACAAGATGGAAGTGCCAAATGAACGATGAATTTTGTCGTCTTAAGCACTAAAAGAGCTTCAAGAATAAATTTAAAAGATTTTAATGCCAGCTCATTTATTTAGCTCTTCTATTCTTATTTAATATAAAATTAAATGAATAACAACAAACTATTTAATGCTTTTTGCTACGATAACCAAAACTGCTGACGCGAACACGACAATTTTTTTTTTCTATTTATAGATGAGTTTTGATCTAAAAGCGTCCCATTATGATAACTATGGAAAATTAATGAATGAATCGGCTGAATTCACATGAATAAA